GCACTTCACTTTATAAATCTCCTACTACAAGTTTCAGACAGTGCTTCATGTTTGACAAGCTTTGCCAGAGACAGAAAGGCAGGTTGGTGAGTTTTTACTAGTTGAGCCTCGCCTTCACCAGAATGTGAAGCCATGGCTCACCATATACCAGCAACTCATAAAATGGTGGCATTGCACTATATAAATTCTCTACTACAAGTCTCAGACTGTCATCCAAGTTTAACAAACTTCGCCAGAGAAGAAGAGCCAGGTTGGCGACTTTTTGGCAAATTGAGTCTCGCTATCACCAGAATGTAAAGCCGTGGCTCGCCATATACCCAGGAAGTCTAAAATGGCAGCACTGCACTTTATAAGTCCTCTTCTACAAGTTTCAGACAGTGCCCTAAGTTTAACACACTTTGCCAAAGAAGGGGAGCCAGGATGGTGAGTTTTTTACTAGTTGAGTCACACCATCACCAGAATGCGAGGCCATGACTCTCCATATCTAAGTTTAACAAACTTCGCCAAAGAAGGAGAGTCAGGTTGCCGAGTTATTTACTGGTTGACTCTCACTATCACAAGAATGTAAAGCCATGGCTCACCATATACCCAGAAAGTCTAAAAATGGCAGCACTGCACTTTATATATCCTCTTCTACAAGTTTCAGACAGTCCTTTAAGTTTAGCAAACTTCGCCAGAGAAGGAATGCCATGTTAGCGACTTTTTGGCAAATTGAGTCTCGCCATCACCAGAATATAAAGCCATGGTTCGCCATATATCAGAAACTCATAAAATGGTGGCACTGCACTATATACGACAGTTACAATGAGTTTCAGGCAGGACTCCATGTTGTAAAAACTCCACCAGAGATGTAGTGTCAGGTTAGTAATTAGGTGTCTTGCTGAGTCCAGGCACTGCCAGCATTATGATGGTGAACCAATCACTGACTAATAACACCATGTCGGTGGGCCCATTGCTCAGACATACCCCTATGGCAGTGGGCCCACTGCTCAGAACAACGCCTATGGCAGCGGGCCCACTGCTCATAAGAACAACGCCTATGGCAGTGGGCCCACTGCTCAGAAGTACTCCTATGGCGGTGGGTCCACTGCTCAGAAGTACTCCTATGGCAGTGGGTCCACTGCTCAGAACATCACCTATGATGGTGGGCCTACTGCTCAGAAGTACCCCTATGGTGGTGGGCCCATTGCTAAATAATAGCATTATGGCAATGAGCCCACTACTCAGAAGTACCCCTATGGCAGTGGGCCCACTGCTCAGAACAACACCTATGGCAGTGGGCCCACTGCTCAGAAGTACCCCTATGGCAGTGGGCCCATCGCTAAATAATAGCATTATGGTGATGGGCCCACTGCTCAGAAGTACTCCTATAGCAGTGGGCCCACTGCTCAGAACTACCCCCATGGCTGTGGGCCCATCACTCCAGCCTTCCCTTCACCACCATGAGCCCATCGCTGATAGCTTCCTACACAAACCGATGGGCCGACGTCCGCTGGCAGTCCAGTTCATGACAATGTCAGGGTAAATGGGAGTCCAGTTCACAAACACATCTTTGTCAGTTATAAAGGATAATCTTTAGTGCTAATAAGCACAAAAAAAGGATTAACTTCCCGCTAATTAGGCAGGCCCTTCTGGGGAGGGTTTATCTACGGATAATCCCTCTCACTGAGAAGAGTGTATCAACCATAGATCATGCAGGATTATCCTCAGATCATCCACTTCTTATCCCAAGATAATCCCCTGAGTGATCGTGTAATCCCTTGAGATCATTCAGGATTATCTTCACTTATCTCTCAGAGTTATCACACAATAGAGATCATCCATATATAAAGTATGGATTATCCTTCATATTAAGCAACATAAAGGAGGGTGAATCTAAAGGATCAACTGAGGATTAACTAGGGATAATCCTAGCATGAAGATCAAAACAGAGACAAAATGTGAGTGAAGGTACAAAGGATTAGACAAGGATATCACAGTAATAAGGATTCATGAAGGATCAAGGAGAGATTAATAAAGGATAATAGTGACAGACATAGGGATTAAGAAACAGTTGGGATCAGCATAGGGATTAAGGAAACATAGGGATCAGCATAGGGATCAAGGGAACATAGGGATTAACATAGGGATCAAGGAAACATAGGGATTAACATAGGAATCAAGGAAACATAGGGAATAACATAGGTATCAATGCATAGGTATCAGAATATGGTGAGGGTATCAGCAGACATGGAGAAAGAGAGCTGAGTAGGAAGGGTCTGTTGTGCGAGGCACCAAAAGAGCTGGTGGAGAAAGGACATGACAGTAAGTTGAGAAGAAAGAGGCAGGGATGTGGCTAGCTCTCACAGCAGAAATCCTCCATGCGGCACATCCGAGGAGATTCTCTGCACGTGGTGAGGCTCCTTATCTATTAGAATTTACTTCAATTAGCTGCAATTTATCAATGTTTCCTGGTTGTGGCAAATGCACCCTTAGAATCACTGCTTACAATGCAAACTCCAGAACCAAAGTGAGTAGATTACAGTTTTCATTCGTGTAACACCATTCGAAGGCAAGTTAAAGCATAATGGTGCTCAGTGATTCATAATCATAATGTGAAAATGATTGCAGATAGTACTCGTGGCATTGCAGTGCTTCGCTTAAAGAGAAGCGAAGATGGGAGTTGTCTGTGGTGTTTGCGCTGTGAAGATGAACAGGATATGAGGACAGAAATGTACGATATTTTAACCGCTTCACTCCCATGCACCAGAGATGTGATGATGTAGTGGCTCAGCTGGGAGAACAAGAGATCGGTATAATGGATTATCAATGGGAAAGGCTCAAGACTGGTGGCTCAGCTGGGAGAGCACAAATGAGGGATGGCTCACCGGTGAACTTAAGATGAAGGTTGCGTGTTCAATCCACGCTTTTGGCAAAATTTATTTTCACTGGGGGGATAAAGTGTCTGTTTACCTTTAAATGACTTGTGGCTTATAATTCACTGGTGTAGTAATGTTTTGGCCTTGCTTTTTCATCAAATCTACACTTAATAGCTAGCCTCAAGAGGGAGAAGATTGAGTACTGGGTGACCAACTGTGATTAAAAATCAGGACAAAAGGAAAAGACCATAGTGAAGATACAGCTGTCTGTATAAATAAATAAGAATCATACGGACTGATTATGAAAAAGTCCCAGTGTGAGTTGGGCCAATAGAGGATGAAATATTTCCAGGCCATAATAATTGTCTTATTCTTGCTCTTCTAGTATTTATATTTTACTTGGTTGGAGTGGGCTGATACTACACGGCCATTCGTGCACAAGGCAAATATCAGATGAAATCAGCCGGATCCCGGGGAGGGCCGGTGGATGCTATGAGGACATCCCCACCAGCTGATCGTCAGACTGAATATGCATATTAGACAAGACTTACCCAAGGTCCCAGCTGGCCAGGAGCTTACACCACCACCTCTCCCCGAGCTGACCACTCGGAGGGGCTCCAGGCTGTCTGCGGATCCCGAATTGCAGATAACTGAAAGATGGTCACTTCGTTCAGGCGATCGACTTTGGAGATCTGCCGCTACAGTAATTGATATTTCCTGGCAGTGATCAAAACATATGCAAAATTCAAATTTTCATAAAATATATTTTTATTTATAGTACAGAACTGCATGTACATCCAAGGACTCGTCGGTATCCTTCGATATGCAAGTCAGAGCAGCTGTTACATCTAAGGGTCATATTTGTAAGTCAACACAATACCCAGAAGACAAGTGGATTGTTGCAGATTTATTTTGGTCTTGAAGGTTATACGCTTTCGGGCGCTTGTTGGGCACCTGACGGGCACTTAGTTGACATAGATACCGTAGCTGTGCCACGTCAAATCTCCCCGCGTGTTTGCGAACAGGCTCCCTGCTGCCTGTCTTACATAGCCAAGAGTCTCATCTCCTCTGTTCAGCATGACAGCTCGAGGATGCTCAGGTTGAAACGCGCTGCAAACTGATATTGTGAGTGAGAATCAAATGCACCTCCAAGCGTGTCACTCAGCGAAGGCTCGGACTCGAACAACCTGCATGCAATGTAAGACAGCTCTCCGGTTTCAGGCTGCAAGAAACAGATTAGTTCAGATGACTCACCTTAAGGTACACGCACACAGAACCATCCAAGATACAGGAAAGTGAGGGGACATCGAAAGTGAAGGAGGAAGAGATGTGGGAGGCATTACGAAAATTTCATCATGACTGTATCGTCAACTTTCCCACTTCACCTCGGCTTCTTTGCTTAGTAAACATGGTGTGATTGGCTCAGGACTTCAGGAAACAGAGCTCAAGTGTAACCCCGATGTAGGGTTACACCGTGGCTATTCCCAAGGGTGGTTCATATGCACGTCGCCCCTTCATTGTAACTCAGACCCGTTCTGTACATTGCAACAAAGATACATTCAATATTCACTTACGAGATCTCCATGTACTTATCAGACCCGTTCTGTATGTTGCAACGAAGACAACCTGTTCCTGTTTTGTTCCGAGTGCTTGCCGGTAGTGGACCGGCTCACACTTTTTTTAAAACATCGAATGGACTGTCACTTCGTACCATGCACCTCGCTCAAGGTGCATCTCCGAGCCATTAGGCTACCCATCTGCCGGATCAATCTGCATGCCAAGAAGGCCGTGGAAGCATCGCCCAATCGCGTAACCACTGTTACCCCAACAGAACCATCGTACCACAGACGCCCATGACGTCGACCACTGTTCATCCTGCACCACCTCAGCATTGCCCACCCTGCTGCCTAACACCCGCTCCCGAGTTTGAGTTCTACCCCACCTCCTACCATTCCATAACATCGAGAACATTGAGGAAATCTTGAACCCCAAATCGCCACCATCTTCGCCCCTCTCGTACCTCTCAACGGCTGATCTCTCGAAACTATTGCATTATCTACCCGACCTGCATCACCGGCGGCATCACGATGTTCGAGATCTCCGTTGATGAGCTCAGATTCAGATACCTCTGCGATCCTAATCATGTCTGCTCCCGTATCTGGGTTCGCCACCGTCCCTCAGTCCTCCGCTAAACATCCACCCATCCTCACTCTGGGCAAGATCACTCCCGCCATTGCCCATACATGGGAGAATGCTTGCCTGCAGTATTTTAAGCACAACGATGTCACCAATGACAAGAAGGTGGCCAAAGTGATGGGTGGATTCCAAGACGCTATCATCAGCAATTGATACTATAATGACAGTGACACCTTTGATGCGATGATGTGGAAAGACTTTCTCTCCACCTTCCATGCTCACTTCCTGCCCAAGGGATGGGATTCGGCAGTCCTGACACAGCTGCTTCGCGCTTGCCAGAAGGAAGATGAGAACTTCGAAGACTGGATCCTCAGTGTCGAGAAGCTCAACACCACCCTCCATGGTACCACCTCTCGCCTCGATGACGCTCGACTCCGAGCCCAAATCTCTGCTAACGTTTGTGAAGATCTCCGCTTTGCCTGCGACGATGATGACATCAAGAACATCATCTCATTCAAAGACTGGAAAGACAAACTTTCCCAGCTCAACACTGTCCGGCTGCGCAAATGCATGCGCATTCTCTGCATCACAGGCGCGTCCAACCGCGGCAAACCCCCACTCTCGACCATGACCAAAGGAGGCATCTCTCGCCCCAAGGGTCCCAAGCTGTAACGGGTCAGTTCTGACGACCGTTACTCGTTATGGACTGCTTACTACTTACATAAGCAAGTTGCTTTTAATCCTTTACACTCACCATCTAGCTGTACTTACTCAGTCTTAGCTTACTCTGGCTATATATTGAGTCCACTACAGCCCTGGTGAGCCTAAGGACCTAGGCTCTTTACACTTTTTTTGTAGTCTCGGAACTACTGCTGAAGTTCTGCTATGACTGGATACTACTGGCTGGATGGGCAGGAGCACTCACTGTGCCCTGCATGTCATACCTACCTGGCAACACCTCTCAGGACCTCTGAAGTCACGGTCATCATCAGTGACATAGGCCATGTTGCCAACACACTGCGAGGATGGGTTGAGGCAAACAACCTCACTCATTGGCTCACAATCGCCGACTGGCTGGTCAAGCGACATCTCCACCTCGCCACCCTCCACGAGTGCTATGCTTGCAAAGATGGCCTTACCACCATCAAGCGTGCTCACCACCACCTCGACGCCCTCGCAGAATGCCTGGGAGTCGCCGTCACCTGCACAACTTTTGACGTAGCATGGATACATCACCATGTGACACGTGACCACATCAAACACGACACCTCCATTCCTACCACCACACTCATGCTCCCTGCTTCCCCCTCTCTCACGTCCAACAAGCTCAATGGGCCCGAGCACCCACACCACCTCAAGACCGATGCGCCGAGTCAGGACTGAAAAAACCGGCCCCAAAAACTGGTAGGGGAGAGTGCAGGGGTAAAGGAGGCCGAGGAGAGGAGAAGGGAGGAGAGGAGGCCGGAGAAGAGGGTGCAGGAATGGCCACAGTGCTACCAGGAGCAGGAGCCGAGGAAGCAGAATGCGCGAGGTATGCCCACCCTGCCATCTCCCACAGTGCCGCTGCCATGCACCCACCTCACCGGACACCCAATGACACCAACAGTGCTGATGCTCTCATGTGTGACACCACTGCATCGCAGTGTATGCACGTGCATGACAGTGGTGATGCAGGACATGAACGATGTACCCACCACGTCACTGGCATGAGGGGTGCGCGACCACAACAGCGTGGCACCGACGCACACGAGCACAGCACCGCAGTGCAGCTGCACAATCACAGCCACAGCGCAGGATGCAAACGACATGCCCACCACGTCACCAGCGTGAGGGGCGCAAGCCCACGACAGCCCAACGCCAATATGCCTCGCTGTCTGGGCCACCGACCGCCCAACAGCGCAGGTGGCGCCGAGTGCACCGACACACCGCAGCTGCGCAATGAAGCCCGCAGTGACCACGGTGCAGGCCACGGACATCGTGACCAACACACCGCCAGTGCCGAGGGTGCGCAATGCAGACGCCGATGCACGACTGCGCTCAGCATCGCTGACGCACCACGTCGCGCTGACAGCACCAGGGGCGCATGCCCAGGACGTTGCGACCGACACACCGCTGGCACAGAGGATGCGCCATGCAGATGCTGATGCATAAGTGCACCCAGCATCGCCGATGCACCATGCTGCTCCGATAGTGCCAGGGGCACGTGCCCAGGACGATGCGCCCACCATGCCACCAACACCGGGGGCGTGCCACGACAGCATCATGACCTGGTCACATGTTGCACTGACCACACACCCCGCTGTCACATCGACAATGCGACCCCCTTCCCCGCTGACCACACACCCCACGTCCGACATCCACGATGGACTGCCACCACCCTCCTGCGCCATTGAGCAGCCAACCTCGACGGTGTCAGCAGACCGCAATGCAGTGCCACGGCATCGCGCCCAGGACACCCCCGAGACAGCAGCAGCTGTGCACAATGGTGCACAGTTGCTGCCCCACCCACCCTCATCAACATTGTCGACTCCCCTATCATCCGTTCCACCTCTGCAAACTCGAGGGCCTAACCCTCAACTTGGCCACATCAACCGGCACTGGCAGTGGGCTCGCCCACAGGACCCATGCCTCCCAAACCACTGTGTGCGGTCTCCTCAGACACCCCTGGTCGTTGTCTATGGAACCATAACCTGAGGTGGATCCGACGGGTTTTCTGGAGTGGGAGGGAGTGTGCACATCACACATTTATTTTATGGTATACACTTCTCTTTATTTCATCTACGCGGTATGTCTTACTTTATGATATGCCCATCTATTCCCCTCCTCTTTCTTTCTTCTCCCCTGGGTTGTTTCTGGTAGGGGAGGGTGTAACGAGTCGGTTCTGATGACCGTTACTCGTTATGGACTGCTTACTACTTACATAAGCAAGTTGCTTTTAATCCTTTACACTCACCATCTAGCTGTATTTACTCAGTCTTAGCTTACTCTGGCTATATATTGAGTCCACTACAGCCCTGGTGAGCCTAAGGACCTAGGCTCTTTACACAAGCTCCCCCTTCTCACCGATGAAGAACTAAAGCTCCTCCGCGACAACGATGGCTGCTTCAAATGCCGGACGTTTTTCATCCTCGAGAAGGAGCATGGCCAAGACCGCTGCACCAACTCCTTCCTTGATGCTTTGACCTACCATACGCTCACCTAGGTGGACGTCGATGCTGCCCGCTGCTCCAAGGGCAAAGAGAACACCAAGCCCTGAGCCAACATTGCTGCTGTCACCGACTCTGTTGACGATGCTACATACTCCGTCGGCACCATCAACTTCAAGTCCATGCTGCTCGCTGCCACCACGGGCATCCTCGGCACTGGTTCTGACTCAGACCTTGAGTACATGCAACCTCTCCTCGCTCCCTTTACCGTTGCACACATTTCCTGGTCCGGGATCGTACATGGTCCACTTCAGGACTCTGCCCCGCTTCCTATGCTAATTGATTTGGGTTCGCCCGCAGTTCTGATTAGATCGGAACTCGTGTCTTGCCTCGGTTTGCGTCATCGTAAACTACCACAACTGTTTCCATTGGGCGATGTGTGGGGCACGGGATCTAAGGACTCGGTCGAGTGGGTCAAGCTTCGTATTTCATCTCCTGATTCTTCCTGGTCCTCTGTCACATGCTGTGCCATCGTTGCATTGTTACCCTGTAATTGTTGGCTGCCCATTCTTGAAAGCAAATCATCTCATTGTCGACCACAAGTGCGATTCTGTTACTGACAAATCCACCGGGCGTGACATCTGCAAACTGCCCCTCGTCTCTGTCATGCAAACACCTACACCTCCTCCCGCTGTTGCGACTGCACCACTCTTCCGTGAACTGGAAGAGCGCACAGCCAACCACCGTGTCCACTGTGATGAGCACACAGTGAACACTGTGGCAAGTGCGGTGCACGCAATTCGGAAATGCACTGAGGAGCTTGCATACCAAGACACGTTAAAGGCTGAGAATCGTAAGGTGAAAGAGGAATTCCGCGACCTCTTCCCTGATGATATACCCCACCTCGATGAACTCCCCACTAATGTCTACCACCAATTTCTACTCAAAGACCCCAACATGTTCATTCAACATCGACAGTATGACTGCCCCAAAAAGTACCGCAAAGCTTGGAAGCAACTCCTCGATGGGCACCTCCGCACTGGTCATATGCGTCCTTCCGACAGCCCATATGCTTTGCCTGCTTTCCTCATACCGAAGTCTGACCCCACAGCTCTCCCACGCTGGGTTAATGACTATCACGCACTCAATGCCAACATGGTCCCTGATATGCACCCTCTCCCGCTTATCAGTGACATTCTGGCCGATTGCACAAAAGGTAAAATCTGAGGCAAAAATTGACATGATGAACTCGTTCTTTCAGACCTGTGTACACCCTGATGACATGAAATACACTGCTGTTACCACCCCATTCGGACTGTACGAATGGCTCGTCATGCCACAAGGATGCCGCAATGCTCCCTCCACACACCAGCATCACATGTTTTCTGCCCTCCGCCTGTTAATCGGTAAGATATGCCACATCTACCTAGATGACATCATCATTTGGTCACAGAGCCTTGAGGAACACATCCGTAATGTCCGCACTGTCCTGAATGCTCTCTGCACTCACCATCTCTACTGTTCAGATAAAAAGACCTCCCTATTCCTCACAGAACTCTCCTTCTTAGGACACGTCATCTCACAGGTTGGAATCCAAGCAGACCCACAGAAAATTGAGAAGATACTGAACTGGACTGTGCCATGCAGTGTGCCCCAGGTTCGTGCCTTCCTCGGTCTCGTCCACTACATCGCGCCTTTCCTATCAAAACTTGCCGACTTCACCCACATCCTCAATCCCCTCACCACTAAAGATGCTGAACTCTCATTTCCGCCTTGGTCAGAAGAACACCAGATTGCTTTCGATAACATCAAAGCCCTCATCTGTAGTCGTGAAGTTCTGACGTCCATCGACCACGACAACATGGGAAATAACAAAATCTTCGTGTCGTGCGATGCCAGTGACTTCCGCACAGGTGCACTCCTCTCATATGGTGAATCCCTGGAGACAGCGCGCCCGGTTTGCTTTTGAGAGCTGCACCTTGAAAGGTGCAGAACCCAACTACCCTGTCCATGAGAAGGAGCTTCTTGCTATCATGCGTGCACTGAAAAAGTGGCACATTGACTTACTGGGTGTGCCCTTCACCATCTACATGGACCATCGCACCTTGGAGAATTTCTTCCACCAAAAGGAACTCTCCAGACGGCAAGCGCATTGGCAGAAATTTCTCGCATAGTACGACTTTGATATCAAATATATCAAAGGTGAGGACAATGTTGCCGTGAACGTCCTTTCCCGCCTGCCGCCCGATGTAGAAATCATTGACCCCTTCGCATGTGCTGCAATGTCGCTTCTATGCACCGCAACGCACTCTCTCTGCGACATCCCAGAGACAATTGCCATGTCCTCCGCTGCCACTACTCGTCTGTCAATCGCCGCAGACCCTGCACAGCTCTCGGCAATATGTTCAGGCTACGAACAAGACAAGTGGTGCCAGAAGCTGCGCTCCACTGCCAGTTCACTCGGTGTTTGTGAACAAAATGGCCTCCTATACATCGGCGACTGACTTGTTGTTCCGCACGTACCAGAGCTACGGGAAGCTATCTTCCGACTAGCCCATGACTCACTCGGCCACTTTGGTTTTGACAAATCATATGCTGCCATTTGTGACAGCTACTACTGGCCCAACATGCATACCGAGCTCAAGCACATGTACATCCCAGCTTGCGAGGACTGCCAATGCAACAAATCCCCGACTCACAAGCCTCATGAACCTCTTCACCCTCTTCCAGTACCGGATGGCCACTGTGATAGCATAGCAATCAACTTTATCAGCCCACTCCCAGAGGACGAGGGATTCAACTGCCTCGCCACTGTCACCGACCGTCTTAATTTGGACATCCAATTGATCCCCACGCGCACTGATGTCTCTGCGGAGACCTTCACAACCTAATTTTTTGATCGCTGGTACTGCAAAAATGGCCTGCCCCTTGATATTGTCTCCGACCATGACAAACTGTTCATCAGCAAATTCTGGAAGACCCTTCACCGCCTTACTGGTGTACGATTGAAGATGTCTTCCGCATATCACCCCCAGACTGACGGTGCATCCGAATGTTCGAACAAAACAGTCATCCAAGCTCTGCAATATCATGTTGCTCGCAATCAATACGGCTGGGTGCACACCCTACCCCGCGTTCATTTCAGCATCATGAACACAGTGAATAGCTCGACTGGGTTTTCCCCATTCCAGTTAAAGACCGGTCACTCTCCACGCTTTGTGCCCCCTTTCTCTGATGTGTCATTGGTGGACGACACCTCAGATGAAACTGCACATGCCGCCAAGCTCTTCACGCGGCTGGAAACAGACGTCATGGAAGCTCAGGATAATCTCTTCCTTGCAAAGGTTAACCAGGCGGCACTGACTAATCACTTGCGCAGTGAAGAAATATCCTATGCGGTAGGGGATAAAGTCCTCCTCTCCACCTTCCACCGTCAGCAAGACTATATGCAACAAGGCGATAACCGTGTTGCTAAGTTCATGGTATGCTACGACGAGCCATACAACATCCTCCACACGTACCCCGAATTCTCTGCATATATCCTCGACCTTCCTGCTTCCACCAATATCTTTCCGACATTTCACGCCTCGCTCCTCAAACCCTGGTGCAAGAATAATGCCTCGCTCTTCCCTTCTTGCCAGCACAGCCAACCCGGCCCTATCATCACCGATGATGGTGCGGAGGAATGGGAAGTCGAATCAGTCATCGACCACAGACCACGTGGTCGCGGATTCTAATACCTCGTCCACTTCCATGGATATGGCCCTGAGCACGATGTCTGGCTACCTGGGCATGAGGTCAAAGATCTCGCGGTGCTCGATTCCTACTTACTGCACTCCCCTCACTGCTTCTCTATCTCTCTCTTAATTTTCTTCTCCCTTTTATGGTCTAAATTTTTTACGGTGGGGAGGAGTGTAACTCCGATGTAGGGTTACACCGCGGCTATTCCCGAGGACAGTTCATATGCACGTCGCCCCTTCATTGTAACTCAGACCTGTTCTGTACGTTGCAATGAAGGTATGTTCGATATTCACTTACGAGATCTCCATGTACTTATCAGACCCATTCTGTACGTTGCAATGAAGACAACCTGTTCCTGTTTTGTTCCGAGTGCTCGCCGGTGTAAGCCTGATGCTTACTACTTATGGATGTTTGCACTTGTTGAGACATGGCCACCATTTGCTTCCGTGACACGGACGCATATCTTGCTTCCGCTCCCCCATCATCTCGAGATCCTTCTTCCCCACGATACTCCTGTTTTCCCCCCCTTTGATCGCTACGTACTTAGATCCCGTTTCCTCTAGACAGAATACACGCTCATCTCAATTCTGTCTTCAGTCTGATCCCACCGTCCAGTGTTTCCTGTCGAATGCAACAGGGTTTCACTTTTTTTGAATTGTCAACGAGATTGTATGCTCACCATCACTGTACTGATCTCCACATCATTGGAGATAACTGACCTACCATTGCTGTAAAATGCAGGCCCCGACTGAAATACCCTTCCAGTCATGGCCCACCATTCCCACCTGCCAATCACTGTGCCCGTCATCACCGTCTTCTGCCAAACTGAAGCGACGAACACCCTCGTCGACTCTGTCACTACAGACTCGAAGCCGTAAGGCCGCGGCTCTAGCTAAGACTGAGAACAACATCTCGAACAGAGAGACAGCCTCATTGTCTCTGCTCTCCCCTGTTTCTGAACCAGCCCCACTGTCACATTCACCTACACCACTACCAACCCGTGCCTCATTGCCGAGTACACCACCGGTCACATCGTCTGAATGTCACATGCCATCCGTCTCATCTTCTGACACCAACACTGATTCCTCATCCACACCCCCCGATTACCGCCGCTCTCATGCAATGGCCAATGGCACCGCTGCATCTGTCGAGCAGGACGCTCCCACAAAGGTCCCGATTCTCCTGAAAGGAGACATCACACTGGCTGTCATGCGCGAATACGAGGATGCCTGCAAAGGCTACTTCGAGCACAAGTCTGTCGATGCTGCAACACAAGTCCGCAAGATAATTGCGGGCCTCAAGTACTCGTGCATCAAAGACTGGATCACTGGTGACTGCAACCGCATTCAGGCATTATCGTTCAACGAGTTCATGCACGAATTTCGGTCTAACTACCTCGAGGAGGACTGGGAGGACGATGTTCATTGTGAACTCCTCAGCATGTCAATGACCATCGGATCCTTCTGGGATTTTGCTGTTAAGGTCCAGGCCAAGAACTCACTACTCGTAGGCACCGCTTCTCACCTCGATGAGAAGAAACTCCGTCACCAGCTCGAAGCAGGCATGACCAAACACCTCGCAAAGAAATGCAGTGTCGAGAAGGTCAACAAGGTTCTCAATTTCCGCAAGTGGTTACAGGATGTCAAACGAGTAGATGAGGTGATCCGTACCGATTTGAAAGAGTTCGAACACATCGCGCGCGAGAACCGCAATGCCAATCGCTGCATGTACCCTCTCTCCAAGCCGTCTCGATGTGGAAACACGGCATCAGCTACCGCGAGGTATGCGCCCACCAAAGGTGGCTCCACATTGGGCCAATCCACTGGTAAATGTCCCCCGCTGAAAGATACAGAGCATCAGTTCCTCTATGACAATGAGGGATGTCTGAAGTGCCGCCGCCTTTTCGCAGGTCACATCTCTCACGACTGCCCTAATGGTTTCCCGGATCTGTCCACCTACAAGACGATCACACAGGAGATCGTCAACAAGCTCAAAGGCCAGCGCAAGCTGACGTGCACCACCACAGCGATCTCGGCCGCCACTGTCAAATCGGACGAGGAGCGAGAGAACTCCTTCTTGCACCCTGTGGCCGCCGTCATGGGCAGTTCCCGTATGCCAATCGCGGCTATGCCCAACAATGATTCCTCCATACTGTCAGAGGAGGGCAATAGTGAGAGCTTGGTAAGCCTATTACTGTCCACTGTAGCTCCAATTACCATGTGCACCGTAGTCCGTAATCACCCGCCCACCCCAGTCGATGCACCATTTCGAGTGCCCCACCTCGTGTGGCATTGCGCAGCATCGGGCCCTGCGCACTCCTTGCCTGTTACCTACAATGCACTTATTGACGACGGCTCTCACACAGTCTTAATCCGTGATGACTATGTCGACCACCTCCAACTTCATCATCGCCGTCTTCCCATTCCAGAACATATCGAACTCGCGATGGAAGGAAATGGCCAGAAAATCATTATAAAGCTGTCAGAATGGGTTCATTTGTCTGTGTTTGATCTGATTTTGTCTTGGTCTGCAAAGTCTGTACGTGCACTTGTCGCTCCGGGCCTATGTGTTCCTGTTATCCTCGGTCTTCCTTTCCTTGTACACAACCGCATTATCATCGATCATGAGCTCCGCACTATAGTAAACAAAGATTCCAATGTAGATTTAATGCACCCTCGCGTGCCTACAACTGTACATCCACCGAAAAAGAAGACTACCGTACAGCAATTTGTGGACATCAAATGTGATCGTGCCACAGTGTCTTCCGAACTCAACGAACGATTTGCATGCCCCAGTTCGCATTTCAAATCTAGTGAGCTACCCACCTTTGCGCGTTCCATTGTCGCAGCAGTGCGGGAATGATTGGAAGTCCTCACCGCAATGGAGAGACTGGCCCATCTTAGCAAGCAACTCGTACAGGAGTTTAGCGATGTTTTTGAACCTATTCCCCACTTGGATGAGCTTCCCACCGATGTCTACTGCCACATTCAACTAAAGGATGTCACGAAATCAATACACACCCATTCGTATAGTACTCTGCGCAAATATCATGAAGTGTGGTCCACCTTGATACAGCAGCATCTCGATGCTGGCTGCATCCATCCCTCGAATTCCCCACATGCATCCCCGGCTTTCCTGGTACCAAAGGCGGACCCCACCGCTTTACCCCACTAGGTCAATGACTATCGCACACTCAACGCTAATACAGTATTGGATTCGCACCCGCTACCTCGCGTGGAAGACATCATCGCCAACTGTGCCAAAGGTAAGATATGGAGTAAAATGGACATGACCAACTCATTCTTCCAGACACGGGTACACCCCGATGATGTTCATCTAATGGCAGTAACTACTCCTCTGGGCTTGTATGAATGGCTCGCAATGCCCATGGGATTGCGAAATTCCCCGCCAATACACCAGCGATGTATGACCGCCGCCCTTCGTGAGTATCTTGGACGATTCTGCCACATTTACCTTGATGACATCGTCATATGGTCCGACTCCGTGGAGCAACACGCGGAACATGTTAGACTGATCCTAGCTGCACTGCGAAAGGCCAGGCTGTATTGCAACCCAAAAAAATGCGAGTTCTTCGTGCTGACCCTTGACTTCCTCGGGCACTGTATCTCGGCCAAGAGCGTCGAGGCACAAACATCGAAAGTGGACAGAATCCTACAATGGCCTGTACCACGGTCTGCTTCAGATGTACAGTCCTTTCTCGGCCTTGTACGCTACATCGCCGCATTTCTGCCCAAGCTAGCCGACTTCACTACTGTTTTGACCCCCTTAACCACGAAGGAGTCCCGCCGACACTTTCCCGAATGGATGCCCACACACCAATCAGCTTTCGATGCCATCAAGGCCCTTGTCATCAGCAGGGAGTGCCTCACTGTCATAGACCACTTGAACCCGGGTGACAACAAAATTTTTCTAACTTGCGACTCTAGTGACTGGCACACTGGCGCAACGCTGAGCTTTGGTCCTTCTTGGGAAACTGCACGGCCCATCGCCTTTGACTCCATGCAACTGAAGGCCACAGAGAAGAATTACCCTATCCACGAGAAAGAGCTCCTCATGATCATACGCGCGCTTAAGAAATGGCGGTCTGACCTTATGCCAATGCCAGTTTTCATTTACACCGATCATCGCACGCTCGAAAATTTTGACACACAGCATGACCTTTCATGACGTCAGCTCCGCTGGCAAGAATTCATGGTGCAGTACAACCTCACCATTGTCTACATCCGCAGTGAAGACAACACTGTCGCGGATGCTCTTTCACGGTTACCACCTTCCTCTTTTCCTGACGAGAACGACACGCCGAATGAAACCTTCAATACGTGGCTCACACCTTCAGTCAATGCCGTCCTCACAATCGCCACTGACTCTGCTGTTGTCAAAGATATCACTGACAGGTATCTGACTGATGATTTCTGCAAGAAGGTAATCGCAAATGCCCCTTCTACGCTAGGCGTGCACTGTTCCAATGGCCTATGGTACATCGGGGACCGGCTCTTGATTCCGTGCATTAAAGATCTTTGTGAAAACCTCTTCCGCATGGCGCACGATTGTTCGGGACATTTCGGAGCTGACAAGAGCTATGCTCTGCTACGTGACCTATACTACTGGCCCAACATGCGTCATGACCTCGAACAATCATACGTACCTTCCTGTCCCGACTGTCAGCGCAATAAGAGTCGCACAAAGAAACCCTCCGGGCCACTCCACCCTCTCCCGGTACCTGACCAGCATGGCGATAACATTGCCATGGATTTCATTGGCCCGCTGCCTGCCGATGAAGGCTTCAATTGCATCTTGTCCATTACAGATCGTCTCCACTCCGACGTACACATCATCCCCACACACATGACTCTGACTGCGTCCCAGCTCGTGCTTCTATTTTTCGATCATTGGTACTGTGAGAATGGCCTTCCCTTGGACATCGTCTCCAATCGCAACAAGCTATTCATGTCGGAATTCTGGGCTGCATTGCACAAGCGCATCGGTATCTTGCTCAAAATGTCAACCGCTTACCATTCACAGACAGACAGTGTCAGCGAACACATGAACAAGACCATTAATCAAGCCATCTGTTATCACGTCCGTCATAATCAGAAGGGGTGGGTATGCGCTCTTCCTCGCGTACGGTTCGACATCATGAATTCTGTCAACACCTCCACTGGATTTTCGAACTTCCAACTGCGTCTCAGCCGTTCTCCACGTCTCATCCCCCCACTTGTTCCTGATCATCTTGAACTGCCTTCAAATCACGCCGATTTCGACACCCTGCAGCTCATCTCGCAACTCCAGTCCGATGTTGATGAGGCGAAGGACAACATGCTCCAAGCAAAAATTCATCAAACTCACTTTGCCAACCTTTCGTGCGGGCCTGAAATCAAGTACCACGTCGGCGAAAAGGTCATGCTTTTGACCTTACACCGCCGACGTGAATACAAGCATAAGGGTGAAAAGTGCACGGCTAAGTTTTTCCCTCATTTCGATGGACCGTATGTTATCACTAATGCACACCCTGAGACCTCCAATTACACTCTGGACATGCCTAACAACCCTAACAAATTTGCCACTTTCCATGCCTCAGAACTCAAGCCTCACATCGCAAACGATGATTGGCTCTTCCCTCATCAACTCACAATGTCGCAGTTGTGGCTGGCAATACCTCGTACGCTGGGCTGGCTACGGACCCAAGCACGACCTGTGGCTACCCGGTGCTGAGTTGGACGACTGTGAAGCGTTGGATGTTTGGATTGCAGCTAGAGGGGAAGGGCCAACCACTCGGTAGCTTTTCTCACAGGGTTTTTAACGCACCCGCTGTCGGCGCCCGGTTGATGCTGAAGTACTATTCTTTCTCCAATTTTTACATTACTCACTCACCTTCGCACACTCACACCCGCCGCAAATGTTTCTGTCACCAGAGGGGTGTAAGCCTGATGCTTACTACTTATGGATGTTTGCACTTGTTGACATGTGGCCACCGTTTGCTTCCATGACACGGATGCATATCTTGCTTCTGCTCCCCCATCATCTCGAGATCCTTCTTCCCCACAATACTCCCATTTCCCCCCCCCCTTTGATCGCTACGTACTTAGATCCCGTTTCCTCTAGACAGAATACACGCTCGTCTCAATTCTGTCTTCAGTCTGATCCCGCCATCCAGTGTTTCCTGTCGAACGCGACAGGGTTTCAGCCGATAGTGGACCGGCTCACACTCAAGTAAAGCCTCCCTTTGGATGGATTATTGAGCATCTCAAATCAAGCTTTTCTGAGGACATGAACTACCACTATGGACATCACACAGATCATTAGGCTACTTAGTTTTTTTATTTGGGGCAGAGAGAGACATAGATGACCTCCCCCAATGCAGGGACCTGGTGGTGACCTGGCCAGCTTCCCGTTTCGGAGCAGACTGCGGGACATCCCAAGAGGCTGAACATCAATCAGGTGTCCTTCAGATGGGATGCAGCCTGGCTGCCAGACCTTTCGACAGCTGGTATCTCGCAGACTCAGCCATGGAACAATTGGCCTAAACAGAGTTGGCGGTGTAATGCATGACAAGGACAATTCCTGATTTTAATTCCTATAAGCCTAAACTTCTAAAATATCTATATAGTCCCTTTTTTACACTTGCCATTCAAAAATATTACACTGCTCTATAATTAAATACATATTTTGCTATATTACAATCTGTTATACTTTAGCATATACTATAACTAATCTTTGATCTACACTTTGGCAGCACTTGAGTCCATACTTGCTATTCAATGAGGCATGGCAATTTAAACTCTGACAAGAGGCAGAACAAGGGAGCAGCATGCCAGCAAGCATGACAATCTGTGACCAATTCGGTGCTCTTGCATGCAAATGAGCCTCTTCAATACATTCCGTCTCGTATTCACACAACACTAATAAATAATAATTTTTTATTTAGGAAAGAAATCAGGAGTCACATAGAAGATACTACATATGTCCTGTATTCAACCTAAAGATGTTTAAACAAAGACAGGCTCAGTTTGAAGGAGTGCTGACAGAGTTGCAATCATGATTGCATTACTGGGGTAACGATAGTAGTACACAATTTCACTTGTGAACAGAGATGCCGAAGGGATGCCGGTGATCCGGCCGTCATGCCGGCCGCGGGTTCCTGGCCGAAACAGTGAGTCTTGTCCGTGCAAGCATGAACATGGTCAGAAAACTAGTGTTCCTGAGTCTGTAAGTGCTACAGCGAGAGCGTTGAAGCTGTCTAGTATCCGGCGAACACATTTCAATGCCGCGTGGACAATATATAGGAGACCATAGGGTAGGGCCTGAGATTTTTCGCGTGGATTTGGAGGAATGGCTATAAGTCTGCATCTTTGTGGTGGATTTGACAGAGTCCAATGGGCATAGATACTTTTTAGACATTACAAGGGATGATACAATACATAACTCGAGTGAAATTTGGGCGTTACAGAGGATGTACTCCGGCTGAGGCAAACACGTCGCGTTATACCCGATCTACTCGGAGATCCCAACGTGCTTATGTAACTCCGAAATCGTGTACTACGGTGAAACCCCCTCAGCAGACTAGGTGGACTGCCCATTCGCTTGTGGGCGGAAGAAAAGCTGATCACCCGCCAGATTGATAGGAGACTGCCTTCATTCACGTAGCATTCAGGTCCAACTGTCAGAGTACACATGATACGTATAGATCATAGACGTCAACAAGTAGCTTTTCGTGCCCAAGTTCATCAGTGAACGGTAGTAGCCCACGCATCAGTTCTGAATCAAATACACACTTCCAATCACCTCCTGAAGACGGTATCGCGGACTGCTGGTGTGGAAGCCGATATACCCACATGCAAAGTTCTCCCATGCTTCCCATGCTTCCCCTTCTCCGAGGATGCGTCTGATACGCCGCATCGCAGCTATCCCCTCTTGAATGACCTCATGAAGAACCTCGAGTGTGGATTTCCCTTCCGACACAGCGCGGTCTACAATGTAAGTCCCGGTCTCTCCCGAACTTTGCTCTTTGTAGAAGGAGAGAATGTCACTAAGTCCGTACGTCAGTTTAAATTCATGGCTCATATTTCGCAGAGACTTACTTGCCGTGGTTTATGTAACGTATGGCATCACTGAAGAAGCTATTATCAGTAACACAAGTCACCATCACTGCGGCAGGTGCAAGACACGCACGGAATAGCTTGAATATATGCACGGACGTCTGGAAACCTGGCTTTCTCCCAAATGAAGTAAGCGTAAGTTTCCGCCGCCCCGTCCTTCATCCTGCGGTACTCGACAAACGGTGCTCCTTCCGAGGATAGAGCCATTTCGTTTGTCTCATTCTGGAGGATATTCGCATTCACAAACTCCAGCGAAGAGCTCACGATCGCGCTTGCAGCGAACCTCGGGTAGTGATTCCATATGCCACGAAGGATCTGTGTGAACGTCCTCTCCAAATTGGAGCCACTCTCAGTCGCTCCACCAGTGAACATGCGGGCAAATTCGCCAAAACGCGTCGCACCCAGAAATGCAGGGTCGTCTATAATAATCACAATGAGATTGTAGAGCACGATCTGCACCTTCGTGTCGATGTTAGTGATGTGGTTGTAGGCCGTGGCAACCAATGTGATTGCGGTGACGATATGCGGTCCCAGGAGACTTACGTTGTCCCAACCGCGGACAACATCCCAAACGAGTGACTCGAGGTCGGGATCGCGCGAATAAGGGTGAATTGTGAGCTTGCTTCCGTCCAAAAATTCCTGGAGTGCTTGTCTGCAACCATCCAAGAGTTCATCCTAGAGAGACTTAGCACTTGGAAGGAAATGAGGTCCAGAATATTCACCTTGTTCATCGTGGGAGAGGGTTTTGTAGCTGTCATTTTTGTTAATCGATGAATAGCCTAGAGGGAACATACGGGTCATCAAGACGAATACCATGCATAATGCCACAACATACGGAATCCCTTCGCAGAGTGTAGAAGTTGCTGTCGGCTTGTCGAACCTGGCAGTGGGTCCGAAAGTTTGCCTAGGTCGGTGAGCTATATAAGAAAATGAAAGAGAGCGTTCACTATCAAAGATCACGCCAAGAGAAAATCGGTATCGTACTGGGGCACTGTATTTGTTTACTGCGACCCCTTCCTATCAGGAGGCGTCGACGTCTGTCGTTCTAGTAACATCCACGAGATTGAGTTCCGGCGGCAAGTGTGTGTAGGTGCCACGGAATGTCAGAACCCTACAAATAGCCCGGGTGCCAGTGCGTAGACCGCTGAATCGTATAATAACTGTCACCGCTTTAACCAGATAACATTTTAAAACATACAGCACTGTCCAAAATTCGTCGAGATTTTGATAATTGAAGGCGCCATTCCTAGCTAAATTCAACCCGATAGTCATTTTTGCCCCCGCCCCCGCTCGGACACTTGTGGAGTGGGAAGCCCGCGGACGGATATTGGTGAAAGACGCCTCCAAGGACTTGTATGCCGCCCAACTCGGACAGAGCAAAGCTAGCGAAAAATCAACTATGGATTTGAAGTTAGCTGTCATTCTGACACGTACGATGGGGATCTCATACCCAGATATTCATCGAATTGCACCCCACTGAGCGCCCCCTAAACGCGGAGTACTGTGCGAGTCAGGCAACTGTTTTGAAGCTCGAATGTCGCTCCTGCTGGGTTATCACCGACATGCAGAACTAGCGTGGACACCACTTTTGTAGATGTTCATAAAAATCTTCAAGTGTCGCAGGAAGGATTCCAAGTATATCGGCTGCCAGGTTCCTCAACATTTCCATTCGAGGCGTTCCTTTGTGTCAGATCGAGATCAGGGCGATCTCAAAATAGTTTCAACGGTTTTCAGCAGCTCACCTCATTTACCACAAATTAAAAATACACGCAAACTAGAACCATTAGGTATAGAAAGTCGAAGTCGAGCACAACGAGTGAGGCGAGGCTTTTCGGGCGGCTAATGGACGCCACCTGTACTTCGTCCGAGTCGGAGGCCTCTATCAAACTGCGCGGCTGGTAGACATATTACATATCAGCGGCGGTAGGGTGCAATTACCAATTACATAACTAGTGGCCAGAAAGTTGGTAAGTTGTGATGGTATAAAGATAACGAATCACCGGTCGGGCCACCGCGAGCAAGCTAGATACTCCATGGCGAAAAGCGAAGCTTCGTAGCCGGGGTCGACGTCACAGATTGACCGGAGGGCAAGTCAAAACAGTTAGTGCTGCGGTAGAAAAACTCATTTAAAAGGTAACATGAATGATATTGCATTCATAACTAAGATTGATTATCAGAGGTGCTCACCGAGGCCTTGCTAACGTCTGGAGGTCTAGAAAGATGGAGCATAAGACAGTTGAAATTATCGCGCGGGAACGACGCTTTGATGCCGTTAAGGTAGGTAAGACCGGTGTATCAGGCCAGCGCATCTCCCCGGACGATTCTGGTGGACAGTTTCTCTGGGAAACGTAAGGATTCAACGTTACGTTAAGACATATCTGGCGATAATGAATGGAGAAGTTGACAAGCGCAAGGCACTGATAGTAGCATCGTTACAGCAAGCCTCCACCTCGAATGAAGCGCTGTGAAACTTTCGGCGAGCACTTCTAAAAAACCAAGTAAGGCAGACGTAGCGCATATCACAGGAGCGGAGACGATAAGAACCTTAGCGCCAAGGCTCAGCGATCAGCGATTCCGACCACTACGAAGTCTCGCATTAGTCTCGTATTAGTCTCGCGAATCGACCTCGAGACCCTGCTCCCGTACGGTCTAAGAAAATTCATTCAGAACAATGTCAACACATCCACTCGCTGTCACGACGTTCAAGATCAATGGAGCCTATTCATTGTGTTCCGCTGCTACTGGAAAAAATGACACATGTGGAGACATACCTGACAACCCGTCCGTTTCCTCTTTGCTATGCAACGCACATGAGCGCACTTCAGCGACGACGAACAAATGAATTGCAAGATCTCCAAGTACTGCAAATGCTAACAAGAAGGTATCATACGGACGAGAAAAAAGATCAAACCAGACATAGCTCTCAAGCGATCTTGTATTTCCCGTACTTCTTCTCCGGGTCATATACCTAGTCAATATGAGATAATGAGCGAACGCCTGCATAACTCAGATCGCAGTCACACACCTCCCATCGAGATGCAGGGAATATATGCTTGTTTCGCTGGTAATAACTCCGTTCTACGACCTTCCCCGCGTGCGACTCGTCTTTCTCAATAGTGGCGTCGGCCAAGAGACGCACATCGTCGTGCACATCAAAGTTAAAAAGAGGTCCAGACTTTCCGCGGGCCTTGTTGACGATAAAGTCATAGAAAGTGTAGTGCTGGTGTTCAAGTAAGAAACCCGATATCCAGAGGAAGGAAAAACACCTACGTGTGGGATGATGAGATCCTCCTGAATACAGACGAAAACTACGTTAGTAGTCAGGCATGCACATCAATTGCACAGTCCTCACCTTCACATACATCAGATTGTCGACGCTGACGCCTCTGAGTTCTGGGAATTGTTGTCTGCACTTCTCGAGGAAAGTGGAAATATCATCGCCTTTCTTGCACTATACAGCGGCGATAAGTGGTCCCCATGCATGCATCTACGTGATCAGGCCCTGCTCATTTCAAGCGCATATATTGGACTTACCATGACACTCTTCCTGTGACCACTACCGTCCCAGAATGAATAAGTGATTTCGATGTCCTCTTGTTTCATTTCCTCCTGCTTCTTCAGCCACTCCTGACGCAGCTCCTCTCTTTGTCGGCGCTCGGCCTCTTCGCGGTCACGGTCGGGCAGGAATGATGTATCTACGCCGGGGTTTTTGCGCGACTTTGCACGCTTGGCCGGTTGTTCTCCGTCCCCATTTCCGTTCGACGACGTAGCACCCTCCTCCTCCTCCTCGTCATCTATAGCAAACGACAGCGTCGATTTAGCAGTCTTCTTGCGCTTCTTAACCCGCTTCTGTTCATCCCTAAAGAATCCTCCTCGCTCTATAAGCAACCCGACAGCACAAATGGAGGATAATGCATGACATACTTCAGCTCGCTCGTCCGCGCTGCCTCACGAGCCTTCGCCTCCTCCAACTCCTTGCGCCTCTGCTGGAAGTCCTCCAGACGCACCAGCCCGACAGTACTCTTCTTCAGCGTGTCTTCCATAGAGTCATTCTGCCCGACGAAACGGTTGGAAGACGGGCGCGCCTTCTCCGTCTCGTTGATGAGGTTCTGCTTCTGCCGCTCGAACTCCTCTCGCATCTGGGTGCGCTGCTTCGCAAGCGCATCCTCACGGCGCCCCTCAGCTTTGCTGGTCGACATCCGTGAACGCTGGTGAAAGCAGTAAGATGAGAACGTTGACGAAGTGTGGTTGTTGGCTGTGAGAAATTGTCGAAGTTCAAAAGCCGGTCGCGGGCGCGCTTGGTGTCCGTCACGTCACGTCCAGTCACCGCAATCACGTCGCGACAAAAGCTCTCGGAACCGACGAGCACGACATGGTCCACATCCTTGGCGTCCTGCTGCCCGACAGGCAGCTAGCAAAGGTGATCACCTCTCATTATATGACCCGCTGCACTGAACACTTACGCGCCCGAAGTTTGCCCTCACCCACTTCTACGGTGTCGGTCGCGGCACAGCAGCGAAGATCTGTGCTCGCGCGCAAGTACACAGCAGGTGTCGGGTCCGCAACCTCAATCCAGACCAGATTATCTCCCTAACCGCCTTCCTCTCCGCGCCCTCCGCCGCGGATCCGCTCCCCCCATACCCGGTCGCACCGCCAAGTTACGCCTTGGGCACCGCCAGCGTTGCGCCGCCGGTCGGGAACGTTGCGGCGGGCCCGCCAAAGGAGTCGGCGGGTGATAAACTGCGAAACATACGGATCATGAACGAGCTGCGATCAGAGATCCGGGACAACATCGCACACCAGCGCATGATTGGCAGCTACGTGGGGCGGCGGCATGCCATGGGGCTGCCGGTCAGAGGTCAGAACACACAGACCAACGCCAAGACGGCGAAGAAGCTCAACAGGATGGAGCGGTATGCTTGAGCTGGTGGTGGATACCGTGTACCTCGCCATTCTCGAGACTCGTATACACCGCCATCGTCACGCTCGGAACCATATCCGTGTCGGATGGACAAGGTGTATCGAGTTATAATACAGTGTAGTACAAAGTTCCACACGCATGCTAATCGTCTCCTACCGGTACTTCCTCCTCCAGGTACTTCAGTAGTGTCACACGAATCTCTGTTGTCTCGTCTCCTCGTAGCACGTCTGACACGAAGTTGGCTTGTACCTGCATCTGGATCTACAAGGATATTTGTGAGCCTTCACGGCAACAGCGTGAAACGACAGCCAGTCTTACCATTTCCAACGCGCCTCTGAGTACACCACATAGTACGTTGCTGAACCACAGACCGCCTTCGAGCGCCTCCTCCGGAAGTTCCACAAACTCGGCAAGCGGGTTCTCGTCGAGAGTTAGAGTGAAGGACGACCCCGCAGTATTTGATTGTCCACTGCCTCGCGTTGGGGAAGGAGGGGGAGGTGAGGAATGTGTTACAGTAGGGGTTATGTTGAGAAATGCCTTGAACCCAACCTGTAGTAGAACCAGGATGAGATGTATTCAGAGACAAATCTGCTCATCGGTACGATAAAACACCTACCTTCGCTACTACTTCTCCCGTCTCCCTAAAATCCGCACACCGACCGATGGAACTACGCGCGAGAAAGTCCTCAATCAGGCGCGTACCGATATTGTACCCCATCTTCTCCAGCTGTTTGTTGACTTCCGCGTAGTCTTCATAATCTTGGATGAGCTGCACAACAAGGGCGCCATATGTGAGCGCGAAAAGCTCTGCGTTCTACTTGTGTGTAAGTCAGTCTCGCACTGGCACTTGCGGAAATGCATGTTGGGCGGGCGTGAGCAAATGGACATACAATCTTTTCTGTCCTGCCTTTCCAGATATCCTCGCCGATGGCCTTGTATTGCTTGCTAGTCGTAGCCATGAGTATTTACGTATTCCGTTATCAGCGCGAGGGCGATCTATGGCAGAGGCGGGAGCAACTACAGTAGTTGCAGGACCCTAGAGCTTTGATCCGGCCATCTGTTTCGGGGGTCAGCAATATCCAATCTCGGGGATTTTTCACCTAACCTCCTGGAAAATTGGCCATTTTCAGGCCAAAATTGGATCGGACCTCTGCCAAAAATCGCCCAAAATCGTTCAAAAATCCCCAAAAATCGTGTCAAGGCGCGGGAACCCAGCAGCGGGCCGACAGATGCCGACGCTGGCCCGACCTGAGCAAATTCGGGGATCGACATCGGACCTAAGGTCAAAATGGCCCTTTTCGGGGCTGTTTCGCACCAAACTTTTGACCACATTTTGGGGATTTGGGATCGAAAATTTTCCCTCCGGCGGCCCATTTTTCGGGGATCTTGGGATCAAAGCTCTGGGAGGATTATCAGGGTCCTGTAGTTGCACGCAGGAGCCTTGAACCAAACTAGGCCAAGGTCCGTACGCGACAGAAATGAGAAGTAATATAATGTTGCCACCAGCTACATGGCCAAAACAGAAAATCATTAGATGAAAAGGATAGAAAAGACATAAATATATACCCAAATACACATGGACCTCACGTGTTTCCAAATACCTGTATTTTGTAGGATCGGAAGGTATCCACTTCACTACACCCTCTTCATAGCTTATGGCAGTAGTATACACAGTACTGGAATATACTGCTGAAAACTCTGATTGCGTGACCATCAGGTTTGTAAACGCTATCACGGCGATCGGAACTTCTGACGTGACATTGGCCGTCAGGTACCTGTGGCTCAGAAGGCGGGTTGGAAGACGTTCGGTCTTCTGAGCTACCGATTACTGCTGCTCTTTGTTTGGACCATCTTATAAGCACTTCCAGGTGTCATCCTCAACGGACCCATATTTCTGGCTGCTTCTATTATTTCACGGAAGAAGGCCAAAGGTAGGCCACCTCTCAGAATCGAAATTAAGATGGCTTATGGCTTCAACGCATTCTAGAGGCACTTGCGGCTTCATCCGTCAAGGTAGCTGCGCGAGACGTGGTGGCAACATGGAAAGTTTTGATCTCGCTTGGTGCAGCTCCATTGTTATACACATTCTATGCCATTCTCGCTACAGTAGTTGCCGTCAAAGCTCACGTTCCGTTTGCCTGGAGGATTTGGACCCCATTCCTAGTCATGATGATGTTACCGATGGTAGGATTTGCTGCATTGAAGTTTGGCGAAGCTGGGATGGACGTGTTGAAGTAAGCGGTGGTTCTGACCGGCAGCGCTACACGTCTAACACGCAATGCAGATCGTTGAGACCGCTGGTTGTTGCGCTGGTGCCTGGGCAACAGCGATCGCTCAACAGGTTGAAGGTGATGAGAGTCGAGGTTGCTAACGAGTTAATTGAGGTTATCAATGAATTCGTGCCCCAGCTATATGGAGAAAAGTTCGACGAGGCGAGTACTCTTGTTCATATCACAACTCTGTCGTTGGAGTCTGATATCCCTCAACCGAGTAGTGGCAGATCTTGATACCGTCTGCCAGCGTTCCTCCTTCCGGAGAAGTAGGATGGGGCAAGAGCACCACTGCCGGAGTCGAAGCCCAGGGTAATTTGCTCAACCACCCCATGGTAAAATTCCTTCACCGAGCTGTGTTTGGCCAATTCTCACCTTTCTTGCAGACTTGGCTTGACGAACGTCTATTCGGCTGGAGCGCCACCGCCAAGCGCGGCACGAGCGCTTGGGCTGGCACACCAACTCAAGAAATTAGCAGGGCTGCTACTCCGGATGGCTCAGATGAAGAGGAGGGTGACTACGACAACGTCTTGGGCTACCTCGAGGGGAACACCCAGACGCTCCGTGCAAGATTTCGAAGTCATCAGAGTTCCTATGCAGATCTGCAGAGACTACGGAAGACTTCCAGCGCCAGTAATGCTCTTCGACCATTACCGGAGAAGAGGTTTCTCTGGAGACTGACGGATTGCACTTTCGACAGCGTACGAGGAAGTCGAGTCTATCTGACACTGTTCCTGTGTTGCGAATAGGAAGGTTGGACAGGAGGGAGAGCTTCGAAGCGTAGTATGCATGCATCTCCTTCAGGACTCACGCGACGTATTTATTCTGTCTTGTCGGCCGTGCTTGACATGTATGTTGTGCAATACATTCATGATACTTCGACATGAGACGGCAGTCAGCTATACACAAAACCTACAGCACGACAGCACATGTGACGATCACATATAGCGGCTCGAATCTAGTCGTACAAATCTTCCCTTTTCTTTCCCGCAGTCAAGATCTCCACACCGGATTCCGTGATTCTGTGCAAATGTAAACCATGAGGCCTGGTGGATGTGATCCGGTGAGTGCAGGACTTACAGTAGTGTTTCTTCAAACTGCGCACTTCGTTTGCCATCAACGGTGGTCGCAGTCCAGTCATCTGGCCAATGCACCTGGTCCCAGTTATGTCCTAAGTTAACCATCTGCAACAACAGTCCGCTGTCAGAAGCTGCTACACGTGCGCAGACGGAAGCGTACCGGCTCGATGGTGAAGGTCTGTCCAGTGGTCGGTCAGCGCAAACACGGAAAACTCGTGGCAGACGCGCGTACCATGCCTGGCTTCATCGTCCCGATGGCCCTGTTTTTGGCATAGTGCGGAACGTTGGGGGCACAGTGGAAGAGGTCGTTGATGCCGTGCCCGCAGTACGTGCGCACGACCGCGCAGTTGTTCCCGCGTGCAATTGGCTCGCTGCAGACACGAGTTAGCGGTGCTGCGAGGACGTGGCGGCCAATGGAGACACGTACATCGTCTTGCCTAGGTCGCGGAAGAGAGCCCCTGGTTTGCAGAGCGCGATGGCTTCGTCGAGACATCGACGGGCTGTGCGCATGAGCCTTTTGGAATCATCGTCTACTCTACCGACAGGGTATGTTTCATTGAGATCGCCGTGGAACCCTGCGCAAGCTCTATCATACCGAAAGCTTACAAACGAACACGAGAGTTACGCACCATCGTAGAAAACTGTTACATCTAATGTATACAGTTAACTGGTGTCGTCTCAGGCCGAATGAAGAGCATTCTTACCAATGTTTACGATGTCCCCTTCCTGCAACCTCCGCTGATCGGGAATACCATGACAAATTACCTCGTTGAGAGATCTGATCCAATAAACTACTCAACGGGTCCCAGAGGAGTGATAATATAGGACACTTACGTGCAAACAGACTTCGGGAAGCCACGATAATTCAGCGGAGATGGATAGGCGTTGCGCTCAATCGTAGCATTATGCACAATCGCATCGATCTCGTCAGTGGTGATGCCAGGTTTTACGTGGGACGCAGCAGTGTCGAGCACTTCGCGCGCTAGCTGGTGCACGGGTAGCAATTAGTTGCTACCAGTGCGATAGTCCCGGAGACACTCACTCTGCAGACAGTCTTCATCTTCTCTTGTTCCTCCTCGGTCAGGATTTTTGGAGGTTGGCCAGCCCGTCTGCTCTCCGACGTCGGTATCCCTAGAAACAAGCAATTACGGTCGGCTTACATGGTGTTTTTCACCTCGCGAAACAATTTCATGACCCTACCATCTTCAGCATAATCAGGCTTCACGATGTGTTCGGGAACTTCACGTCTTGGAGTCAGAGGATATACTGGACGCAGATCTCCCGTGAAGCTGAAGCTGCCGAACGGGTTGAACGTCCCATCTGCAGTCACCGGGCATGTCAGACAGGCGTGCTTCTAGCAGATCAACTCTAAGCGCACTTTTGTTGATGTTGGGGTCGTCTAGGAGCGGCTGGCGAGGAGTTGCGATATCATGGATTAGCTTGTGTGTTTTCTGCACGAGTCCCTTAGCTTTGGACATCGACGATCCGATGAAGTGCTCACCCCTGCGTTACCCAATTCGCATCCGTGTTATGATACACCACCATCACGGAAAAAAGCTCTCTTCACTCACAGCCCGCCTTGAAGCACTCTTGCCCGCAGAAAAAGGATCCCTTGATGCCGAGCCTGCGAAACATATGAGTTTACCGGCTACGCACACGCGCTCGGAGACTGAAGTACTGACTTGTGGCACGTCGGACATTCCAAATGCGACGGTGGATGTCCGTTGGGACAAATAGAACTTTGGCAAGCAACGGCGGGCGCACTCATGATGGATGGAACACAATCACCGGAAGGGCCTGAGAGATAATTAGTTTTGAGTGACCAATCTGGCGGCCGTCAGCGCGTATTCATTTCAAGTTTTGTTGAACTCTTATATGCATTTACAGCTGGCCCTCGATCGAGCTCTAACGTTCACAGGGCCTTGCGATTGTATCAGAGCCAACATGTGGAGGATGGACCCCGCCGAGGATTTGCTGGGCTCTTCGAGTTCTGATCCCTTCCATTGCTAGCGCTTCTCTCACCAATTCTTCTTGTCGACATTCATCCCTGATCTTCTGATTCCCTAACCGACTCGTCCAGGGGGCCGAAGACATGTTGACCTCTCGATGCAAAAAGTCTCAGGCTCATGTCTCAAGATCTGTCACTGTATAACGTAGACGGAGCGAGTCTCGCCCTCAGTCATCATCTGAGCACATCGTACTCTGTGATAGACCACCGTGCAGTCCGTACGCGCGTTGCGTCGGCTTGATGTGATCGAGGGGAGGACTCGTATTGAGCTCCAACATATGGCCTTGCTGCCTTTAGGCCCCTGCATAGTAACTTACCAGATTATGAGATGTACGTATTCTCGTGTTGCTCATCAGCTGAAATGGGTAGTGATTGCATTCATTCCCGTTCATGTTGAGGTATGTACCCTTCTTAGTGCGAACTGAGCAACAGGTTTACCACGAACTATTTGGAAGGTGGTGTATGCGTAGGGATCTGGTAGGATGCGGCACAGCCAGAGCCTGGGCTTTCCCACACTTGGCAGATCTGAGCCAGAGATCTCTCTCTGCCAAGTGACGCGAACGTCATTGTACGCGAGCCGGCAGACCTCCTGAGGCCTGAGGGCTACTTTTAAAGCAGCGTTTTGTTCCTCAACTCAGCCACCATGTCTCTGCCTACAACTACCGATATTCTAATCGTTGGAGCTGGCCCGGTCGGCCTAGCTTGCGCATTGTCTCTCTGGAAGCAGGGATGTACGAATTTCACCGTTGTTGACAGCGTTGTGCATGGTCACGATTCGTCTCGTGCCATTGCCGTCCATGCTGCTACGCTCGAGGTATGAGATTGCGTGTTTCATAGGTGGCACCTTCCTGAGGACTTTGGTCCCGTGGAAGGCATTGGACAGTCTAGGCTGTGCCGAACCCCTCATCGAAGCAGGCAGGAAGGCCAAAAGTATCGGCTTTTGGGTCGGCGGTACTTTCCTTGAGCCTGCCGGGTTCGACCTTCTAGCTCCCTACACAAGATACCCCTTCGTCCTTATTGTTGCACAGCTGGTCACGGAGCGGATCCTAGGAGAGAAGCTGCGCGAGTGCGGGATTCACGTTAACAGGCCGTGTAAAGTGGTTAGTCTCCAGAGGAATACGGACGACTCCTGCATCACCGATGTCTCATTCGAAGATGGACAAATCATGAAGGCACGCTGCATTGTTGGGGCAGATGGGGCTCGGTCAATTGTACGCAGCTCAGCCTTACTTCCCCTTTTTCTGCCGACTTAGCGCTTTCGCATGCTGTAGGTCCGTAGCTCAGCTAACGTCAATTTCCTTGAGCCGGGTGAGAACTCTGACAAGCCGGAGCCGCAAGCTGTTCTCGCCGATGTTACTTTTTCGACACCGATACGCGTTCCGGACAGCGGTGTTATTGTTCTGGTCTCCCCTGACAACGCATTCATCCTCTCGGCACTTCCGGAGAAGACATACGAAACTGCATCCGCCCAGGTGTACCGCATCGGAGCCACGAACATGCCCCCAAATGTTGCTGTACCCCCTTCCACTGAGTCCATCCCGTATCTCCAGTCCCTCGTTGATGCGTGGGGACCCGGACACACTTTACCCGTTTCAATGGACCCAAACATCATTTCACCTGTTATATCGGAAGTCTTCTGGTCAAGCAGCTTCAGGACGCGTTCTGCCATCGCTGACTCATTCTTCTGCCGTCTTCATCCTCCGACCAATCAACCCAGCGCTAGTTCCGGAGGGAAGGGCGGGATCATCCTCCTCGTCGGCGATGCTGCCCACATCCACTCTCCGGTGGGTGGTCAGGGCATGAATCTCGGCCTGTGCGATGCTATCGCAATGGGCAGTGTGCTGGCAGCATCCGTGGGTACAGCCGGAAGCGGCGACATCGACGACGCTCCCCTGAACACTTGGGCTCTCTCTCGGCACGCGCGCGCCCTCACCGTCATCAACCTGTCCGAGCGACTGTTTGGTCTCATGAGCATCCCCGAGCGCACAACCTGGGTGTTGGGCCTCATCCCGGTTAATTTTGGGAAGATCCGAAACGTGCTGGTGAGGCTTCTCTCGAGGTCGAATTGGGTCAGAATGATGGGTGCTTGGTGGTTGAGCGGTTTGGCTTCGAAGCTCTAGGTATTTTCATCTTGTCCTTCCGTCCATCCCAATGAGATTACTGTATTCGAAGGTTGATGTAATTCGACGTTGGATGATACTTGTATAATATCACGTGTACATTATTTCGCCGCTCAATCTAGTACGCTATCTCATCTCGATTATAGTCTTCGAATCCATTTCGCTGACGTATGGATACGCACTCCGGAGTCTGCGGCATTGTCCGCTGATGGTGATGAGCAGAAAACTATAAAGGCAAGGATGGACCATGTACCTGTCTCCCGAGGTCGTCAACACTCCCAGTCCACCTTGTAAGTCATCGACGCGTTCGATGGGTCGCGAGGGCATCCTCTCTGATCATTTCTATACCAGAGAGATGTCAAATACGGACTTCACCCACGGCTCCTTGTACCTCGCAGGATTCGCACAAGCTCGCGCCCCGCATGTAGGGCTGATCATCCCCACCAGCGACGTGTTGGGAACGCTTGTACACATCCGCGTTGACCGCGAGACCTCTGATGTCTGGACGTACCAATGCAGAGCCCAGCGAATCTCCGGCGACATGTTCATGTCATCGCTCCTCAAGTTACGAGAGGCCTCAGCTGGCGCGATCAGTGTGGAACAGTTGCAAGAGACTGCAGCGTCCGTTTCAGCACCCCGAAACGACGATTTTGGAGAATGTCTCCCGTGGTCATTGAGAGTCCTGCAGAAGTTGCACGATATGGGGCTGCTGAACGTGATGGATATTGACGGGCTCGGAAGGGAGTTCGAGGAATTCGCGGCTGGGAACCAGGCATATGCCCGGAGAGATAGATTCCCGAACATCGCTGTATCTCATTTCTGCCAGTGAGTATACCCTTCAATCAATAGCAATCTGGAGAACAGCACCCGCAGGTACAACAATCCTCCAATGGTCACCGCTGACCGACTTTGTCACTGCCAATCTGAACTTAGTTCTGCACAAGGAAGCAGACAGGCCAATCGGCCCACCGTGACGGAGACGGTTCGTCAAATCTCATGTGTTCGGAGATAAGTATCAATTCGTTTATCAGCACGATGGGACCACGCAGAATTGATTGCTCCGTGCTCATATTTAATTCCTTCGTTGCAGCGAGGGCCATGAGTTCGCCTGTCTTTTCCAACAGCACACAATGATTATACCAGCAGACATCGCAGGAAGGCACTGACTTGTTGTGCGTGGTAAGTAGCGCATTCTGGGGAGAGCTTATGCAAGAGCTGTCCATAGCCCAACGCGAGTTGGTCCTTCCTATAATGTCGGACCAACATCATCACTGATATCCGGACAACGGCTGAGGTTCTATGTACGTGGCGAACAGGCCCTTGCAGGGTTTGGTCCAAAAGGCGAAGCCGACGATGGCACCGTTCTGGTCCGTAGCAGTGTACATTTCTTCCGCAATAAGAACAAGAACAAGCGGAGCCTTCATTACACGAACTGCCAAGGAGGTTAGGGTCACCACCCCAGAGTTCTGCTGTACGGATCTATGGAACGACTTTGTTAATTGACAGCAATTTCTGGAAAGTATGGCGTCACAGACTGTCCATCGTAAGGTCGGAGAAAGTTGATCACTGCATCCTCCACTAACGCTTCGGCATCGCCGGTTTCAGCGGGAATGGGTCCAGTAGGGCGAGTTTCAAACTGACCGGTGGGTTTCTCAATTTGCTTGATAATGAGGTTTGAACTAAAGGCGCCATGGGAGCATCAGAATTGTTCTACAGGTGGTCTTGTAACGGGACGTGAGTGATTAACGTTCCTTGCCTTTATCACCGAGATGACCCCGATGTGCGAACTGCCTCAGTAGTAAGTAGTACGAATGCTTTTCCCGTTTCATCGCTCTCCCTCGACTTTCGAAAAGAATACAACGTCGCATATGCTGTAGAACACATTTATTTCCTCGAGTGACGCGGCGATGTCTTGGCGCTGGCGTCAAGACGGTCGAGTATTCGATACCTTGCGCTCGAACCTCGCGGTCCATGCTGCTCTGGAAGTCATTACGCTCTCGCGTCCGATTAGAGACTTAGACCCTTTTGTTGGCATTAACGACATTCTGCATCTCAAACATGCATCGAACAATGTGGGTTATGCAGAACCCCTGGTCGAAGCCGGCAGGAATGCGAAGATGATCTGGGTCTGGGTCTGTTGGACGTTCGTAGAGCTGACCGGCTTCGATCTTCTGGTGCCACACACTAGCTCCCCTTCGATCTGATCTCCCGTAGTGCACCGCCGAACGGGTGCTGGGTGAGAGGCTGCGAGACAGTGGCGTCGAGACTGACAGGCAGAAGGTGCTTGGCCTCCAGAGGATTAATGAGCACGATCGCGGTGGCACGGCCATTCGGTTTGAGGGCGGTCACGTTAGTCTCCCAAAGGCAGGCTGTAGATACACTGGTTCAACCTTCGTGCCTCAGGACATCCGTAGTTCACATTGATTTCGACCGTAGCCTTCTCAGCGCCGATGCTTTGACCCGACTGCAGCATCATCCTCTTCGCCTCGCCGGATGATAGATTTTTGCTAGTCTGCTCTCCCTCTAACCTGTCTCTACGTCGGAAAGGTAACATCATGCCAGAACAAAAAACTCACCGGATCGAGGTCGGCCTCATACGATCCATCAGTTCCCTACGTTAGTAGTCGACGACCTTCCCCAAAAAGACTAGTGTGATAGTGAGCTTCCCTCTGATGAATGTTGAGAACGTGAGGAATGTTCACGTGAGATTTGTTACGAAAATTGGGCGGGTAAAGTTGATGGCGGTGCGCCTTGGCTGAACATAAACGCCTCGTGCGTAGCGCTTGTCTTTCGCCCCCTTTACAACGTGGAGTCAGTCTCTCTCGGAGAATGTCTGGATACAACAAGTAGGCGCCTCAACGTATCAGTAATATACATGTACCTTGTACAGCCATGTCAATACAGCGGAGTCTGTCAAGGAAGGCAATACGTTAGACACCATGACCGTACATGCAGAATTCGCTTCACCTCATCGCGAAGCAAGTCCAGCCCCGACCTCCGCCACCACCTCCAAAACTTCGGCTATCCAAACCTCAACAACGACCACGGCCGCGTTTCTACCCTCTTCTTCTGTCTTGAGGTGCCGAGTTGCGGCCTCGTCCCGTTCGGCTGTCATGCCGAGGTTGTGATAGACCACGGACAACAAATACTGAACATCTTGCAGGGAACGGAACATCTCAAGGGCGGCGTAGTCCTTCTCTGCAATTTGAAGGTAAGGGATGCATTCTTGCAGGGAGGTGGCTAGATGATAGAAACTTCAGCTGATGAGAAGACGTGGGTAGGATCTGAACTGACGCGATGATTCTCCGGCGGCTATGATACATCTTGCAAGCGTGAAGCAAGCCAAGCCTCTCTGCTCCAGATCGGTTCCGGTTATGACCTGTAGAACGGTGAAACCTCGATCAAACATTTATCCGAACGGACATACCTGTGGCATGATTTCGTCAATTATCCTGCGGCACCACTTCGTCATGCCGAACTCGAGACCAATGTCCGCCAGCAGGACGATCGCAGTTCTGTACAGACCATATCGGCACTGAAATTCTGCATGCCATACAGCTGTCAAGAGTTGTTCCACACATGCATGTGCTTGTTCAACTCCCTTGGATTGAAACGTCAATATATGGACACTAAGTCGGTCATGTACAGATGACCCACGCGCATTTGCATCACTTCGTAGAGAGGGTCACGTATCATAGAACCCAGCGAAGAGGCGGACCAGAACCAATATTCTCGCGCCTTGTAAGTGCCGTCGGGCCGCTTCTGTTTCAGGAAGTCGCTGAACTGACGAAGTTGCCCTCTGTGACCGAAGATACGTTAGGCATCAACGGAAGATATAGCAAAAGTTTGAGGAACAAACCGGCGACTGGCTCGCAGGACGAAGATATGCCATACCTCAGTGGCCCAGAGGTTATAGTCGTTGAGCGTGATGCCTCGCCATACGTCCGGTTCGAGTAATAGCGCGAGGGCATTTTGGTATTTTCCTTGACGAGCTCGCTGAGTAGTGATGTGTGAGTAAGGAATCAGTGAGATTACCTCGCACACTACTGACCTGATACGCTCGGTTTAGCGTAACAATGAGCCGATTGTGATCGGCGCCACCAACTTCGGTGAATGCGGAGACGATATTCTGTTCAATCTTACCGATCTCAGTGCATCCTGTGACCTGAACTGAGACCGACACGATATAAAGAAACATCGCGTACATACCGTGCATACTCCACACAACGCTTTGTACAGTGTGCTGGCCCCACTGCTCCGCCTCCACGAAGGGTTTTCGCTGAACGTCAATCCAATGGTCGAAGAGGCCTATCGCCTGGACAATTTTCTCAAAGGATGCTGCGAGGGGTTGCTGCTGCCATCGTGTTCAGCCAACGATAGTGACAATATTTGTGGACCCACATTACCAATCTGCATGAGTTTATTTACATCATACAGTATTTCAAGAGGATGGAGGTCAGGTTGAATCTCGTTGATGTCATACTTGCGCCCGCGCTCTAGAGGAGGTAGGCGGTGCAGCATGCTTTAGTTGATTATTAGTTAATTCTTTTGAGATCGGACAAGGCTTGTTAAGCACACCTGATGCAATGTTGCAACGTCAGCTTGTCTCCGCTAGTCCTAGCGGCGCCGACAGCTTCTTGAAGATACTGTGGTAAAGTAGTCAAGGCTTTGAACTCAAGTTCGCGGTGCGCACTCACTTTACGGCACGCCGAGTACTCGTGATGGACGTAATGAAGTCGCGCGAGATTCAACAGCGCATGCTGTCGGAGTCCCCTGCGCTCACTACTGTCAGAACTGTGTCATCCAATGGAAAAAAAATGAACACACGAATCGCTGCCTTCATGAAAACCCTGTTCGAAGAATCTACGCAGGTTCTCAGCTGCCATATTCACGTCTCCCACCGCCTGCGCCTTCTCAAAACTTGCACGACGGTTCAATGTCAGTGTTATATCCATGACTACGCAAGAGACGACTCACACAGCGTAAGCTTCGGCTGTGGGAAAGTGCTTCTTGTCTGTTTTTGTCTTGAAAATCTGGTAGTCTGACCATTCATCCTCAAGATGATGCATCCAACACCGAAGGATAAAAGGTACCATTGGTTAGCCTGTCTTTCAGGACCGATTGATAACCAGGAGAGGAGCCTGGATCACGTCTTCCGTCCGTAATTGGCTCATTAGCCCACATCACATAATCGGACTGAAGTCTCGCGAGCGCGCCGAATGATAGCTTGACAAAGCTGACATAACATCGACGACAGAAGTATCCAAATAGCGAACGACGGCCCTGGGGGACACATCAGAACTTAATGATGGGAGGAATGCCGATCGCTGCCGACATACAAACGGCGCATCCGTCTTTAGAATGAGATTCAGCTGACCGGTCACTATAGCAAAATATGTACACTCGCCTCATCGTCGTCCTCTTTCTCGGTAGGATATAAGCTCGGTATGACTGAACGACCGTTCAGCGTTACGACGGGAGAAACAGGAATAACTTCATTCACTTGCTAGGTAGTTGGCCAATTGCTGTGGGGTCTGTAACTCGTGCGGCTGGGGGGTGGGGGATAAGACCAAAAGTGCAGCGGTATGAGAACTTGATACTAACTGCCTGCTTCAATTCGTCGAGGAACTTTTGTGACGGTGGCAGGTCCGCTAATGGCCCGCGTGAGATGTCTCCGAGGAGTTGATTATATGACCTTGGTTGCGTGACCTTCCCGAGGACTTTTAGATGACTTCGTCTAAGAACAAACGCAAAACGTGCCTCTGCAATCTCATTCAAAATAAGTCGGTATAAGTGCAGCAAGAAAGGTGGAGGTAATGGGGGCTCCTCATAGACTTGGAACGCCGACACGATGATCCTCAGCAGTAGAATATGGTGGGGTCTGAGGACATGACCTCTAGGTGGTGTCGCGCTCGACGTATTGCGCTGCATGCTGACATACTACTTTTCGGATGGAAGAAGGTATCGAAAGTCAGGAAGCCGTACTGGTGGCGCTGAGTCCGTTCAGGTCACGCCTCGACGCGACACGGTCGTGGGAATCACCTTCCATATGCGGTGATCGAGGATTTTTGGCGCGTAGCTGTTGTGATTGGTCGATCTCCCCTCGTTTCTAACATGGCTCTCAAGGCTAAGGGGAAACGACCAGCTCAGACTATACGAGTAGGAGAAACGGTTCCAATTTTCAGCTTGCGATTTCTCACACATACCACAGGGCCCATCCAAAAGGCGAAAAATTGCGCCTAGCAAGGATGCTGCCGACGGACGAATGGCAAAGAGCTCTAAGGCAAAGAGCTCAAAGGCCAAGGGTAAGGGCAAGGAGAAGGCCATGGACAGGGGGATCATACCTATTCCCGTCCTCGGAAACGACGAAGATATGGAGCTATCCGACGAAGACGTTGACATGCTCGAAGAGTACGGAAGTGCTGTAACCTTCTTGGACAGACTGGATGAGAAGGGCATTACTCGGTGAATAGACTCGTGCTGTCTCTGTAGGTGTATGTACGAATAACCGCCTTCGCAGGAGCAAGAAGGAGACTGAACGGCTGCATCAGCTGCATAAGCCCGCTCGCCAAGCAGTCGAGGACGATCTGCCCTCCATTGACTCTCACGATGAAGACGAAGACTCTTGGAGCTCAAATATCGATGAAAATGACGAGGATGGCCATGAGGACGACGGTTCACAATCGTCCGAGGCTGATGATGCGGGCGGCTCGTCAGCAAGCTCAAGCACACATTCGAAGTACAAGCGAATCCGAGTCAATTCGGATGATGAAATGTCCTACGAAACCTTTCCACGCAAGCGTCGGCCATCATGGGAACCAGAGTCGGACAAGGAAAAAGGTATCCAGCGCCTACCTATCAAGCTCTCGGACGGACGGATACAGAAAAGCACCAGCAAAGTCATTCTCGACAAGGCTGAGGAGAGCGACGAGGATGACGAAGAGGAAATGGACCAGGAAGAGTCTCAGCAACAACGCCCACATGGAGTGGAGGATGTGTCCACTGGTGCTCGCTTTGGACGACCTGCGGTCGTCGACGTGATTGGGAATAAGTCTCGGAGAGCCAGAGTACAGGGCGCCAAAGAGCAAATCGCGGGCATATGTCAAGACATCGTGTCTGATCCCGAGAACAGCGTACGTAGAACTCCTCTCTCCCGGCTCTCGCTGTCATAATTATGACCTCCACAGCTCGGTCTCCTGCGGCGTCTGCACACGTTCTCTCTTCCTGAAATTTCAACACCCACGCATCCCGAACCCGTTACCAACGACATCATCATCCGCAGACTGACCCTTTTATCGCAGTTGGCTGTCTTCCAGGACATCATCCCGGGCTACCGCATCCGTGCATTAACCGACAAAGAGAAAACAGAAAAGGTCAGTCAAATGGTGCAGCGCACCAGAGACTGGGAACAGGGTCTCGTGAGTGTTTACCAGTCCTACCTGCGTACGCTCGAGGCGGAAGTCAAAGGTAGCATACTCTATATCGTTCCTCTCCCACCACCACTAATAGCGCCGGAAAACAAGCGAAGAGCGAGCTCGCGGAGATGGCGCTGCAGTGCATGTGCACCTTGCTCGTCGAGGCGACACACTTCAATTTCCGCATCAACCTCATGAACTCCGTCGTCGCCAGCCTGAGCCGGAAGTCCTGGGACAAGGTGCGCGCCACCGTACTCCAACCCCACCCGCTAACCCCGAAAATGGCCTGCGCTGTAGTCCTCGGATCTCTGCCTAAACTCTATCATCAAAGTCCTGCGCGCTGACGCCACCGGCGACGCATCGCTCGAGATCGTCCGGCTCCTCAACCGCATGATCAAAGAGCGGCGGTTCAACGTCCACTCGAACGTGCTCTCGTGCCTGCTGTATCTGCGGCTCAAGACCGAGCTCGGCGTGCGCGCGTCCGAGTCGCGTGCAGACAAAGAGCAGGGCAAGTCGTACTCGAAAGGACGCGCCGCAGCGCGGCGCGCGAAGGGGAAGAGCACCGCCACGCCGCACCTCAGCAAGAACGCGAAGAAGGCGCTGAAAGAGAGACAGGAGATCCAGAAGGAGATGCGCGAGGCGGAGGCGGAGGTCGACAGCGAGGAGCGCGCGGCGATCGTCGGTGACCCATTCCCTCTCCTCTCTCGCACACATCTCACGTTCGACCCGTATAGCAAACGGAAACGCTGAAGCTGCTCTTCGTGCTGTACTTCCGCATCCTGAAGCACCCGGCCCCGACGCCGCTGTTGCCGGCGGCGCTGCGGGGCATCTCCAAATTCGCGCACCTCGTGAACATCGACTTCTTCCGAGATCTGATGCAGGTCCTGAAGGACATCATCGCGCGCGCGAGCGAGAGCGAGGGCGCAGACGATGACGACGGCCGGCCGGACTCCACGGGCACAAAGCGCGCGCAAGACCAGCTGCAGTGCATCGTCACCGCATTCGAGCTCCTCTCCGGCCAAGGCGCGTGCACACACCACCTCTCCGCCTGACGCGCGCACATGCACATACACACACTGACGCTGACGCCCGCTCCGCAGGTGAGGCCCTCGACATCGACCTGACGGACTTCATCAACCGTCTCTACGCCATCATCCCCACGCTGAGCGTAGCGCCCATCGAGGAGTCCGCCCCACCCAGCGCCTCCCTCGCCACCACCACCACCACCACCACCGCACCCGCTCCAAACCCGCCCAGCACCTCCGACACCCTCTTCCGCGCGCTGCACCTCGCCTTCGCCCCGCGCGCCGCCGCCCCGCCCTGGCGCGCCGCCGCCTTCACCAAGCGCCTGCTCGGCGCGGCGCTGCACTGGCCCCCCGCAAGCGCCGCGCGCGCGCTCGCGTTCGCAGCCGCGCAGCTCGAGCGCGAGCCCCGCCTCGAGGCGCTGCTCTCCTCGGACGCGCGCGCGGGCTCCGGTGGCGCGCACCGGCCGGAGCTCGACGACCCGCAGCTGAGCAACCCGTTCAGCGCGCCGCTCTGGGAGCTCCGGCTGCTCGCGCGGCACGGCGACGCCGCCGTGCGAGAGCGCGCGGGGCGGATCCTGGGGGCGCACGCGTCGTAGCCGATGCGGTACCGCGGTGTGCGTTATGTACTCGGTTTCAAATTGTACTGGCGAAAGTCACGGTGCTCTGTCATCGCGGTGGTCATGCCGCTCCGCGCACCTGCCGATGACCCGATATGGACCTGTGGGGGCCGGGACGCTAGGTGAGAACGCGAACTTGTTGTATTCGGACTAGCGACTAGCAGCTACATGCGTTTGGTTCTGGAGAGAGAGAGAGCACGAAAAACAGACAGGGACGGAGAGACGGAGGGGGAGAGAGACACGCAGGGGGGCAAATGCAAAGGGGAGATACACATATATACAAGACTTCCGTAAGATACAAGGCGAAGCCGAAGCAGAAAGCGACGCGCGGAAAGCAAAGCAAGCAGGGCGGGGTAAGCTACACGAAAAAAAAAAAGGTATGAGAAGCGCAAAAAAAGAGGTATTAGCAGAATTCCGCCAAACAGAGACAGACAGGTTCGGTGCGGGATGGGGAATAAATATCGCGCAAATAGCACGAGCGCGTCGTGAGAGCGGCGTCATCGTTCATCGCGACCATAATAATAGGCAATAAGGAGTGCTGCGTCCGAGGCTGGTCATGATGCATTGCGATGTTATTGTTCTTGGCACGGACGGGGCGAATATGTGAGGGGGCTCGTTAAAAGAGCCCCGCATGCTCGAGCACGGACGGGCTGATCCCGTACATCGCCTCCGAGCGGCTGAACGACAGCGCACACGACATCGGGGAGTGCGCGAGCGCGCGCGGGTCCTCGCCGCTGGGCGCGAGAGCCACGTACTCGGGAGAGACCGGGCCCGAATACCGCCCCGGCGAGACAGGCGACATCGGCGGGGTGACGAACGCGCTCGCGGCGGCGACAGACGCGGACGGGCGCTGGAGCGGGCTGGGGCCCGGGACCTGCACGGGCGTCCGCCAGGGATACTTGTGGAACCCGACGAGCTCGACCGCGGGCGCCGGCGCGGGCGGCTGCACGCGCTCGACGTGGTACACCACCACAGCGAGCACCTCGTTGTCGACGACGACCTGCTGCGTGATAGTCTGAACTGCGAAGAAGAAAAAGAAGAAGACGCGCGGGATTCAGCACAACGCGCCAACGGAGCACGAACCACGTACTGGATTCTATGTTCTTGCATCGGCTCAGCAGCGAATCGGGCAGGTACGCTATCACCATTTGTTGCGCGCCCGCGCCCGCGTTTGAGGTTGAGTTCGCGCCCAGCCCCAAACCGAGGTCGACAAGGTCCGGCGGGTACTGCGGGGTGGTGAGAGGATCGAAAATGCCGACCTCGTGGCCGATACACGCTCCGCCGTCCCACGTCTTGGTGTGGCATTTGGCAGAAACCCAGGGGGCGGCGAACGCGATCGCGCCATGAAAGCCCTGCGCACCGGCGGCGGGCTGTCCCGGGGCGTGTATGTCAGAGGCGAGACAGCGCACGTTGATGCGAAGGAGGATGCGGAACGGCGGGCTCGAGGACGGAGGGCCGATGAGCGACGCGGAGACGAGGCGGTCGACGTCGATGGAGAACGGCAGCATGCCGTCCGCCCAGAGGTTGACGCTGCATACGCGGTTCGTCGAGGGGGCAGGCAGGGTCGGGGAGGGATACGGGAATTCGAACGTTTCGGGAAGCGGGCCCTGGGGGAGGTTAAAAAGCGCGGGGTCCATGATGAGGGGCTCGAGCTTGACAGAGGAGTCGACGTGTTTGCGCGACGTCGAGGGCGTGATGGTGGCGAAAGGAGAGTCGGGCATCGATTGAGCGGAGGACGACGGGCGAAGGTGCAGATCGTAGTTAAAGTCCGAGAGATTGAGGACTGGGGGCTCGGGCATGTGGGAGCTCGTCAACGGCGCGTTGAAATCAAAGGGAAATTCGAGGGTCGACCAGTCCGGGGTGGAGGAGGACGAGGAGGACGAGTAGGAGGAGGTGGAGTCGGCGGAATCCAAGCTGAGGGTATTCCGCGGTTCGGGTGACTCGGTGCTGGCCTTGGCCTTGGGAGCCAAGAGGCCGTTGTCTTGGAAGAGCTCTTCACCGCCTGCGACGAGGTGAAACTCTGGTGGCGGGTGTGAGAGGGATGGGTACGGGAGAGAGAAAGAGCACCGACCTGGTTCGCCTCTCCACATGTTCCGCAGGACCTGTATGTGACTGGCGACTTGTTTCTTGGAACGAAGGATGCCGGCCTTTTTGAGATGGTCGACGAGGAACTGGTTCCGCCAGCGACTGCGGCCGCGGGAGTAGGTGGCCCATGGAGACTCCCAGTACTTGTGTAGACCTGTAAAGGCGGAGGTGAGGACGGGTGAGCGGAGACGGCGGGATAGTTACCCTCTACGAAAATCTCTTCGACGTCGTGGGACCAGACCTCACTGCCGTCCTTGAGGAGCTTGTGGTGTTTCCTGAGGGGAGTGAGGGACTTCTTGGGGGCGTCGAAGGGGAGCATGGGGGGCGAGCGGGAGGTAGGGGGAGGGGAGGGGCGGTCATGTTCAGAAAGTGGGTAGCGGAACATGAGGAGCGGGAGACAATAGCGGCATGTGAAGAGCGGAATATAAGGGAGGGACAAAGGGAGAAGGATTGGCGCGTGGAAGTTATATACGGGGAGCGGAAAAGGAATAATAATATGATATGATAGGGTTGGACTGGGAAGGGGAAGCGCGCGCAAGCCGAGGAAGGAGAGATCCGGTAAGGGAAGGGAGACCCGCTGATGTGGAGAGGCGTACTAGCACAGAGCGCTAGCGAGCCCCTGTCAGCAGTGGACAGGATCGGGGAATTGTGAGCAGAATTGGAGCGCGAAGAGCAGGAATGGAAAAGAGTGCCGGTCGATCCAGCCCAGACAGCGTCTGACGGTCTGCCTCTCTTCTCTGGGGTCCATCTGGGGTGCACCCGCGGTATACCGGTGGCGCGACGGGGTGGGTCGCTCGGATGACAATTGAGCGGATGAGCAGGCTGTGGTCCCATACGAATTGGGGACGGTTATTGTCCGGAGAGAAGGAAACTCACCCGCGGGGTGCAGCCTTTGAACCTTCCGTAATTGGACAAGGGAAGGCGAGTGTGCGGCGGAAGGCGAGTGTGCGGCGGAAGGCGTAGCCGAGAGCCGTACGCGGCGCAGGCTGTGCGCAGTCTGTGCGCAGACAGTGTCCGGAGGGGCGGGGACGGTGCGAGCACTGCACTGAGCACGGTCGTCGACGAAGGAGCGAGGGACGACGGAGGCAGGGCGCGCAGAGCAGTGAGGGAAGATGAGATCGTCATCGCGCACAGTCGGAACCAAATCTGGTCCATAAACGGCAGCTGCGGCCCGGCGTATTGTACGGACTTGTGAGCCCGCGACTGCGGACTCTGATTGGCCCGCGCATCTTCGCGCGGAGCTCGAGTGCGCCACCCGGCCCGGCGTTCCTCCTGCGCTGTTTCATCCCCGCCGGCGCCTCTGTTGACCGTCATGGCCGCATCGCTCATGCACCGATGGCTGCGCCAGAACATACAGCCCTATGCTCACCAGGACGTCGTCTTCCCAGACGTCGCCGCCGCGCTCGCCCGCTATCCCACTCTCCGTCCGAAAACAGACGTCTACAGTGGGCCGCGTTTCCTCTTTCGCGTCTTCCGCTCCGTTCGCTCACCTCCGGCTTGCAGCATACGATGACGGGCGCACGCAGCTTCTGCTCTGTCTCCACGGCCTTGTCCCGATTTCCTTTCGTGGGGCGGCATACAACATCCCGGTGGCAGTCTGGCTGACGAGAGAGCATCCTCGCGAGCCGCCCATCGCATACGTCGTGCCCACCGCAGACATGCTCGTTCGCCCCGGATCTGACGTGGACGTGAGCGGCAAGTGTCACATACAGTACCTCTCCAATTGGGAGCACAAACCCGAAGTGCGTACCCGTCCATCTGTCCTGTCCTCGTGATTCATCGCCGGCGACGAACAGGGCTGCAACCTAACCGCGTTGTTCGAAGCCATGCGGGACGCCTTCTCGCACCTTCCTCCCGTCTACGCTAAACCAAAACCCGTCGCTGCGCCCCAGCCCACCCGCGCAGCCACCACCGGACCCGACTACTCCGACAGACCCCCGCCCCCGCTGCCACCTGCCACGCCGTCCCAATCCGTTCCTCCCGCACCGGCCCCCGAGCACAACGATGGGCGCCCTCCTCTCCCTGCCAAACCCGGAGCACCCGCTGTCAGCGCCACCGCGGCTCCGCACGCCAGAACACAAGGCGTCCCCCGATCTCCCACTCTCCTCGCCACGGTGCGTTTTCCAATCGCTCTTCTCTGGTGCTCATTGGCTTCCCCCCTCTAATCCCCGATTCGCAGCCCGCTCTCGCCCTGCGTCCGCCGCCGCCTCTGCCCCCACACACTCCACCGGCAGAACCCCCGCTGCTACGCCACCCAAGTTCGCCGGTCCCACCCACGTACACGCCGCGCGCTCAGTCCGACGTGCCGCGTCCTCAGGCTCCTCCCCAGCTCCCTTCTGCTGCATCTCCACGGCCCACTCCTCCACTGCATCAGCCCGCACGCGCCGTCGCTTCTTCCTCTCCGCCCCCGCTGCCCCCTCTGCCAAATGTCGCGTCCCCCGTGGGTCTCCCGCAGCACATGTACCCCACGTTCCCGACGCTGCACTCACCCGCGCCCTCCTTGCCCCCGCCCTTCCTCTCCCCGCAGTCCACCGACCGTGCTGCACCACCGATCCCTTCAATGCCGCTTCAACACACCTCGCCGCCCGCGCCATCGATTCCCCCACCGGACCTGCTCGACGCCGACGACACCACCAGCGGCCCGCCCCTGCCCTCATCCACGTCCCCCCCACCGCCCGGGCCCGCGCCGCCTCGCCCTCCAAACCCAGAGCTGCTCCGGCTGCACGCCTCCGTGCACGCGCGGTTCACGTCCGAGCTCCACGCGCTCACCCACGCGCTCTCGCGCGACGCGGAGCGCCTGCGCGCACAGCAGGCGGACCTCCTCGCGGGCGAGCCCGCGCTGCGCGACGAGATGGGCCGCCTGCGCGCGGTGCGCGACGTGTGTGAGGGGGTGGCGGCGCGCCTGCGCGGCGCCGTGGAGCGCGGCGAGCGCAGCGTCGCCGAGCTCCGGAGGAAGGGCGACCCCGAGGTGGACGAGCTCGTGTGCTCGACGACGATCGTGTACAATCAGTGCGTGTCGGCTTCTTTTTTGCTTTTAGGTTGTGCGCGCTGGGTTCCCCCTTTTCTTGAGCATTTTTTTGGGTTGCGCCCTGGGTTCTTCTGCGAGCACGTCTTTTTGCGTAATCGCCTTGGGCTTGAAGCGTCGGTGCAACGCGCGTCTTTCTCGCGTTCGTCGCGCTGGGGTTGGGGCAAGCTTTTCCGACTTGCGGCAGCTGGCCGTGTGCCGGGCTCGAGCTTTCCCCCTTCTGCAAGGCGCATCTCGCTGCCTCTTGGTTCTCGATCGTCAGGGGGGAGGGCGCGTCTTCTTCGCGTTTGTGCCCCGCTGGGTTTTGTGCGGGCTGTGGCTCGCGCTAGGCCCGTTGTTTCCTTGCTTCTGCGAGGGGCATCTGCGATCATCGGCGCGCGGCGTGTTGTGGACGCGAGCGTCTGCGCGTCTTGCGCTGGGTTTCGTGCGCGATTTCGTCGCACTGCTTGGCCGCGCACCAGGCCCGTTGTTTCCTGCTTCTGCAAGGGGCGCATCTACGCGTTTGCGCTGGGTTTTGTGCGTGTTTTTTTTGGCTTGCGCTGGGCCGTGCGCCGGGCCCGAAGTTTCCTGCTTCTGCAAGGCGCATCTTGCTGCCTGTTTCTCGATCGTCATCGCAACGTGGGGCGGACGCGCGGCGTCTTTGCGTTCGCGCTGAGTTTTGTGCGCGCTGGCCGTGTGCCGGGCCCGAGGTTTCCTGCTTCTGCAAGGCGCATTTTGCTGCCTATTTCTCGATCGTCATCGCAACGTGTTGTGGAGGCGCAGGGTTTTGTGCGTGCTTTGGCTTGCGCTGGCCGTGCATTAGGTCCATTGTTTCCTGCTTCTGCAAGGCGCATCTTGCTGCCTATTTCTCGATCGTCGCAACGTGTTGCGGACGCGTTCGTGTTCGTTCACCGTGTCGTGGTTTCTGCCAGTGTCCGACGCGAACTCCGATTACTGTCCCGCGACATCACGAGACGTCCCCCGTTGGACCCGGATTTCGCCCATCCGATATTCCCTTTTTTCCCCTTTTTTTCTCGATTTTTACATTCTTCGTGTGCGCGAGAAACGGTGTGCCTGCCGTGTCTCGCAGACCCATCGTAATCGCGCTTGCTCGCCCTTTCGCGACTTTGCCGTTCCCTTCGAACCCTCGTAATGCTCGCTCTGTTAATATTTTACGTCCCTGGGTTAATGTCCACCCTGGCCGAACCCCCAGCCGGCGCAGGCTCGCTCCTGCCTTTTCTGCTCTTGCCCATTGCCCACAGCATTCTTTCCCTGCAGACGCGAGCACGAACGCGAAAACTGATCATCCCCCCCCCTTCGCAGACTCATCAACCTCGTCGCGGAAGATAACGCGATAGAGGACACGATCTACCACCTGCACCGCGCGCTCAACACCGGACGAATAGACCTCGAGCGTTTTCTAAGGGTGCGTGCGATATTCATTTCTACCACTTCCCAGCATCCCCCAGCCGCCGCCCCGACCCCGTCGCACGGCGTCGATTGGCTATCCCCTGTGTTGCTTGTGCTTCCCAGGGTGCTGTCATACATAGTGCGCTGCAGGATGCTCACGAGTTGTCCCTGCTCCGCGCCACAGACGACGCGCGTGCTTGCGGAAGAGCAGTTCATGAAGCGCGCGCTGATAGAGAAGATCGAGGCCGGGTTGCCGCGCGACACCGCCGCCGCGGCGCCGTGGGGCGTCGTCCCAGACTTTGCGAGCTGGAGCTGAGGGCGAACCCTGCTGCGTCTGCGCCTCAGCTCGCGCACCGCGGTGCCTGGGGAGCTCGGCGGAAGGCGCGGTTCCGCTGGAGGAAGAAGACGCGGTCCAGGAATGGAAGGGCCAATGGCAATGTAATATCGGGAGACGCGTTGCATGTGGAACACGTCGCAGATGGCCTCGACGTGGAGAGAGAGCGGTGCTGACGGCAAGGGTGAGTCAGTAGGATAGCCCCTAAGTCGGTTTGTCGCGTTGGGACACGAACGAATTGCGTTTGTCGGGGCGTTCTTAGTGGCGTGCGGCTTCTCTGGCGGCCCATAGCGTCGTGTTTTCGGCGTCCGTACATCGGGGGCGCCGGCGATCATAGAATACGCTCAGGCTAAGGGCAGACGCTGTCGAGCGAACGCGTTGCTACTGTACGACCCCGATATGGCAGTACTAGCGTGCCTGCCCATCGTGCGCGGACGCAGAGCGCTGCAGATGCTTCCGCCTCCCCGGGCAGCCTCGCGGTCTGCTGCTCACGCGGGTCCACAGGTAACGTAGCCATCTAAACCGGTTACGGGACACTGAATGGGGAGACAAGGAAGCGTCCCTTGTGGGTCCAGTGACGGTCCAGGAGCCGACCAGCGGAACTAAGAGGTTCGTACCCTCGTTTTGCGCTTCTGAGCCACCGCGTCATAGTACTTGGCCCACATCGATCTCGTGGACGGGACGAACATCGATGCGGCAGCGCACGCACCCTCCGACGGCCGTCGAGACCGCGCCCAGCACCGTCTACCGAGGCCCACCGAAATGGCAGCCCTCTCCGCGCTCCACTCGTAGCCCCAGCCTCAGGGCTCATCCCCTCGCTTAGTCCGGCCGTCTTCCACCATGGAAATCCCGTTCATATTAATTCTGTACGCAATCCCGAATTCATATCCCTCGCTTCTCCTCGCGGTCTTCCGTCCGCTTCGAAATCGATGGCGACCTTTCTCCTAGATTAAAAATGACGTCCTCCGTGTAAGTTGTGTCGGTCGCCGGTGAATGGTTGGCCCGTGCCCAATGGCGCTGCGGCCCCAGCTAGCTCCCGATAATAATATCATGCCATGCTCAATCTGTAAAATGCATGTGACGCATTTGCAATTTTTGATCAACAGATTCAGCACCGCCGAGCGAGATACAGTGTAGCCAGACTTGTCGTGGAATTATATCGAGATCAAGATGATACGAAACTCGATGCGGAACCTGACGCTAATCCTATCCTGATCGCCCACTAGCTCACTATATACCCTGCCTGCTCAAGCACAAGTAAGCATAGTTCTGACTCTCATAATCGCCCAGCTACTCGTACACGCTAACTAGTATGAGACGACGCATCCTTAATAATAATTAACGCCATAGGAGGGACTGAATTCAGGGAAGGGAACAAACAACGATACACGAAGAAAACAGCATGTGGAGGCAAATCTGACGGACGGAAACGGAAACAAACAAGATAGGGTGAATAAAGAATATCGGAAATCAGGTGAAGATAATAATCGTGCTGGCCGGACCGTTCGAACTTTCGTTCTTCAGCGTTCAGCATTCTCCTCGGACGTATTCATGCGGGGCTAAGCGTCTTGCCTGCACTGCCAACCCACCTCCACACGCGCAATTCGTCCCCCCCTGCGACCTCCTCCAGGTTGGTCCGCACGTTCGCATTGCCCTCGACGACACGCTCGACGCGTTCCCACAAGCGTCTGCGCGCTCTCACCGAATGTTCGTCCTGTAAAATGAGATCGCGTAACTGGAGTGACGACAGGTAGGGTTGCGGCGCGGTCACAGGGTCGGTATGATGCGCCATTTCTTGGTTTCGCAAAAGATCCAGTGCGATTTGCACCAATGAAGCGACACGTTCATCCTCTATGTGTTTCTGGGCCTGCCGCCGCCTGAACGCGAAGACGCTGACAATCAGAAGTGCACCCGCTGCCGGAAGTCGGTTGTCAATTGAGCACGAGATTGGAACGCAATGGAGGAAAAACATACTGATGATCGACTTGTTCCATTCCGCCCACGATTCTCTGGCCTGCACTCTAAGCGCACAATCCCAGCTCATGACCGGGGTCCGATGGGCAAGGTATCGACGGCCCCTAGAACATAAAACACGTAAAGATACCGTTCGCGCAATCGATGGACAATGAAGACGTACTCAGCATCTTCGCCCATGAAGACCCCGCCCCATTGTATGAGTTGTTGAATAGCCTCATTGAACGTATCATCCAATGTGCCTAGCAAATTTGGCTACGATAGGAGCTGAGGTCAGCACGCGAAGTAAGGACTGACGATGGAACTACGTGACATACAGCAGTCTTCCTTCTCAAGTCTTCCTTCAGCTTCTCGAGTTGCACGCCCCAGCGTTTCGCTTCTGTTGCTTCATCACCTTCGGGTAAGCCCACGCCGGTGCCCTCACAGAGTCTCCTCCCTCGTTCAGCGGCAAGCATGGCCTCTACCGCCTTCCCAAGGACGCCGATATGGCGCTTGCGGCGGGGGTCTTCCTCGCAATGCGGTGACAATGCTATAGGTCCCATGCCAGGCATTCCGTCCAGCACGAGTGATAGAGCCGAATACACGAGGTGAGGGACATCGGTACTTGGTGAGAGCGAGTGTCCGGGACGCGTAAAGGTTGTCGGAGACTTTGATAGTGAGGCCGATGTTCCCGGTACAGGGAGAAAATAGAGGAGGGGATGTGGCCGGACAATGTAGCCTGTGTCACAGGTCATAGTGGAAGGCGTGCATGTAGCATGCAGCGGACAGGGCGTGCAGGTATCTGGATACGGCAGAGGCGAAAGCGGGAGAGGCGGACAAGCTTCCGCCAAAACCACGGATGATTCTGCTGCAGAGTCGTGATGCACCCCACGCTCTGGAGAATGCGTGGGAATGGGAGAGCGAACGGACGCGGTGTCGTTCGCCTCAGGCGTCACGTAGAGTGTCGTCCGATTCTCGTTGTTGCAACTCTCCACCGCAGCCCAATGTGCTCTGAGGCTTTCAAGGTGAGCATTGGTGGCCTTGCCAGTATCACAGAACCCAATCTGCGCCGACTGCTGCTTATACTGCAAGACTGCGCCGGAGCCCAATAGCGCAAACAGAGCCAAGACGATGCGAAGGAAGATCGGCGCAGACGCAGATCCTGAACGGGATGCTCGCCGAGTCGTATCACCGCCTTGCGAGATACAACGGGAGACAGCTGTCACTTGATCCTCCTCCGCCTCACCTTCGGACTCCATGATAGCTTCAGCTTCAGTATTTTCCGCTATGGCTTCCTGAAGCGCTTGAATTTGTTCATCCTCTTCGGTCTCTTCTTGTTGCTTCAGATGGTCGGTCGGTGACATGACTCTTCGGCTCGCTGAAGCTTCGGGCACAAGTTTGCTCTTCTGTCCCCGCTCCATTGATGCTCGTGTCTCCCGCTGCAGCCCAGGAGGTAGCTGCGGCTCGAAACTACTCTCCGGAGGTTTCACGCCTGGTGCTCTCCCCTTCCCCTTATCCTTGGACGGGGAGGAAGGCGGAGACGAGAGGTACTGAGGCGGAGCAGACATCGACTTACGCGATTTAAGGGGATGAGGAGCAACACTGGTTCGCCTTGTACGCGGTCGAACCGGTGAAGGACGCGCTGGCGAGGATGACTCGGCACCGGACTGGAAAATGTTGTGATCCTCCCAGCCAGAGTCTTCCGGGAAGGCTTGCGAGACACGCCGCGCACGGCTACCCGCATCTGTGGTCTATTCAAGTGGAGTATGAGTAAAGGTGTCGCGGTGCTTTCTTCGAATACATACGCTCTTCTTGTTTCGGCCAACTTTGCGTACCATAACTTCTTCTTCGGGTTCACTCTCCTCGTTTACGGTTGGTTGCACAGGCTTTGTTGTCCTACGCTTAGACGGCCCTCCGATTGTCGGTTCAGCTGTTGATCTGCGACGCTTGGGCTGCAGGCATATATAATGAACACACATCCATGCTGTCAGTTTACAACCGGACTCACAGGAGCTGGTTCGGGCTCCTGTGGCTGTTCTTCGGATGGAGCACGAGACGGTCGCCTCGAAGATCGTCGCAAAGGCTGCCAAGCATGGTATGTTAAGCATACAATTGATATCTCTCACCGCTTACCACCTTCCCTTCATTTAGCGGCCTCCCTGTGATTCCATCTTTGATTCCGTCATCGCTGGCTTGACTGTTCTCGCGCTTTAACCTGTCCTTTTTCAATTTCTTCGATTTCGCCTTGATCTCCTCGTTGAACAGTTGGACAAGTTTGGGCTTGGTGTACGGAGAGGGGTAGACTACGTTGTGGAAACCAAATACACCGAGAAGCTGCGGTACAGTGAGAGTAGATGGATCGAAATCGGGTTCCAGGTAGTCCCCGCGGGCAACGATTTGGGCGGCAGTCAAGCGCGACATAGCGTGTATGTCGTAAAACACGGTGAGCGTGAGGACGGAGATGGAAGTTCGTATTTAGATCACGTCGCGCTCGTTTTCCCACGACAACATCCGTATAAACAGCACGTGCCTCGCGACAGTTCGCCACGTGCACGCCACACTAGTCGCGACTCAGGCGCCGTGGACTCTCCGTGGACCCGCCATAGTTAGGGTGGGCGGCAGCAACAGTGTTTCTGACACTTCTTGGTATAAGTGTTGGCTCATATCAGCGATCCGCACGGACTATCCTCGCGGGAGACTCTCCCTTTCCTGCGCCCAATACCATGTGTAGCTGGGGGCACCCCGAATGGTCGGGTCATTACCTCCTTCACCTGTCTCGTCTCCTCGAAAATCGCCGAGAAGAACTCCGCGAAGAGTTGATTGACAAATGATGTGACACCCATGCTCATGTCCTCATTTTGAACGCGCTCGATGATGGCCGTGCTTAGCGTGACAGACAGCAGTCGGTGAATTGAATTCCTTCTATCTGACTCTCAATGATAGATTTTTGAGGCCACTTGACAGAACTTATTTGTTTCGACGTACTGTCTGGCTGTAGCGACGGTAACACGGTCGGGATTCTTGACAATGGCGACAGTGTTTCCAAACACAGCACGGTAGAAAGAGATGTTCAGACTGAGTTCAGAGCAAGATCGGATAGCCTGAGCTGCATTTTCGTCTGTTGATTGGCGATAAAACCAGAGATGCTGCCTACCAGGGAAGGCTCTGCTGGTGGTTGTACCTTGTGCTGCCACAGAACATATGAACGTCCAAGGTAATGTCGACATACTACACGTAAAGCCTTTGCGAATAGCGTCCAGCAGATCGTCCAAAAACGCGCTCCTTGGGACTATAACCTTGAAAGATATGCACGAAAAGGTTTCTCACCGAGCACCGAGTACCAAAGAGAAAGGTTGCTGTGCACGTTGATACGGAGTAATGGAGGTTCCTACAATTTGGAGCGATCATGCCTGTGTCACCAAACCTGGTGATCATTGACAGAGTGAGAGAACTGGCAGCTTCCACCAAGGACAGAGGACAGACGAGCCTTGCACTTCCTACGACGGTGAGACTGATTAGCGTGAAAGCACCCGCTATCATTATGATTCAGAGGTCCATCAGGTATGATATACGTATAGGATATATTCAGGATACCAGCACTTGAAAGCCGAACGTACCGATAACTACCCACGGTGCAGTGTTGTGACGACCATCCAGAAAGCTGTGTGAAGATCTAAATGGTAGTACAGATATACCGCACGAAAGAGGCCACGAGTAAGTAGATGAGTGTACAGTGGAATATGCCGAAAGCGCCAAAAATGCGAAGATGCGTGTTGGTTTGACGGGGTGACGTGTGGGCGCCATTAGATATTCTGACATAGTGTACAGTTAAACGTGATGCGATCTCGGAAGAGGGCAGCTGAAAAAGGACAGTTAGCTCTGTGAGATCAGGCTATAGAACGAGGACATACGGAGCACGATCAGCGCAGCGAGGCATGCCACTACTACAATGTAAACGAAGGTGTATTTCACCACCTAACAAGTTGGAGTAGAGTATCAATGTCTTGTTACCAATGCTGCGACGCTAATCGACGTACGATCCAACGACGTTGCCGTCTTTGTTTCGTTGAGAAAAGTGGCGGTCGTATCTGCTTGGATGGTCGTAACCAGACTAAAAAAAACCTTTAGTTCAAGGGACAAAATGATCACTTGCACATCAAATGACTTACACATCATCGTGGAATGCAGCTTGTCGACAAAGGGGATGAGGGTAGGAGGCGTCATGATAATCAACAATATGTGTGCCAATAAGAAATCCGAGCTCCACAAAGACATCTCAACTATCTTCACCACATACTCGCGCGCAGGTTGCGACAAAGCAGAATTGCCTAGTCCCCGTCCATACCATTTACCTGACCACCAGGCACGATTCGTCTCGTCATGCTTGTACTCCCGCGACAGGAAGACAGCTATCAGGATCTTCTGGATGGCGCGCTGGATAGCGATGATGGAGATCGCCCCAAGAACGGCGTGTGACGCATCCCACAGCTCGAGGAACCACTACACACAAATTAGTAACCACGCCTGTCATTTTGATAGAAAACTTACGAAGAATTCGAAAAATGCGATAAGACCGAACAGGGCGAGGAAATGAGCAAGTGCGGCCATTACCGAAGCGAATCTCGTCCAAGATTCCATCATCGGCCCTAGGAACAACGAAATGAAGAACAGAGCCAACAAGATCGCCGCGTTCCATACGACGGGCCCAACAGCAATGACGGCAATGCGGATGAATGGACTGGGATTCTGTTGCCCGAGGTGATTCGGGAACGATTTCACGAACATATACGCGACAACAAATATCGTAGCTTGACAGATCGGCCACACGATCTCAGAGAAGATGACGGCTTTCCACCTTGCGCGGGGGACGTCTCCAGATAACTTCTCCGAAGGATGACCGAGTTTCTTCTTCTTGTAACCAGTGATCATCGTTCGCGAGAGACGACAATAGCCGTACCAACTGCTGGCCTTTGTGCGAGAATTGCCGCGAGACATCCAACGCAAGAACTCCCGATAATCGATGATGAAGTCGGGGAAAGAGAACTGATGCGGGTTGAATACGAAAGGCGCGATACACAATGAGAGGACCGAGAACCAGAAGTAGATCAGGTACGGTGTCCAGATGGCCATAGTGGCATACAAGAGTAGAAGAACGTTGCGCATGCCCATATAGATACTAGGACCAGCGAAGCGGGAATAGAGTATGGTGAAGGATATCCGCGTGGTTGCAAATCCACGTCCCGTGGCGATGTACCGCGCGCCGCCGAACGTCAGATTGCTCAAGATGGACTGCGAGTAGATCTGGGTGGAAAAGACTTCGAAAATGGGAGAAAGGGATAGGAAATGTTTTCCAAGACGAATCAATGCCTTTCCTGTGCCTCGTTCGAGCAGTTCTGTAAGAGGAGATCAGTATGTATATAAAAGCAGGGGAATAATACGTGCCTTGCAAGAATAGTGGCAAGAAAGCGATGAAGAAGACCAAAAAGATGGATATGATGCATCGTTTAATCCACTGGAAGACGGGGGTTAAATTGTAACAACCGGGCTGACCACCAATAACGTCCCCTTGCGAATTGATAATGCAAACCGCGAGTTCCTTATTCAATGTGCCGATATACAAGACTGTAAAGAGGAAAGCTCAGATATAGGATGGCAATATATTGAATGAGACTCACGAGTGACCATGAAGATCTGGATGGAGTAGATAACCAAGATGTTGTTGATGTGGAATCCAGGATGTCCATAATAGAAGGTGAGGAAACGGTCCAAGGGTAACTGGGTACCCAGATAGTAGTACTCTCTGCTAAGCATTTGCTCACCCATACCAGTCCCCAGTTTCGTCTGGAAGTTCAGGATGGTGCCGAAGCCAAGGTCACGACCCTTTCCGCACTGGTAGTACTCCGAGTGTTTGATGCGCCCACCACGGCCGATAGCGTTCATACCAGCGAAAATGTCCTCGTTAAGATGCAGACCCTTCTGAGCCTTAGAGACACCACCGCGCGTGGCCATGAATGCCGCGTTCAAGAAATCGGGGTGACCGTAGTGCAGCTTGCCGCCGATCCAAGCCAAAACGCGCGGAGTCATCGTACCGAACGTCTGTTCCTTACCTGCTGCAATGTCACCCAGAACACCAATGTTCTCTGAGAAGATGTACTCGCGAGTACCCACGATCGCCACAGGGGATCTTTTGAACTCCTTGTGACCCCATTGTGCATACGGGCTTTGACTGGAGATAGTGTATTCCTCAAACTCACCAAGGATGCTCCGAATCTTGATGCATTCCTCCAGGTAGTTATCCTGGTTGGCATCGATGAGCTGCAGGTATTCGCCACGGTAGAAGATGATCGCATGATTCTGGTTGTCGGACTTGCCATCACCGAGAATGGGATTGCCGGGAAGCTCAATGCGGAACTTGGGCATCCGCTTCCCAGTCTTGCTGTCCACCTCTGAATGACCATCAATGAGTACAGAAAACAATCGCGGGTCTCCACCCTTCGGACCGGGTTCTTCGTCGAGGTATGCAATCTGCAGATCCGGGTATGCACGCAGGAGAAACTCGGCGTTCTCAAGCTCCTCCTTGTTGAACTTGGCATACCGCTGCATGGACACAGTGAACTTGAACTTCCGCCTCGACATACGCTCCAGCTCACGCTCGAGTCTGTCCGTGTTCCCGGCGAACCGCTGCACAATCTGCGGGTTCTCGACGCGATACAACAGCTTGATGGCCTTGGCATAGTTCATCATCCCGGACACCGTACGGTAGAGTGTCTGCGCGCGGAGCGAAGCCCAGATGCGGGTACGAAGAGTGTACTCGGGTGCGGCAGTCTTGAATCCAATGCAGTAGAATGGCAGATCATCCGTGCGGTTGTTTGACTTCTCGTTAGTAGTACCAGTGCCGTCAAACGTTGACGTCTCCGACTCCTCCGCCAAAATCTTGGTATCTTTCACGAAATTGTCCCATTCAACAGGGTGTAGCTGCTTCAGATATTCGAGGAGGGTAACGCGAGTATTCTGATCCTCCTCCCTGATAATCTCACGCAAGCTCAGCAGGATCTTCTCGGAGTAATGGGGTACTAGAACCGTGAACGTCGGCATGGCATCAACCGGAAGAGGATCGGGAAGCGCAGTGGTGAGGGATGACGCAAAGAAGGAGATACGACGTTCAGCCTCGCCGCCTGGAGGGAAGAAGTCACTTTCGTTGCCGTTATTATGAGTGAAGAACGGAGGAGCTCGAAGGACACGGCGACCGTCTGGTCCATCAACTTGATGATATAGGAGACGTTGCACATGGTGGATAGATAAAAGATGTTCGCGGTACATGGAAATGATGATGGCATTCCATACTTGAGAAACAAGAACCTGTTGACACCATCAGCGCCACTATAGCATGCCTATAACGTTCAAGATATACCTTCGGTTTGTATTTGATCTCCATCTCCGCAGTAGCGAGTAGCTTCGCGTAGATCCTCTTCGGCATCCTGGTATATACCTCTTTCCAGGGCGTCCAAATCGACAGACCGAGATAGAAGGAGCGGGAGACACTAAACACCACCACCCAGATGATGTACCAGAGGTACGTGTCCAGGAAGAACAGCACTAGGTCCATCACGTACATGATTGCGAGCGCGAATGGCACTTGATTCGAACAAAGGGCTGTACCGAACAACTTATCGCTACAACCTTGCACCGTTGTGCGGGCCATCACGGCAATGGGACTACTGAAAGAGGACGTCAAGAAGAAGTATGATTCCACAAACTTGCAGCCGAAGACCAATGACCATAGAGAGATAGACCCCAAACGGGCGGCAACGCTCAAACCAGGGTAGGACGCTGTGAACGTCTGCGATGCCATATATTTGCGCGACTTGCCCGCGACCCGATCACCAAACATGCGACCAGATGGAATAACACCGAAGGCCACCGTGGCAACGACGGAAACGAAGAACTGTACAATTCCGACGATGAGCGGTGTGTGCGACGCCGAATCGTTAACCATGGCAATATACACGGTGGGACCTCCGGTGAGCGCCAGGACGATGACTAAGAATATGAGCCTAGTCGTAAGATGGGACGCGTTATTCCATGTTGTTGGGATGTAGGCAAACTCGGCCAGTGTCGCAGCAATCATGATTGCGGTAGCAACCGCGCCGCCAAGTGCCGTCGCAGACCAAGTCATGGCCGCAGAAGGAGCTGCCTTCTTGTACGGTGCATACACTTTCGGTGAATTAAAGGCGGTATAGAACCAATATACCGCGACGTGTAAGATCCAGATACGATTGAAGTTGACCAAAAGGTGGGCGATAGATCGCCTCTCGAAGTAGGTCTTGAAGAACACACGATTCCAGGCAATCTTCCCGAATTTCGTGAAACGTTGAGCGGGTGGAATGTCAATGAGCCGCGTCTGCAATACACGTCAGCAAGAAAAAAGAGAGCCAGCTGCAGGAGTCAAGCGCATACATTGTCTTGCAGGACAATCTTTGCAATTCCTTCGGGGTACCAGAATAGCTGGTTAATGTCGTCGTAACCAATGATCTGATCGTGATCCTTTTCTCTTCTGACGAACTTCCCTTCAACCACTTCGTAGCCCTGATCACGCATGAACCTGTAGATGGGCTTGATTACGGCTTCCAGGTACAGTCCCTCCGGAACAGGATCCACTCTGTTCTGGCACTCCGGACTCCGGTAGTAGTCGTCTGCGCACTTGAAGATGAAACACAGACATTCGGGGGTAAAACGTACGTTGCCTGCTTCAGCCCAGCACAGAAGGTAAAGTGCTACCTGGCGCAGGCGGTCATACTGGCTCATGTTGTTCATGGCGTTCCGCCATCTGTTTAGTGCGCTATCAAGTGACTTCGTGCTGGCTGTGCTAAGTTTGCCTTTGACGCTACGAAGGCGCTGAAGGCCGGGGTTTTGTGACTGTCCCACTGCATCGTCTAGGTTGAGTTGCGCTGCAAAGTACCACTTGCGGTAGTTCGCGTGTTGACCGCCAATATAATCAGCATGGACAGTGAGGAGAGCTTGGTTCGGTGTCATGCGCGAAGCTCGGGAATCGAGGAGATGCATGAGGAAGTCGAACTGTGTTGCAGCAGGCATTTCAGCACTGTGACAACTCTTCGTGTAAAGCATCGTACGTACCATGTTCCGCATGGAATCCCTCTGGAAACCAAATTTCTGCGCGAGATCCAGAAATATATCTTCTATCTCTTCTGTCGACATGGGTATCTGGCGCTCTGCCGACCAAGCAGGATACGGCTCATGGGAGCCAGGTATATCAGAGAACGGGTTGTAAGGAGCGTGTGCGCTTGAGCTACCACTCATGTGTGAGTCCACAGATGCGCTATAATGGCGGTCGTATTCGTTCACATCGTCGGTGCTGGCTGTAGCTACGGATGATAACGTCAGTCCATTGTTACCATGTGGGCTGTCGTCGCGAAGAGCACAGTGTGAGGACAAAAAGTACAGCAGCAGTATAGCGGGGGATGGCGTAAGAGATGGACATGCATCACGACATCCAACGAGTTCGTAAATTGGACACATTGACACTAACAGCTATTACGGTTGAAGAAAAATGGATGACTTACATAGAGTGGATTGACCATCGTATCCAGCCTGTGTCAAAGGGACACTACTGGCATTACGACTACTATAGGGATCGCCGGGGTCGGAATCGTTGGAATACTGACGCAAAGGTGGACCGTATGGGGAAGTCCCACCAGCGAACGGGTTTTGTAGACCATAGCCGGGTCGGGCAGCCATGGGGTATGAGGAGAAGGGTCTGGCAGAGCGAGGGTATCAGGCAGAAAATGTCAGTGCGTAAGGAACGACACGACCTGCAACAAGCTTGTTGTTGGGTCTGGTGAAGGAGAGAACACTGAACGGCAGCGCTGTTGTTTCCAGGACCCATTCCTGTGCCGACCCCGTGGGAATCCGTTGCGAATCCTCTTTTGGTCCGAGTCGCTGGCAGCTGGCTCTCCCAGCAACGGCTGCACACTGTCGTACTATCTGGCTCCAACGCGTTTCATCGGAACAGCGCATAGCAGTACAAGTATTTCCACCAAAAAATTTGGGGATGTCGCACGCCATGTCCGATTTTCTGTCAAAGAAAAAATTTGAACATTCACGACATACCGTGATCTCTGAAGGATCGATACACCTATTCAGCTTAAACTATATGTCCACCCTCATGAACTATGACGAATACAGTACACTATCTCATAATACATAACATGGTAATGCATAATACCTCGTAGTGCATAGGCCTTGGGCGGCACGAAACTGCCCTTCACAGCCAAAATCCAATGCCATAATGCATAAAATCTCATAATGCATAGCAAAATCCGGGCACCGACGCTATGCATTATGAGATACTGTACTTTCCTCGCGCGTTACCGGGTACGGTCTCCCGTCTATAGTAAAAACCGTTTTGTGCAACTCGCCTGCTATCTGCACTCTTTTCTACTCAAGGTGAGGTTCAATGGGTTCCTAGTTGCAAGCACGGCAGGGAATTAACTGCTACAGCTGACCCGCGCTGTACAGGCTGTGGGAAGGGCCCTCGTGACAGATCAAGAGGTGGACGTGCCAGAGGCGAATATTGCTGGCGCGGGCTGCTGCCCTTCCTGTTGCGCACTTTCACTTATGTCTTTGCCAATGCCCATACCCTCTCCCGTTCTGCCCGCGGAGAAGAATAGCAGCGTGTGCAAGTCATCAATCCTCAAGTCATGGAAGTCGGCCTCAGGTAGCCTCTCTGCGCAGTTGCTGCACAACGGGCGCGCGCAACACTTCTCAGAGGCACCGCTGCAGGACATGCTGATGAAGCACCGACGGTCGAGTCTCCTCGACGGCATCGCATTCACGCGACGTGGCTCCATAGTCTCGTTCTCGACACTTGCTGACATCCCAGCGAGCCCTGCGTTGCCCGAGCAATTTGGGTATATGCAACCGTTGCGGTTGAAGGCAGTCGCAGCTGGGCGAGAAGGAGAAGAGCGCGTTCCCGCGTAAGCAGGGCAACATACTTGTCTGCGTCGTCGCGCCTGAATACGGCACGCTCACCACCGTGGCATGGCGTGGTGTTCGCCATCAGCAAAAGTGTCCAAACTCTGCAACGCCAGGCAGGGTTTGTAAGCAGGGGGGTCAGATTGCGTCGCGATGCAGGGAGCTGTAAAAGGCAAGCGAGGTGGTATGAGTTTGTAAGTCAAAGTCCCCCGGACATAGGTATGTATATTCTGGGAGAGCCCTGTTGAGTATGTAGATGGTATACAGACATAGGCAATTATTCTGTATATAGGTGGATATTATATACATTGCTGTGACATTACTCTCGAGTACTCGCGTGCTACAGCGGCGCATAGCCTTTGTCGCCGTACTCGTCCTCTTCACCATCCTCGCCATCCTCCGGGCCAAGATCTTCAACCTCTTCATGATCACTTCCTTCGCCTCCAGTGCCCTGCTCATCTTCATCGTCATCCGAATCCCTGTAGCCGTAGTCATCTTCTTCCTGTCCAATCTGACCTTCGTCTTTGTCTTGCACCAAACAATCCACGGATTGCTTGTCATCATCCGACTTGTCATCGTCTATATCCATCCCATCCCCGACCATTGGCAGGGTGATACCTGTTCCCTTGTGTCCGACACCACCACCGAGGTATCTCATGAACATGTCACGATCGAAGAACCTGAGTGACCGTAAGAAAATGCAACAAATGAAGTAAATCAGGGAAAGCACGTACATATTAACATAATAGAATAGCCAATCCTCGTCGTTGTCTTCAGAATGTCGTGCAATGGAAGGCGGTAGAAGGTCAGATGTTCGTCCATGGGCAAAGGCCGGAATGAGGTGCACTCCTCGGAGGACTTCGTCGGGATTAAGGAAGCCAAATGGCTTGTAGTCGTCAATGTCAACAAACCCGACACGGTGCAAGCGGCGGGTCTCGAAGCCACCTGGTGCTGTAAGATCGCGACCAAACCAACGTACCCACAGAAAGTCCATGTGTTGTGGCTGTCTGGATATCGGTAGCAGCCTGCGGTAACACACATTGACGTGAAAGACTCCAATGACACGGGCGTACCAATAAGGGTGTTGATCAGCATCTTCACCATCTTCGTGTGATAGCACCATGACATCGGGGTGTGTGCGAGGATTTATGGAATCCTGGGCGTGGCGCATATCGTACGTGGTGTAATTGATTCGGAGAACCTTGTGACGGAACAACTTGTTGTCAAGGAATGAAATTTGATCACGTTCCTTGTCTGTGAACATATCTTCATCACCATTGTATGCGCATCCGGTGAGGCGAGCGAGAAGGTGATCCTTGAGTGACGGCATGAACATCTGTGTTGCGAAAGAATTTGTCATCGAAAATATAGTGGAAGTAGTCAGGAAGTTAACGCACCTTGAATGCGGGATCTCCTTTGTTCCGTATCACAAAGCTTGTAATGTCCTCGCAGAAACGCTGTGACTTGGACATGTGGTAATGCACTTTCGGGAATGTGCGCGGAAGTGGCTCTTCGTCGGCGAAGTCAAGGCGTGTATCATCTGGAGGCTCCTCGGGATCATCGTCGAAGTCCATTGCATCCTGAGTGCGGTCAAGCTGGTGCTGTGCCTCCTGATCCAGGATCTCTTTCTCTCATCTCTTCATCTTCTGTAGAAGCGCCTCGTGACGCTGGTACTTGGCTATTTGAAACGCGTGCTTCCTCTTATTCGTGCATGCATAGAATCGTTTGACACGGCGATGTTCGAGTTCTCCCTGAGGACAAGACGTCGTTAGTAATCAATTCAGTGCACGTAATGACACTATAGGGTATTGCTCACCACCTGGGTTGTGTAATTATCTGTCGGTCCAAATTCACGGATGGTAGCTGGATAGTCTCCAACAGAGTGGTATTTGTACGTTTCGACATTGAGCTGCTTGCATTTTGGATCAATCGTGTTCGCAGAGGTGCCGCCATGACCGCCAGCACAGTTTGCTAATGCAGCTTTGCGTCGTCCTCGTGCTGCGGTCTCCTTCGGAAGCTCCCTCGTAGCAAATGCTGAACATACTGTCTTCCTGAAGCGACGGATAGCTGCACCAAGTGTGGCTGTTGCACGTTCAAACACCTGAAGAGTGTGTTCAGTGTGCAGATGAAGCTTGGCATGAGCATGCCAATTTGCGAGTTCAAAGAGAAGGTCCAGGAGGATGTTGTCGTACTTCTTAGAGGGGATTAGGCCTTCAAATACCGGAATGCAGCACTGAAAGAAGTCAATGTGATGTTTGGACAGTTTATGACAGCGGCATACCTGGAAGATGTCCTCAAAATCACGCGCAGCCAGTTTCTTCATCGCGGAAACATTGTTACTGAATCGGTGAATCGTGTCACGTCCAAATGTTGGAACTTTACGGAATCTAGAGTTGATTAACACATAACTGTCCTCAACAGAAGCAGAGACATACCACGTGTCGAACTTCTGAATTGCATCCTCACCGATGGCGTAAAGAATGCGAAGGAGGTGGGTGAAGATCGCTTTCCATACGCCTAGCTCAAACTCGTGCATCAAGTCCAGAACAAACATTGAAAAAAAATTGAAGTTGAATATGGAAAGGCGAGTGGAGAACGTGCTCTATACAAGACAACAGATATTTGAGAGAGAGATAATGTATAAGAAACAGGCATACCCGCGTTGGTAGAAAGGACTTCGCGTCCAGAACGCGAGCGATGGTCTTGCTTGTGAGTGTACATCCCTTTTCAAAGATCCAACCGCGCATCATGGCAATCTTCGCCCGTAACCAACTGTCGTCATTTCGTGTGTGTGTGCATCGTTTTGCATCTGCGTAGGTGCCCATGGCTCCTATCTTCGACTTTTGAGTCAAGCAGCGGGGACAAGGACATCTTGCAAGGTACTTTATGCATGTGAGCAGAATTCTGTTTCAGAGCGAATTAGGACCTTATGAATGAAAGCATATAATGACTTACTTCTCTGGGTAGTCAGCGGAATAGGTCGTCGCAGGATCCCATCGCCACAGTGTATGAGTATGCCATGCTCGTACGCATGTATGAACTCCAGGTCAAGCAACAGCAGCCAGATGGCCTGCATCAGTTCGCGTTTGCAGTATTTGAGAACAGCAGTGGTGGCAGCAATGCCGAAAGTTTCCCGGTAGAAGTCCTGAATTGTGTCTGGTAACTGATAATGTGTAGATACTAAGTACGATATGAAAAACTATCATCAAATAAGGCCTGACTCACCATCGGTAGGTATGCAAGATGGTGTGTGGCAAATGAACTGGGTTTACCGCGTACATACTTGGATAAGCTCCCGAAGTACGCGTATATTGGCCAAAGTGCTGCAGACCCGAAACTTGCCAGGTGTGTTGAGTCAGACCATAACATGATTGGCACGATGGCGATCTCGATGTTAGGATCCTCGTTCAGCTCACGCAGCTGAGAACGTATGTGCGCATCTTTCTCGAGAAAGGCATCGGAGTTGTACAACTCGGTGTAAACTCGAATATCGCCAGCATCGTCGTCTGAATCATCCGAGTCAGAGTCTTCAGAGCTGTCATAGTGAGGGCGCCAGAATAGCTTGAACGGTATCCAGTGGAACGTCCGTGCTGCAGTGTCTTGATAAGTGGCCTTGATAACCTCGAGAAGCCTGCGGTAGTAGATTCCGGAGACTTCAAATTCGGGGGCATCGGCCTCAGATTTGAATCGAGTGTGTTCCTTAGGCAAGTGGATCTTGACAGTACCTTTAACCCAGACATCATCAGCAGAGAAGGCATCTGAAGTCTGAGAATGCTTGTCTAGCCGCTTCAGCTCTCATGCCGTGCTGAAATTCTGGAGGTGTGTTGCATCAAAGTCATCAGCAAGCAACACGTCATGAACGAGACTGTCCATTTCTTCAATGGACTTCGTATCAGAAGGCCGATACATCCAGTTTATAAGGCGGTAGGTCGTGGCGTTCAGGAAGGGGGTGAAGAAATTATCACGCGTGTGTTGCAGAGTGTCTGCAAACGTTTGGCGCAAATGGTGAAGAGGACTACGCCCTCGCGCAGTCGTTTCTGGTGCAGTAGCTAGGGTGGGTGAGTCGCACAATGTATCCAGGGTGGTTTCATCCTCTGGATCCTTCTGGGGTTTGACTGCATAGACTCGGTACAATCCAAAGGTGTTCAGCTCAGTCTTGATAGCAAGGTCTGCAGCATCTATATCAGGAACATCCTCCACAGTCATAGGAGTGATGTCAGCAGCGCGGTCTTCCTCTAGCTGCGAAGCATCAACTGGATCAGCTGCTCCCTTGCGTCTCCTCTGCAGACGCATTGGCCTGGGTATATGTGCTGGTATACCATGGAAGGGTTGAGGAATATAGTCGGCGAGACCTCTCGGGACACGAAGTCGTCGACCAGACCTCGTGGAGACCGCTGGATGCGCATCTTCACTGCCAGGAGCAGGCTCAATCGGCATCCCTTCTCCGGCATCTTGTCCAAGCTCCTGCAGTTCAATCAAATCCTAATATATATATCAGTATAGCATCGAGATGAAAATCAAAAAAGTATGTTGTTGAATGGGTATAGGTTTCCGAGGATGGCATAAATGCACTTAAAACTTAACAGATAACGTACATGATTGACCCCTTCCACTAGGTCTGTATTCGCCTCCCTTATCTCCTCGCAGCATCGTTTCTTCTCTTTCCTCTCTGCTTTCTTCTTCTGGTGTTTGACTTCCTGCGCACGAAGCCCCTTCTGTGTAAGCTCATGGTGTTTCTTGCATGGCACGGTGTGATTGCTGAGTCCTCGAGCATGTTTGAATTCCTTGAGACACCCCAGGCATTTTAATGTCATAGATATTGCCAGTAGAAATATGAGTACTAAGTGTGCCCGCCGCATTGAGCCCAGGGAGAGATCGTCAGGGACTCGAGACTTAGAATTCCTGTCTGTACGGAGCGATCATGTGACAGATGCGAAGACGCGTTGCGTCACCGGCGTGTGACCATGTCCTCTATGTATGCATACCTCCTTCGCACACCAATCCTTGCCTTTACCTCTCATTGTCATCTCACCATGGGTCGAACCAATGCCAAAAAATCACTTCCCTCTCGCCAGAACCCAGTCGCATCGATTAAGATGCCATCTCGCTACCCTCCAGCCAGCTCGAGCTCCTCCCAAAAAACTCCGGCATCTTTGCGGGCCTCTCGTCCAGCACTCACCGGCACCAGAGGCTCAGAGGATGGAAATGAAGGTGCTGTTCCACTCAAGAAGAAGAGGACAAATGCAGATCTCGATCGACAACCAGTTTACCACCACAAGAAGCGAGCAAATATCGTGAATGAAACCAGAGACGAAGACGAAAACAGTGACACGGATAAGGATGAAGATGAGTACAACTCAGACCACGACATGCACAAGGACAACGATGACAACGAGGTAGGGCTTGAAAATGAGGACGAGGACGGGGAAGAGGAACAGGACATGGACGAGGAACAGGAACAGGACAAGGACGAGGAAGAGGATGAGGAGGAAGATCATAGCCGAGGCCACAAGCGCGGAATTTCTGAGCTCGACGATCAGTCCAACGCAGCGCCACAGAAACGCTGCCGCATCAAGAAGCTAATGAGGGGCATGGCGGAGAGACGTGACCCCAAGTATGATCCTGTTACAAACACAGACTCGTACTAATTGCAGTGCTTCTTTTTGCAGAGTATTCCCTTCACTCAAGCCGTACCACGATGGCGCGAGATTTATTCCCTGCGCCATCAGTCCGTTTGCACGTCCAATGCAAGCCCTTCAACTTGGCCTGCTTTCGCAACAAGACGACGATGATGAACTCGATCCACAGGCCCAAAAAGCATTTAATTCGATGTGAGCTCGCCTTGGTGGATGTACGCGTCATTTTGATGCGCATATAATGACCTTTACTTTATTCTCAGGGGCAAAGACGAGCGTGAAGAGCTGGCTTACACCTTCGAAGCGATTCTCGGTTTGATGCCTGGTCTTAAGGATCAGCTAGTGTACATGGGGGACAACATCGATGCCATTGATGTCCTTGGGTCCTACGTAAGTCATCGCATATAGTTTACTTATTGGAGACTAATTTCTTGTACAAGCTTAACCATTATGCTACCGACGCTCGTGCAGATCACCTCGGGTCACTTCGTGAGTGCATTGTCAATTACCTGCCGGATTTCGGTGACGGCTACCCTGTGTTGAAGCCACAAGACAGTAAATGGAAGCGTGGCTTCCAGAACATCACAACCGGCTGGCTACTTTGCCCACAGTCTATGCTCACGGAGTTCCTCAATGATCTGGAGGGGTAAGTGTCTGTACGCGAGTGAATTTTATACTGATGATGACGTTCATCAGATTTTGCCGCCAAGTGCGCGACGGTGAGATTGATATACCCTCTGATGAGTTCCCTTCGTTTCTGTACGACGAAGCTCTCTACGACCCCGACGAATTGGATGCTGGGTTGCTCAGGGGCCCATTACTTCTCAAGGTGTGTACTATGTTTGCTGGGTAATCCATCGTAGTGTTACAGTAGTATTACTCAACTAATGGCATTACGCAGTGCTTCAAGTCTTTGATAACTGGCCCCGATAGTGCGTCGTCCGATCACGGAAACCACGAGAGCAGACCCGGACGTCCTCCCCTCGCAAAAAAGTACGACATGACTCAGGTGACTCCTAGGAACATTGCATATTTGGTGGTCCTCATGAGTACTACTATTTGGACATCTGTTGATCACATTCTTTAACGGTGCGCTTGAGGTTCGATTTCTCTTGAACAGTCAGCACTCGTGGTCCAATGTCGACGTGACCTTTGACCTCGAAGAGTTCTTCTTCGAAATTCTCAAGTTCTTCCAGGATGAAGAATGGGGGAAAGCAACACTGGAATGGTGAAACAAGTAAGTTTTGTGCCCGAGCTTTACTTGTGCTCACACCACACATTCAGAGCAGTATTCAGCACAACCGCGAAGGGCCAAGGTGGCGCGAAGAAGCAAACCCGGCCACAATCTGCCTCCGCCAAATTGAAGGCTCAGCGCGCGGCTCAAGCGGCTGCGCAATTCGGCGCCGTGTGATTCTCATGACGGTAATTATCTGCTTTTTTTCGGCCATACGTGCTTATTGTGTCATTTACATCTAGCACAAACCTCACCTTACTTGCTGCCGCCACTAACTCTACCCGCAAGTTCCTCTTGCTCACCTTCTTGCTGCTGCTCTCGTCTGCATCCCTGTTTTCTGGTGTCTCCCACACTTGTGTCTCATGCTCTCACTCACTCCTCGTGTTCGCACCCGCTCGCTGACTCTTCCGTGCTCACTCTTCCGCGCTCACTCTTTCCACACTCACTGTTTCCGCGCTTTGCTGCTGTACTCGGGCGCTCTCGCGGTGCTTAACCTTCGGCGCGCATCACCAGCACTGGCATTGTTGTTCTCTCTCAGTGGCCTCGTAGTAGATTTGTATCGGTCTTGTTACATCCGAAATATACCTTTTGTTGGGCCATCTGTGTGCAGTGCCTGCTATATGAAGGCAATGAAAGATATATAAATTGTATTGAAATTATGGAGTCCGTGAATGTATTTACAAAGTTTATACCTTCGCATGCAGACTAATAACCTAACTTTGTAAAGCCGTACATCGGCTGCAAACTATCGCGCACTCGGCAATGTCTGCAGCTGATTGGTAAGTATGCATCGGACCGCCAATAATTTACATACCTATTAGGATATCGACGGAAACCGCTGCATACAGGTTACCTATCTTGCAGGGTTTGCAGCTCAGGTAAGGTTTACAGCGTGCTGCACTGCGCTGCATTCCGAATGCACTTTTTGCTGATGACGATGCACTCGTCAGTCCGGAACAACTGCCGCCGAGGTATGTGTCCGTTGCGCTGATTGAATGAGCAAAGATTAATTACATGTTCTCAAATTTAAGGGCATCCTTTGTTTCCATCTTGGCAAGGATATTCATGGTCTCCGAGGTATGATAGTGAAGTCACGCAAGAGAGGGTGCATGCTGTATCAACACTGATAATGCCTATGTTGTGGTCTTGAGTATCTGATTAGGAAGAGTAGCTTCATTAACCTGTAGTTAGATGCAATATAATTTTACCCTGAACTGTGTTGTTCACCAGCGGAGGCTTTGAGATGAGTATCGAGGAATGCTCGAGAAATGTGCAGTATTGCACGAACATTTGTTTCAATTCATCAGGAAAAAGCCCCAAGTGAGATAGCTGCTGCCATGATTACGTAGACACGTGTAGGGCACGTAGCCGCGCATCGCTCAATGTACACCTCTGTAGGGCTGTGTAGCCACCACTCACATTTCCATAGCACCATGGAGAGATTACGCCTATCAGGCGGAGCTTAAAAGCATTTTAAAAATTGAGTTGGTTCATATGCTACGGTGCATTGAGATCTCAAATGTGCCCAACTCCTGGTGCTTGCAAGCCTAAACGTGGGCATCTGCAAAGGGATTTCTTGGCTAAGCTGACTCTTCAGTGGCTTGGGAGCTCTGTGAATAGACAGTAAATGAACTATGGAATGTAGTGTTGGCATATTTTCTGTGTTTGTCTGCTAGCTATATAGTTACAGAACCGATAGCAACCTACTTCACCTCGCACTTCACCGTACTGCCAGAGCAGGTCGGGAAGGGCGGGAAGCATCAGGCAGTTGTTACGAACTATGGCACCATCGATCACGTGCTCCATGAACTTGGTAAAATTTGTGGGTCGTCTGGGTCGTCCCACCTCTTGCGCATCCTCTGTTGGCATTGCTGTCTTTCTTCTTGTCTCTTGGCCTCTCACCGGTGTGTCTCTCATCAAATTCAGTTCACTGCAGTGTCGCATCTCACTGCTACTCGTCCTCTCAGTTTATCTATGCGATTTCTGCCTTCCTATCATTTGCATGCAGATGTCCTAAGTATTTCTGTACTGGTGGTACTCACGATGCAGACTTTTGGCAACACCTCCAACCTCCAGTTCGCGCTCCCCCACGCCGTCGAACGCAAACATTCGGCGGCATGTTTGTTTTCAGAGGTTGAAGGGCACCCCCAGGTGAGTTAAAAAAAGATTTTTCATATCCCTACAATACAGTGCTAAATTTTTGCAGCCTCCTCATCATTGCACCGGCCACCGCGGTGCGATGACGCCGCTCCAGCCCCGCACTCCCACACTCTCCTCGCACCTTGGTCCCCCATCCTCCTCCCTTCTCGTTCGCACAGGGAGCTGACACGTGGCCAGGTGACACCGCGCGACTGCGCGAGGTCAACGGCCTCGCCCTCTTACCACGGCCTCGCACTCCCCTCGCCCTTTGCCCCTTTGTCCTCCAGTTTTCTCATTCGCCCGAGGAGCCTCCACGCGGACTGCGAGGAGACACCGCACAGCTGCGCGAGGTCGATGGCCCCACTCTCGCACCACCGCTTCACACTCCCCTCGCCCTTTGCCCCTCCATCAGCCAAATTCAAAGGCAGGATACCATCGAGATAATGAGCAACATACAGTATCATTACCTCGATTTGGTTGACGCAGTTTGTTCTCCACTCTCACCTGTTGCGGACTCATGACTGATGCGGGCGTGCGAGCAGGTTGTTCGGCAAGGCTCGTTCATTGACAAGATGTATGCATTTGGGTGGACTGAGCCGGGCTACTTCAATGCCAAGGAGGACGAGCTCGTTCTGATGCACGCTACGGCCCGCTACCATGCATGTGTACTGCCCACTCTACTGCGAGCAAAACCGACATGCTGATGCCCTGGGTCCGGCTTTACTTTACAGATTCTTGGACCTAATGAGCTTGTCGCTGATGTCATTTTTCATGCCAACACTCGACATCGATCTCGTGTGCGACACGCTCTCCGCGACGCACGCGAGTGAGCACAATGCGATTGGAGCCGGTGGGGGCCGCACGCCGCATGCGTGGAGCACCACTGCCGCGCCCGCGTAGAGAAGTTCGCATGGCGACGGCAGCGCGACGTGGAACCCGTTCGCGCCAGGTGCATGGATGCGAATGCATTCGAGCATGGGCGGGCGCACGACACGGCGTTCCCGATGCCCGTGCCGTTCTATCACCCTATCATGACGTGCGTCATCATCGCTAACCCCGACCCCCTCGTTCGCACGGGCAGCCAACACATGAACGGCCAGGCACTGTTTGTTCTTTCCCACCGCTCTGACCTGCTGGTTCCCTGCTTCAGCACTCCGGTTTAGTGTAATATAGCTAATATATTCTGAATATATTTCTTGCACTGTGTCCATTGGTGTGATTCGACAGCTATTCAGCTTCTAGCTATGAAATTTGGCTGGGGGCTACCACTTCACTGCCGATTACAATGGATTACTTACAGCTACGTAGGATGCCTACTGGGCTACAGGGCACTACAGAGGTGCTGCAGCAGCTACAGGTACAATATAACCGGGGACTTGTCTACCGGGCTACCACTGCTACCTAGGCTACATCGGGCCATGTAGTCAAGCCATTTTTTCCTGATGTTAGTGTGAATTGTCCCAAGAACTGGGCGGGGGCCGCCAAAACCACGTAATTCTGTGCATTCCATGTAATAGTCATAATGAAGATACTTAATACATCTGAACTCAACACATTCTGCAGGTATTACGATACAATTGCTACAATTACTCCGGAAGGTTTTCCCTGATGGCCAGTAAGGACACTTGACTTACTTCTGAACTTTCTTACCAAACAGCCGCTCACTGATGGATGTACATCAAATACAGTCTGGATCGATACCCCTGCACAAATGGTATTTGAACCTGAGGTGCCCAGGACCTTGTCCTCTATCCTCAGGACAAGCTCACCTTATACGATGATCTAACAAGCCGCAATTCAGTACAGTTGTGGTATTGTTATTTTTGGCAAGAAACTCCAACCGGACTCTACTACAATATTCAAGTGCGGCTTTGCCTCACCTCCATTGGAAATGCATAAATTGTACCCGAGTTCATCCTCTAATGTTTCCTTCGCGCCTAGGTTCTGATAATGACTGAATTGTTGGGGTTTTGAAACAATGCATCGAGACGTGGCAATCAATTAATCCCCAGTACTCATACACGCATGATGCAAACTCCCGAAAATGCGACTACCATACGACACCTTGTCCAAGTTAAGATAGACCTCACTCATGCCCAACCACTCTAAGCGCCGTGACATGGTTGTGACCCAACAGTTGCCCGAGAGTGATGCTATTGATTTGGGAGCAATAAGTCAAAGTCTGATACCCGATATGGTAATGGATGGTGTGGTAAGGGCCACTTATCAGCCAAATATTTACCTGCTGGATGTTGGCTCTGTTTGGTCGCCGTTCACTTTGGGTTGTTGCCAGCCTAATTTCTCTCCTACGAGGGCGAAATAAAAAAATGTGCTCCCTGGTAATATTCAAGAAGGTATTCATTAACAATCCCCAGGGAACACATTTCTGATAAAGGCTTTGTGGAAAGAGGAATTAGACGAGCAAGCACTTTCGCCCGCCATTTTGGTGTAAGCGTGACATTAGACGCTCGACGCGAGTGGTTGGATATGAGGGAGGCCTATCTTACCTTGTACATACCACCCCAGTCAGACATCCACTCGTTCAGTGGCAGCAACAAGCCTTAAGTGGCAAATGGCATTGTGAATCTGGTAGCCAGACACACCACCTTCTCCTCAGGCTTCAGTCGCAATCTCGCTCCAGGTTTCGGCAGAGAGGCAAAATAGGACCATTCGTGCGCTCTGAATTATAAATTGTCAATGACTTCCACACATTCCCCGACATCCATCAATGTCAGGGTGGCGGGTCTCATCGTGGGCACATAGTTGCACATGCAGACGAGGGTATCGAAGGTCAGGGGATTGCTGGAGCCATGCTGTCCGAGCACGTGGACTGAACTTGAACCTGCCGAGGTGTCGGTGTCGGTCTCTACCTCCACCCATGGGCTGATATCGCTGGGCTGCCACTCGCCATATGTCGGCTCCGATATCCTGTTATTTGTGAATAGACGTACCTTCATGTTCTTGATGAGAAAGGCTCTCAGAGTCGTCCCAGCCTCAGCGGCGCCGAGGCGTTGCTTAGCCTCATTCCAAGGCTTCTCAAGGGCGTGTCCCATACGATCCAGCAACATGTGGGTGGTGGTTTCCACCAGCAGTTTGTTGGGTTAATCGTGCCCGAAGCTCTTCATCTGCCAGACGTTGGCCCTTGCTGCGATTCCCGGGGGTAGAGGACCTGCCGGCTGCTATGCTTCATGGTCTGCAACTTCTTAGTCAGTGCATCACTGAGACATGGAATGGCCTTGGGACTGATGAGGGTAACAATGTTTTGGCATTTCTGTAGGCGATTTATGAGGTCGTCCGGAAGTAAAGAAGTGGGACAGCCTCCTATTGAACGGAGAGCTCCGCAGGAGCTGCCAGGGTGCACTACAATGAAACGATTTGGATTAGCTGACTATGCTAATACAATAGCTCAGGTACGTAATAGGCACCTCGTCAGCCAGTACGGTAGCACGGAATAGTGTAAAGTAGGGGGAGAGAGAGAGACAAAGGAAAGTGATAAAAGTAATGTACGAAGTAAAGGAGACAAGATGACAGGTAATTACAAGGGTGAAGTAAGATGTGTAAGATGGGTCAGAAGAGATGGGAGAGGAGGGGGTAGAGCACGTCGTGTCGGATTAGTACGCCTTTTATATTCTCCCCAAATTCTGCCCGTGAGATGAATAGCAGCTGTATGCCAGCTCTGTGAAAGACGTGCAGAGAGGCGTGTATGCGACGGAGCTGCTGAGGAGATCGGGACATGAGGTACAATGCCAAGGAAATATCGAGATGTGTATTGTGGCCAGTGATCGCTGTCGCAGAACAGCATATCAGCGACATCGAGGATGGCGTCCACAGAAAGGGATGTGGTTTCAGCTCCGTGTAGAAGCTTGGACATATCCGTGAGGACATCGCGTTGACCGGTGAGACAAAGGGTTTCGAAAACAGGGCATTGTACGAAGATGTGGTGTGGTGTCTCGAGTAAGGCACATCCGAAGCGACACCACGGGGCGGTATCGCCAAAGCGTGCAAAGTGTAAGTACGCAGTGTCGAGTTGGCTGCAACGGGCATACAGCTGCACGAGGGCGGAATATGCGGATGATGCCCGGGTGTAGGGATGCTCGGGTGGCGCGGCGGGGTTGTATATGGGCAGGGCGAGAGTTCAGAGAGGTAAAAACATACTGTCATCGACAACGGCTGCTATAAGGGTGCAGGAGATGTAGGTAGAAAGATCGGATTCAATGTAGCCATCGGTGTGCGAGAATAGTGTATAGTCATCCATAGTAAAGGTAGGGATTGGAGTAGATGGAAGTGGCTGAAAGTGAGAGTGACTTGCAAGCTGGTCGACGAACGCATTTGCACAGGAAGGGGGGAAGAGGATGAGGATGTGAGGATCTGACGGAGCCATTGGTACAATGAGCGCGCGGGGAGGGAGGACCAACGATTGGGAAGGGATTGAAAAGATGTGGAAAGGGAGTCATTAATTATACGGGTGGAGTTGAGGTGATCGGTGTAAAGCGGAGCGGAAGGTGAAGGAGGAAGTGAGGATGGTGTGGATGCCTGCAAGGACGCCGCGACGAGACCGTAGACTTCGGCATGAAGGATAGAAGCGCCATTGTGGAAGGAGGCGAGGGAGCAGACGGTAGTGGAGGTGGGACGAGCTGCGGCAAAGACGGCAGAACGAAATTGACGGAATGAGGGTGCGGCGAGGATGAGGGAACCATCAGAAGCGAACATAGGAAGTGCAAAATGTGAAGGGGGTTGGGAGGAAACAAGTGTGAGAGTGTGGAGGACGTGCTCAGCGAGAGCGCGTCGAAAATCACGGGGTAGGGTAAGCATCCAATCACGGGCGACACAAGTGTCACCAGAGCTCCCAGGAACACGAGCGTTGTGGGGACGAATGCCAGAACTTCCAATTCTTGTGTCGCGGGCATTGTACAATACAATGCCAGAACTTCCCGTACCTACTAAAGTCGGAAGCGGTGTTGCAGCCGAAGTAAGTGGTGCAGTGGTGAGATCGTGGAGCGTGAGCGAGGCAATCCAGTGTTGAATATCCGGCCAGTCGGAGGCAGCCGGGGTGAAACGGAGGAGGGGAAAGAGATTGGGATGTATAGTAAGGGACCAAGAGGGAGGTAGGGTAGGGTAGTCAGAGTTGAGAGTCCACGATGCGAGATGATGGAGCTGGGTGATACCTGCGTGTTCGAGATGAGAAACAGCATTGGAGGAAAGTGAAGAAGGAGTAGAGCGGATTAGGTGACGGAGGGAGATGTTACCCGAGAAAATAAAGGATTGATCAGTGTGGACAATAACCAAATGCAGTTCTGCGAGTACCATATGTGCAACAATCCAAGAGAATGGGAGGTGACGGGTCTGTCGGGAAAAGGAAGAGTGTGAAAGGGAGGGGTCAAGCGGGAAAATACAGTGATTAAGGGCGCATTGCCAATCCGACAGCGTGATGCATGCCATCGTACGGAAAACCGAGTTGTGATGGTTAAGGTCGCGTACGAAGCCTGCGATGGCAGCGCTATCATTAAGGCGTGCAATGGAAGGAAAGTCAAAACTGTAGTGTTATATAGGGAGGGACAACAGGAGAGAATTGAATCGGAAGGGGAAAGAAAAATATTGGTGGACTCGCAACACGAGGAGGCGATCCAGTTCGGCGGCATATTTGCGTGAAATGGGTTGAAAAGCAAGAAGGGGGCGTAAACGGGAGACAAGACACTGAGCAAAAAGTCGCCGAAGAATGGTTAGTGGCAAGTGCAGGGAGAGATTAGGAAAATCGAAGGATAGTATGATGTCTCGTAGTTTCTGGAATTGACGCTGTGGGTCATTGACAGAGACTCGCATTAGTTCAATGTGTGAGGTCACCACTGGGACATCATGCCAAAGGACCTGCCCCGAGGCAGGGTTAGTAGGAGAAATGGATGGCATTTTGAGAAGGGTGAGGGCGAAGAGGACATTCAAGAGAAAGACTAAAGATTTGAGCCAATTAGTAAACCAGCCATATACTGCCTGAAAACGTTCCATCATAAGGCATGATCGCTCGAGCGAAGGTTGAGTGGTGGCGATAATTGCAGAGTCATCCATCACTTCTACCATGGAAACGCGGAGAGTAAGGTGATCATCCGGGCGGTGAGGCTTCCCAGCACGGTGTTGTAAAGAGGAGATAAGCAGACCATCACCATGCTGCCGAAAGGAGTCCTGCAGCCAGTGGTTGCCGAGACTGGTAGTAAGGGTGGACTTCATTGGAGACATGGAGCCACCTTGCTTTGTAACCCCAGATATAATGATGGTGTCGGTGAAGCCAAAGGCAGTTTTAATGCGATAAGGCACGTCCGATTGTGCAGAGCAGTCAAGTTGAATGAGGGATTGCGGAAGGCCATAGGCTTGGACTGCATCATAGAATCCTTGTGGTTCAAGATGATCGAATCCCTTCTGTTGGTCGCGGTGAAGGATGTAAAGCGGCGTGTGTGTACGATTTGACCAGCATTCCAGTTGAGCAAGGAAGGAGGTGAGGTCGCGACCTTGGATGCCTGGTTGAGTCGCCACTTGGCCTTCGGGAAGAATATGATGCGCTGCCAAATAAGGAGTAAGAAGATAGTTCAGCCAGGCGAATGGAATGTTGAGAAGAAAATTGTTGCAGCAAACGCCACGGTAATTGGAGAGGAGGGTCGTAGGCCCACGCTTATATAATGTAGACAATGTACACGGCTTTACTACAGAGGGAAAATGAGAGTGAGCAATCTCATAGTTAAGTAAGTCAAGGACAAGGGAAAGAGAGCGGTCATGAAGTGCTTTGATGCACCACTTTTCCCAACCGTCCAGACCAGGGGAAGGACGAGGTTTGCCCCGACGTAAAAGTATGCGAAATTCGGAGAGAGACATAAGCTGTGGCCAGCAAAAAGGGTCGTGTTGAGTATGTTGTCAGATCTCTAACACAGATGGAGTGTTGAGCCAAGGCTTGTCCATTGGTGGCCGTTGCTGCCGTGAGAATAAAGAGGAAAAGTAGGCACATGTGTGAGCCTTAATGTCCTCGGGTGCAGTAATGTAGGCGTCCGGGAGATCGTCCGAGGCAATTGCAAGTGGGGGGTCTGTGAAATCGTGTGATGATCGGTAGAGGCGCTTGCAGGATCCACCAAGGAGGACGCTGTTCATTTGGGTAGTCGCTGTCCGTGTTGCACGTCGCTGTCGTTCAGTATGTTCCTCCCGATAGCGAAGCTTGTTCAGGGCTCGCCGAGTGTGAATAAGAAAGGTGAGAAAAGAGTGTGGAGAGCGGGAGTCGAGAAAGGCTTGGATGTAGGAATTGACCCAAGGTGCACGGAGGGAAAGCAAGGGGACGGTCTGATGACGTTCTGCGAAGATGAGACGGTTAATTCGACGTAACTCAGTGACAATCAAGCCGATGGAAGGGGTACGGAGTGGGTGTGGAGGAGGAGAGATGTGAGGTAGTTCAAATGAGTCTGTGGCGGCAGCATGTAAAATGCGTGTGAGAGCATCATAACGAAACTGAAATGAGACATCGTCAGAGACGGGGAATTGAGCCAGATGTTCAGCTTCAGTGAGTGCATCGACGGAAGCTGCAAATGATTCAAAGCGATGCTTCTCATGTCGGCGCGGATAATAGAACCGTGGAGGATAGGAGTGTGAGGTCGATAACTCAGGGAACACCACGGAGGCAGGCAGGGTGACGGGAGGAGCAAGGGTGATGTCAGCGAAGATTGCACGGTGATCCGTGGCTGGGATGAAGATGTCGTCAATGGCAATAGTACCGGCAAGAAGGCCCTGCTGAGAGTGAGCAACACGGTCAATAATAGACTGTCCGAAGTGGTTCCTAAAAGTGTACATGGAGCGGACATCAGCGTCACCACGGAGCAGCCAGAAGTCAAGGGCATGGGTGTTGTGGAGGAAGGCAGTATAGTGTAATCTGGAAGGGGAAAGAGATGGAGTGGCGGATGAGGTCTCTGTGACCGACAGAGATGCATTACAATCTCCTAGAATGCACCAAGAGAATCGGGCCTCACGGCACACGTTAGTAATAGTGGACCAGAATAAAGTTAGTTGCTGTTCATCCTCTCCTGGATCCCAAGGCGCATATAAACCGATAAGACGATAAGGGAAACCACAGCCGGTGGAAGTGGGAATGACGATATCAAGGATTACAGCACGACCGCGAAGTTCATTGGGTGTCGGTACTCGCTGTACATGAATAGAGCGTTTGACACCGACGATGACTCCCCACTTGCCGTGGCGTTGATCTTTTGCAGGGATGCCGGGTTCTTCGAATGTACGATAGCTGGGAGTGTGAAGTCGAGATGCTTGAGGTTGTGAAGATTTGGTCTCATTGATCACCCAGGCATGAGGCTGTCGAACAGAGATCGCATTAGTAATGGCAGCCATCTTAGAGACGTTTGCTAGGCCATTGGCATTGATGGCATAGGTAGTAAAGGTGTGAGTAGCGTGCACAGTAGGGAGGAATAGGGAAAGTAGAAAGAGAAGAAGTAAAAAGGAAGAAGGCGCGAAGAATGAAAATGGCGACCGCGGTGAAGGATGAGGGGACGACGATGACAAAGGTCGAGAAGCAGGATGTATGCAAAGAAGTAGTAGAAATCCCCTCCGCTCTCTCGATTCCCGCATGCATGAACCCCCAGAAACCTGCATAAGTCGTTCACTAGGGCAGAACGGCAAGGGCTTATTTAGGGGCTCCGCAGACGGAGGAGAGAGACAGGCGAGGCTTATAAGTTCAGTTTCCATATCCACCTGTTCGGGAGTGTGATCAGCAGTCCGCTGCCGAGCATGATACCGAGCTTCGTCGTCAGGGTCGGGTTCTGGACGGGGGTGAGTGATGGTCGAGGCCGAAGGATGAGGAGGGGCGTCAGTGGGGGGAGCAGGGAGTTGGAGGCTTGAATGGGCATTCATCGTCAGTGCCTGGAGGGATTGCCGCACGTCATCCACGCGATGTCGCTGATCATGAATCTCGTCGTGAAGATCGGTGAGACGTGTTTCAATCTTGTGTCGCAGTTCGGGGTTAGGTGCTAACAGGAGACTGTCTTCCAGTCGCTCGCGGCGGTCTTGCAGTTGGCCAAGGGTGATTTCGGAGGAGGTGAGTTGCGAGGAGAGGGATACCGAATTCGCGAGTGACGAAACAGAGGACATTACGTGCATGTTGTTAGAACGCATCTGTTCGATCGCACTGCGCTGTTGAGTTAGCACTTCGGAGAAAGTGTGGACGGTCTCAACCCCTTGTTGGCGAAGGATGTCAATCTGTGCTTGCAGATTGCGGGAGTCGGCTGTAGCAGTGGGCACGGAGCATTGTAGGAAAGCAGGATTAGCAGGAACTCCAGCGCTGTTGAGAAGGTAAAGCAGAATCGGCTGAGAAATCATGATGAATCGCGGAATGGAGGAGTCAGACATGAACTCGAAGGGATCAGAGAGGAAACGCGATGTAGTGGGCCAATCCTTGAATAGGACGGTGTAAACTTCACCGTCAAGGACCATACGGCTGAAGGCGATGGCGTCGAGACCGTAACGGCGACGGATGTAAGCATTGATACGGCCTTCGATACCTTGGAATTCGCTGCAGCCCGCAACCGCCACTTCCAGTCCATATACAGGGGGCACAAAGCGGGATTGAGTCGCATAATAGGTGCGCCTGTCAAAGACGGGGGGCTTTTCGAGTATGCGAGTGACATGGTGAGGATCGAGAATGTCGAAGGTGACTCGGGGAGCTCCACCTGCAGGCTTACTGATGAAAGTGAGCTGGGAGATTATATCTTGATCTTTCAACCACTTCTCGAGGCGAGGTTGGAGCGCGCGAGCATGCTGCTCGCTATCCATAGCGAACATTACCCGACGTGTCCGATCTGCGCCACTCCCTGTCCTCCAGCATGCGCGAATTCCGTTCTGACCATCTATAATGCGGCGAACCTGTTCGAGAACGTCTGGACGCGGCTCGGAACTGACATCAGGACGAAGGGCCACAAAGACGTAGTCAACAGGGTTACGGAGATCTCCTACATGTACCTGAAGAGGAGGTAAGGGATGATTGGGGTTGGCGTTATTGTATTGCGATACAAAAGCGCCAAAGTGGGAGTGCGCCGACTGAATAGAAAGCCGATTGAGTCCGGAGATCATTAACTCAACTCCGGTGACAACAGCGTCGCTCGAATCCTGTTGTAGGGAGGGAGACCCAGCCCGAGAGTAGGGGATAGAAGGCGGAGACAGAGGAGGAAGTGAATAGGCAGGCATCACAGATAGGGGCTAGCAGACTACGGGGCTGTGGATGTGTAAAGCACGTAAGGATTTCACGGAGGGGCTATTGAGAGTTTTACGAAACAGAACGAGAAGTATAACAGACAGGAGAGAGCAAAGTGCAACAGCTATGGTGGTGGTGGTGGTGGTGGTGGTGGTGGTGGCGGTTGATCAATCGAATGACGCGGTCATGTGATCTCGATGTTGCGAGGCGCGTCGCGTACTACATGTCGCGTCTGGTACTAGTACTGTCACTGTCCACAATGAGCAAGCCCATCATCCTCTGGAAGCCCAGACCGAAACTCACCTCGGATGATGCGTGTACCACCATTCTCAAGTACTCTCTTCCCCCACCGCCCAATCCCCCTCCGTACGCCTCGACCGCCGATGATACCAGCAATCTGTCATACATCCCCTCCCTTGCATACTTTTGCATCCAGAAGCTACATGAATATCCAGATCAAGTACATTCTATTGGTCCCGCCAGAATAGCATACCAGCCACCAGATACCCCGGAGTCATACGATATCCTCCGTGCACTTATTCCCTTCTACCGTCCTGACGAGCAGCTGGACCTCTCGCAAGTTGATCCCCGCCTCTGGGCCGTCCTCATACAGCTCTATTCTGACCTCCCAGAAATATTCCGCACTTATAAATTGGCCCTCTCCGACCCCCATCTCCAGCTGCTGCAGCGTATTCCATCAACGGTCGACTTCTCCGTTCTCACTGTGCTAGAGCTTCCTTACTGTCTGGAGCTCACGGATGACACCGTTGTAGAGCTAAGAGCGCTATACAACCTGTGTGCCCTTGACGCAAGTGGAACTGCACTCAGCGTGTTTGGTCTGAAGACACTGGCCAAGACACTCACCTACGGCGAAGACGAAGAACACGTAGGCAATTCACTGATGCGGCCACGGAGGGGTCCCTGGGGACTGCGCATCCTCAGTCTACGAAACTGTATCAATGTGAATAACACAATATTTGAGTGTCTGGAGAGCTTCCCCTTGCTCAGCGTTGTCGGTATGGACAAACAACGAATCTCCCCTTTTTCGTTAATCCCTCATCTGTCCTGCAGATCTTAGAGGCACGCCGTGCAACGACGGCATTGGAGGGCCCTTCCAGCCCAGTGGCAGAATGGAGCTGTTTTACCCGTCTACGATGACCTCCGCCCTCGCCCATCTTTCCACCTTATCGTCCAAGCTATTCTCCCATGCCGAGCCATTCTTCCTCCACGTTAATGCCCTCCACTATCAACCTTCTCGTGCGCGACGAGCGTCGCCCAAAATATCGCTCAAACTCACTCCCAAATGTGCCACGAACATTTTCCAGCATGTCCCGGTATATTCCGCACCGGCGATGTCACATAATAAGCTCGAAAACCTTTCAGAAGATTACCGCGAGGAAGATAGACGGAGCCAATCCGAACAATACACAGAGAACGAGGACGAAGAAGAATCAGAAGAGGAGGGATATAGGGATGGCAACGAAGAGACTGACTTGAGTATCGATGAAGAGGATGAAGAAGAGGGATATTACGAAGGCAGTGAGGATAACAACTCGAGCTTCGACGAAAATGAATGGTATTCGTACTTGGCGAAAGTACAAATTGATGCTGCAGTCCGTGAAGCACTTCGCGAAGGCGAGCGCCGCACCGTACACAACTTCTACCATGGCGCTCTCACCTCTACTGCACATCGCCTTCCGCCAAGACCGGAGGGCGTGCATCGTCTCCACAAGGACTTTCCTCGACAGCCTCCACCTCTTCCCCCCATTCCACTCATGCTCTTCCGGGAGCCACCTGCGTGGAGCACACTCTCTTTGCCACCCCCAGCCCCACCGGACTCTGAAGGCGACAGAGCTCGCAAGCGGTCGAAAAAGTGGCTTGATAACGAATGGACGAGCGCGGACGCGGCGCGCAAGAACGCACAGGCGCGTGCAGGCGTTAGCAGCGTGTTCGGGCTCGTGCAGCAGCGGGTACAAGCCCAGCAGTCTTCCAACGTAGCGCAACCGCACGCGGATTGGCAGCAGGGACGCAGACCGATTTCCAAGAACCCGTTTGCGAGGAGTACTAAAGAAAGCGGCCAACCGTCAAAGGGATCGTCAGAGAACACCAGTAACATCAGCAACAGTCGCCTGTCAGCGAGCAGAATGTCCGTGCCAACGCCTTCGTCATCGTCGAGACATTATAAACAAAGGGATGAGGGTACAGAAATGCCTGAAGTATCGCGACCAGCATCCAGCCGTCCTTTGAAACCGATATCTTCACTCAAGATACCGATTTTGCCGGACAGCGCGAAGCCCTGGTTAGCTGCAAAGGCGAAACCACAACTGAAAGACAAGAAACCAGTCGTCGCGGGGAAACAAGCAACGCTGCCAGGCCTCGTGCGCAGTGGGAGTCTGAAGACGCAGTCCACCAAGTCCGAGAAGGGGAGCCAAGCAGGGCAGACGAGCTCGCGGCCAACGGAGAGCAGTATCAAGAAGGTGAATATGAAGAAGGGCAGAGAGACGAACGTAAGGGATTTTGACTGGAAAAGCTGGAGCCAGAACTAGTGGAAAAGGTGCGGATATGCATCTCGCTCGCGTCTCTTGCATGTGCATACTTGCTTGTGCGCATCAATGCAAATCTCTGGTGGGAGGTCTACTCGATCTGAAAAAAGGAATCTGTCCCAATACTTCCAGCAACGGTCTGGAAAGGTATGAATTCGTTCAACGATATTGCACAAAGGCAGTCCCATCGAATACTATCGCCGCACCTATAACGAATGAGCGAAGGAATCACACCATCCATCCCACAATCCTCCTTCCGACACCATAAGGTATCGAAAAACGCACGACCATATGCACAGAGCTGATAATGGATCCTCCGAATCGATGTCGATGTAAAAAAAATTCAATATCGCCATATGCTCGACTTCCAGTGGTTGTCCTTGGAAGACATTAGGGTAGTTCAGAGTAGAGGTTTCGAGCGGTTTTCGAGCTGGTTTTCGAGCAGTTTTCGATCTGGCTTTCGACTCCCCGAGAAGCCCGAAAACTGTTTTCAACCTTGAACAACCCGCCGAAAACGGTTTTCGGCTAGGCGCAGGAGACACTGTTGGGAGGCGGACTTCAAATAAGCCGCTCTACGGGAGAACCTCGGGCATGCCTACCGAGCTGTCGGCAACGCCAAAGTAGCTGTGCTCATCGTGCGCGACAGCGCCGCTGTCTCGAAATGCATCCCCCGACCTAAGCACTTATTGTCTGCCATGTTTAAGAGGTCTTTCATAATTTCCATGAGTATCACCCTTCCAGAATAAGTGAGCAGAAAAATTAATTTCTCCACCGGAAGACCTCGTCACTGTCGTCGACGACAGCGACGACGTGCCCGTCGTCGATGATCGGCATCTTGCATAGCACACTTTCAGAGTCCGAAGTTGATGCCGAAGAAGCCGAAAACCGGCTTTGGGCCGTCGTCTCAAAACCAAAGTCGTTTTCGGATTTCTCCGGCCTCGAAAACCGCATCGAAAACCAGCTCGAAACCCGGTCGAAAACCCTACTCTGAAATACCCTATTCTTATTTTTTCCGGTGTCGTAAGTACACGGGGGTGCCGTAGACATGCGCAATTAATATTTAATGTCGTGCCTCTGGAGCTGAAGACTCCGGCAAGATATCTCCGCTAGTCCGAGTTCTCGGAGCCGGGCGATCGGCACGTGACTGATCTTCATGGCTATGTTATGGATCTCCCAAACTCGTCTTGCGCACATCCTTCGCTTCCCATGAACGTCTCCCGCAACATCCTTTCTCACCTCAGGAGCCCTGGCTATTCGGCAGCTTCCCAGTCTCGTTCCTTCTCCTCTCTACCTAGGCCGTATCATTTTCACGTCGGAGCGTGCTGGGCGGGCAAGCCATCAGATCCACATATTCCTCGTCTCAGAACAACTCCGTTTCCTCCTGATAGCGAGATTGGCAAGTGGCGGGACCACACATTGTCCAAGCACATATCACCGGTCGGAAATCATGTTGGCGAGGATTTTTTCTATGTCCAAGATGTAAGTCTCCGATCTGCGTTATCAGAGCGTCTTCCACATCTGAAGACCTCCGCTCTCGGCGTGCTGCATATGCCGTGTAGATGCGCAATCAATCGGTAGGTGAGCTTCTCGCGTCTTCCATGAAGCACATTGATGATCTTCTGGTCATCTCAGGGCGTATCTCTTGGAATTGCTGACGGGGTCGGTGGCTGGGTCGATGCCGGAGTAGACCCTTCACTCTTCTCTCAGGCGCTTATGTTTCACGCCCATCGCTACTCCAAGTTTGCGTGGGCTGGAGAGCCTGAGATTGACCCCACACAAGATTATGAGGAGCGGGAGGAAGTTGAAGGATGGGAACTCACACCGAGCGAGTGTCTCGAAAACTCCTTTCATGGCGTGCTTCGGGAAAGAGCCGTAATCGCTGGTAAGTGAATTGTTGTGTGCATCAGTCTGTAATTGTCTCTTATGTGCTGCGTGGTGATACCCAGGCTCAAGCACAGCATGTATAATGACGCTTAACGCATCTTCAGGACTCCTGCGCGCAGCGAAGTACTCCGTTTCCGTCGTCGCGTTTACCTTCTTCACTGATACCATACCAACACAGCATAGGGGATAGCGGCTTCTTGATTATACGATCCTCCAACGTAATATACCAGCAACCTATTCAAACACATTTCTTCAACTGCCCAAAGTGTGCACTTACGACAGTTCACTTTCAATGATACTGATTTTCTGGCAGACAGCTTACCAAGATGCCAATCTCCCGGCCTAGATTCTCCCGTGCTTGCGTAGACTCACCAAAGAGTGCAGACCTCTTTGAGACACGGCTGCGGGATGGCGACATAGTCATCGCCTACGTACGTCCTTGCTTGCGTTCCATATTAGAAGAGAACTCAAGTCCTACTCCGTGTAGACGGATGGGTTGTCAGACAATGTATGGCCCGAGGAACTGATAAGTATTTGCTCCCGCATTGCCCATCAACATGCCGTATCCGAATCCCTCAAAACCCGATCTTCAGGTAGTGACGAGCAGCAAGTCAGTGTCCGGTAGTAGGGGACCAGAGTATTGCCCACTAATAATGCGTTCAGGACTCGGAAGATCTCCTGGTGCAGACGATGGCCGAACGCATTGTCGACTACGCGCGGTTATGCATGTCACACAAATTGCGTCAGAGCCCCTTCGAAAGGGCGGCTGCCCGAGAAGGCATGTATTTTCGCGGAGGAGTGAGTGAAATTCCTCTCCTACGTCGTGGCGGAGGCGTTTACTGATGAATGTCTTGTCCATCTTCTACAGAAACTAGACGAGTGAGTGTATTTGACTGGGCAACAAGTTGATCCTACTGAGGTGCCATGGTATTACCAGCGTCACCGTGATCGTCGCCCTCGTTAAGGAGACACTGTGACCTCTGACCACTTCCGGTCCCTTCGATCCTGTGTTTCCTGTTCTGTACGCACGCCATATTCACGGTACGCCCGTCGTTCCCAGCTGCTTCGCATGTTGACGTCTGCTGCAGAGACCATAGACATAGAATCATACCACATGTTTCGCGCATATCCTAACTTATCAAGTACTGGGACATCCGTACTAATTCACGCACCACACTGTATCCTCATTATACTGCCATCTAGATAGAGCACTGCGTTGATAATGCATACGAGATAGACCATCGTTTTTGCAGCGCGGACTGCGCGCGTAACGTCTGAATCTTGCTTTGACAGCAGTGATCCTTAACGATCCTCCATATGCATATTGAGGGAGAGAGGGAGGTCGTTGCGCACTGTATACTCTGTGTGGGCTGTAGAAATTCTACAGTTGCGGACAATCAAACACGGTAACTATTTTAGTCCAATTATGTAGAGTCCGGAGAGTGCCGGAAACTTTCGGAAACTGCACAAATGTGATGCTTATGACTCAGAGACTCGATTTGCACGAGCCGATTTCACTAATTCTTATTATTTCCTGTTTTGGACCCAAAATTTTGGCCAACCCCATAATTAATTAGATAAAAATACGAAAAAATATGCAATCAACTCCTTTCAATGAGTAGGGGATGATGCCACAAACAGATGAGAAATATACATGCAAAAATATGGCTATAGAAAATGCACAAAGTGTACCTAGAATATGGAATTTGTCATTTAAAGTTACTCTCAAACACTCTTAGATAGCATTCTGACCATTGCCAATTTAGCTATGATGAGTGGCTTCGTACTGGAGGCAGTTTCAGCTGAAATCTGCGCGAACATGTGAGAACACCTCAAATGTGTGGCATGGGAACAAATGCGTAAGTAGTGGTAGGATCCCTTACGGAAGCTGGTTGGGTGAATTTTGGGTGGATTCGCAATGTTTGAATGAATCAGAGGTTGCGGGTGACTAGCAGGTGGCCAATAGTGCTCACTACGACCACAAAGTGGCCTATAAGTGTCGAAAAAATCGCCCAAAAATTTGACCATCCAAAAACCTCGTGGGAAAAATCATCTGAGTGCATTTTTGGGGGTTTTAGACCTCCCTGAGTCTGAATCTAAAGTCCATTTGTCTCAGAAAAATCTGGTTCAGGCGCTATCAAATTTACCGTGTTTGATTGTCCGCAACTGTAGGTCTGCAACTAAACAACTAAGTGCTATCCGCATCGACATAATATTGGTGTGTCCATGATATGCCTACTTCTCAAAAAACCCATCTCAATAAACATAACATAAACAAGAACACGAAGAAGATACATACAGACAGTATCTACCAAATATCTACTGTGTCTGGGTTCAAACGTTCAGTTCTCCTTCCATTTATAGCTCTTATTATCTGCTGGATACTTATCCACGGCCATAGGACTTCGAAAGCACTGCATCCCGTCCGATCTGCGCAGTTAACCGAAGTGCCGCCCAGTCAGTACCACGGTGGGGGACCACGCGGGAATCCTGGGTGCTGTGGTTTTGTCAGTTTTTCCTCTGACCAGCTTCTAGCTTTTTGTTTGACATCACGTATGCACTATAGCTAGTTGTGACAAGTTTCTTCCTGCGGTCGTGTGGATAACTTGAAGCATGCCAAGGTAGAGTAACACTCGCCTGCGAGCTGTTTGATTCGTCGAACTTCGTTCTACCATGGAAGATTTCTCCCCAGCTACTGGAGGCATGCTTTCGGCGCTCCTTCAACTTAGTTTCAGACCATGCATTCCGTCAGTTTTGTTGATAAGTGCGTGAGTGTCGTTTGTTAAACTACGATGGTCAAGCTGACTTCGTGTATACTTGTGCTGCAGTTGTGGGTATGGTGTGATACGTGAGGTTTCTAGCCGCATCATTTAATAATCTCACTGTCCCTCTAGCCTATACTCGACGTCTCGCCTAGTATCGTTCTGGGCACTGGCAAAGGAAATGTCTTCTAGAATGCTATGATCCTGAGGCTTGAACGTTGAACGCTAATGTGTGTGTGATCAGTCCAACATTTAACGCCTCGTGAATCTATGAATCGACTGACTAAAGCATGCGCCACATGCAGCTTCCTATACTCGTGAGTTCTTCTTTATTGCTCGAGTTGAGGTCTTTGCATGTCTTACGCTCATCAAGGTTAGTGCGGTGGTGGCAATTGTACGAACGTCGTAAAAAAACCTTGGCCAAGCAGACGGGAGCTCTGAAGCCGTTGTTGATCTGATCCCAACGTAAGCAAGCCAAACTCTCAGACACGTGCACGTCTCATGGGGAGTCTCCTTATACAGTAGTGGTAGGGGAGTTAGGTCCTAGCGGAGTTTGAAACCTAACCTACCGGCGCGGGCGGCCCCGCGTCATGTGCCCACTCAATGCGGCAGGCAACCTGCCCCAAATGGCATTTCTGATGTAAGCACATACCTAAGGTTGGGCACTGCACTACAGCTATTCAAATTACACACTCTGCGGCATGTTTTAATAAAAATTAGTGTCCATAACTGAGTGCTCTATATGCTCTCTAAACATAAAAAAATACTGCCTATGTACAGTTTCAGATGAGGACCACAACCATGATAACACTTATGTGCAGCCAAACCTGCACACTGGGACTTTTCTCATATTCAATGCATGTCCTGCCAGTAAAAATTACAACTGGCAGTCCTTGTGATATCATGGAAATTTTTTAAGGTTGCAGGAGAAACTCAGTGCATTCAGATGGCTACAGTGAATGCAACTGCACTGGGCCAAAGTTTTATTGTGCTACAGGAGGGACATACACTCTCGCCCGAAGGGCGAGCAGAAAATTTAAAGGATTTCTGCATGCCGTGAATGTGTAAAATTTACAGGACCTAAGCTTCATTAGTTGCCTCACAAGAAGAGTCATCCCTGCAGTTGTGTTCCTATGTCTGACTGTACTGCATGATTTGAATATAACTCTGGAAAATCATCATAAATTATGTGTAAGTGGCATGAAACCCGATATTCATACACCAAGGCACTTTGCGCAGGAGTTGAGGACATGCTGGGCATCACACAAAGATACAGAGTGAATACCTTCTCACTCGCTCGAATTAATTTCATTTAATTTATTTAATTTCCGGCCAACCCTACCACTATAAGGAGACTGCCGTCTCATGCGGTTATTCACTAGACACGAGTTCTCTGTTCCTTTCCCATTCAGGTGAATTTCGCATCACCGTCGCGAAATGGCATCGGAGGACTAATACGGCTTGCAACTCTTCTGTATCTCAGTTACTACGATTCATGTATCGGCGCTAGAGTCAGTTGTAAGCATTCCAACCTCTCGATGGACCATAAGTTTGATGTGTTTGGCCCAGGTCTTATAGTAGACTGTCAAAATGCCATACGGTCACCAGAGCAGAATAGCGGACTCGTCATCTACCCCACGTCGAGCAATTCCGGTAGCGAGGTGGGTTCCGCCTTGCCAGTTGACTCTTCAGTGAATATTGACCGTCTGAGACAGGCAGGACTGACGCTCACCTTCTGTCCTTCAGTCACGCAGTAGTCTGTAAATTAAGTAGGTCTCTGATTTTTTACCTGTCAGAAATGATGTTTCATCGTCGTCTCCGTCTTCATCCTCGACCCAGCTTTTAACCTTCACTCAGCCTTCCCCGAGACAGCCGTCAACCACTGCCCCCGGGTCGACTTTCTCGCAGGGCGTAGCACCTACCGGTATGCCGGGCGAGTCACAATCTTCACCCTCTCCTTCATCACCATCCCCCGCTGCCCTCACTAATTCGGCACCAGACTCCTTCAAGTGTCCGTTCATGAGGAGCGTCGTGGAAGGGTTCGCTATATTGCTCATCACAGGTCTCATTCTCGTCTGAGACCTTTCAGCCCCGTGGGAGCACCTGCCCGTGTTCGACACCATGTAGTCCGCTGTCTTTTTTTTGGTCTCATGATTATTGTCCGCGAGGGCGAAGCCCTATAATAGTGCCCGTAGTAGTGCCCGCTGTCGTACCTACGTTACTTCATGTTTGGGCGGTGCGGTGGTCTGGTGAAGGAGCTTTCTTCATGGGACTACAGTAGCTTTGGGGTCAATTTAATACACCTACGTATACAACGGCCCTCATTATCATACGTTATTTTCAAGACATTCTTTGTCGCAATGCGTACATAGCTCTGGGTATGCATTCCCTCGGAACATGTAGGGCCACAGATCAGAATGGCCGCTCAATGAAGCTCTCGATGACACCAGCAGGCGTGAGTGGGTATTCCTTCAGCACAACTTCATCGTTCTCGACGAACGTGTTAGGTTGCACGAAGATCTTACGCGGCTGGGGGGACAGTATCGCTCAACACTAGTCCGCGTCTCCAGTGATGCAACGCAGAAGCACTCACAAGCTTTTTCTTCAGCACGAGGTCGCGAATGTCTCCTTCCCATCCCGGAAGGGGTGCCGTCAGAGCAGTGTAATATTCGCGCGCACCTGCGCCGTCGGCGGTGCTCTTGCGCACCTGCAGCTCTAGGAGGAGCTTTCCGGCGGCTTCGCGGCCATGGGAAAGCACCTTCTCCTTGTCCACCTGAGAGAGGCGGTGAGACGAAGTCGGGAGCAGTCAGAACATGATGGATCGTACGCGGATGTAGAGATTCTCCAGCGTCCCGTCCGTTGAACGGATCTCTTCCAGTCGTGCAATGCCAGACTTGATAAGGTGTTGAGTAATGCCCAACCTGAATCGAGGTCAAAATATATGTGGACCGAGCAAGGGACGAGAAGACGTACCGAGCCTGCATATGCGCCTGACCGTGTTTCTTCGTCGCGGGATCATAGAACTCAAGAGCGCGCAGCCCAGCGCGCGCCATCAGAAGGAAGGTGATGTACTGAACATCTTCGACGTCCGTCTTGTCGATGTACTACAGGAGAATTCATCTCCATGAACTAAAGCAATTGGGAAGACATACGCTGAAGATCCTGAGGATGTCAGGGTTGCTCACGACTTTGTGCAGTCAGAAAATGAATTCCACAAAATCTTTCCCAGGAGAGAACGTACGGTACAGCGCAACGGTCTCGGCACGGCACTCTTCGAACGAGGACGACACTTCCCCAAGAACGGAACCGGAAGTCTGACCAGGTTTATACCACGATGTGCTGGATGATCGTACCCAGATCAGTAAGCAAAAGACTAGACACATCGATCGGTAGGACTTACATTGGCTTGCCCGTGAGCGGGCTTATGATCTACAAAGAATTCGAATGTCAACAAATTACTCTGGGCATAAAACATTACTACTAGCCTTGGACGCATCAAAGTTACGTGTCCCATCCGCGTTCTCCTGGAACAACTTACCGCTCCCGTGGCCGAGTAGCTCATGATTCGCTACCTGCAGTTCAAATGCACGTGTATCCCATGCGTTGTAGAGGTCCACGTCATCGGGGTGGATGAAAGTGAGTTCTTCATCTACGCGAGGGCATCACATATTTACTCGGTGGAATCCTCCGTGGAAACCCGGACTCACCGGGTGCTTTCGCCGCAAGGATGTTCTGTGAGAAGTTGGTGAGGCTACCTGTGATATTCGAGAAGTGGAGGTCAGACGTACAGCAAGTGAAACATTCTTGAATCCTACAGATTCACGGATCTCATAGTAATTCTGTGGAATGTTCAGGTTAGTGCGGATATGATCAATTCTTAGGCGCCACGTACCGGAATCTGAGTGCGTGAAAATTCGGTAGGCTCAGATTACCCCAAAGAATGTAGATCACGTACGTTGATACCGGCAGGAATACCTGGCGGATCTGTCAGTGGTACTGATATTACACGCGACAATAATATCTCACCTCCTGTAGCAAAGGTAACAATCTCCAAGGCAGTAAAATCGGGCTTCCTGAAGACGTCGACTTCGAAGTCCTTGCCCCAAGGCAACACTTTAAGCAACTCGGGGGCGTCATTCACAAGTTTGTCATACTTTTTGCTGAGGCTCTTGTCCACGATGGCGGTGAAACCTTTGCGGGTGGGTGAGCGTTTTATGTCGAGAAACAGTAAAATTCTAGACCTTCCCACTCGGCGCGGCCTCCGTAAGGATCTACGTAGGTCTCTACGAATCCGATGTAACTTTCAACGACCGGACCAATATCTTTGACCCACTCAGCCGAGGCCGCCTTGTGTGCTGGAATAGATCCAGTCTCAAAGCTGAATTTGGTTTGCCAATGAGCCTTTGTAAGCGGCCCTGTGTATATTGACCACATACGACTCAATATAACCATCGATCATTGCAGCTTGATGCTCATTGGTGACGTATTTCCGGGCCTACAGGCTCATCAGATGTTGCAAGAGGTAGAGAACCTATCGAATATACCTCTTTGAGAGCCTGAACCGCGTTCTGTAACGGTGGAGAGAAATCGCCGTACTCTACAGAGACCTTAGCTCCTTTGCCCAAGATCTCAGTTTCATGCAAGGAACTGGGCTGAGGGTGGGCTGATGCGACGAGCAGAACGAAATCGTCTGAGCCGTTCTTCTTTACGCTGCACGCCGCAGATCAGTCATACGTATCATGAATAGATACTAAGACAATACCGTGTGTTCAAGACATCGACCCCGATCTTCTCTGCGGCTGCTTGAACAGCGGCGACTTCCTCGTCCAAAATAGGCTCTCCGAGGTAGTAGTTGGAGACCTGTCCAAGACGAGGCTTGCCAATGAAGTTGCTTGACTCCGGAACGACTTGGTAAATATGGTCTTTCAGCTGTACGTACGAAATAATTTTGGATTAGCAGTTGACGGGTTCGCATATATGTAACTCACTTCTGCCCACAGAGCCAGTGCCTCGCTAGCGTTGGCCGACTTCTCCACGACCGCGGCGAACGTGTCCTGCGAAATTCGTGGTACGATCTTCGTAAAACCGAACGACCTGTAGTTCACGAGGTTACTCAAGACCTATGTTGAGATGGTTCAGTGAATGACCTCCAAGCGTGATAAATGAATCAAGTGCTCACTTGACTGGTGTACTGCATCAAGTCCTCCCATTCCTCCGGGCTCACAGCCGACCTCTGCTTCAAGCTTTCCAAGTCTGCAAGCCTGCCGCCGCTGCTGAACGTCAAGAGCAGCAGCTTGTGCAGCTTGTGAGCGTAGGGAGTCCACTGGTCCTGGATGATGCGCGCGCCAGCCCAGGATGCCTGTCCTACATAGTGAGCATACTTCTTCTCCTTTGAACTATGCACTGAGTGAGCGACACGCAGCAGATTTAAGCTCAACCCTCTCACACCTGAGCTGGGTGAAGGACTTCGCCACATCAAGGCTGCAGAGTGGGGCAGCGCGGTCGGCGAGGAAACGTTCGGCTGCGGCGGAGACCATGGTTCTTCGGGTTGCAGCTAGAGAGATGGATGGGGAAATACCTATGGCAGGGTGGCGAAGGTGGTTTTGAGAGACTTGGCGGAGAATCCGCGCAGATAATCGCATTAACAAGAGGTGTCGCGATCAGAACCTTGATCAACTACAATTGCTCTCGTGACGCATATGTCGGACGTGAGTTTATTATAATTACACATATGTAGCATATACTTTACATCCAGGGGGAGCAGAGTAAAGGCGCATAAAGATGTAGCGGACTCCATCCTCTCCCTCGCGTGGCACCTTCACAGTTGTTTGAGGTCTTGAACGGCGTGAGGCATCACCTACTGGATGGTTTGTTTCCTCACCGCATCTCGAGCACGCACGTAGTTGGCCCACAGAATCTTCCACTCCGACTCTAGAGTTCCGTCTCCAGCCTTTCCAATTTGACCCGCCCTATCCGCGGCAACGCCAGCCCAGCCCAATGCTCGCTCGTAGCATTCCAGAGCCTTTTCAGTTGTCTCTGGAGAACTGCCTGCCTCCACAAGAATACCCATGAGATTCCACGCCTCAGCAGCGGTCCGGCGGGCATCGCGCAACAGGCTCTTCGCTGGTTTCTTCATAGACCGTGACTTCGCGTAGTCTGATACTAGCGGCGTCTCAGACGACGGTGGATGCGGGATCCGCGACTGAGGTGCATCGGGGTGAACAGGGGGAAGACCGGTCAAAGTGAGCGCAACGCGTTCCGAGGACTCTGCTGCTCTCGACAGCCACTCCAACGACGTCATCGGTTTCATGCGAAGGGCATACGAGACTTCTGCTAAATGGATGGAAAGCAGGGAGGAACGGTGAAGGAGGTACATTGCGTGCAGTGCTTCAGGTCTGGAAGCTGCTTCGAAAGAAGCTGGAGTAGGCATCGATCTCAACAAATTTAGAGACGACTCCTCCAGAGCTTGTGCCTGTTTCAGCTGGCCAGATGTTGCGTAGTATGCAGATAGCGACACCAACGTTGAAATCAAGGTACGCTGAGCAAAAGGAGACAATGGCGCAGATTCGGGCACGGGAGGCGGCATGCTGATGATAGCTGCGTTGGAACCCTGGCTCAACTGGATAGCGCGCGCCCACCACGCTATCGCATCCTCCTGATCGCCTAGCCTTTGATTGAGGTCGCCAAGTTTGAGAGCAATGCGGGTGGAATCAAACCCTTTGCCTGGTAGTCCGGCCCACACGCGCTCGAACTCGGACCTGGCCTCGAACAAAGCCTCCCGTGTACCCATGCGCTCCATGATACTGGCGTGTCGCACGATGAGCTCCGTTAGAGTCTGAGGGTGAAGCCGCTCAGGTCCTTTCTTCATTCCGGCATCGATAGCTGCGTTCAGAAAATCCTGGGCAAACTCCAAACTCCCGTCGATCGCGCTCAGACCGCCAGCTCCGGAGCCCGCGCGACCACTGAAGGCTTTGGATGAGATAACGCTTGAAGTGGTGCCGATGCCCCAGTTCTGTGCTATCCATGCACTGCGAACTGCAACTCTGCCCGTGAAGCCCAGACCTGGATCTGTCCCACCTGCAGGACCCCCTGACCACCTATCCGCCTCGAGGTCCCATTCCCACTTGCGCGCCTCCTCATCGGTCTCAGCAGCCAGCTCGGAATGCTCGACATACATGTGTACGCCTTGGAACGCCGTCCATGTCGTGACGCCAAGCGTGATAAATCCGATAGCAGAGAATTTGATGAAGCGCTTGAAGAAGTCGATGGTGAAGATGGTGTGTTTAGCGAAATCTTCCTCGACGAGAACAGACGGCTGGTCGGTGGCATCCACCTTCCAGGGAGTAAGCTTCTTGCCTTCAGTGTGGTTGTAGCGACGACATCCAATTGAGAGACCACGGGCAGCGCCTTGTCGAGGGAGATACGGTAGCCGTCGCGGTGCCTTCGCGAGCATCAATGCCGCCGACTCGGACGAGGAGGGGATGCGTGACAAGGGTCAAGTCGTGACTGAAGGCACCATGTGTCACTAGTCACGAGACAGACGCGTCACCGACGACACTTTACCGTGACTTTACCGTGACCTCGACTAGACTCTGCGTCCCCGCATTCTTTATTCAGCCTCGTCTTTTGCATTCGCAGCGGCGTGGACGGCCTCAAAAAATACCGCTGCCCTATTCGATTTCACGACATGAAGTTTCAAATCGACGACCTGCCTGTTAGTCTCGAGTGGAACATCTATTCTGTGGATTCGTTGACCGTTGACGGTGAAAGCTAGATTATCTTCCCTTACGACCGAATATACCCAGGTATTTATCACCATTATATGTTCGCTGCTTTTAATTACCAGTGTTTCGTGCAGAACAATATGCGTACATGTGTGATCTCAAGAGGACCCTCGACGCTACGGTAAGTACGCAACGCGGCTAATTGAACTTCGCTTGTACCAAGGGTGCCCCTCACTCAGGGTCATTGTGTTCTGGAAATGCCTTCAGGGACCGGGAAGACGGTGTCCTTGCTCTCTCTCATCGTTTCATACCAGCAAGTGTGTAACCAGTTGTTTCTATATGCCGTACTTTCCTGACTGGATACAGTTTTATCCTACCAAACGGAAATTAATATACTGTTCACGAACGGTTCCCGAAATCGAGAAGGCGCTCGCTGAATTGAAGAGGTTGATGGAGTACCGCCTTTCTTGCGCGGAGACTGAGGAAGAGAAGCAGAAGGAGCGCAATTTCTATGGCATCGGGTTAACAAGTCGGAAGAATTTGTGTATTCATCCAGAAGCGCGCTTTACTTGCAGTGAACTTGCCAACAGTGTCAGCTGACTAAAGTTGGTCATTGCAGGTATCCAAGGAAAAGAAAGGCAAGGTCGTGGACGCTCGATGTCGAGATCTCACCAACTCTGCTGTCTGCGAAAAGGGTCGTCAGGACCCAGGATCAGTGGACCTGTGCGACTGGCATGAGGTAAGTTGTCCACACAAAAACGTCGGTGAATCCTATTCAGTCATCCCACCTTAGAACTTGGGCAAGTTGGAGCCTGGCAATCTCATACCGCCTGGAGTCTGGACTCTGGCCGATGTTCTGCAGCATGGTCGTGACAACCGTATATGCCCGTACTTTTTGGTCCGAAGAATGGTAAGTGTGCTGCTTTAGTTTAGTCTGCAATTTACTGAACTATGCTAGATGCCGTTCGTTGATGTTGTTGTATATTCATTCCACTATCTCCTTGACCCCAAAGTTGCCGAGCAAGTCTCGAAAGAGATGTCAAAAGACGCCATCGTCGTTTTCGACGAGGCTCACAATATAGGTTTGCCCTGAGTAATATGCTACTTCAGGACTGACTTCCATTCGCTAGACAATGTCTGCATGGAGTCTCTGAGCATCGATCTGACACGACCGATGCTCGACTCGGCTACAAGAAGTGTTGGTAGGTTGGGTGAGAAAATTGACGAGTAGGCCTCCGATTTTTAGTGCGAATGCTATGTCAATCTCTCATTTTTTAGAATTAAGAAGACCGATGCTTCTAAATTGCAAGATGAATATGCCAAACTCGTCGAAGGTCTCCAAGAAGCATCGGCCGATGAAGACGCATTCATGACCAATCCAGGTGGAAACTTCTACGCGCTCCGTCCGGCAGCTGATCCTTAACGTGGAACATATAGTGCTACCTGAAGATCTACTGAAGGAAGCGATCCCTGGCAACATCCGCAAGGCCGAGCACTTCGTCGCATTCCTGAAACGTTTCGTAGAGTATCTCAAGGTTTGTGGTAATGCCGTACCTAACCATGTGTCTCAATTGAACCTTCTTGTAGACTCGCATGCGTGTTCTACACGTGGTAGCAGAGACGCCGCTTTCATTTCTGCAGCATCTGAAGGACATTACGTACATCGAACGGAGGCCGCTGCGGTGAGCTCTCATGGCGTTGTTGCAAATGTAACTTGTGGTTTAAGAGTACGTTTGCAGCTTCTGTGCGGAACGTTTGCAATCACTAGTCCGTACTTTGGAGTTGAGCAGGCTTGATGAGCACTCTTCCCTGCAGAAGGTTGCCAGCTTTGCCACATTAGTGGCGACATATGAAAAGGGTGTGTTGATGACCTGTCGTAGAAGTGCTGACATGCTGTCTGACGCTTGATAGGGTTTCTTCTGATCCTTGAACCTTTCGAGACTGACAACGCGACCGTTCCTAATCCAATTTTCCATCTTACGTGCGTGCTATCTCTCTCGCATGATACCTGTGTGTGATGTACGTACCCTTCATAGATGCCTTGACCCTGCTATCGCAATCAAGCCCGTGTTTGAGCGGTTCAGTAGTGTCGTGATCACTTCCGGCACGATCTCGCCTCTGGATATGTATCCAAAAATGTTACAGTTCACGCCAGTTGTACAGGAGTCCTATTCTATGACGCTCACCCGCAGTTCATTCTTACCTTTGGTAATGTTGATTCTCATTCTCCGCTTTACTGACACGGACTTACTCGTGCTATGAGTAGGTCATAACGCGAGGCAGTGACCAAGTCGCTATCAGCTCTCGTTTCGAAGTCAGAAACGATCCAGCCGTCGTGCGCAATTTTGGAAGCATTCTTATCGAATATACCAAGATTGTACCCGATGGTATTGTTGCTTTTTTCCCAAGTTATCTTTACATGGAATCGATCGTGGCAGCATGGAATGACATGGTGCGTCTTAATATCGTTCTACGTGCTTCCGTACTCATGGTGTACAACAGGGCATTCTAAATGAAGTCTGGAAGCACAAGCTGATTTTTGTGGAGACTCCAGACGCCAACGAGACGAGCATTGCATTGGAGAATTATCGCAGAGTATGCACGCTCGCGGTTCTAATCCTGCATGGCTGATTGTTCATCTGAATTGTTTTAGGCATGTGATAATGGCCGGGGCGCTGTGCTCCTGTCCGTGGCTCGTGGAAAAGTATCTGAGGGTATTGATTTTGATCACAATTATGGGAGAGCGGTCATCATGTTCGGGTACTTTGCTTCGATTCAATCCGCGTTACCTCACTGACGCCCCCGTCCAGCGTTCCATATCAGTACACCGAAAGTCGTATCCTGAAAGCGCGACTCGAGTATTTGAGAGATGCTTATCGCATCCGAGAGTCAGAATTCCTCGGTTTCGATGCCATGCGGACTGCCGCCCAGTGTGTAGGACGCGTCCTCCGTGGTAAGACGGACTGGGGGCTGATGGTCTTTGCCGATAAGGTGTGCACCTGCTGACACCCGATCGAATCTGCGGAATGTATCTGGCATCTGACGTTCAACCAGCGATTCGCACGTGCGGATAAGCGCGCAAAGTTGCCTCGCTGGATAAATCAATACATCACGGAGACTGCCTCTAATCTGTCTACGGACATGGCTCTGTCACTCTCAAAATTGTTCATGCGCACCATCTCCCAGAATCCGAACGAGAACCAGACGGGCATTTCCTTGTGGACGTTGGAGGATGTCGAGAAAGCACAAGCAAAGCAAAAGGCTCTCGCGTTGGAAACCGAACAGCAGCAGCAGCAGCAGCAGCAGCAGCAGCAACAGCAGCGCGACGAAGCCATGGACGAGGACGATTATTACGGGGACGGGGGATTGGACGACGAAGTCCTCGGACAGATTGATCTAGATGTTTAGTATACAAATCCTTACATACAGTTTGCGTGGGGTTGTGTTGCATGTGTACAGTAGTGATCACAAAACGAGTAGTGGTGAGTATAGGATGCGATAGCGGCGGGAATTCTGCATCAACGACAACGAGGACATTTCCCTGGGACCTGGTGGTAGATACCGTTAGCATGTCACCAACTCACGATGGTCAATATAATTGCCACTAGCCTCCTGGTCAACGATACGCTCCGGCTGGCTATTGGCATGGACGCTGTGAGCCACCCGAGAGGCAGTTAGAAGGAAAGGACGTACGTATAGTAGCGACGACACCGGCATATATTTCCGCTTGTGCTTCCGCAATTATGGGAAGCGCTGAGGAAACAGTCCCAGCTTTGACAGTCGATGTTGTTCTCTCCGGTGAATGTCAAGTGACCGCATCCAGAGGACTTGTAGAAATGCAATCGACGATGGCACATCTATGAGAGTAAGCCAATCAACATCGGCGGATCTCCCGAGCCCAGGGGAGAACGCACATCGGCGCTAGAGTGTGGTCGGCGGAGGTAGGCGGTCAAGGACAGCGGTGCGAAGGAGTTGATCGAAGACTGTAAGTCGATTCCGATCGAGGCTGACTGTGCTAACAGATAGACTATCCAAGATGAATCTTGTTTATTCGTTCAGGTGCACGACGACTCGGAGAGGCTGCTTGACATAGGAAATTTGAGCGGCGGAGGTGTCTCACCGTGTGCTTTATAAAGCCCCAACAGTTAGACGGGGTAGCGACGGACCGACCTCAAATTTTAGGTTCCCCCTATTACGCAGGAGCGGTGCGCGGAGATGGGTTCCGAAGCCTAGTCCGCCCCCGCATGGTGCGTATGATCAAAGTCCATCAGGCGGTGAGAGTGGATGGAATTCTTCTCTTGCGTAAATACAAACGTTTGGCCGAGACGAATGGAGTAGAACAACCTGATCATCTCGCGTGCGACCAGATAGACCGTCACGTGGGCCGCCAAATTCGTTGAAGTCTCTCGAAGTGACAAGACCACAGCCACATCTGGATCTAACGACGAACACAAAATACTTCCAGGATAGCATCACTTCTTCTTGACATTATCCCAGACTCTTGCGTGAGCTGTTTCTTATCTCAGGATCTGCCGTATATATTGTACCGTTAGATGTCCAGTAACGCTCAGCACGATGATAATCCGAAGTCGAAACATTTTCTGTATGCGCCTAGAAATCCAAGGCTCCAAGAAGAACGTGCAAACTGCGGCCATGCGCTGGCCGATAGTACACTGCTTCCTACGTACTCGAGTTTCAAGGTCGACGCACTCACCTCACCCGTTCAAGTCTGCAATATCACGCAAACTGGCCACTGGTAAGACGACACCCCACTGGCAGAGGAAGCAGCACCGTGCTAAGCTGTATCTGGCGTACGTGTTCCCATCCTTCTGTTAAAACAAATGTCACGCAGGAGACTTTCCTTGATGACTGTAAGGTTTGAAGAACCGAAGCTTAGGAAGTCACGAGTCTAGCCAGCAGCAGGCACTCACTTGCCTCAGTTTCATGTGCGTTTGTTCTGTCCGTCGTCTCTTCCCGGCATCCCATTTTATCCCTCTTGCTATTTCGATGATGGGGTGAATGGACCTTCGCTTGGCGGTTTATATCGCTCACGTTCTAGCCTAGTGCACGACATGGCGTGGGCCCACTACGGTATTCAGAGGTCTACACTCAGCGCTAGTTCAACTGCGCACAGCAACTTGCCGCTAAGGCTTCTAGAAAAGGTGTGTAAACTCCTCAGCTCTCTACCGTAAATATACTGTTGACTGTTCCCTACCGCACTTACAGTGCACATCAATACGCAGGGACAATACAAACCACGTGCAAGTCCGGACTAACAAGCTTCCAATCGAGACCGACGTATGCGTGAGGTAATAACACAGAGTTACTGTCTCCAGGTGAAAGCCGGAAGGTTGACTTGATGTCGGAAGCAACAGGAAGCGATGTGTAATGCAATACACATTTGAATTGTGTCAACTGCCGTCCCGTAAGGGACTCAGTTCCAGTTCTTCAGTCTTCTCGTTCCCTGAATATCGCCTGAATTGGAGTTCATGGGCCGCTGAAGCGTCTTCACCGTCAATGCGACTCCACCCTGCTGGTCTGCTCGTTGAACTTAGTGCTGTCCGCCCGCTCTCTCCTCGGGGCTCTATGGGTATCCGGGCAAATTGGTTCTCTCCTCTAGAACTGAACAGGTGATTCACGGACTTTCCGCGTCGACGTAGGTCTATGCATGGAAGTTCCCACAAGTCGGGAAATCAAAGGCATGTCCAGTTATCCGAGGACACATAGTTTTGTCCACCTTGTCTGATCATGTACACGCAGGGCTCTCCGGAAACTCGTTCTGGAGCGCGTACAGGCTGAAAATTTTCGTCAACTTGCCCGAGCATACGGGCACTTCGTCTGTGCAGGTATGCACGACCTATCCTCATGTCAATGTTCCTCAGATGCTACTCGATAGACTCGCTCTACCGTATCGTGGGTTGTGCCTTAAAGTTACTCGGGACATCTATCAAGTCAAGAGCATTTTGCTTCCGCACGCACGAGTCAGATCCCAATTTATCGATGACGATTATCGATAAGAGAAAACCCAAGATGGTGATGTTGTCAATGACACAGATGAAGTCCTCGTGGTGACTCGAGAAGCGTTATGCTCCCTTTTTCACAAGATCTCGAATATCAACCTTCAGCATGGCAAGGAGCCTGGCAATGAGCGCCTCCGATCATCATGTGCTACTGCGAGTTATCAGGCATGCTTCGCAGATACCATAGGCCCATGCACCTCGAGCATGAAAAAACCCATCGCATGCATGCGTTACGCGAACAAGGACAACGCGAGTCTGTTTCCTTCCAGAAGCTGAATTTCTGGTGCTCTGCTTACGGTGCGTCGTTGCGTGCAGATACCTTCGAATAATGCGTACGTCCATTCCACTTTTGACGCTTTGCTTCTCAGCTGTTGGGATAATTTCTGGTAGACCCCGGTTCTCATTTACCTCCGTCAGAATTCAAGCGTGGCGGAACACTTGAACCATCACATTCAAGGTAGGTTGGCCGACCTCTAAGTACCTCAAGTATACTTCCGGGAATGCTCTCCAGCCAACCTGCAAAGGTAAGTGCCCCGATCCTTCAGAATCTTTCATCACCGAGAGAGTTTTTTGCCGGGCGCAGGCAATTTTGCGTGTGTGGTTTTCACGGGAGAAGCCAACCGCTTCTGATGGAGATCTGCGAGATAGTGGTTCCTCTTATTCCCCAGTGGACCATTAAGCATATCCCTTCTCACGAAGTGACTCGCTTGTGGAACACTCACATTGGGCGTCACGAGGCTGGGCTGGTGATTGGTCCGTGAAGTTAGTGAGGCAATCCACTGACTTGGCAAGTTGGAGAGTACTACGCGGCGCAATGGATAATATAGCGTTCTGGTCGGCTCATACAGCGAACAGTCAACACACTCTGGCTTGTAAGCGTCGGTGGGCTTCACGCCCACAAGTCATGATATATCACAAGAAGTTGTAATGCAATTACTGTAGATCATTGGGGTAGAGCAAAACGACAATGCACGACCAGCACGACGAAAGGGATGAACTACCTGATGCTATGACTTCTGCCCGACCGTCTCGGACATTAGTGAGACGTCGTCCTGTAGAACTTCGGCGATGTTGCGTATTGGCTCGCCCTTGATCACCTTCCTCACTTCGTCGGCATCCAGCGTCTCGTGTTCGACGAGGGCGGAGGCCAGCTGCCGATGAGAATGACCATACAATGATACGGGAAACAACCGTGTGAACTAGTACAAACACAGCAGTGGAGAGGAGAGCTTACCCTATGCAGTTCTTGCTCCTTCCCCTTGAGAAGATCGGTCACTCGTGACTCGCCCGCTATCAGTAGCCTGTTTCCACGGGGAAAGAAGAGATGCGTCAGTTCCAACAGCCACATACTTCCAAGCGATGCCAAGGCATTTTCCGAGGAAGTTATCGGACCACAACGGAAACGGAATTCTTCCCATGATCGGAGAGCTAGCAAATGACACTATCCTGAGAGACAAGATACGCACTTTCGCACTTCGGAATCTATCTTGTCACGCGTTGTCGTACTAATCGTCTCATTTTCAGTGTAGTAGACGGGTCCGACTTTATCAGAAAATCCCCAATTCTAGAAGGAGCACACGAAACGACGCAGAAGACACCCAAGAGATAAATCAACTTCAGTGTGATGGAAGACAAGGCACGAGAGGAAGAGGATGCCGACCTTGACCATCGCTTGAGCAGTGCGAGTAGCCTGCATCAAGTCTGATGATGCACCACTTGTGACGTTGGAGGGGCCATAGACTATATATGAAGAGTAATCAAGCGACCCCAATAGACCAGAAGGGTTGAACTCACTGAGTTCTTCAGCGACGCGTCCACCCATGCAGACATCGATGCGCGCGAGGTATTCTTTCAATGATACCGAGTACTGATCATCTTGAGGCAGTTGACTTGTCTGTCGTTGCGAAAATCAGGCGATAACTTCCAGGAAAGAAGAAGTGCAACATACAATACCGAGAGCATGCCCGCGAGGTACACATGTCACTTTGTGCAAGGGCATCGCACCGTCTGTGTACAAAGCCACAAGAGCATGACCACCCTAATAACAAAACATCAGACACCAACTATGAGAGCGATTGTTGAATATACCTCATGGTAAGCAGTCATTTTCTTGACCTCTTCGCTGATATATGTGCTCTTTCGCTCGGAACCCAGGATAATCCGGTCCTTAACTTTCGATTAGAACCCTACAATAATGAATCCGTGACACAGTACCGACCTTAGCCCATTCGAAATGAGAGAGGTCCACCGCCTTGGCTCCTTGCTTCGATGCTTGAACGGCTGCTTGACTGAATACTCGTCAACCTGTGTACGAACAATCCACCAGCACAGCCCCACAATACTCAGCCACGGACTATGGCACAATCTGGTGTCGTAGAGGAAATGAGAAGAAGGGCAGGTAACTTACTTCACCATATTCTGCAGGTCCGCTCCCGAGAAGCCTGCGGTACCCCGTGCGAGGATCGTTGCATCGACATCTACGAGCATGAAGCATTGACACACGGAATATATAATCTCAGAAATAAAACTTACTGGGGGCTACCACGACATCTTTCATGTGGTGTTTCAAAATCTGAACTCGGCCGCGGACATCCGGCAAGGGGACAGCAATATGTCTATCAAACCGACCAGGTCGCACAAGGGCACTACAGATTCGTGTAAGGTCAACAATACCAAAACTCGCGAGCTCGATGCAACTCACGGATCGAGACTGTCAGGGAAGTTCGTTGCCGCAATAACGATGACTCCTTCAGTCTGCAGGAACCCATCCATCTCGACCAACAGCTGGTTCAGCGTCTGCTTCATATATTGCGTGTCACGGTTGGAGCGCTTCCCGCCGATCGCGTCAATCTCGTCTATGAAAATGATGGCGGGCTGTCTCTTCCGCGCAGCTGCAAAGAGATCACGAACACGCTTTGCACCGACACCGACGAACATCTCATCAAACTCGGAACTGAGCAAAAAGTGTTAGCGCTCAATAAATGAGCGAAAGTGAGCCAATAACTCACCCAGAAGCAAAGAAGAATGGCACGCCAGCTTCCCCTGCCACGGACCGCGCAAGCATCGTTTTTCCAGTTCCTGGCGGTCCAGTCAGGAGGATACCCTTAGGTAATTTCCCGCCAAGCGCCGCAAAGGACGTGGGATCCTTCAGGAACTCGACTACCTCTTGCAGTTCCTGAAAATGTTCGATTTTTAGCACATCGTAGTTGACCCTAACGAATAATGATGTACATCCTTCGCTTCGTCGACACCGTGTACGTCGTTAAACTTGTACGTCTTGCCCTGCACAGGTTCGAATTCGCTTTGATGAGGGCCAGCTTTCATCAGGCCGGAGTTCTCAAGGAGGACGGCGAGCATGACGAGAAGGACTGCATACGGCAATGAGGTAATATGCGAAGCCACTGACCAAAAAAATTACTACTTACAGAAACTTGTTACCGCTGTGAGGACCAAGAACCGGATCATGCGTGGCACCCAGGAGCCTTTCGCTGTAAATGTCGGTTAGAACAATATCCGAGCATTCACCATGTCAGGACTAGTGAGCTAGCATCAGCACGACTAGCTAGAACCGCGAGAATATTTCATGCCGGGAGTAGTGCAAGTGGTGGTACGTGCGTCTAGGCATACATAGCAACACTGCATGCACAGACCCACGTAGTCCATACGTCCACAACTCCCCGTACGAAAAACCCCGTTCACCAACGACATTGCATTAGGACGTGTTGGCAAGTCCAAAATGTACGTTCACGCAAACAGTATACGATAAAGAAGCTAAATGGCCGATACCCACGTTCATTGATTGTGACCACAACGGGATTGTCAGGAACTCCGAGTCCGCCATTCAGCGCCGTTGCAAAATTAGCCATGCCGGCCTTGTTCGCCGCTGAACCACCAACAGACAGTGCGGCTTGTCGCGTCAGAACTGCTTGAGCTAACAACTGACTGGACGTCGGAGTCGGGGCACGCTGCGCGGGTTGCTGGGATGACACAGAATCGGAAGAGACAGCAGAGTCCGTTGCAGCAGGTGAAGTTGCGGCATCCGAAGAACCGACAGAGTCCGAGGAAGTAGCCAGTGAACTAGATGAAGCCGAAGAAGATGTTGAGGTAGAGGCAGCTGCGTGAACACCGAGCAGGGAATCGCGTTTCTGGACGGCAGCATCGACAGACGATGACAGACCATTCTCGACTAGAGCCGTGAGATACAATTGGAAAGCAATATCAGAGCGCAGAAGAGGATTTGAGGGATCCTACGAAACACGTGTGAGAGCGAATACACGAGTGGGGAAAGAGTGCATACGAAGTCACACATGTGTTCCCATCTCGCGATGACCACGTCATACCCTGGCTTTATCTTCGTTCCTACAAGAGCCTGAAACAGAGAAATCTGCTTCTGAGGGTCTGTGGGATTTGCATTCGCTTCCGCCTCGATTGCAGCGACATTGGCTACAACACTTGGAGGTGGTGTAGGAACGGGAGGTTTGCGTGAGAAGATGGAGGATAATGATAATGCTCTAGAGTGCGGGAGCAACAATGGTCTACGTGGAAGAGGATGGGTATGAAGACTGAACAAAATTGGTGCGGAAGTGAAGAGTGAGCGTTGCAGGAGAGAATGAGTTGGTGGTCGGAACGTCGGTGCTCTGGTGCGCAATGCGCCCAGAAACTGTCGATGCAGCAGCCATACTGTCAGCAAAATGTTACGGAAAGCAATCACGACATACGTACCAGAGAATGGAAAGACATGCTGTCGTGCCAACAGCTCCCCTCGTCGTCGTCCCCGTCTGTGTCCTTGTCGTGCACAGAAAAGTTATGAGGTGTGTGAGCCCTTTCGCTATCCACGTGAGTCTCCGGTCACGTTACACCTACGCAAAACCTCGGCAGCTGGCTTTAACATCTCCGAAAATACCGGGCTCATCTCTACGAACTGCTTGACTGGAGGACGACTGGAGGAGGTGCTGGCGGACAACATACACACTTGGATGCATGTATGATTTTCTTGGATAATTTTTTAGATTCACGTTCAGACTACATGGGGCATCGAGTGGACGTCGGTCATCTAGTGCTTACAATACGATGTCCGCCTTCGCCCCTGTGGGCTGAGGACATGTCTACGACAGGCCTCGACGAACCAAGTATGTATGGAGCAGCGGATCTACGATGGCATGAGCGGGACGTTAGCCGGACTAACACTCCGCTACCTGGAGTACTTACAGGATCGCCGGTGATAAGACCATATAGGTGAATGGGGTTGCTCAGGCTGAACATTACAGATCCATGCTAACTCTTGTCTTGTGCTACTGTATGTAAGTGTCACTGCAATGAGCGATTTGACACTGGTGACGCTTCCACAACATCTCACTGAAGCGGAATTCTGTACCGTATTCCAGCATGTCTTTCGTCGTCTTGCCACATTCCGCAGAACTCTGCGCTATGAACGAATGCAGCTTCTCCACGCTCTCAGAGGCTGAAAATTTGAACAAAAGGGATGCATTCGACCTGGAAGTGAATGTCTTGGCGCAGAATCTGCTCGAACACTTGTGGCTAGCATGTAACGAATTAGACGGAGGTAAGTCGAGTATCCACTCATCTGTCCCCATAGATGAGTCTGACGCGCATGCGAGTATTCCTACAATTTTTTGTCGTAGTTAGCGAAGACGCGGTCGCTGCCACTCTCAAAAGTCCGCACCAATCCATAGACGAAGTGGAGCGCAAGACCAATAGAGCTAAAGATGAACACGCGCAGAAAGGGAAGACGCTACGATGCACTGGTATCGGTGCGGTTGCCGGTGGGGTACTCGTCGGCGTCACAGGCGGGCTGGCAGCGCCTCTGGTGGACGCAAACATCTCCACCATCTTCGCCTGGCTCGGCGTCGGCGGCACCGCAGCGGGTTTGCTCGCCAGCGGGCTTGCCAGTTCGTCAGTAGTCTGCGGAGCACTCTTTGGTGCCTACGGCTCAAAGAGATCGGCAGAGGTCGTCAGTCGGTACACGAGAGAAGTGGAAGACGTGGCGATTGTGCCCGTTCGACAGCCAAAGCAGACTCTAGCTGTGAGATTGTGTGTCAGCGGTTGGCTGAACTCTCCGGAGGACGTGGTCACTCCGTGGACCGTGTTCAGTGGGGATGACACGTTCTCGCTACAATGGGTATGTTGTAACTTTTATTCCAATGCACCGTTCCGAGTCTCAGCTAGGAAGTAGAGGCGTTGCAGAGGCTCTCCGATGTGCTTACGGCTCTCATTAAAGCCCAGGCTATGCAGTATGTGAAGGCCGAAATCATCAAATGCACTGTCTTCGCAAGTGTCTGCGCGGGCCTTTCCCCTACTGCCTGGTTGAAGATAGCCCAAATCATCGGTAGGCGTTCTATGACTCTGCTCTTCAGGGCTTTCAACTCGTTTCTCAGACAACCCTTGGATGACCGCCAAGTCCTTCGCGACGAAGACCGGGCGAGTGCTGGGCACTCTCCTCCACCAACGTGTCCTTGGTAACCGCCCCGTTACGCTCGTAGATTATTCCCTTGGCTCGTTCGTCATCTTCGAGGCACTGCAGTACCTCGCCTCGCTGCCGCCCGTCGAGACCTCGTCGCACCTTGTCCACGATGTCTACCTATTCGGGGCTCCAGTGTAGGGAGTGACACGGGTTAACCCGGATTATGACCGGGTGAAACCCGCAGGTAAACACGACGTGGAGTCTGTGACCGTACCCGACCCGTACCCGTTGATTTAAACCCGGGTTAACCTGCAGGTATAGCGCGGGTACCCGCGGATAACCCGTGAGTCAGGCGTGTAGCTGGCAAGTCTCCAAGAAACTGACGAATGTGATCCCACTAAAGCAGGCAATATTCTCGAGATGGTACACAATGATCTGCAAGTGTCAACTGACACCTAGTGAGCGTTGCATTCGCGGTGGTCGCTGCGACTCACCGTCACCAGCAACTAGCGCCCGTGTGCTTGCAGGAGCGCTCGTGTCACAGGTTACGCCTGTTTTCAGCCGCTGCCGAATGCTCGAAAACTGAATAAGTCCGTAGCGCCGCGCGAGCACGGCAGAGCCCGCCTAGTAGCTTATTGGGGTTGTTTGCGATATGATGATTCGACATTAGACACCACAAATTGCAGGTTACACAGATTTCAATATACAGATTTCAATTCTCGCTGCATACAAAGTGCAATGGTGTCGGTCTCAATGCCATGTGCTTTGGCTGTTCTCACCAGCAGGTCCTCGTTGGCATCAGTTGTGAACAGGGAGGATGAGGAATGTATAGGAAACATGATACTCAATGTATATGCAATATTTGGAGACTCAATGACGGGAGACGATGACCAGTAGATTCGCAACCTTGCACAAAGACAGGTTGCGATGACCAAGGGGAACCACCCGCGACGTGCGGGTCAGAACACGAAGAACTGCCTACACCGTAGGCGCACGTACAATGAGTAGAACCACTATCCGCCATACGGATAGGACACAGAGTACTACCGTTCCGAGAGGGAACAGCCACAGACGGAGATCCAACTTCAACGAGATGACTGCCATCGGCAGTGTCGGCGTACGGAGAGAAAGAGGTGCTCGCACCTTCTAAAACAGCAAAGATTTCATCAGTAATGTAGACAAGTAATAAAAATGCGAGAAATACCATTGAAAGGGTACCGGGGGAAGTAGCTGCCGCCGCACGTAGAGGTAGAGGGCGTGCTCGCATCTGTCACAAGATCATCAGGACTACTGGACATGGGTGAAGAGCATGACGCGCACCGTCGGCGGAGCACACAGCCATCCATGTGTACCCTTGTGGCGTGTTGAATGCGTCGAACGGGTCTGGATCCGCGAGTACACCGCCAGAAATGATCGGGCATAATATATCCATCCAGTCGTGCCCAAGAACGATGTCGGGATCCGCAATATATCCAACATGTAACGGGTGGTGGGGGGTGTAGTATCCCGTCGTCGACGGTATGACAACTGGGCCGGACACGGTACAGTGCGCAACCCCTGAGATCAGAGAGACGGTAGGCGGTAGACCATGCGCCAAGGCGAAACGAGTAGACAGAGTAGACTCCGAGCAGGACACATCCAACAGAACTGAAGCGAGTATTTCTGCGTATGAGCCGCGTAGCGATTGAGATGCACCTTTTCAGTCGATGGTGGATTACGTGTGCTGTTGCGCCGTGACCTGTTGTGACATCAAACACGTGACTTTGCAAAAATGGCGGGGAGCACGGACAGGTCGATCACCTCTAAGAACCCACTAGCTAGCGGGAATATACGGACCTGCCGGCCTCTTCCCCGGCCCCTCAGACCAAAAAGTACCAGGAGTGTCCATAAGTGGGTATACCCGTACCCGACCTGGGTGGCATGTGCAGGTCACCCGGAACCCGTGCAGGTCACCTGCACGGGTGTGATGTGGGTCGGGTCGCAGGTACACCCGGGCAGATGTTACCCATGTCACTCCCTACTCCAGTGCCTAATGACGAAGCTGCGTGGTCTGCCGCTCGGCGTGTCGTCGCTGGGTGGGGTCTAATAATTATGTCTTGGCTGTCCTGTCAAGGGTGTCGGACATTAGCTGGGGCGCAGCGGGGCACCAGTGTTAATAAAGGGTGTTGAGAACATGGCATGTCATCAAATTGACGGGCACTTGAAGTGGAGAGGGATGATTGGGCAGTGCTTGGAAGAGTGTGGGGCTGCTGGGATTCTCCATGGTGAGGTGGAGAAACATCTTACAGTTGCCGAGGGAGGACAGGTCTATTCCCCAAGTTCTCGACACAAATCAGTGGCTGCGGATCAATTGTTTGATGGGAAAAACAGATATTTAATTGACTGCCGAGGCTCGTGGCCGGTTAGGCACCTGCCAAGCCGGCTATTTTCCATGTCTACTCACCATCCCGCTGTGGCGCCGCCATGTCACACACTCGTGCTCATGATGTTCTGGCGTCATTTCTGCTTCTTTGTCAGTAGTATTGGCTTGCAGGTTCTTACTCCATGCATCTTTATTATATTTGCAGTTGAGTTAGGCCAAAACTGTTGTTCAGGAGGGAGTGGTTGTACTTCACTTACGTACACTCAACTTTTTAAGATGGAAGAGGACCTAGTGAACAATATTTGGGCACTTACTAGTAGTGAAGACAACTATCAAGTGATCTACTGCAAACCATGATGCCATAAGGGATTCAGTGAGTGTGTTGCACTTCTCTGCTGAGTCCAGGATTTTATGTACATGGTTCTCCTTTCTGTATGCATCACGGTAGGGGTACCTATCTATGTTCTTTATACTTAGTCTCCCGAGGGCAGATGGTAGACACTCCGCTTCAACCTCGTACCTCGGATATCCATGTCTGACGTCTGCTTTTTATTACGGGCTCTTACTAGGAGGTCTTGATTGCCGACCCAGCGCATCACGTGCTGGCACAACGCGTCTGTAAATCACGCTGAACGTGTCGCATTTCGAGCACAAGAAGCACCCGTTGTCCTGTGCTGCATGTGTATACAATACTTTCCAATGGGTATATTAATTGAGATTGATTTTGGAAACTTTGCTGTCTTATCTGCTTTGTACTGGTCCAAGAGGGCATTACATGTTTGAATCTCGTAGGAATCCCTCTATTCTATGGTTGCCGAGGATGGACAGGTCTATTCCCCAAGTTCTCGACGCAAATCCCTAGTTGCAGATCAATTGTTTGATGGGAAAAATAGATATTTAATTGAGTGCCGAGGCTCGCACACTCCCGCCGCACCGCCATGTCGTGCTCATTGCTTTGCATGATGCACGATGCTGCTGGTGTATGTTCTGCTTACTTGCTACTACTGGCTCACTGATATTCTCTCTGTGTTTTGTTTACATACCGATACTGAAACTTCATTTCACAGGTCACTGGCATGGCACTCGTCAAATCGGCTATTCTACTTTCTCTCGGTCTGCTAGCAAGCCTGTAGGTGCATCACTGTGTGCCACTCTCATCCCCCCGTTTCCTTGTTCCTCTTCCCTATCTCACATGTGTCACATCCCTCAGTGTCTTGTGCTTTTCTATCCCATGGAGTGATTGACCTTCAGAAGATGCTTGTCTTCAACTTGCATGAGCCCGTCGTGCGTCGCATTGATGCACTTGCTCAAGCATGAGTATGTCACATCGTACCAGGACCTAACTGATGAGCCCGAGGCAGCAGGTAACTTTCACCAGAGTTTCAAGGATGCGGAGCCCCCTGTTGATACGTGGAAGGTCATGATGTACTGTAGGTTTCTAGGTATGTAGTGCCCTACTCAGCCCTCATTTCCCCTCGTGCAATCTGCGGATACCTGCTTCTTCTTCAGATTCCCACCAGGTTGGTGATGTTCTGAGGGTCCGCCCACTACTCCAGATAGCCCTGCAATCACTAGCCGCACCAGCTATACATACCAACTGTTCGTTCCGTGTGGGCACCACAGGTGGCTTATGTCGCTTAGGCAGTGCCGGCGTAAGCCTGCGCAGCTGCGATGTCACCACAGGCTTATTGTGCGGAATTGAACGTGTATTCACCTGGGTGTTCAAGTGCTCCGCTGTGTGGCTCACCTTCAGGCTGTGCCCTCAAATTGATCTCGTTCTCTCCCTCGACAATGCCAGCGGATCCGTGAACACACTGCTGCTATGTGGGGCAGGGAGAGTGGTATAGGCAGCACATGACGAGGTGCTTTGTCCTGGGGTCAACATCGCGGATGGAATCGCACATGGTGAGCAACTGACCATGTACAGCATGGTTTCCTGGGCGGTCCACGCACCGGCGGGCTTCTTCTTCACGCTGTTGTCGCCCGTCATGCCTGCCCATGTCCATCCAGGACTGCGTCGATCAGATGAGCAGCGCACAAGGTAGATGGGATGATGTGAGACTACGTACACAAATAAGTGCACGGTGAGGTTCGCGAATGGCACGTCTCACAGCTCGTGCGTGAGACCCTCTGAGAGTGACTTCACAGCAGCATTGGATGCATTGTATGCGACGTTGCCTCTGCAGAAATGTCACAGTTCAGATAGCCTCGTGGGGAATATGCGTGGAAATGCGGAGATGTACAGAAGGTTCGTGAAGCTCACCTCGCCCCACACTTCGTACACTCGGTCGTGCAGCCGGACGACCTGGTCGAACTTGCTCACATCCGGACGAGCACGTTCGCCTCACCGACGACCTTGGCAACCTCTGTGCCAATTTCACGGAGCTGCTTTTTGTTCACGTCAGCAACGGCAATTTTGAGGCCAGTTCTGCATGCAATAACGGGCCCAATGAGTCTGAAGAAATATGATAATTTCAATATATGCTTACTTGGCAAATTCCAACACTGCCACTCATCTGATACCACTGGCAGCACCGGTGATTACAGCGACGTGACCTTCATGGAAGACAGGGTGTACGTCCTTGCTGAGAGTTGGATTCATGGGTGTCTCAAAAGCGAAGGAGGAACCAGAATGGAGAGGAGACGGATGACAGCTGGAATTGTTTGTTCAGAGGGCCATGTTTGGAAGATAACAGAGTCAGCCGATTATCGACGGGAATGGAGGATCTGCAGTCTGGGAATACTTTCTCGCCTTTATATCCTCCCTTTCCGCCGTAATGTGATGTTGAGGGACCGTCCCTTGAGCGAGCGCACGATCTGCGTGAGCTTCTATGGTATCGTGCGCAGCTGCATCTTCGTGAGCAGCGAGTGCAGCACGCGGAGGTAACCACCAGGATGTGGGAAGACGTATCGACTCGTTGTCCTCATTGATGTTGCCGATCTCGCGGAGGAAGACGTCGACGAGCACGCACAGGTCATTCGTGTAAAAATACTCTGCCACGCCTTTCATCATGAACAGGAGGTACAGGATCTTGAGCATGAGCACTTGCATGCACAAGGCCTCTGGTGTCCTATCTGCGACAAGGCTAAGCATGCGGAACAGTTGATGACCAGCACGGCTTACCTGTGCAATTGTGCATGAAGATCATGTTCTCGCTGAATGTCATGCTCGAGCCTTGCCGCGACAGGGGGAGGGTGAAAGATAATGATTATCATGGCGCTGTCACGCACCAAAAGTGTTTGGCTTGTGAACACGTAACCACCGGTGAAGCACTCGATAAAGAAGTCACGTGACTAAGATGGAACTCGAGAATGTTTGGCCGAGTGTGTCACCTGATGCTCACATTATGCTATTGGACGGGAAAAACTCGGAAAGTGCTTTCTCCCTACTTCTCCCTGCTTGCTTTATGCTATTGGACATGGAGGTCCCAAGAGTTTTGTCTTCCCTGTTTCTCCCTGCTCACTTTATGCTATTGGACATGAAGGTCCTAAGACATTTTTCCTTCCTACTTTCCCCTTTGATCACGTGATGCTCTTATTTTGCTATTGGCCAATCTGCCATGTAACACTACTATGTAACGGTCACAACAGGTGACACCCGAGGGGTATAAAAGGACCCCTGAGGCGCCCCGACCCTCAGTCTTCTCTCCCCACTTGTAGCACCCCTATAAGTGAAGAGTTCTCCCTTCGCTTGTAGCTTACCCTACAAGTGATAAACTAAAAGAATAGGAGTTTATTCCACTCCTCCCAGTAACATTGTTACTCGTAATCAAAAGGATCCCGACGAAGTCAGTTCAGCGCAGGCAGTGAGTTGTTACGAACACAACTACTGCACTCTCGTATCATTTCTGTTGGGTAGTCTAGCACACGGTTGCTAGATACTCAACCCGTTCTCGGAAAGTTCTCGGACAACACGTAGGAAAGTTATCGGTCAGGCACATCGTATTAGGACACACGCACTCGGTAAAGCCCTGCACACGATTGTAGGCACTCGGATAGGAACACAGAAGACTCGGTAAGCCCTGCACACGGTTGTAGGCACACTGTTAAGAAGACAATGAAGAATCGGTAAGCCCTACACACGGTTGTAGGCACACTGTTAAGAAGACAACGAAGACTCGGTAAGCCCTGCACACGGTTGTAGGCACACAGATGAGAGAACACAGAAGACTCAGCATCATATAAGAAGACAGAACGCAAGCCCTTGCACATGGTTGCTAGGCATCCCCCTCTACATTCCCCCGTCTGTATTGTACAGACTGCCATCCCGACTTCAGACAACAAATCACACGTATAGCTCAGGCGTCCCTAACCCATTATCATAAAAATAAATTTGATATCACTGAACAACTGTGATAGCCCTGTGTACTTTCCTGTTTGCCACGCCCGGTGAACCACAGCAAAGTACCACTCACTTGACCGGGAGTCAAAAGCTCCTCTGGCCAAGGCCCGTGCATACCCTGAGTCGACAGCGCGCCCTCACAACTGCTCCATTGAATACCCAGGATTCAGCGTCGATCAGTATCTACCAGTGAGTAAAGTCCTGCAGGTCTCAAAAAGGTTCAGTCAGGCCTGCATCAAGGTGAGTGGAAGTTCCAAGTTGGACCCGAGCTCCAGAACTGACAACATTGATGAATATAACACAGAAACTCACCTTCATTACTGGTGCACAAGGCGACTCGAGCACCACTACTGGCGCCGAGCTCTCCCAAAAGAGCGCCCAGAGTTGAGACGTCATTTTTTAGGTGCCGCACAGGATGACTTGGCGCTCATGACCAACGTCTTGGGTTGCTTGTCCGAAGCCATCTGTGGATCGCAGGAGCAGGTGCATTGTAGCATACCATTGACTTACCTTTCCCAGTCAAGGATTTCCAGTCTGAGTCCAACTTGGTCCAGCTGGTGAGACCTCAAGAGAAGTCCAACTCATAGAAATCCATGCCATCTCACCCGGCACACGCGTTGCACTTTGCGGCCAGCCAACAAGGCAGTAAGTATCTCCCAATTCTCAGTCGAGCATACGACTCACTGATATTACAGACCGGGCTATTCTAGGGTGTGAGCAACATACGCACGTTGCACCACTTTATAAGCTCATAAGCTGGATAGAATGCTCAGTATTTTTGATCATCATGCAACAGTAGCCACTGCGTTGGTCCTCGTACAATTTTTCCTGTTTATCTCTCAATTTGCTCACTCAATTTTACCCAATTTCTTGCTAGTCATCGGAGTCGGGCTGGGGCGAGTGTGTCATACAGCTGATGCACTGCCTGGCATACTCAGTTAAAAGGAGCATGGATGGTACATCTCATTGTGTCCTCGTATTCCTTCTTGTCTCACAACAATGGGGAAGAAGGCTCTCCCTGATGCTGCATCCTCCCACTCCTCTCTGAAGTTGCATGTCTCACGCAAGGCCGCCAAGGTCATGCAGACTTTGAAGGCTGGCATGAAGGCCTTAACTCGTCCTTTAAAGTGCCTTCGCAAGGCAGCTTCATCATCTAAGCTGTCTTGCACATCCTCCAGGGTCTCAACGTACACCTCTAAACCTGACACCATCTCCATTCACTCCGATTCCGGTAGTGCAGAGGCGCTGGCTCTCACTGATGCGATCTCCATTCACTCATCAACGAGCAGCTCTAACGAGGGTGGACTGGAGGAGAATGATGCACAGGAGCTCAGTAAGTGCGAAGTTTACTTCTCACGTCGGACTACATACTAATGACACTCATTTCTCAGCACACTTGCAAGCAACTTGGAGGTCCCCGGTCTATACGTTCTTCAAATCGAATGTCTCGGTTGAATATTATAATGGATGCAAGTGTCATTTCTTTCCCTGTGCTGCTCGCAAGTGCAAGAATCCCCTCGGTGGTGTCCGACGGTACCAGGATTCCAAGGACAAGGCTTTCACATTGAACCTTAAGACTCACGCTATTAACTGCTTCGGAGCAGCTGCAGTCGAAGCAGCAATCAAGGGAGACAAGGCCCCACGTGATGGTTCAATCTTCGCAGTGTTTGCTCACACGTGGAAGCTCGGTACGTGATTGTGTTTCTCCCTCCATCACCGGCCTCCCTCCATGCTCATCACACTCATGTGGGTTAGTGCACACCTAGTTAAGTGGGTCACCGAAAGCAATCACCCTGTCAGGATTGTGTCAGACCGTGAGTTCCAAGAACTCATGATGGCTGGCCATCCCACCCTCGTATTGCCATCATCCATGACCTTGGCTCGGGACATCAAGAGTTTATTTGAGCACTGTCGTGAGCGCATCGGACAGTTATTACGGGTACGTACCTCTGACCAAAATCCAGTTTCCTCAATAATATTATTTTTAGGAGCACCCGGGGCACCTCAACTTTGCCACGGATGCATGGACTTCGCCGAACCATTGCGCCTTCGTAGCTTGGACTGTCCATCTCGAGTTCCAAGGGTATCCGCTTTCTTTTCTTTTGGACGTGATTGAAGTCTTGGAGGTATGCCACATTGTCTTTCATCGGGCACCTTACTCATCACGATCTCAGTCTCACACAGGTCAAACACTCGCACGTGAGTTTCAGGCCATGCTGGTCAGGTACGGGATTGAGCAAAAGGTATGTTGCTGACTTGTTTCAATGTTGTTTATATCATACTGATCATTTTTCATAGATCCTGACATTCAACGGTAACAATGCGACATCCAATGACAAGCAAACAACGGAGCTTGCCAAACTCCCAAACTCCTTCGAGGAGGTCCACCGTGTTCGATGCTTCAACCACACACTGCAACTTTCAGCCAAATCACTTCTCAAACCGTTCAATGCTGCCCTTGCGAAGTTGTCTGACTTGCAGGATGATACACCCGATGATCTACCTGATCTCTTAGGGCCAGATGACGATGGCGACGATGATGATGATGATGATGTTGAGAATGCTGGTATGGAATTCACTGATGAGGAAGAGATCTACAAGGAGGTTGATGGGCTGGCGGAGCTGGACGACGATGCACGTGAGGCCCTTCTCAATGAAACTGCAGACGTTCAGGCCACGTTGACCAAGGTGAGTGCACACTCAAGCTAAGTATACTCTTACTGATATTGCAGTGCAGATCCATCAACTCGCTTTTGCCATCATCCACTCCAGCACAATTGCACTACCAGCCTGGTGTGAGATGTGTCAGCACTATAAACTCCGTGTTCGCATCATTCCCCGTGATGTCGTCACTCGGTGGAGCTCGACCTACGATATGTTAAGTTTTGCAATTCGCTATCGCCAGCCCATCAATGCTATCACTGCAGACAAGGTCTTAAAACTCCGCAAGTATGAACTGGACATGGACGACTGGCAGATTGCCCAAGCTCTGATGCAGGTGCTCAAGGTATGCATATCATGAGGGCACAGTTGTCGCAGGTCTTCTGACAGATTTATTCCACAGAAGTACAAAAAGGCCACACTCTTCTTTTCTCAGGACTCCATCAGCACCATCGCAAACGTCATTCCTACCACATCATTGTCAGCTATAAAGAATAATCTTTAGTGCTTATAACTTACAATTAAGGCTGAAATTCGGGTTTAATAAGCAGGCCATGTACAAGGATAATCTACTGAGGGATTATCCCCTCAGTAGATTATCCTTTTGAAGTAGTCTAAGCTAATCTGAAGATAATCCAAAGGGATAATCCAAAGGATAATGCTAAAGATCATCCAAAGGATTATCCAAAGTCAAAATTGATTTAAGAACTTGCATTCAGCCAGGATTGAACTCTTAACCTCAGGAGAAAGTCACATGACTAAAAAACTTCAGACACTTTAACCACTACTCCATATGACCTTAACAATTTGCACTCATGCATAATATATATAGTAAATTTTGCTGAAAGGACTTAGACAAATTCTGCTCATCACAAAAGTAGTGACTGACTTAGACATAAGAAAAAGGATGTTTCTAGTCACTTTAGGATACCCTTCAGACCCAGCTCTTAGCTTCAACATAACTTGTAGTGTATTGTAACTAAGGGCTTCTCAGATGACTAACTGACCATTGTACTAACACATGTCCCAGGGCATTATATGTGATTATCCAGAATATAGATAGGATATAGGCTGGTCCATCTTATAGTACTAGTGTATTTACTAGTTGTTCTATAATGTCAGGGGTGCAGAAGATGTCCCAAAGTGTCTGAAGTTTCTTAGTCATGTGACTTTCTCCTGAGGTTGAGAGTTCAATCCTGGCTGGATGCAAGTTCTTAAATCAATTTTGACTTTGGATAATCCTTTGGATGATCTTTAGCATTATCCTCTGGATTATCCCTTTGGATTATCTTCAGATTAGCTTAGACTACTTCAAAAGGATAATCTACTGAGGGGATAATCCCTCAGTAGATTATCCTTGTACATGGCCTGCTTATTAAACCCGGATTTCAGCCTTAATTGTAACTTATAAGCACTAAAGATTATCCCTCATAACTGACATCACTGCCTACCATGGATACTATTGACGACATGCTTGGCAGTGCGGGTGAGCAATCGGTGCCGCCTGCAATCCAGTCAGTGATGGGCCTCGCGCGCACCACTATGAACAGGTATTATTCAAAGACCGATCTCTCATCGATATATCGCATTGCTATGGGTAAGTTTGATACCGATTTTTGACGTAAATTTACTGACTTACATCTAGTCCTTCATCCCAGTTTGAAGCTCGAGTATTTCAAACAGCGCAGTTGGGATCAGACTTGGATCGACACTGCTGAGAACATCACGCGCGAGGAATATATCGCTGTGTACGAGGAGGCCGCTACACTACAACAATAATTCTCGGATAATGCAGGTGCAGACAACATAGGTACAGTCAATGTACAGGTATGTTCTCGCTATTTTGGCATCATGTAGCTAATTGTCACCTTGGTGTTGGCACAGGGTGCAGAGGACTCAGTGGATGATTTTGCTGAGTTCACCAATATCTCGGTGAACAGTGCAGTCAAAGTTCACAGCGAGATGGATGAATACCTTGCGCGCCCGGTTGAGAATGTCTCAGACCCTCTCAAGTGGTGGTCGGACAATCACCGAGCATATCCGAAGCTCTCACGGATGGTGCTCGACTATCTCAGCATTCCAGGTAAGTGTTGTACTCGCTGCATGTAAGACTAAACTGACGGTGGTATCCACAGCAACATTCACTGCAGTTGAACGCGTGTTTTCACAAGGCCGACAACTGCTTCATTTCACGCACAACCGCCTTGCCCCTTTGACAATCCGGGCCTCTCTGTGCCTTGGGTCTTGGGCGCGCAGTGACCTGCTGCGCATGGAAGATCTCATTGCAGCGGTGACTCCAAAGAAGTGCAAGAGGGTAGAGCTTGATGAGGACAATGTCCAGGGTACTCAAGCTATATGAGATATATTTACAATTACCTTTGTCGTACAATATAAATGATGCTGCACCATTTGGGGGCTGTACCCGTCCTTGGCATACCACGGGTTTTAAACATACTGTAGGTGTTACCATATGGGATCCGACCCGTGGTGCTGGCGGGTACGGTGTGACGGGTCGCGGGTGCGGTGTTGAGAATTTCACCCGTGGTGTAACCCGTGTTATACCTTAAACACCACCAGTTCGCATCTATCGTGCAGGTGACTGATATTGTGCATAGCTGTCAACTAATACCACTCTGGGGGGAAAAAATCGATCTGGCATTGCGATCACATACTGTTCTTGATGTCTGTGACAGATTTTATGTCAATCCATACTTACGCCACCATGACTTTGTACTCTTTCGCTATCTTGTGGATCGAGCTAAAGATGATTAGACCTAATTGTGCCATGACAGAGAGTGAGCCTAAATGATATTGACATTATTTTACGGAGGTGTATGAGTGATCTACACAGCATTACAGAGACTACATCAGTCACGCACATGGCTACACGTCCTACAGAACCTTACACAATGGTCACCATGGCTACCTCACTCAGGGCTTTTTCCTGATGTTTCGATGCATTGTCACTCACATTCTCCGGGCGGCCTCTGCGATAGACCTATAAGTACCCGCACGCACACCTTCAACTGCAGCCTGCATACGCGACTCATATGTTGGATCTGTTGAAGGTGGGCAAGCTGGCGCTCATCTCGGAGGTTGCCAGCGGAGTTTTCCATAGTAGATTTTGTATGCTCGTGCTGGTCGTCGTACGTTGGGAGAGAATTTTATTGTCACCGCTGTGCCATCTGTTGCTGCTTGTGCAATAGGTTATGAGCCTCGAGCTCTGACACCCTAGTGTTTGCTTCTTCCTACTGCTTACACACCCTGCTTATTCTCTTGCTGTGCATCCTCGAATCAACCGCTAGCAACGACCGGTAGTCACGCTTGCAACTGCATTTCGGCCTACACTTTCAATTTTCGGCAGTTACCTTTGGCTTTGGTCATCATGCCAGAACATGACTCGCACATTCCCAAGCTCGTTGAGGGCAACTACATCAAGTGGAGTGCCCTGATGAAGGCGCATCTGGTCGCTGCAGATTTGTAGGAGGTTGTTGGGCCTGAGGAGGAGGAGCTGGTAGTGAGAGGACTGAAGGGAGTGGCAGCGAAGAAGAAGAAGTGTGAGCAGGTGTACTGGAAGATCTTGATGAACCTCAGTCTCCCAGAGATGGCTTTTGTGTTGGGTTTAGAAAACCCCCGAGAGGCATGGGCTGCACTTGAGGAAACTCATAGGTCAGCGTTTGTCAACACTATTCCGTCATTGCATTGCTGTTTCTTTGGAGGATGGGAAGGATGAGGCTGTGATGTTGGTGAGGGTTTGGGATGACTCAGGGGAGGTTTTGCATTTGTTTTGGTTTTTCCCTTTTCACTTCCTTACCCTCAATGGGTGCTCACCTTGTGGGAGAGTGTTGAAGGTGGGCAAGCTGGCACCCATCTCGGAGGTTGCCGGCAGAGTTTTCCATAGTAAATTTTGTACGCTCGCACTGGTCGTTGTACATTGGGAGAGAATTTTATCGTCGCCGCTGCGCCGTCTGTTGCTGCTTGTGCAATAGGATCTTGGGTGCTCTGCAGGTGTGATGCCCGCGGCATCGACGTGCAGTGCGCGTGGATTGACGGACGCGAAGTGTGCTGCCAGGACGCGAAGTGTGCTGCCAGGACACGATGGTGATGATGATGATGATGAATTCCGTATTTATATACCGCAACAAGCAAACAGCTGTGCTAAGACGCGGTGATCGCCGGTCCATACAGTAAGTGGGCATTAAAATGCGCCACTCCACCTAAGTATGACTGGGCAACCATATTAAGAATCTGAAAAGTATCAGGGGGGGTTCTGCGGCGTGTGGAGTAGATAAATGGAGTCGGTTGTAAGGTGTCTGCATAATAATCGGTCGCATGCCGCTAGGGCTGCATGTCTTCGTTCACATAATAAAAGGGGCCTGGGAACCATATCGGGTCTTTTAGCAAAGTAGCAAGTCGGGATTGCCGCTTTGTTGCATGCGAGTCGTCTGGTGATGAGGGGAGGGGGACGGTATGTCAGCATGCACCTAGTACCGTGTGTCGCTATGGTCCTCCACTCCGCCACGTGGGAGCTTGTTGTTCGTGTCCTCCTCCTCCTCCTCGTTGTCGTCTGTGTCATCTCGGTTTGACGTCTCGTTGTCGGTCTCCTCTCCTTCTGGCTCTGGTTCTGGTTCATCTTCCCACCTCGCTGTTCTCCTCCCCGCTCTCTTTTCCCCCATCTTCGTGAATGCTCTGCTCACCTGCAGGAACTCTCCCAGTGCTTCGATTCCTTCCGCCGTTCCGAGGATTGTTGGGAGGTCGATGGTGTCGCTCACTTTTTGTAGTAGGTGTCGGTAGTCCTTGTATCGTTCGCAGTCTTGTAGTATGTGTGGTCTGGTCTGGAATAAAGTTCCACATGTGCAGTCAACGTGTTCAGATGGAACGAATTGTGAGTAGTACTCACCTGTAAAGGCGTGTCCTGTTCGGCATTGCACGATGCACCTGAACACCTCCCAAGGGAAGTGCAAGAACGTCTTATACGGGTGTGTCTGCGGGGGGATTCTATTAGCTGACGCAAATCTTCCTGTTGGTGTTGTCTTCTTCCAAGCTTTGGTCCAGTTCCTGAGCGCTCTCTCCTTTGCTCTCTGTAGTGCATGGGCTCTGGATGCTGTCATCGGCCCTCCTGTGATTCTTGTTGCTTCCTTTGCTAGTCGGTCAGCTGTCTCATTACCTGGGATCCCTTTGTGGCCAGGTGTCCACGCGATCTCCACCCTATGTTGTGGGTCCGCTTCGAGGAACTCTAACATGAGCTCCCGGAATATCCGCGCATGTCCCTGGCCCAGTCCACTGGGTGGGTCAAAGATCGTGCTGATCGCGGAAGTGTTGTCGGCATAGAAGTGGATGTGCGTGATGTCGGTGTTCGTGTTGTGTATATAGGATGTCGCATCTCTCGCTGCCCATGATAGGCTGCTGCCATCTTGGCATTGTATACTTCACTTTGCTTGCCCATCCCGATCTTCCTGGTAAATACTATGGCTTCCTGGTTCATTGCAGCATGTGCGGCTCCTACTCATCATCTTCCTGCTGTTTCCAGCATCGAGCCGTCGGAGTACAGCAGTAAGTGTTCTGGTAGCTGTTGAAATGCATGTACGTGTTCGTTATGTGCTTTCATCACCTCGTCTTTCGTCCCTCCCTTCTTCACTGGTGTGATTACAAGTCATCTGTGGAAGTCCTCAACGGTCCGCTTCCATGGGGGGAGGCAGAGCGGCAGAATTCTCTCATCTAGTGGGTGTGATCGAAGTGCAAGTCGCGTGAGTTTAGTAGACTTCGGTGGTTTCCTCCGTGCTGCTGTTGTCTTCTTGTGGGTCGGGAGCGGTGGTTTCGGGGTTGTGGTCTGTATCTGTCTCCATTCTGTAGGTAGCCATTATAGAATAGGGCTGAATGGACTTAGCTTGTTGAATCGCACTGCTGCTCTCGTGCTCGTTAAGTCTAGGTGGTCTTTGATCGGCATAATTGCAGCTTCTAGTTCTAGTGCGGCAATGGAGGTCGTTCGGAAGGCTGCGCAGATGGGGCGTAGTGCTCGATGTTGGACTCGTTCGAGCCAGTTCATATGTATCTTCTTCCCTTTCCACCACACGGCACTGGCATATGTCATGGTTGGGCGAACACATGCGATGTACAGTGTCCTGAGGTGTTTCTGCGAGAGTCCCTTGACAGTGTTAGCCAACATGCTAAGGCCATTTACCGTCTTCTCTGCTCGTCCAGCCATCTGTTTCACATGGTGGTCAAATGTTAGTCGGCGGTCCATATATACTCCTAGCCATTTGATCGCTTCTTCTGCCCTTATGATTACCTCTGTACCATTGTCCCCGGGTAGAGATATTGTCCGGGAGTCTCCTTGTTGTCTGCGTCTGTTTGAGTAGTGCATTAGTTCTCTTTTTACCATGTCTGATGCTAGTCCGACGCTTGCAAGCCATCATTCGACTTCATGGTATGCTATTCTGAGAATCCGAACGTTAGTGTCTAGGAATTCTGATGAGATGTACAGCTTTCCGTCATCAACAAACATTAGTAAGTGGGACGGCGATCGGTTTGTCTGGTAGCTTGAGTCCTGCAGCTTTCATTCTAATGTCATTCTCTGCTCTCTGTTGGAAAATCTCGAGTATCTCTGCTGCGTATATATATCGTGGCTTCTCGGTCAGATAGAAAAGATGCTGTCCATCTTACCAATTGGAGTGGGAAGCCCTTCTGGCGCATGACGGTGAGTAGTCTGTCATGATTAACAAAATCAAAGAATCCCTTGATGTCGAATGTTAGCGCTGATGTTACCAGCCCATGATTATGGGCCGCCTCTACATCATTGACAAAAGTTAGTATTGCATCGTCCGTTGAGCTACTTGGTCAGGCTCCAAACTGGTTTGTGGGCACGAGGTTGTGTGTTGTAACCATGTAGGCTAGGCATGTCGAAACTATCCTCTCGAGGGCCTTCCCTAGGCATTCTAAAAGTTGAATCGGTCTGTACGCCCGGGGGTTAGAATAATCTGGTTTCCGGGGCTTTGGGAGCACCACCACAATCACCTTTCACCAGGCTTTTGGGTGGTATCCTGTCTTCAGACAATGATGCATTAGCGCAGTAATGGTAGAGTCTGCAACTTCCCATGCCCATCGAATCGCCCGGAATGGGTTCTGGGACAATCCTGGTGCCTTGTCAGCTCCCTGGTCAAATATGGAGTTCTTAACCTCTTCCTTTGTGAGGGGTTCGTGCATGAAGTCATTCACTCCTGGGGTTGCGAGGTCTGGAATCTGTGCATTTTCTAGTGGTGGCGGTGGTTGGAAGAGTTCATTCTGTAATGCTTCACACTTATCGGTGTGGTGTACTGCTGGAGGTTTGTTTGGTCCCTGCGAAATTGCTGGCGACTGGTAAGTGCGTTCCCCTTTGCCCCACTTACCAAAGCTCCATATATCCTTTGTCTCTGCATCCTCCAGGGTCTTCGTTATCCACTTGTCCCTTGAGGTCTTGTATAGGCATTTGAAGTAGTTACAGCTCTTCTTGATTGTCACTGCAATGGCCGGGGATTGCATTCCCCATCGCTTGTTGTGTTCCAGGTTGGCAGAGCGTTGTTGTGCAATCCTCTTGTTTACCTTTTCCAGAGCGTCGTTCCACCACGGTCTGGCCTTGTCGCTTGGTTTCCGTATTGGAACCGTCATTTCGTTCGCTGCCTGCATTGCTTCTGTCAGTGCATCAGTTGCCCCATCCAACTGTTCTGTCGTCATTGTATCTTCTAAGTTGAGCAAGACATTCAGGTGGGCCTGACACTTGTTCAGGGCCACCTGAAATGCCGCCTTCCACTCCTTCAGGTCTGCATCCTTGAAATTGTACTTCTTACCTGTCACGTTCTCTATCTCGACTGCTCTATAGTCAAGCTCCCAGTGCAGTGCAAAGTGGTCAGAGCCGAATGCTTTGGTCCTGTCGATGGTCCATTTCTTGGTGGCATTCAGCTCTGTCGCTCTCGGGTTCAAGAAGGTCAGATCGATCGTCGAGTATGTTTTGTGTGAGTGAGAGAAAAAGGCTGGCTCGCCCTTTTCATTCTGGATGCTGAATCCTCGTTCTGTCAGCCAATCGACTGTGCGCTCCATAATCTCATTTGCAGGTGTTGCGTGTCGTGACCAAAGTGGGTGGTGTAGGTTCCAGTCTCCCGATAGGATTACCGGTATTTCGTTCGGTAGCGCTACCTTCTGCAGCCTTTTCACTGCGGATCTCTTACCCTGCTTCTTGTTATCGTTGTAGATGTTGACGATTAGAGTTGTTGGATGGGGTGCCTGTTGTACCTCGAGGATCTGCATGTCTAAGTCATTAGCTAGGTCAGATCGTAGTGTTACCGTGAAGTCTGCTCTCTTGCGGACATAAGCCATCGCTCTTGGTCGCTTTCCTTTCGGCATGACTGAGACCGGTATTATGGCTGTCCAGCCCATTGCTGATTCTGCGACTGGTCCTTTGTTGCCGCCTCCGATGTTTCCCCACCATGGCTCTGTTATTAGTACAATATCAAATCTGTCCTCACCGACCGTTGAGTTGAGTAGGCTGTGTATCGCCCTGTTCTGTGTGTTTGCATTGAGTTGTAGGACGCGGATGGGTTTCGTGGTTATTGTCTCTAACATGGTTGTGCGTCATCAACATTCATCGGGTGTGGGATGGGCATTCTCACCGAGTCTCGGACCGCTTCAAGGGCTGCCACTGCTGCGGCAAACCCTCCTTTTGCAGCTCTCAGGGCCTCCATCCGGGCTTTTTCCTCCATCTCGGGGAAGCGTGCTTTCAAAGATTCCAGCGTATTCTTGTGTTGTTCATCTTCGAGATCTCGGAATCTATTGTTAGCAGTATGGGCCTGTTTCGCTCTCGCTGCCTGGCTCGGAACGTCAGTGGCCTTACCCGTTGTTGTCTTCTGTGGTCCTGTCACTGTTTTCCAGGTGTCTTGTGTGTTCACTCCTCCTGCGGGGGCCTTCATTGGTCGTGCTGCGGATGTTCCGATCCGTCTCAGCCGCATCGGGCAGTTCCTGAAGTTTGCTGTGTGAGTTCCGTGGCAGTTCATGCACTCGTGTTCGTGGGGGCATTCCTCATCTCCCATTCCCACATTACCTGCCTCACATTCCTTGCACGTGTGGTCATCTTCATGGTGCTTCCCTCTGCACCTTCGGCAGCTTGTCACGTTCTTGCATCGAGCACATATGTGTTCGAAGGACCAGCAGTTGTTGCACTGGATGACTGGGGGTTTGTCAGCATAGTGTTTTACCTGGGCAAACGTTCCGGCGATGGCCAGGTTCTTCACCCGCTTGATCAGGTACTCAGCATCTGTTTCGTTAGCGAGTGCAATCACGACTAATGAGTACATCACCGCTTTGAGGTCTGATGTGTGTCTCATCCATCTCAGCATCTCTAGTACTTCCATCTTTGCATATTCTGGGTTGTTCTCGATGAGCTCCTTCTGTATCTCTTCTGGTGTTGGGATGTTGTTCGTGTATTGGTTCCAGGTATTGACCCCATTTAACTGGATCTTGTACCACGGTCAGTCCGCTCTGACGCGCGTTTGTCGGCTACCTGCGAAAATCTCTACAAATCTATTTGCGAACAGCACTAGGTCTGCCGCTCGCTAATCAGCTCTCGTGAATATTATGCAATTATTGATTGCGTTAAACTTAGCATTGACCACTCGTAGGTGTTTGCTATCCTCGTGTTCTTGGAGCCTCTCATTAACCTGTCTGACAATTTCAGCTTCTCCCGGTCTTTTACCTGCCTCTGCTCCATTCTGAATCTCGACGATCATCCTCGATGGGTGGTGTGCTGCAAGAGGGTTAGCTGGTATCTGTTTACTCAGTATCTTGTTGTCGCTGCCTTTCGGTTTCGGTATAATCAGTTTCGCGATCGCCGCCGCCACTTTCTTCGTTGTCTTAGGCTGAGTCATGGGCTCGACCGTGGTCCTCTCCTCATAGTTTAAATGTTGCATCTGGTTTCTTCCTGTCTGGTGCGTCAGTTTCGTTCCTGAGTTTCTTACTTGTGCTTCTATCTCATCCATCCTCATCGTGAGCCTCAGTAGGAGGTTTGCCACTTTCTCGATGTGGCTGTCCTCCCTGAGCGGGCTCTGGGTTGCTTTGCTGGTATTCTGCTGTGCGGCGTGTATTGTCTCGTCATTACCTTGTTGTGGTTTCTCCTTCCTTATTCTGAACTTTTCGGCAATCTTCTCGACATTAGCTATGATCTGGGCCGAGAAATCAGCGTGGTCTGATATGGTACTCATGATCCTTATCGTGTTTTGGAGTGCTTCTTCGAGTTTTTGCATCGTGTTTTCTCGTCCGTTATCTCGAGCTGTGGTTGCCTCTTCGGTATCTTCTACTTCCATATCAGTGTGCTCAGGTGTGTTCAAGACATCACCTTTCGGTCCCTTTCTCGTGACTCCTCCCGGCGTGGGACTCGGGCTGGTCTGGTGTTCTAGAACTCCTTCAGTGCTGTATCTATCCTTCTGCGGTGACCTTGTGGTAGCGTTCAGTGCCATCTGGCTCATCTCTTTTAGAGTACTGGGGATCCCGGTTTCCTGGTGCGTCTGTTCGGTCATGTGGTCCTCCTCGACCTGCATATTATTTTTCTGCTCAGCTCGTTCCAGTGCTGTGTTAGCTCTGGGAGTGTATGGGGTAGTCCTCGCCTCTTTTAGAGGGTGAGGGTTGTCCTCCTTGCCCATTTGCTAGGATTTTGCCCCAGGGCGGACCGTGGGAAAATTCGTAGCAAGTGGTGGTAGCGGCAAGAGCCGTGTGTCCAGGACGCGACGGTCGTGACCGTGTCGTGGTGGACGCCACCACTTGAAACCCCGCTGCTGATGCTTGCGGCAGACTTCGGCCAGTGTGAGTCCGCGTGACATTGCAGGTCAAGAAGGGACTCCTCCAATACCGATCCGTTTGAGCTCGTTCGACCTCAAGAATGATGTATTACTATAAAATCATACATATAAGAGATAACTAAGTCGTAGAGGCAGGGGAAAGGGTGGATTGAGCGAGGTGCCGACTTGGGGGGCATGCCGGCGGTCTTGTGAGGCATAGTAGACCTGTCCTCCCTCGGCAACCGTAATCTGGAAGACAAGGCGAAGCAGATCGTAGAGGTGGATCGGCTCATCGAAGAAGGCCCTAGCGACCATGACGCTTTTCAGCAGACTATGCAGTAAGCACGCTCGTTATAGACGTACGACTTCCAGGCTGGTTCATTAAATAATTCAACACATCGACGTTGCACTCCGCATGATGTCCATGTCAATCGACGTATGTAAAATAGGATATACCACTGTGAGAGTCCGATAGTATGAATTCAAAAGCAATATAAAAGAGTACGATAATCGCATAGATGACGAATCCGACGCACACCTCCGTCTAGCGGCTCTGATCAGTGCATCATAGTAGCCCACCCAGGCCGCTCAAGTCTAACCCGGCCGATTTCAGTAAGTCCTGTCACAAGGCGAAGTTAGAGAAAGCTTTGACACAGTGACGAATGCAACTGACTCCGATTTCACTCGCGCTCAACGGGCAAGCAAAGTTAAAATTGCTGTTGATAGTAGGCTTAACGGGGATGAGCAGTACCCTCATGTCCAACTGCAACGACAACGGGATAAGTAAAGCATAAGCCAAGGGTATTAGTGAGACGCACAATAATCTTGTAGTCAACGGTAATGTCCGATGATGCCTGCCCTGGTATGATACCGCACTTTCCGGCCAGGCTGATGAGGATCTTGAACCCAGGGTCGTTGGTCATATTGTACTGCAGCGCAATGGGTAGCGTGAAGTTGGTCTGTTTGTCGGACCTGAAATCGATGTTCTTTGCTGTGCCACTTCCGATCGCAGTCTCGTTACCGCTCAGAGGATAGAATAGCTACAGAGTCAGAAGTCAAACAATGCTCGGAGAAAAATGCTGCCGAATCAGGACGTACGTCTGCAGTAACAGTCTTCAAGTTGACAGATAAGTAGTTGGGGTTGCTGACGCTGTGGACTATGATGAGAGGCTGCCAGTGGAAACGTAGAAAGGGGACACACCTGACGTTAACATCCAAATTCACAGTAAGACCATCGCTGGTCAGATTAACCTACATGCGAATTAGGCAACAGCACACGAAAATATGAAAGGGTGATTTACAGGATTGGTGGAAGAGATAGTCGGCTCATTGACAACGACATTGGGTGGTCTAATCCACTAAAGCCAGTCCGGTTTGAGTACATCACTACTAATCGTCCAACAGCTGATAGCTTACCAGCGCCAAAGAAATAATAATGCTGATGGCAAGGAACAGGAAGATCATGATAGTGCAGCAAAAGAACCTGCCGAAGCACCATACACCGCTTCCTCTCGTCCACAGGTTACCCTGAGACTCACTTCGCCAGTTCCTCAAGTTTCTTGAGTTTCTAACAAGAGCCAAGAATTATCAGCAAGGCAAGAGACGACAGACATTCATGTTATGACTGACTTGGGGCCTCGCGGCCGGGGGACTGCTTCATCGGCCTCAAAGACGCTCCTATCCCTCTCCTTACTTGCTACTGGGGTAGGGTCATCGCGATATCCACCATAGGTCCCACTGTCGTACCCATATCCCGCCTGATCATAGGTTGGGTGCGCCGGCTCATTATCGTACGGATTATACGGCGTATCGTCATACTGCTGGGGCGGTGAACGAGTCTCGCCGGAGTAGTTTGCGCGGTAAGCCATTCGTGAGATTCAGGAGTTTGGTGAGTTCAAAAACGTCAAATACAGCAGTACCGGGGAGGACAGAAGGAATCGAGAACGCTAGAGTGAGCGTCCGGCGCCCTGAAGATGGTTGTTACAGCCTGAGATGCTCCACCGACACAGCTGCAGCACTGCTACAGGACTGCCCAGTCCGACTGGGGATTGGCTTTACCACGCCTCACGTGCACAGCATTTCGTGATGCAGACTCTCGGCCTACCCAAGAGGCATGCAAAAATCAAATTCCGCACACGAGCCATAAAGAGGAGCTACAAAAAAGGATTACGTAAGTATGTCACTTGTTTGTTACCTCTGTGACTCGACATCACACCTACTAAGCGCCCGATCCCGACCCCGCCCCCTTACCGCCGGCCGAGCACCACCCCCCGATAGGTGTTGCAAGCTTTCCTTTGCCATAGGTTTCAACTGTAAGGCATGGGACTCATACGAATAAGCCTTCACTCACCTCCTACTAGCAGTTTCTTAGGTGGAAATAATTTCCGGTTAAGGGCCTCGGAGACCCCTCCCCCTACCCTGTGTCTCGGATTTTGCCGGTGCATGCCTCTTGGGCCTACCACCACCACCACTCCAGACTGGCTTTCACACGGGAGCTCATAGCGCAGGAACACTCCATCGCCTTACTCGCGAAATTCGCACACGATGTACTTCAGATTTTCGCCCGCGAAAATCTTATTGTTGTCAGCTCTAGAGAAGAGCTTGAGCGCTTCCCTACCAGTCTCATGCATCCTTGATGGACTTCGTGGGACAGTGCGCTTCTCCACCTCACGTCGGCTCGTGGTGAGTCTTATCAGTCAAGTGCACAGCCACTTCTGATGCCTACCAGGGTTTTTCCCACTGGGTTTTCCTTGGAGGTCTTACCCATCACTGGCGTAACGTGTAGCGTAGAGTAGTATGCATTGATCGGAGCGGAGTGTGTCCTGGATGTGTTGTACCTTAGGTTACGGTAATCTGCTGTGCACGAGTGGACCGCTGTAGTCTAACTACAACAACCCGGTGTTCCTGAATGGGACCAATGCCGGTTACCTACCTACCTACCTACCTACCACCACCGTTACTGTTACCGTTACCGCGCCGACACTACAGTCTGTCCACAGTGGCAATCCTGCCGTGACTTGTCCCGCTCACGGTGGGGTTCGATGCAGGGACCGCCGGTGCTAGAAAATATTAAAACCACATTAGCCCCTATTGTTCGACATTTCGACGTTCACCATCTGATGCTGTTGCTTTATTCTTTTCTCTTCCTCAGTGCACTGTCAACTCCAAGAGGGGGGCGAGATTTGAATCGGGGATACCCAGCTGTTTGCAAGGGGGATAGGAAACTGGTGTACGGGGTCCAATTTCAGCCACCCGCGCGTTTTCCTCCCAGTGCTCACCATTTTCCACCTCTCTCCTCAAGTTCTTCACGTTAATTGACTCTAAATTTAAATCTATGTTCTGTAATGTACACAGTCATTTCTGTGCACTCAAACCGGACATTTCCGCGCAGTGTGTGCTTCAGAAGAAACTATGTGCATACGTCAGATGCACGTGACTAAACGCGATTTGTTTAACGCAGACTTTGCCGCTCGCGTTCTTGTGCTGTGTCGCTTTGCGTGCTCTCCATCCTCTATGACAATTTCGCACGACGAGGAGGAGCGACTCGGTATACCTCCAGAGAAAATTCCTGTCAAAGTGTCCTTCCCCGTCGACGAAATGACAGTATCAACCGGATGGCAACGTGCGAATGGGTGCAGCGAAGAAACACAAGTAATCTTATGGATATGTATTATATACTACTCGGAAGTAACTACTGTTAATGTCATTGTCGATGAACGTATGTTTGCAGTCGCAGAATATGGGAATCATTGTGCCTGTGCCGGAGATCGGCACGTCTTAATGCGGAAGGTGGCCCCCCCTACCCCAGTTTACGGGGTCCTCGAATTTTTGCGAGGACGGTGTCGAGAGTTCAAATCTCGCCCCCCTCTTGGTCAACTCGGTGCCATGTCCTCTGCATCCAGGAGACTCTGTCTCAATAGGGGCTCCGACTGATACACACCATTTCTCACGTGATGCCTCTCAGTGCCGCTGTTGATTTTTCGTCATTTGACTTTCCATCGACCCCAGTTGCATTGGAAGCAATCACCTTCACAAGCCCTCTTGCAGTACGACATCATCTGTTGTGCACCTTGATTGGTGACCATCTGATGACTGGCCATTATTGGGAGGACATGGATCATGGATCATGAAGGATTGAAGTTGGAACCAGTGAGTTTGCGAGGGCTGCATTTGTATTCATGCAATTTGTGCCGTGGATGACTGGGAAGAATGATGGACTTCATGGCTGTGGGACTTCGGAATGCTTACAGGTACTTCAAGGAGAACAGGTGAATAGCAAGCTTCAGCAGAGCTGCAGAAGGACTTTACTGTTGCATTACTTTACTTTACTTTACCATACATACTTTAGTTGTAGCTGATGAGGTGCCTTTCTGTACCTGAGCCACGTAGTTGGCGTAGTCAGCTAATTTCATACGTTTCCACGTTTCCTTTTGCGTCGACATAGTTGCGGTTGCGCACGTAGTACGTATGCATGTCTTCGCAAACAAATCGGTATAGGACAACTCATAAGATACATACTCCAAAGGAGCAAGAAAACCGAACTGACGAGAAATATTCAAATAAGAAAATAACACTAGTACTGTCCTAAGGACCAGGCAAGAACGGCATCCGCTGACCCCCCGACGTCGACGTGGACTGCGCCATTGATATTGACCCTGCCATAGGTTCAGCAAGAACACCGGTGCCACGATCACGTAGCCGCTGGGAACCAGCAGACTGACCAGAGGAGAAGAAACGCTGAGATTGTGACTGAGACTGAGATGTTCGCGGCGGCAAGAAATTCCCAGAGCTTCTGCTAGGCGTTGCTGACATAAACCGCTGCGAGGGACCCGCGGAAGAGGCAGGGAGCTGATGTGTCCTTTGAGGCACAGTTTCTCTGCGAAGCTGCGGTGTAGGAGGCGGGGGCATCTGCAGTTGACTTCGAGTGCGATGAGTGCTCTGCTCCATTTCCGCCAGGAGTGCACTAGCCATGGAACGTTGGAGACGAGGATCACGACCGGCTTCTGGAGCTGCCATCATGGGTGTATGCGTCTGGCCCGATCCCGGCTCACGCGACTGACCTTGCGATTGACGAGCTGCCGCTCGCCTTGCGGGAGCCGCCTGAGCATGAGAGAGCACCGGCGGAAGAATGCCTTGAGATTGAGGAGTATGTGGTGGAACATATGCATATTGTCTGTAACGGAACATCAATAAGGGGGTGAAGACCACGCGTCGAGTTCAGAGCCCTGCGCGTAAGATGACGCACCGTATGAACCGACTCGATCCAGGCCTATCTGTTTCTTGGGAATAAGCGTTGGCATTCCGACTGCTACTTTGGAATGCCCGAGGTCGTGCGAATTCGTCATCTTCGTGCGAGGGGTGTGATTGTTGGCTGAAACTGGGTTGTTGTCGGTCTGGGCCGAGCGTCAGTCGGTTGGGTCCAACGGGAGTGATGATAGAACGAGGGCTGGAGTTCGTCCGACTGCCAGATGGAACCCTTCGACGAGGTTCAGTTGGCTGGAAGCGCATTAACAGCAAGGCTTACCGATGATTCTCGACTCTTGGTCGTTTTCCATTCATATTTATCTCATGAGGCGCTTCTTGAGCATATCCCAGATACTGCCGTAGTTGCGCGATCTCGGCGTGAAGATCCTGGACGGTCCTACCCGCGTACCATCAGAACGAGAGAAAGACGGCGAGAGGTGGATAGAGAAGTCATAGATACTTCTTGAACACTTTGTTCTCGAGATGCTCGCCCTTCAGACGATCAATCAGTGCGCGCTGCGCCGTGTACTTGTCCCTATAGTATCGCACTAAAGATGCCATAGTCTCCATCTGGAACTGTAGATTGTGTTACAGCAGATCCTTCTGAACGTTGACAGAGTGAAGACGAACCTTCGCACCGTACGCGACTGTGTCAAACGCTTGCGGGACTGACCGGAACCAATCTGACATCGGAGCATCCATCTGGGGTCATAGATGAGGGGAGGTGTAAGTGTGGAAGTAATTTCCGCTACATACCTCTCGTTGCAGTGGGATCAATTGAATTCCCTGCTCTCCGCATTGTGCACAGCTTTGATCTGCATCTGTTATGAATGGACAATATGTGGTTGTATGCGCAGATAAGCTTAGACCATTGCGTGCTCACTCAAATGGATGTTGCAGATCACATGGCCACATTCCGTGAGCCAGAAAGGCACCGAGGGTGATCCCCCAGAGTTTGAGATGAAAGACTGATGGCATTTGCAACAATGGACGAACTCCCAGAAATCAAGGTCTGGACGGGCCCGCGATGATACTTGTGACATTCTCAGAAGAAAAAGGAGTCGCTTTCAGGTGATGCGGCCTCGAACTCAGTAACAAGAACAGCGCCGGCTGGAAAATCTGAGGACTGCAGGATGTGCAGGGTGGCAGCTGGGTGGCTGCGAGCAATGGCTAGTCTGCTTGAATTAGCGGGGGTCACACGCTTTCGGGAATTGCCGTTCGCTTCGACGCGTCCTGACGCGTCCCATTGGCCGGTCACAACTCCGACACTTAGCTGTGGCGCTCGTTATTGAGCTGGGGTGGGTCTTCCGCAGTGAATATCCTCTTGAACTTGCTCAGAGCACTTTCTATCTGCATCTCGCAATTTTTGCATGGTAGTTAAAGCGAACGTGGGCGACGAATGAGCAAAATGCGGGCTCGGCATCTTCCGGATGAAATCGTGTACTACGGCTCAGGGGGCGCGTAATCAAGCAGACCTTTATAATCCGTCCTCCACCCACTCAATGAGGATTATGTATATTGTAGTCTGCCTACGGGAGACTAAGCAATGGCGTAAGCCCAGGCCGTCAGTGGGTATGCCTGAGACACCTGTGATCTAGGTGCAACAACCCGGCGTTCCTGAATGGGACCAATGCCGGTAACCTACCTACCTACCTACCTACCTACCTTTGTACGTGACTGACGCGACGCGTCACGAGTATGATCGTGACTTGTGGGTGCATGTTTGGTGCATTTTGCCAGTCGACGGGAACGACGTCGTCGGAAATTTGGAAAATGATCAAATTGAGTGCAGAAACATTGCCTAAGCTTGACTGCCTGTAGAACTATATTAGTCAAAGCCCTTGAGTGTGGACAGCCAACACGTTGCCATATCTTCCCAGGTGGGCGCTTGAAGGCACTAGGCTGGCGTCTCTCAGTCCGTGACCTCGACAGTCCCAAATCCCGCACCTCGCTTCATTTCAATGCACATCTGAGTACCATCGCTGCACAAGTCGGATACCCTGACCTTTATACCCCGCCATTCTGTTGTGATGGAAGCGAGGAGAGCTCAACTCATGCGAGACGATGTCCACTGGATGGAGCCTGTGGCTGTCGCATCTACGCGGCCCACCACACGTCGATTTACGCCTCAGGATGGCACTTTCGCACCGCAATTGCAGGCAGGTGCGTCCGGCGACGAGCATCAGCTCGGCAAACCGATCAGTTTAAGCTCTCCGATTCGTATTTTTCCTGAGCCCCCAACCATGGAAGCAAGTACGAGCCGGCGCCTTACTCTAGATATTGACCCCACTAGGCCTATACCCGTCACCACCTACGGTTGGACCTTCGATGGATTGATCAGCAAGGGAAACCGTTTCAAACCAGTCCCTCGTGTGTCAGCGCTGGCCTCTGTGCGAGAGCTTGAGGAGGTCGTCAAGAACCACGAGCAGTCTGGCATACCGCTTGTTATCGAAAACTGGCACGAACGTCCGGAATGGAGGAAAGATATCTTTAATGTTGATTGGCTACTTGAACATCATGGCAATGACAGTGAGAGATTTCATTTCCTTGTTCAGAGTTTACACCGAAACTCACTTCTTTCCTGAAGTCTTCCCTGTGCGAAATGTCCATAACCGCAACGACACTACTATTATGCTCAAAGACTTCATCCAGAAGTCTCGTACGATGCTGCCGTGCATTACCCCAGGAGGTACGTTTCCAGCTTCGTGAGATGGTAGAAATGCATCTGCTATCATCGCGATGCCTTCCATGATGAACTGCTGATACATTATGTCCTCTCACAGAGAACGAAAGGTTGTACGGGAAGGATGCAGATTGCCCATCGGATTGGAGAGATTGGCTTGATTCTGACATCTTTCCCTCAGAGCTTCTGCCCAATGGGTCTAATAATCTCCTCCAACACTCAGTGAGTGATCATTCCTGTACTCGTCCTCAGCGCAATCCTGACATGCTATCTCTTGAAGGACGAAGTCGAGCACTTAATGTGTTATCTCGGAATCGGAGACACCTTTACGCCATGTCACAAGGACCTGTGCGCTTCGTCGGGCCATAACGTCATGTGCTACACCGAGAATGACGGGTGCTCGTACTGGTTTATGACTGCATCCTCTGACGCACCCGACGTCGCCAAGTATTTTCAGGATGTGCTCGGGCAGGAGCTCGATTGGGAGAACCACGTCGCTAGCGTGGAGGAGTTCGCGCAGGCGCCGTTCGATGTGTATGTCGTGGAGCAGAAGCTAGGAGACTTCGTGCTGGTGCCGCCAAGGAGTTGTCATCAGGTCATGAATTTTGGTGGGCTCACAGTGAAGATGTCGTGGTCAAGAATGACCATCGCTGGGCTAAGCATCGCCTTGCATCATGAGCTCCCTATATACCGCCGGTTGGTCTTCATCTCTTTTATCTTGGATCATCGCTCATGAACAACTTATGATGTAGCGTTTGCCGTGCGGAGAAGTACCGCATCAGGTCCACAATCTACCGATCCCTTCTATATCTAACGAAGGAGCTTGAGGAAACGTTAGAAAATTCGCTTGATTTGCACGAGCCTTCCCCTTCCATACCAGTAAGACGTTCTCTCCGTGGAAATCTTGTGGATTACGCAAGCTCAACTTGTAGCGAGGAATCATCGCTTCGTCCGTCGCCTCTCCATGACATGCCCTCCGTCCCCCACGCTGGCTCACAAGAACAGGCGATCAAGCTGGGTGCTCTTGTGAAGCTCTTCGACGAGATACTTTGCGAAGAATATTCGCCTGATCACCAGAAGCTACGTCGTGTAGCCTCCAACAACAACGCGAGCTGGCACATATTTTCGGGGCGTGGAAAAAATCATCCGAGTATCATCTTGCAACCGCCTGCAGCTGAGTCGAAGGACGACGAGGACGAAGAGGGCGGCTGTGGCTTTTACGGCTGCGACTTTTGTGGCGCGGACATCTTCCAGAGCTGCTTCGAATGCAGGAAGTGCATCTGCAATCCCGACTCGGAGGAAGAGAGGCTTTTGATCTGCGCCGCCTGCTATGTCGAAGGTCGTACATGTCGCTGCGAGTCGATGATGCCCGTCCAATCCCGCTCCTTCGAGACTCTTCTCCAGGATCGGAACAAGGCTGTGGAGGTGCTGCTTAGGGGTTCTGATTCGAAGATGTGGGTTGGAGACTGGGAGTGTAGCGAGTTGACTGAAAGGTCCGTGTTTGCACTGCCTGCCCCGTGTGAGTACAATTGTAACGCGCTTTTCGCGCCAGCACTGTCGCCCAAGGTGACGACATTCCCATATTCGAAGCAGCCTGTATACTGCACGATTTACGTCAAACTGCGCGCTCGAAGGTGAGCCATGTACGCAGCGCGCAGTCTGATACTTATCGATGGGTATGTCTCTCAGGGAACAGAAACACGCAAATGCCGAGCTACAAAGCCTCATAATGTGCCTTTGCTAGAAGTCCTTCCTTGTAACATGTGCCATGGAGGCAAATGTTTTCCGCACATCCTCAAGAATGGCATCCATAGCGCAGAAGCGCTCCTAGCATATCGTCGCGACAAGAAGCAAGAGTACTGGCATCAAATGCACAAAGACAGCAAGGGTCGCTTGGCTGAGATTCTCCCCAAGTTGGAGGAAGCCGAAAGAACTGGCTCCTTCTCAAAGCTTAGAGACAGACTTGTGATAGCCGCACAGCGTTACAACCAGTGCCAATCAGTCAACGGTGCCTTCACGAAGCCCGGGTGGTACGACCACAATGATGTGGAGGTGAGTGCGCAAAATATCGAGAACAGCTCTTTAGACCTGATCTACTCGCATATGGAGTCCGAAGACCATACCGATCGTTCGGACATGCCTGAAGAGAGGGTTGGAAAGTCGTCAATCGAGATCGGCCATAATGCGAGTACGGCGGATGCAGATGCACCTCCGAGCTCTCCACTGACGGACATTGAGGATCTCACGGAGGAGAAATCTCAAACAATACCCACAACGCTGAGCCGCAAGCAAGCTCTCTCCTCTACTTCCTCCGTAACGAAGAGATCGCCCCCATTATCGTTGACAGTACCGCGTCTGCATCCCACGGAAGGGCTCACCAATGAACAGCTACTAAATCAGCAAACCCGCACATCCCAAACGACATCTCGACGGCGGCCCATCTTCGATTGTGTCCTCATGTCACTTTCGCATCGTGCGGGGAAGAGAGCTCTGTCCCCAGTCGCGCCCACACCCAGGAAGAGGGTCAGGACTGGGAGTGAAGGCCGCAGCAAGACAGGCCACCGACATGAAGAGGTGAGATCATCTCATTAGCCTGTCCCCATCTACTTAAGTTTGCCGCACGTTAGTCCCGCCAACCCCCTTCTAATACTGGAGAAGAAATTGATTACGTCAATCGTGATTATGCCACCGATCTCGCCATCGCCCTGAGCTCGGCGAATAATGCTAACTCGGCGAACTCAGGTATACGAGAGCGCGTAATGAGAAGCTCCACTGGCAAGCGGGCCGTTCGCAGACGCGTTCTTTCATCTCCATCGGAACTGGGACCTCTGACAACCACTTCGACAGTTGTCGTCTCATCGGCTGTTACCGCGAAGGACACGCAGCATCTCCCGGCAAAGAGGAACTTACCAGAACCCTCGATCCCTGTGCCTCTGATATCGGAAAGCATGTCTATTTCTCGCGGCAAGGACGATCGCCCTGCCAGGAAGAGTGCGAGTGTGGGGACAGAAGCACAGTCAGCGGCATCCTCTACACTTGGGCCTGGGTGCAAGATAGGTCCTCCCACGAGACAGGTCCGAGCTGTGCAACCCTCGCGAACTCCTAATGTGGGACGCTTTACGGCTACTTCGGCCGTTACAGTTGAGACTAGGCACATCAGTAAAATAAAGAGCCGTATACCGAAGAGTCGAACGAAAGCAGGCCCTCCAAACTTGCATGCGGATGTAATGAAATTGACAGGACAAGGTGATGCATCAGGTCAATCTGCAAATGTGAGTAGGTTAACACTGCAGCGATCACTGTTTCACACGATGTCCGTAGGCTTCGCGAGAATCCGAACCTCACGCTGCTCCTCCGGCTCTTAAACGGAAGGGACCACCTGGCATTTCCCCAAAGGAGATGGAGAGTCGGGACAAACGTAAAGCGGACCGCAACGCTTCGGACCTACCAGTCGCTGACTCCGACGATGAACCGCTGTGCAATCGTAAGAACAATCTCCGTGAGGGCAAGCGAAAGTTTATAGAGGAACCGATGCTTGCTACCAGCGAGGGACCAACGCCTGTGACTAACGAGGGATCGCGTATTTCCAACGAAGATCGGACTAAGCTCGCGGTTCAAGAGGACATCAGGTTACTGCGATCGATCCTTCAAGATATACGACGGGAACAGGATGCAATGCGAGTGAAGCAGGAGGACATGCATGCGAGGGAAGATGCACTCCGGACGATGCAGGACACAATGCAGAAGAAGCAGGACGCAATGCAGGACGCAATGCAGGAAGCGATGCAAGACACAATGCAGAAGATGCAGGACGCGATGCGGGACACAATGCAGAAGACGCAGGATGCCATGCAGGACGCGATGCAGAAGACGCACGGCGCGATGCAGACGGTGCAGGGAGAGATGCAGACAACACTGAGGTCCACACAAGTTGAACTCAATGTCGAGCGAGCCAGATTGACTCAAGTTCAGCAGCAATGCGACTCAGTGAAATTTTTGCTCTCCCGGGCAGAGAGTTCGAATCAGCAGATGCCTCAGAGTACCCCATGCGAGCATGAGGAGGAAATTCGACGATGGTCGCACGTCTACGCCACCGCTGCCTTTCAAGGTCTTCTCACAAAATTTTTTGATGGTGGGATTCGAGGTATGATCAGATCTGAGGTCCCAATGGGAAGCTGTAGTGAAATGTCAATGGCCAAAACCCCTCCTCGAACACCTGACATACACCCGTCGGTCAATCCAGAGGTGTGCTGTAAATGTACTTCATGCATCTAGCACTGAATGATGAGAATTATCCTTACAGAAGTCTCTCCGGGAATCAAATTCCGGTGGTGGTCTTGAAACCCATCAAGATTTGCAGCGCCCATCCAGCTTACCTCCGCAAATGCAGGTGTCCTATGATTCACGTTATCATGTCAGCACTTCCGCCGATGTTTCATATAATTCCCCGCAACAAATAGCAACCTCGCAGGGAGGGACGTCCAATGTTATCCTCACTGCTGATCCAAATCAATGGAAGGAAGATGGCCATGATGATGGGCAGGACTCTCGAAGCCAGGCTTCAGCAGCAAACGAACCAGGCGAAGGCCCTCATGTCTCGTATCCCCAGCCACACAATCAAGGTCGATCTGCTAGAATGAGTGTGAATGTCGACTATCCGGAACAGTCGGCTACGCATAGAGCTGAGATCTGTGCATCCTCAACCGAACAGTGGGGTGAGGGTGCATATGGCTCCGTTGAGGGTAGATGTGAGTCGCTGCGCTCCATAGTTCGTACGCTCTCGCTCATCACATTCCCCAAGATTCACCGAACAGGCGGGAAGGTCGAAATCCTTCAGAGCAGGTGTTTGCTGCGAGAAGCCATTTTCCGACGGGATGGTCATCGAGGACGCCACAGCCAAGATCAATTAGAGACGGAACAGCTGGTCCTGAGTTCCGTGGGCAAGGTGTGAAGGTCGTTTGACAATCACCGCAGTGCTGAGACTCATTCAGAATACCACAATAACGACCACCGAGACCGTGGCGACTACCGTGGAGAGGGTAGCCGCAGCTGTAAGTTCCACCATTCACATGTCCATGACCCTCACTAGCGATATGGGACAGCTCGCTACCATGGTCGACGGCAATATGCCCGCTATGATCGCCCACCTAACCACACTATGAAGCAAGATTTTCGTTCCAACTGATCTCTTCTTAAGATCAATGCACCTGTTTCATTGGTATCCAATTTATGCACCTTGATTCAGGTTGCAGTGTACATCCAGTCCAGTGTCAGAAGTGCATGTGGGGGCTAAACAGCATTATGCAGAGTATTACGCTGTAGGCAGGAGGTAAAAAGATAAATGATGAAAGCCCGTAGAAGGATAGCGATGAGGAAATGCAGCCAGGTATCATAAATGTGCAAGAAAGCGGCAGCAAACGAGTGTGAGCGACACATAAAATCCCTAGATCGAAAGGAAGGACAAAGAACCAGAATCATCCACATCGACACGTCAGGATCTTCCACAGCATGTTCTTTGGTGGTGCTGGCTCTTGCTGCCCGAGGAAGTCGCCCCCATTTGCTACCCCGATCTCGCCACCGTGCGCGCGGACGTTACTGAGCGCCGGTGGTGCCGCGCCGACGCTGGACACCATTGGCGATGCACGTCCGTACGCCTGCTGCTGGTTCGCAGAGTACTCATCCATTGCCTGATCTCGACCATACACTTCATGACCCACATTTGCATATGGATGCTGCTGCGCGCTTGGCTGCTGGCTGACCCGCCGCTGCATGCTCCCAACAGCGATATCGACATGCGCCGCGGCGGACTGCGGGGTAACCTGTCCGGGAGTGTTCCCGCCTCCGGGTGTGAGTGCGGCGGGTATCGGGCGCTGTTTCGAACCGTGCCGGACGAGTGCGGGCGAGGGTGGGACAACTCCCGGACCGCCTGCTTGAGATGCCCGCCTCCTCTCTTCGCGCGCTTGGCGCTCGATATCTCGGCGGCGATCCTGCCCGACATTTCCAGGCCCCGTATTCTGTATTTGGGCGAGTATCTGGTTCTGACCCTAGAACGCCATATCAGTATCGTCAACCACGTTGGCTCCTCACGGAGACAGAATGTGGAGTAAGACTCACAAGGGACGCTTCCCAACCTTTTCCACCTGATAATATCAGAAGATCAGCAGCACATTCGTCGAAAATAAAAGCGAAGGACTTGCTGTTGAGTAGATTCCAGTCGTACACCCCGTCGTCAACGTCATTATTATTCTTCATGACTTTGCCGAAGAGCTCCCGCAAGAAATCGTAGTCGGGTGTTTCCTCAAAGCCTAGCTTCCGTACGTAGTTCAAGTAAATCCCGAACTCCTCTGCGGATCACTTGAATGAGCACAACGCAAATCGCAGAGAGTAGCTACCTACCGGGGAAGCCCTCACACAACTCCTTGATAGGTGTTGTCTGCTTCTTCTCTCCGATCTTCTCGTACTTCTGCTTGTTAGTCGCGGCCTTCAGGCCTTGCCATGGCAGACTGCCCCTAAGAAAATACATGAAAACATGACCAAGCGCTTCCAAATCGTCCCTCCGGGACTGCTCTGCGGGAAGGGCGCATCAAGAAGCTACGCGCGAGCCACCAGAAGAGAAGACGAACCCCGTCCCAAGTGTGTGTTAATGCTCATGTAGCGAGCTGTCCCGCTGAGGCTCTTCCGTTCCCGGTACGGAATGTGCTGCTTGGTCCGGGGATCACGGTATTGCTTTGCCATACCGAAGTCGACGACATGGATCACTGTTGAATTGGATAGGTGTTGGAGTCGGGAAATGAAGTGAGGGGGGAGAACAGAGATAGCAGGACTGACCATTCGCATTCTTGGTGCCCGGCCGGCCAATGAGGAAGTTATCCGGCTTGATGTCACGGTAGATGAGGTTCTTCTCGTGTATCGTCTGCACGCGCGAGAGCTGGCGAGCCGATCTGCAGTGAACACAGCGAACTCATAATCAGGAGCGAGCGCTGCACTGACCATTTGCCGCGCAGCCATGCACACGGTCTTGATGGAGAACTTGCGCCCGCACATGTCGAATAGGTCCTCGAGGCTGGGGCCGAGGAGGTCGATGACGAGGATATTGTGCAGCCCCTCCTGGCCGAAGTGGTATATTTGCGGGATCCCGACTAGGAGTGCGCATATACACGGTCAATTGCTTTGCGAGGACGGGAACACGATGGGAGCAGACTGACCGCATCCGGCAAGAATTCGGTATGACCGACACTCGTCGCGCAGCTGAGGAGCTTCCGCCTTCCTAGGTTCCTGCAGACAGCCCGGATGCGACGCAAACACAGACCTGAGTTCAGTACAGAATCGCGTTCAACTGGATCAAAGGCTCGTACGAATTTGATAGCAACTGTCTGAGAGTTGAGCAAGTTCGTGCCTGTGATGTAGGAGGAGGATCGGGTTGTGGTCGAGATTGGATAGGAATACGGAAGACGGCACCTTCAAAGATGACGCCGAAGGAGCCCTCGCCAACCTTCTTGCCAACTCGGTAGTGGACGCCGACGACGTTGTTGGTGGAGGAGGACGAGTGAGCATGGGAGGACATCATGGATGGGAATAGAAACAGAGGCGGTCAAGGCCAAAGGCCCATTTACTTGGTTACACCGAAATGACATTAATTGCTCCTCTATACTGGCCTATTATCCCTCGGCCACTGCCGAATGTCGCTACCGCGCGCTTACTGACCATCTTCGTTTATCACACGAAAAAAAAAATCATCGACATTCACATAATCACATTGTACAAGCTTAAGCAAATCATGATCGCGGATGCAGGTATTAAAGAGAGGTAGCCCGAAGATTACAGAAAGTGGATGTCCTAAACCAGGTAACACGTACAGTGTTTACACGATATCGTACCAAACATAGCGGAGTGGAGAGACATGAAGGGGGGAAGTGAATGCAACAATATATGCGCTGCCTCGCACATACCCAAGACAGCTTTTTTGACAAGGGTACCTCCTGCGTGGAAGCCTGCGAAATCTCATCGAAACTCGAAACATGATGTTGTGCGCTCTGGCACATGTACCAAGGATAACTGTTGGTATCTACATAGAAAGTCTTGTCAGAAGACAGAAGTGTGTACAGGAGTAACCGCCTTGACTTACGGTTCTGAATTCTGGTGGAAGTAGAAGCCGCTCATCGTGGCCACGTTGGACGGGAATCCACGGGAAGGAGACCGACCTATCCGTCTGCTACCATGACTGCTGGACATCCGCCGTACGCGTGGAGTAGACTCAGGTTTCCGAGAGGGCGTCTCCTCCAGGGCAGAAAGCGCTTCCCCAGCGTTCTCCCCAGACAGTGGGTGCGGCTGGGCCGCCTGCGGACTCTGAGAGCCGGCCGGTCCAGACTGTTGAGGATTGAAGTCTACACATACGTAGTAGAACCCTAAGGCCATGAGGCATCAGTTTGTGAATTGCTGTACTTGTCATCAAGAGAAGAGAAGAACGCAACGAGGCTGCGCAAAGCGGGATAACTGTTGACTGCATACTCACCAGCAAAGCTAGCCCCATTGATGTCTTGCACACGATGATCTGGAACGAGGAATTTCTCCTTCCATCTCATGAAGACTGCACCACGATTCGCATCTTTCATGGTCAAGTGAGGTTTCATGAGCTCATGCCTGACGTGTCGGAAAGCAGGGAAGCGTGCCCAGTGGACCATGTCCTCCTGCTCACTGGCACCCCAGTTGCGCGTCAAGAACCCATACCGGCTCCCGATAATTTCCGCGTCAAAATACGTCGTGAGCTCGGGCCAGTCGTCTGTCAGCCCGCGGATGCGCAAGTACCCACAGAGGTGAGACGACGAGAAATCCACATCCTAATGCCAAGAAAGACTTTCAGGATCCCTCCGTAGCAGGAAGCCGACAGACACTGACCACGATGGTGACAGTCACGTCATAGCTATTCCTACCGCTCTTCTGCGTACCCTGGAAGATTGCGCCTGGGTAGAGACAGTGGTGCCCCTGCGATCGCACCCGCAGACGAGTGATGTCGACCAATGGATCTGGCGACGCAGCTGGGCCGCGAGGGCGAACCTTGCTGCTCGACGATGCCGCCGTCGACGGGGGGGCAACCTCGTACTGGATATTACAAACTTGCGGAACAATAATATCAGAGGTATTGATCGGGACGAGTGAGGGGCGGGCGGAAGGCGAGTGTGATGAAGCTTCGTGCGTGGCAGTACATGGAGCGGTAGAAGAGGAGAGAGACGAGGGCGTAGGAAGAGCGGAAGGCTCCAACTGCATCACATTGTCAGGGAACTGGTGAGTGGTCGCATGAGTTGCACGCGAGGTGGAGTCTTGCTGCACGGGGATAGCCTCGTTGCATCCGTCCTGCTGAGACACCGCGCGGCGTAGATCCCGCTCGAGTTCGACATAAACACTGTCTCTGGGAACAGACGCTGGACGCAACGCTAGCAAACGGATGCGACATTGGGTGCAGACGATGGTGGTGTCGCTGGATTCGGCCGAGTCGTGGTGTATGAGCGGGGTGTTGATGGAGTCGGGAGACAGCGGGGAATGGCACGCGAAGCAGAGCTTGATCTGCTGCTGCTGGATGTCTGGTTGCGAGGGGTCGTGTGTCGCGGGTGAGATGGGTTCTGAGTAAGTGGGCATAATCTGTGCGAGGGCTGGGATGGAGGAGGAGATGAGGAGAGGCAGGTGTGGGAGGCAGGCAGACGTCGCTTCGAATCTTGAGTTAGGACACGTGCGGCTATCAGTGCAGCTCCTTAGTCTAGCCTGACACACTCCCCCTCTTCTTCCCATTTGCCCTCTCTTCGCAGCCTGTCTTTGCCGCGAATGCACAGCGAACCTCGCTGGATCGCTGGATATCGCACCGGGAGACGTGTGGAGGCCAGCCACGCCCCCCTCAATCAGGCAAATCGCCATATGCGTGGATCATGCGCCCGCTTCTCTACTGCCAAAGTTTACATTTAGACGCTGTCCTTGGGTTCTGTCTCCCGCGGGCAGGCTCCTGCAGGCTGTACCAGAGTCTTCCAGCCCGCTTACGAGTATTGCACTGCTCGTTGCAGTCTCTTCTAAGCCGAATCAGCATTACTGCCGGCCTGTCGTTACCTCGGATCTCTCGCATTGACGTTCAAGATACCACCAGTGAGCGCTCCGGACGACGCATAACCAACTCTCCGAGACCATGATCCGGAGCCTGCACCATGGAGCTGGTGGTTCGCACTCACCGTGTTTGCGACAGCGGGCTCACCTGGATTCCGTGAATTTGCTCCCAAACGCGGTCAGGACGCCTCCGAGGCTGATACGCCACACGGACGCTGGCATTCTTCCAGGAAATGTGGGTCCCGCATCTCTACTCGATCTCTTTTTAGTGACGCCCGTTATCGACATGTCCGACCCGAGCGCTTGCCACCGCGTCGACATCCTCGCGGGATGTCACCTCTCACCTTCATTTATCAACGCATCGCGCCGCGCCAATCACCTCTGCGCAGCGAATGTCACCAACGATTCGACAGCGGACGACGAGCGACCGCGTCCGCTTGGCACAAAATGGCGCTCGCAGGGCGTGTTCTCATCAAAACGCAGCCTCACATGGTACTGATCGACTAATAGATGGACGCGTTAGTATAATATAGCACCGAACTGTTCCAGCGGAATATTCATGGCTACATATGTCTGTTCAGTTCTACGTGCTTATCGTTACAGTTCGTCGCCGCGCGCTTGACCGTGACAGGCAGGCATTTATTCATTACACCTGCTCCGCGGCGTCCACAGCCTCTATATCGCCCGTAGCTGTCCATTCATGCGTGTATCATCCTGGGACATAGATGAGCGCGCCTGGCCGTCTTCATCCAACGCCTCACCGTCTGGTGCGGTTATCGCATCTACGGCGACTTGCTCTATCTCCCCCTTCTCGACGTCTGCCGGGATCGCATCTTCCTGCCCTTGCGGTCCGGCCTTCACGATAACTCTCTTCAAGCTGTATCCTCGTACGAACAACACTGTGCAGATCCATCACGATAAGCAATCTGTCAATGAATTGACTGCTCCGAGGCGCACCCAATATGAAACCGAATCCGACGAGGGGTGTGTTGACGACCCAGATCGTGCTGATCGCTTGACAGTAGGCAGCGATCAGCGGAACACGTTGCGAATCCTGCCAAACAGTTCAACGATCTGCGCTCCACACAAACTGACAACCCCACGACTTACCGGCAGATGCTTGATAAAAGGGACATATTGGTTCAGCGCTGCCGCAGATGTATCGATGGATAGACCAGCGATATTCTTCACTTTCTTCTGGAGAATCTATGTGACAATCAGCACCTCAAAGGAAGGTCGACTTGGAGATCCCGCATACCCCGGACAGAATGGTGTCACCGACTGTAACACCGATGGTTCCACCGAGCATCCTGAAGAATCCGAACGTCGCTGTACTAGTTGCCATATCTTTAATGGGCATGGCAGCTTGCAGACCAATGAGCGGCGTCTGCAAGAGAAGTAGAACTACACTCAGGTACTCGCAACCCAGGGCACAGATACAAACCCACAAACCTGGAAGAGATTTCCGAATCCCGAAGCTGCAATCAGCGGGTAAAGCACCTGCATTGCGCTGCATGCATCGAATGAACGTTAGCCCTTCCAAAGAGTGTTGATACCGCAGACCTACACGTTCGCATCGGCCTTAAGCATTATCATAAGGCCGTAACCGAGCGTGAAAATTCCCCAAGCGACCCACAAAACAGGTCTCCACCGCCCGGTGCGCGTCACTACTTGACCGGAAAGGATGGAGAAAAACGACGATCCAAGAGAATAGGGAAGCATCCTACAGCAGGATAAGCAAACACAGAATATGTAAACAAAGTGATGCTAACCGGACGCCGGCCATCGTAGCGGAAGACCCCAGCACCTGGAAGTATACCGGTAGATAAAACGTGCCTGCACATCCGACACATCAGAACAGTGTACAAGATAATAACCGGTGTATACAAACCGCAGAAGAACGCGACAGCGTGGATGAAGGTCGAGACCAACAGGAAGGTCGTCGTACGCGTCTATTCGACTATACAAGGTCAGCATCCGCCAATGGGTTGGGTTAAGACCTCAACGTGCCTTGAACAAACGCGGGGGAACAATCGGCGATCTGTTCGTGAAGATCTCATTGACCCCAGCAGCAATCAATAGACACACGCCTAGTACAAGCGGAGCAATGGTCCGGGCTTGATCCCCTGTACGTCTCTGATCAGTTGCGCCAGCAAGAAGTCAAGAATGATCCTCACATCCTTGCTCGCCGAAGTTGAAACCGATCAGTAGCAGTACGACACCGCCGATGATCAATATCAGACCAACGAAGTCGAACTCTCGGACATGCTGGCGGAGGGGCTTCCCCTGATGCGGGTTAAGGTTAAGGAAGAAGAACAAGAGCATGAACGCGACTCCTCCAGTAGGCCTGCAGGCATACGCAGTGTCAGCGCTATACCACTCCAGTGCATAGGAGAGACCTGCAAATTAATAAAGAAACACCTGTAGGCAAGAAGACCGTTAGTAAACGCCCTCGTAGCTAAAAGATAAATAAAGCGATCTACCATCTCCACGATACGTGGTCAGTGAATACCTAGCACAACACTTCAGTAAAGGCATCCGGTAGCATCCCCAGAGCTCACTTACCCCGCCGAGTAAAGGCCCGATTACACTATTGTTTATGGCATCATCAGCAACAGCCCTACGGAATAACCATGGACAAACCTTGCAATTCCCCATGTCGCACCAATAAGCCCGGCATATTTCCCGCGACTATCAGTGTATCAGTACTGCATTATGGCGTGGCGAACGAGCAGAATAAAATGAACCCACTCTCGGAGAGACACAATATCCGAGATGGTAATTTGAACAAGCTGCATGATCCCACCGCCTCCGATACCTTGAACGGCACGACATACCACGAGCCAAGTCATATTTTGTGCAGCACCGCATAGCGCAGAGCCCACCTGGAGTTTCCAGCGCGTCAGAACAAACCGGATAACGCTGTATCTCAATGCCTCACCAAGAATGTGACTATAGACCCATATAAAACGGGTTTCCGACCTACAACGAGATGATGAAAACACGTCCCAACTCGCACACATAATATATGCGTACCAAATACGTCAGAGACCTTCCCGTAGATCGTCGAAAGAGAAGCAGCAGCCAACAGATATGCGCTGAAGTAGAATAAACGTCACATCAGTTGTAAGCAGTGAAAATACCGAGCACAAATCACACCTTCCAACCCAGCTATAATCCTTTCCACCACCGATCTTCGCCACGATCGTCGGTAACGCTGTGGACACAATGGTCTGGACAGACTGGTCAAGGACCAAATCCGCATCCAAAAAGTCATGGACAAACCTGATCCAACGCGGACAAGAAGACGCAGCACATTAAACCGGCAAACACGATGCCCAATCGATTCTCTGGGAGGTGTTGCTCTTCATTCTTCTTCCAATCGTGTTTACTTTTCTCTGGTTCGGCGACCTGGGTGGGCGTGACCGATTCTGCGGTCTGAGGCCTTTTCTCGTCCATGGCTCCTGCGCGTCGTTACACAGAGGTATCTAGGGTATACTTCCTGCGCAGGGGATGGGGGAAAGCGTGTCCGAAGAACCGCAGAGAGCATCATGCGCTGTTAAGTATCAAATTTGAAGACACTAATGTCAGCAGCAGATTTTTCCCGTTCCGCCGAGGTGGCTGAGTACACCTCCTGCCGAGATGCCGTGCATGCCATGAGCGGATTTGTCCGTGCGACGTGCATCAACGTTAACGTTCACCGTTTAAGTAACATCGGCAGCTGTCCCGTCTTGCAACGCGCATGCTCCGTCTCTCAGAAAGGCTTCTGAGTAGGTGGAGGGTGGCGCAGGTTGTCCGCAGAACCAACTGAGCGACGTCTTTCAATTCGTCTCAATTCGTCTTTTCACTTGCCAGTCGGATACACGGACCGGCAGCCAGAAAGTATCAGGCAAGACGCCCGATGTGTGCGAATGCCCTCTTGAGCGCCCAAAGCTGCTCGTTGCAACGGTTAGACAGATACGCCACCTCTCGCAGGAGCAGAAATGACAGTTTACCTGTGTGAATAAGGGATGAGGGGATTGTACATCGGTAAAGGCTTTGTTTTACTTTTACTTTTTTCTTTTCTTTTTGAACCTGACAAAAGTTCCTTGTCATCCAAAAGAGGCAGGTCTAGTATATATAGAGGTGCCGACTTGTCCACACAGGAAGCATTACCACTTTTATCCATTGGAAATAACCTGGCAAAAAGCATGGAAATCAATAATATATTTTCAGAGGAAAAACCTCGAGAAAAAAGTGAGAAAAGAACAAAACATTCTCACGGGTTTTCCCTTGGAAATAAGTTGCCTACCATATCAGGCAACTGGACATGCCAGGACATGCCAAAACCCGGACAAAATTACTATATTTGGCAACCAACTTATTTCCAGTGGAAAAACTGCGGAAATGCTTTGTTCTTTTACACGTTTTTTCCTCATGTTTTTCCTGCAGTATAACTTTATTGATTTCCACACATTTTTCCAAGTTATTTCCTCGGGAAAAAAGGGGTTATGCGTCCTGTGCCATCCTCAGCCGTATGAGGTTTCCAAAATTTCCTACTGGCACAGGAGCATAAATTATCAAGCCTCAGCCTCAGCATGCATATGAGTGGCTGTACTTCCACTCATCCTCAGTGTCCGCAACCACTGGCTTGTTAGCGTTTCAGCACCCGATGAAATTTGAGAGCACTCAGGATTATCATGATACCGCTTCACACACGATACTTTTGGAGGGAGATACGGGCCAATCAGCTCCTCAGGCCTCAGTTTCCGTAACGTGAAAGTCGACCTGTTATGTACGCAGCATCTGTCGAAAGCGCTCGCCTGATTGTCAATACTATGAACCATTTTGTTCCACGATCGTATCAGATCGACTGCACTGAGATATCTCCAACGTTTCCAAATGTCATCGTCGGCTGGACATTGAGAACGATGTCCTTGTTTTTACAATCTACACTCATCCAGCGGGCCTACCTTTCAATGTTCCACCCGTGTTCCAGCCTGGGAGCTTACCTAATAATCCATTATTTCTTATCTAATCCTCGCACTCTGAGTCTGCCGAAGTACAAGAGGTCCTTCTCTCCTTCACTCATCCACCATCCACCATCATATAGAAATTAACATGGCCAACACTATCCCTACCTTTAAGCTTGTTCTTGGTGCGTCTTACGTTCCTTATACATGTCGCGCTTTCTGACTTTCAGACCCGTTCCCTGATCGATATACAACATTTGCGATTTTCTCGCATCTTGGCTGCAATCTGCTCGCTGGATCCATGGTGTCCACGACGAATCGTGATCTATCACAGTTGGTGACGGTGGAACCGGAAAAACTACGTTTGTCAAGGTATGCACCTTCTGTACATCCTGTAAGCCAACTGATCGCGTCCTGATCACTTCTCTTGTACAGCGCCACTTGACAGGAGAGTTCGAAAAGAAGTACATCGGTGCGGCTTTCAATCATGTTCCTTGTTGCTCCAGTCATTGTCGTCTGACTCATACGCGCCACAGCTACTCTTGGTGTTGAGGTCCACCCTCTATCCTTTTCGACAAACTTCGGCACGATCTGCTTCAACGTATGGGACACTGCCGGGCAGGAGAAGTTCGGTGGTCTGCGTGATGGCTACTACATTCAGGGCCAGTGTGGGATCATCATGTTCGATGTCACGTCCCGTATCACATACAAAAATGTCCCCAATTGGCACCGTGATCTCGAACGGGTGTGCGAAAACATCCCCATCGTGCTGTGCGGAAACAAGGTCGACGTGAAGGTGCGTTCCTCTCAATCCGTCAATTGTTCGTTTTGCGATGACATCATATACCTGCAATCCTAGGAGCGGAAGGTGAAGACGGGACAGGTGACCTTCCACCGGAAGAAGAACATCCAGTACTTCGAGATTTCGGCAAAGTCGAACTACAACTTCGAGAAGCCATTCCTTTGGCTTGCAAGGAAGCTGGTCGGGTGAGTTAACATGCCTTTGGATGTATGCACCGGATGCTAAGCCATGCTATCAGCAACCCCTCTCTCGAATTCGTCGCTGCGCCTGCCTTGGCACCCGCTGAAGTCCAGGTCGATGCCGCCCTGATGGAGCAGTACCAGAAGGAGTTGGCGCAGGTAAGTTGCACGCGTGCTCACCAAAACGCGGTTTGCCTGACTGGTTTCTCTCCAGGCCGAAGCTGTTCCCCTTCCGGAAGAAGATGACGACCTTTGACCACGATGCGTTCCCTTGTTGCGCTGTTTCCGCATTTGTTTTATATACATCCCTGTGACACAACACTGTTTTCAATACATACGTACGTACATCACACCGAAGAGCACTCAGTTCTTCGCGAGGTTATGTGCACATGCTCGCATGTGAATCATCGGTTCCGGATCGTTATGTCGCTAACGTACAGAAACCCAATTTGTATCCTTGTTCTGCTAGTAGCAAATTATCGGTGGAGTTCCTTAGGTTGCTCATGTGCTCACGTTGCGGCTGTCAGACTCAGACGTATCCAATCTCGACCACGCTTGTGAGGCATATCATGCTGTATAATCCATGCCAGTCAGTTAAGTGTAGGGAAGCGAGGAAGCACAGCATAAGTATACACCAAAACAACATATTTTGCAACAGGAGTACAACATCTGCCTGAAGTCAACCTTCCACATATAACACTGTCTGACGAATAAATTGGCAGGCCTACACACACCTTCAAATCTTACAGCACAATTAATGCAAGTAGTGTTACAAATTCCATCCACATATCACCAGTGATCTCGGGAGAGAAAGTACAAGCACAGAGAGTTAGAAACAAAGAAACAACAGTAGAATGAAGTTTCCAAATGGAGATGCAACAAGGGCACTGGTATGCCCAGCAAGATGAGAGTGCACCGAAGTAAAGGAAGGTAACAGCAACATTACTTTCGGGCAGGGATCTGCACCTTAGCCAGCTCCGTAAGCCCTTCCCAGAGGCTCTCAGCTTCAAGCATAGTTGCCCTACCACTCGTCACGAGCAACTCCACCCACCCACGACAAGCAGACATCTTCGCGATTGCACGAAGGATACGGATACTGGTGATACCATCAGCCAGCAAGATTGCGAAGAGATGAGGTGCTGGAATTGCCAGCGACTGGAGAAAGTCCCAGATGGGCCGGGTTTTGTCATCAATATGCATTAACTCATTCATAGCGGGAGATCTGGCAAAGAATGTGTTGAAGGCTCCAACCTGGCTTGCCTCTGCAACTGTCGTGTGATGGTCTTGCGAACCACGAGGAAGGGTGCGGTGAAAAGTCGATGTCAAAGACTGAGAGGCAGAGCGAGAGAAAAGGTGTCCTTCACCCTTGCCCCTGGCATGGGCAGCAGTCTAAGGGATACGGTAGAGCAGTGAGTCAGGGACTGTAAATAAGTAGCTTGCGCACGAAGCGACGTACGGCTCGTTCGTTGGTGCGAGTTCTAACAGTGTCTGTGATCGCGAGAGTGCGAGTTTTCCTGGCGGGGCTGCCTGGGAGTCTCCTCTTTGTTGGTGTTTGACCTATGAACTGGCGTGGGTGTTTGCGAGGTGTGCTGGGAGCCTGGGGCACAGCAACCCTTGAAGAGGTGAAGTGCTATTTCAGATATAAAAATCAGATGGTTGTAGTGACGAGTAGACGGACCAGCTACCTTGCTCTTGTTCGATCCAAGCTGAGGATCGTTCACCAGCCGAAACATCTCGGCCTTGCGGCGAGCTCTGACAACGCACCCCGACAGATATATGTTGATGTAGTTCTTGACGGGCCAGTAGTCCTGGTATCTCTTGACAAACGGGCATTGCTGCGAAATCTAGGCACCAGCGAAGACAATTGTCAGATTAATCTTGAAGTTTGCAGTCTTATACATACTTGCTGCTGAATTCGATTTACGGTTTTCGGGTCTTGTTCTGAAAATGGTCGGGCCATATCGAGGCGCTGTTGAACAAGTCCACGTATCGCTTGCTAGTTGCAGTATTAGTATGCTTGCACACACACTGACAGGAGGAATTTACAGTGAGCTGTGGAAACTCGGTGTTCGACAACCCGCTTAAGGCTTGCAGACCATTTTGGCCGGAAACCGTAGAGGGCAATGTCCTTGGCCGTTCAATCAGAGCCTGTAACCTTTCTCTATCCGGTTCTCCTCCGCAAGCATAATTGGAGCAACTCGGTATCAACGCAAAGGAGGCGAATCGCGTCGACTTACCAGGCATATTGGGATCGTCGATGGGTTAGGTGATGGTGGGGAGAGGAACATTAGGGACGAAGCAGCGCATGTTACGGTACGGCTTCCCGTGTTCACTTTCGAACATATATAGTCAAATCGGCCGAGGTGAAAACGCGACGCGACGCGGTCACATGTTCTCCGAGTCTAAGATCTCCCTCATTTTCGCCGAGACTTACCAAAAGATACTATACAGGGTACTAACATGGATTACACTGTTCCGTTAACATTTACGTTCACGAAAACTACACATAACACGATATGCACAAGGTGCTGAGGCCAGATTGACTGAATGTGAAATCTACATCTGAATCGTAGTACAGGGATGATGTATATATAGCACATACACCGAATTCGTACATGCAGACTTACAACAAATACAACAGGACAGTACTATACGGGATCCGTCGGGTGAAAGAGGCTGCAAGCTTTGCAAGCCCATCCGAGACAATATGACGCTGGAATCGTGAAAAGCTCCACCCAGCTGATTCCAACTTGATTCCAATGTTGGATTCGACAAGATGCGTAAAGCCAAAAGGTAGCGTAGAATATAGTGCATATTTTTGTACATATTTACATATTCGCATACAACATCAAATACACTTCGTGGCTACATGAGTACACTAACTGAATAGTTCACAGAATCGCACACATAGAATCACGATACTACTTGGAACGGAAGAGAGCATAGTACTAATGGTACAAATACGAGGAATTATCGGATTCAGGTAATTTCATGCAACATACAACATCAAGTCATTCCGAGCCCATAATGGCAGCACATAATCATGTGCCAGAAGACGATGCGGCCAGCTTCGTGAGGCCATCATAAATGAGGTGAGCCTGGAAATGAGTTATCTTCCTTGATACTACCAGCGTATTTAACCACTCTCGGCGTCCGGTCATCATTGCAGCTGCACGAAGCCCGTGGATGGTATTCACACCCTCCGCAAGGAAAACTTGGAGAAGAGAGGGGAGAGGATTAGCCAACGATTTGAGAAAGGCGAGGACTGGGTCCGCAGCACTAAAAAGGGGCAACACAGATGGCAATGGAGAAGTAGTGGAGGCTGACGGAGGAGATGTGAGAGCTACGCCACTCGAAGACGACACGGGGACAGGATGCTGTAACGAATACATTAACAAGATGGGACAAACACATACATTGTAGATAGCATACCTGGGGTGCGACGTTCTGGCCACCTGGTTGAGATTTGCCCTTCGACGCCTGAATGTGAGGTCTCCGCATAGCCAACGATCTAAATGGTGTTCTGCCCACAAAGATGCGTCGCGAGATGCAGGAATTGACCTTGGAATTCTTGAGAATAATGATCAGATGTCTCTTCAAAACATTGTCGTCATACCTTCAATTTTTGCTGCTTGGCACATTCCGCTCGCCTACGGGCTTTGACTGTAGATTCACTACGACCCGCAAGATAGAAACGCAAATAGCTCTTTACTGGCCAAAGGTCCTTGTAAGATTTGACGAAGGGGCAAATCTCCAGCACCTACAGTCCAGAGGGGTTTGATTTGGGGCAACGTTCAGAGGCAATGATAACGACATATGTACGTACCTTCGGAAAGACAGCCTCTACGCGCATCTTGTCCTGATCTGGGAGCCTTTGGGTGAGATCAAGATGTTTCGCTGCCGTCTTCCGCGTTACAGTCTCGCAGGTAGAAGGGTGAGGTGAAATGAATTCGCACAAAGAAATCTCGCGACCTACTATCATAAGGCGGAAGTCCTGCCGAGAAAGCTTCGTTTGTCCTTCAAGTGCGCCGGGTCCGTAACCCCATACACTTTTGGCCTTGTGTGTTGGCTGTTCATACATGTTCGTTCCCTGGGCAGTGGTTGCTGCATCTGCGAGAGGATTAGTAGTCTTAAGAAATATTGCGTGGTGGGTGGAGGGCACGTACTGGACATGGCGAGGTAACTGCGATGATTTATCAAGAGGGGACAGACTATTCCAGCGGTGACTGGGTGGAAGGGGGATTGTGAGAGCAAAAAAACAGGGCGTACCGAGGTATGTATATATCAGACACGGCGGAGTTCTAGCTGGAAGAAAAACAGGTTCTGATCCAAAGTACCAGAGAATGCTCATATGTAGGAATCGTCTATTCATTCGGAGCGCAGGACGTTTCCAATGGGCATCTCGAGCGAATCAGGGGGCTGCACTGGCATCCACAATTTTCTGGCGGCGAACTGTTCTCGAAACATGGTGAATGGCCTTTCGAGAAAAATTTTCGCATTAAATGGAAATGAAAGATATTTCCCGTGGGGTATAATCGATAGATCTGCGTCTCCATGACTCAGTCGCGTTCGTGTACCGAGTCAGTGAATTTGAATCGCGACGCGACGCAACATGAAAGCGTCATGTGGTCAAGTGACGCAGTCCCCAGTACTGAAGATCCACATCGGGCGTTATTTCGTCCATCGTTACTCACCCGACGGCTCAGTCGAAGGAACACACACCTGTTCAAAATGTCGCAGAATGCGCAGATTTCAGACTTACCTGCGGTTGGTAGTGCGCTTGAACCTTCGGCTCTCCAGCAGTCTGTGTCAATGTCCCCCGCACTTTCTTCACTTCCTGCCCATGTGGACAGCCGGTCGCTGGTATCTAGTCTCTTAGGTGACAAGTGCGTGCAGTCAGTGAAACATCTATCTTCTTGACTTAGCAGCGCTCTGAAACGCAGTCCATACTTTCAGGCAGGATTCGGGCTTATGGTACGCTCCCTCTATTTCAGTACATAGGCATGCACTGACAACGGTTTGGATCCTGTAGGGAGTGGGTGTAGGTCTGAGCGTGTTTCGTCAAGCTATGATTTTCTCCACTGTCGCTCTTCGCCGGCGCATGCTTGTGTCCCTCGAAATCAGCAACAAGGACCCTGCCTATGACTGGTTTCTCGCATGGATGGCGCATCGCACAGCGAATGCAAACACCGGCAGCGCTGCCGCACCATGGCTGCGAAGTCACCAATTGAGCGTGCAAACGTCCCATGAGCAGCGCAAGAACGGCAGCTCGAATGCGCTGTTCAAGCTTGTAGCAGGACCGGGAACGCATTGGATGCGCTTCCGCAAAGCGTGGATTCAGGTAAGTCTTGCAGGTAGGCATCACTGGAATCCGTGTGCATGACCATTTTCAGGTGAAGCGCGAGCGAGAAACACGCTCTCAGCAGCTCATGTCGGGGATACCCTGGGAAACCGTCACCCTCACCACATTGTCGCGGGATCGGAATGTGTTCTCAGAACTTCTGCGCGAGGCGCGAGACATGGCCGTGGTCGCGCAAGAGGGCAAGCTCGTGATACAGATACCATGGGGACTCGAATGGAAACCCTTCGGTCTGCCAAGACGGAAACGTCCTCTCAAGAGTGTCGTTCTGGCAGAAGGTGCATCAGAGCGCATCGAAGAGGATGTGAAAGCGTTCCTGCGGCGGCGTCAGTGGTATGTCGATCGAGGTATGTTCGCAATTGTGCTCCGCTGAGAGTCATGCTTACTGGCACACCAGGCATACCATACCGCCGTGGATACCTGCTACATGGTCCGCCTGGCTCGGGAAAGTCCTCGTTCATACAGGCTCTGGCTGGGTCGCTTTCATATGATCTCTGCCTACTCAACCTATCCGAGCGGGGCCTTGCGGATGACAAACTCATTCATTTACTGTCAAATACCCCGGAGCGCAGCTTCGTCCTCATTGAGGACGTTGACGCTGCCTTCAACAAGCGTGTGCAGACCAGTGAAGATGGGTGAGCAGCAGAATGGTTCATATCCAGCAATTTCTGACAGTGACATGCCAATACCCTGCTGCACCATTGGTCTGAACTAGCTACCAATCCTCCGTTACGTTCTCGGGCTTCCTGAATGCTCTTGATGGGGTAGCGTCTGGCGAAGAACGCGTCATCTTCCTGACGACAAATCATCCAGAGAGACTAGATCCCGCTCTGGTCCGCCCAGGACGTGTTGATCTCTCAGTTCTCCTGGACGACGCAACACCCGAGCAAGCACGACGTCTCTTTGTCCGCTTTTATGGCGGTGGCGGCGAGGATGGAGCTTGGGAGCACATCGATCCGCAGACAATTGAGAAGATGGGCCGGGAAGTGGAAGAGGTAGTCAAGCGCGAGATGAAGTTGGGGAAGCGGGTGAGCATGGCTGCGCTGCAGGGCATGTTCATCCGGAGTACGACGGCGGAAGCTGTGCAGGGTATTCGGACATTGTTCATGCCAAAGTAACGAACTCAGAAGTCGGAAGCGCTCAGGATAGCGTGGTGGATGTGCACTGAGTACAGGCTCGGTAATTCTACAACACGATATAATGCTGCATAGAGGACAGAGAATCAGAATACAGGCTTCCGTTTGCGTCCCGTGTATTTTGAATCGTGAGGGACGTTGTTTTTGCCGCGTTGCCGATACAGCTGAGTGAGTTATCATTAGGAAGGAGCAAGATGCATGAAAATTTATGGGGCGCACCTGTTTTTTTTTCAAAATCCAGTCCTTGTCCTTTATGCTTTTGCGCTTCCCACTCTTTGACTTCGACTGTCGCTCTCTCCTCTTTTCGAACATCGCTCGCCCTTCACTCTCCTGGCCCTCATCCTCCAAACCCTTTGGCATCTGTTGGGATCCGCCGCCACCACCAACAAATAGACACAGAAATACTTTCCGCGCCTTGTTCGAGTTGGGATAGTCGACCACTATGCCACCGCCGAACCCAGCTTTTTGCGCAATAGACGTGATCAATTGGATCTGATCGTCTGATGTCGGGTAGAATTGTAGAACAGCTCGAGAGGGATTGCGAAGAGCAGCGAAGAGAGTAGTGAAGAAGCGAGTGAGACGATGTGGGGGTGAGGAGGTGGGATGTGAAGTTTCGGCATTGAGAAGCCATTGGATTACGGATATGCTGCGTCAACGATGTAGTAGGGGGAATGAAACTTATGGAGAGGATGATAAAGACCCACCTTATTGCTGCGTCAAAGCTACCTGGCCGGAAACCGAATCCTTGTCCAATATCTTGCAGAAATAAGTCTCCTTCTACTTCTCGTTCAAAGGCAACCTCTGTAGGCGGTTGGATATGTCAGAAATACAATACAATCAAAAGCACAGAAAAAACCTCACCTAACATGCTTGGGGCAACATCCACGCCTACCCACACATGACCCTGCTCGTCGAGAATTTCACCAGAGAGCCCGGAGCCGCAGCCAATGTCAAGGACGAAGGCTGACTCATCGGGAGGTAGATTCAGTAATTCGAGAGCTCGGTATGTCATGTCGGCTTGGATCTGTTGGATGCGCGAACTAGGATGAATGAGACGGTACGCAACATAGCAGAGAGCCCTATCCACGAACTTATTAGTGTATTTCTTGGCTTCTGTATCGCCATAGTACTGTCAGAAATAGTCAGGCGCGAACAAAACTAATAGCAGCGAGCAAAAATGCAAAATACAATTTCTGGAGGCGCTTGAAGCTCCGGGCGAGACATTTTTGAGAGAGGTAAGCGGAACGAGTAAGAAAGGTGAACTTTAGCGCTCGTGATCGAGGCGCGCTCGACGCGTGCGGTCATGGCAATCATCCAAGCTTGCCGCGGCACCCGCTTGACTGTCTCTCTTCTCCTTCCCCCACTCATCCTCGCCTCTCTGCATGCCGCCGAAACGCACCCGCCGCTCGTCTCCTACCCCTGCAGGTCTCTCAGCTGGCGAAAGACTGAAGCGTGCTAGGCTCGCCGGGAATACCCAATATTCCACCTGGGGTTGGGTGGGCACCGAGATCACAGACGCGTCAGCAATCACGCTCGAGCACAGGCTTGCCACCTGCGGCTTTTTGCCCAAGAGCTCGCATCCTCTGTGTGCGAACAAGTACGCAGCGCGAGCTAGGTCGACGTCGGTGAAAGAGGAGACGAAGCAACCGCAACCCAAAGCTCATGGGGAACTGGAGGATGATGTGATTGTCATTTCCGACGATGAAGCGCCGTCTTGTAGCAGTAAGGCATGCAGGAGCACCCCGTACTGCCTCAACTATCTGGGTCAGGAGAAGTGGGAAGATGAGGGTGAGAGTAGCTTCCTAGAGATTGATTGCGTAGTCACACGCGTCTCCAGGCAAGGCTCGTGAAGCCTTCATGAAAGTCACGAATCTCGGTGAGGATCCCGTCGCTAACTCGAGAGATCCTGGTTTCCCGGTGGGACTGAAGGTGCGTGCGTCCCTTGGGGGTGCTGCAACTCTTGATTCATTATCTTTGATGCAGAATCTGGGCGCCACTTGCTATGCGAATGCATATCTACAAGTACGCCTACATTATTGCGAGTTCCTACTTTAATTTCTCAAGTCACGTTTAGGTGTGGTTCCAGGACTTGCCGTTCCGCGATGGCGTCTATAAGTGTCAACCAGCTCAGGATGCGGAGCACAAATTTGAAGTCCGTGCCTTGCTGATCCTCGTTGTTGCAGAACGCAGCTGACAGTTCTTCTCAGGAATCGCCGATATTCCAGCTTCAGGTGACATTTGCCGCGATGCAGGAGGGCATCGAGAGCGCTTTTAATCCCGTCAAGCTTGTTGAAAGCTTGAAACTGAGGACAGCCGAACAGCAAGATGCTCAGGAGTTCGTAACATCAATATTAACCTATATTGAAATCTGACGTTTCTTCCAGGTTCTCCAAACTGTTCATGGCCCACTTGGACACAGAGTTCCACAAACAATCGAGTCCGTCATTGAAGTCACTCATTGCAGATCAGGTATAAATTTTCAGGTTGGTGTGATCTTTGTACTTAGGAACTACCAGTTTCAGGGCAAGCAAGTGTACGGCACGATTTGCGAAAAGTGCCACAATAGCTCTGAACGAGAGTCGGATTTCCTGGAGATTGAAGTCAACATCCAGGTACGTCATGGACTGAGCAGTGCTGAAATAAGCTCACTGTCCTCGCCAGAACAACGCCACACTTGAAGACCGGATCACTGCATTGCTGCAGCCCGAGACATTGTCCGGCGATAACAAGTGAGATCCTCCTGTCATGTTTAAGTCATAAGTGGCCTGATAGCTCTCTACCTTGTGCAGGTACCTATGCCCACGTTGTGACAGCCTGCAGGATGCCAAACGATACACAGAACTCCGGCAGCTTCCTCCGGTGTTGCACTTCTCTTTACTGCGGTTCGTCTATGACGTCTCGACCATGGAGCGCAAGAAGAGTAAATATGCTATCTCGTTCCCGACATCGATAGACATGGACCAATTTCTTGGATCTGCCGAAATGCGCAAGAACGCGAAGAACTGTCGGAAGAATACGAACCGGTATGCGCTTCGTGGTGTGCTCTTGCATAAGGGCGCCAGTGCATACCATGGACATTATGAGGCGCAAGTGTTCGATGTCCAGTAGGTCGAAATGATCAGATCAGAGCTCCTGCTGATTTTCTACGCCTGATGCAGGAACCAAGGATGGTATCAGTTCAACGACGAAACCGTCACTGAGATTGAGTCACTTGGAGCTAAGCCTATTTCTAAAGCGAAGGTTGGACCGGCGGCCGATGCGGAGAAGAAGTAAGCGACTATCATTCCAATTCCACAAAGTTCAACAGCTAAAATAATGCGCCTCTGGGTAGGAAAGCGGCGGGGCAAAGTCAGAAGCCGCGTATCCCTCAGAGGAAGCGTCGGCGCGTAGAGAGCGACAGCGATATCGAGATTCTTGAGTAAGTTGTAATTGAGCCGTACCTGCCCTTCTCACCTGTCCGAGCAGTTCCCCACCGCCCGCAAATGGCTCTAAAACAGAGCCTGAAGCAGCATCGTGGGTACATCGTCTTTGTCCTAAGTGTGTAACACTGACACATCGTTGACCAGTTACATCTCTTCGAAAGATGCCTATATGCTAGTATACTCGCGCATTGATATGCGCAGTTCGGAGCTTACCAAAAACGTTATCAATGGGAAGGCGCCCCATCGATCTTATTCCCCTCAAGCCAATGGCTCAGCGCACGCACATTCACAAATCACCATACCTTCTCCACCACCTCGGGCCATGGAAGCAGTACGTATGCTGAATGCTGCTCACGACCAGGCGTGCGAAGAGTTTACCGAGAAGTAAGTAGTGATGCTCATGCGTCATGTTCGATGCTGACGACCTGTAGAGAGAAGCAGGCGAAGGCTCATTTCAATGACATGCGGTATAAGGTGATGGACATCTACAGATCGTGGCAATTATCTACCCGCGATGAGGTTAGTGTTGTCATTACAGGAGTTACAGATGGCTCATGGGCATCTTAGGATTGTGTAGTCGCGAGTCGTCAAGCCCTCGAGACCTGGATATCGCGTCATCTTGCAAAGCCCAAAAAGCGGGCAGCATCTCCCTCTGAATCAGATGAGACACCCTCACGCTCCTTTACGAAGTCTGAAATATCGGATGGTGAGCCTTATGACAGTTGTATATGAGCATCAGGCATTAAGTTACCTTTGGATGCAGAAGAAGGGAGAAATATTATCTCCGTATCCGACATCGTATGTAGCCACGGACAGATCGATCCGGACAAGGCGAGCGATATGAAACTGATCACTAGGGTGCGTACAGTGAAGAAGTGTCAGACCTGTCATTGACCTCTTGTTAGGCGGCTCATCATCGCATCGCTGACGACGACAATTGCTTACTGGTTCCCGACCTCTCACCGTTGGACGTGTGCGAAACCTGCGTGAGCGAGATGTTTACGGGTATGATTCTGTGTCTATCATCTTTTAAGTCTGAAAATTCATGTCTCACTGCAGAGCGGCTGTACCAAATCGAGCATCCACGCTTCGTGGCCCGGTTCGACGAGATCGCTCCTGTTGCAGAGAACGAGGAAGGGTACTGGATATCAAAACAGTGGCTGAAAGGTGATCAGCCACACTTCGTAAAATTTACCTATCCGCTGAATCCGTTGTCGAATATTAGATTGGAGACTTGCAAAACCCAAGATGCACAATCCTTCCCAGGGGGACCCACCCCCTGATGCTCCAGACTTTAAATATCATGTTAAATGCGAGCATGACGATCTATCAACCAACGTAACCGCTCGTAGGCGCGTCTCTGTTGAGGTACGCAATTCACTTTGTTCTCCCGAACTGTGCTCAGTTTGTCGCAGGCATGTCTTTTCCTTCAGGACTTGTTCCCAACGTGGGAACCACTATCTACTGAGACCGAGGTCTGTCCTGTGTGCGAAGCCCTGATACATATCTCCAAAGAAGACAAGCGAGAGCTCCGCAGGCAAGCAGAGGAAGAAAAGGTATGATTATCCCGTATGCGGAATGAACTTCATGTGCTCAATGTTCTGCAGGCTAAATTGAAGCATATGCATGACAATGCGCTGAACGGTAATACAGCGTTACTCGAAAATGTTCCCTGCGCCATAGTTCCTGCACATTTCGTTCGGGCATGGAGGCAATGGCTGCTTCATCCTGTGGAAGTGCAGCGTCCAGAGAGTGTGGACAACTCCCAATTCTTATGTGAACATGGGTTGCTTTGTTTGGATCCTAACTCGGGGACCGATCTGGATTCATCCGTCGCCATCATCAAGCGAAGCGACTGGGACGTGCTGGAGGATATGTGAGTTAGTTGTCCTCGTGGAACCTCTAAATGCTTATGTTATTTATAAGCTATTCCGGTGGACCACTAATTGCAGTGGAGAACACTGGCACAAAGCTGGAACATGAATTATCCGTATGCGAGGATTGCCGTCGGAAGAGGTATATAACGACGGTGCTCTCAATTTCATCGTCTGTCACTCAGCCTTTGTCTAGGAAATCATCCTTTGACATGACAGAAATTACTGTTCGTATATTGGGCCCTCAAGACCCCACACCCACCGTCGAAACCTACAAACCGGACACTGTGCAGACTACTCGGCGTCCATTGCATCCATCGACGCTCATGACTTATGGCTCTCGGAAGAGTGGCGGCTTGCGGCAATCCAACCGTCTTCGGCAGGCGAAAGATTACGGAAAGAGGCGCCGGGTGACCATCACCAAGAACATGAGGGTCAAAGACCTCAAAATCACGGTATCTACGTGTTTTCTCCAGTTTCCATGACAAGGCGACTAACGCGTCGTGTCCCAGTTCGAAGAGGAGTTCGACATCCCGATCATATCTCAGCGTCTGTTCTATCACGGCCAAGAACTTGATGACAGCTCTGCCACAGTTCTGTCACTAGGGATCTTATCCAACGATCTCTTGGATCTTCGTGAAGAGAGCGAGAACATCGATCTGCTGTCCGACTCTGACACCGAAGATGTGCCCCGCAAGAGAAGAAACGAAGGTCAAGGATTTGGTGGCACTCTACTCGGAGGGATCCCGGACTCAGATTCGGACGGTGCTAGGGAGTCGAGCTCGCAGTCTGATCAGCCACCTGCTACATCCAAAGCCTGCTCAGCATGTACTTACGAAAACGACATTGATGTCGCAATGTGCGCCATATGCGAGACGCCGTTTAATCCGTGACGATTATCGGCAGTATACAGCATCTGTTATGATATTCAAAGTGAGGCGTGCGCACGTACAGGGTGAGTATGGCAAAGCAATCGTGACAATTCTAATAAGACAACAGGCGAGCTGCAAGGTGTAGTAGTAACACATGATACAATAAATTCGACTAATCACGCTCTATGACTGCGGGAATGCCCAATACGCACTACATTATAAGATAACGCATCCAGAACCCAAGTGAAGCGAGCAACAGCAGATCATGATTGTGGGAAGAAGACTGCTCCCGAGGGAGCTGATACCGCTGCAGGGATACCGAACTGTCCTGGTGGTGACGTTCCTGCTGGATGGGGTCGCCCTGACTCCGCCAACGCCGAAAGTTGCGGATCCAGCAGAGGCGGGGGAGGTGGAGCCCGAGTTTGTTGCTGCAGAAGAGAACTCGCTGTCATCAAGACATCGACTTCGCTGGAAAGGGGCCCAATCATGTCCACCGCTTGCGCGACGGCGGACTGGGTTGCGACGGACACATCCTTCACGGTGACCTGCGACGCTGCTGTTTGGGGAGATACGACTCCGGAGGACACGGCCGCAACAGTGCGATCGGCAACAACTTGGCGCGCAGCTTGCAGCACAACCTGTTGTGCCGCCGCTGTAAGCAAGCTCGACTGCGTTCCCGAGCCCTCTTCATCTCCTGCCATCTTGGAATTGAACGCCTGGGCAGTAACAGTCAGCACATGTTGCTGCTTTGCCAAAGCTTGCAATTCAGGTCCAGCGTCATTCGGAGACGCCACTACTTGCGACTGCGCTTCCTGTGCTACGCGCTGAGCAGCACTGGTGAGCACCTGAACGACTTGAGAATCTGGGGCATGCGATGGAACTGCGGGAGCCAAGGTAGTTTGTGCGCGCATAATCCTGGGTGAAGCGTCGAAGGTCAAGACACGATCTATAACAGAGAGAAATATTTGGGACAGACCGTGGGGGTGTCGTCTGCGTTACGGCTGGATCGCTCAACACCCGCCGGGGATTCAGTTCCCCAGCCAAGGACGGTCGTCGCGAGGGCACGAATGTGGAATCAACAGACGCCATTGGAGCTATCACGATGTGGACAGTATGCTGAAGAACCTCTTCCTTCCCATCCTGTATGTACTATGGGCGACAAGCAAACCAATAATCAGACGGCGCAACGACATGAAGAAGTAAGCACCAACCCTGGCTTCCACTGTCACGTCGCAGCTCTGAGCATCGGGCGTTGGGATCCCAGACAGAACATCGTCCTTCCAGGACAGCCACGACGGGAGCTCAGACGAATTGTACTTGACCGGCATGTTCGACCTGGACGCCTGGGGATCCCAGATGCGCGGCGTCCACATCCAACGCAATCCAACGTAGGCCACTCCTGGTGGTGTGCCCGCCAGCTTCCGGCGGAACGGGCGGAACGCCCAGCCGCTCTCCGTCTTTTTGGCATCGACATGCCAGATGTGATTGCCTTTCGACTTCGATTTTTTTCCCTCTTCGTTGAACCGCGATATGAAAGGCTGATTCCACAGAAAATTGCGGATCTGCAACACCGGCACGTTGAGCGCAGCTCGCGCCGCTGACAGATAAATACGCACCTTTTTCATTGGTATCTTTTCTTCAGGGTAACCTTGTCGCGCAAGCTGAGGAACAATGATCATGATACGGCCTAACATGGGGTATAAAGATGACCCACCTCCTCTAAGAACGCGTTGGTGAAGGCCTGAATTCGGAACTTGAACGGCCGGAAGTCGGGCGACTCGTCCAACCTTTGCATCTTCTTCGCCATCAGCGTCTGGTGGATCGGCTCACCCTTCGCGTCGGTCGCGTCGAGATTCGAGCAGGTGGCATTCAAGAACTCGAAAAAGATGCGCTCCACCTCTACGCGATACTCCTGCGGGACCTCGTTCCCGTGTGCCGAGGACGACGCCCCGCCTTCCGCTGACGGCGACGCGCGGCTCATGCGCCGTTGGCTCGGCCGGCGCGAGAGCGAGGACGTCCCCTCTGGGCTCGCGGTGTTCTCAGCGCTGTCAGAGGACCCCGCCGCGGGTGACATGTACTGGTACGGCTGCGAGTTCTCGCCGCCCTCGTCCGACGACTCGTGCAAGCCGTCCATCTCGTCGTCGTAGTCGGGAGTGGTCGCCCGGCTCTGCAGTCCTGACGTCGACGGGCGCGATTGAAGCATTTCCACTGATGGAGGGAGCGGCACGGGCTGCATATCGAGCCCGAAGGCGAACGGGTTCGGCGTGTTCGCTGCGTGCAAGTTGGACATGGAGGAGGAGCGCGAGGCACGGACAGCGAGATCGGAAGGAACTGGCGGGGTTGGCACAGGAGTCTGCGCAAGGTGTGTAGTTCGTGTTGGTGAGGGGAACACACTGGAGCTGAACTGCATGGGCGGAAGTTGTGCAATGGCTATCGCGGGTGGAGGGATGGAAGAAAGGACTGAACCCGATGAAACAGAGTGCGAGTGATGACGAGCAATGGGGACTCGGGCGTCGGGCCAGATGGTATTAACCAGGGGTACAGAGTCAAAGACGTTAGCAGGGAGCGAGGAGGGACCGGGTGTAATAGACGACTGAGGGTTAAAGTCTGGTGGTGAAGTAAGCATCGGATCGAGAGGGGCAAAATGCATGGAATGTAGAGACTGCGGAGGCGGCCCGTCGGGTACAATATGATGGAGCGCAGGTATACCGCCTGGAGTGGGCGGACGAGAAGGGGTAACGGTGGGGGGAATTGAGGGTGGTGGTATTGCTGGTATCTCGCCCATACTTGCAGATGGGGGAATCGAGGGCATAGGTGGTGGGTAAGAATAAACGGGGGATATGGGAATCGCTGTGGGCGGGATAATGGGCGCAGGGAGTTGGCTGAGCGGCGCGTCGTCGTGGGGCTCAAGCTTCATGATCTTCGGGACTCTATCACCTGCAACGGAAGAAGCACAGCGCTTGCGAGATATATCGGACATATCGAGCATGGCGTTGGTATCCAGGGGGGGAGAACCATAAGACTGGAGCCCATTTATGTGCTGCTGCTGTGCAACATCTTGCGCTGCTGCAGCCATAGGTGCACTGGAGGCAACCGCTGGGTGACAGTGCGGAGATGACATGTTGGAAGACACTCCAGAAGTTCCCAGGTGCATGGCAGCAACGAGTTCTGCTACGAGCAGCACATTTTTCTTCAGCATGTCTACGATATCACGCGCGTCGGTCGTCTGTCCCATGGAACAGGCCTGACTGCCGGAGTTAGCAGTCCGTGCAATGCTGGATAAATGCGGGTGAGCGGCGGTCAACTATTAAACCAGAAGGAAGGATGGAGTTAGGCAGTAGTTGAAGACTCACTTCTTCAGCATGTCACCGAGAACGAGTAGATGTGCACCTTCAGGCACGTCCTGTGAGTTTTCCTCTGCAGGCTGAGGCGGCGTATTCTCAAACCCAGACATGAACTGAAACCCAGAATCATGAGACGATGTAGACGGACCACTGCCCCCCGATGAGAATCCAATCTCCGAAGTCGAGCTGGTTAGGTTAGCAGGCGACGCGGATGAGCCCGAGCGGCTGCGCGCGGCCATACCATCGAGAGCCGAAGCCAGTGACGAGGAGCCTACGGAGTACGACGAACCCATGCCGTTCATTGCAGGTGAGGGTGCATGTGACGGGCCCGTTGAGGATGAAGTCGCACTAGGTGATGACACGAGCTGGTGAGAACCGTCAAGACCGTCAAGACTGGTGAGACGAGGATCAACGCCAAAGGATGGGTTCGGCGGGGGAAAGTCTGAGAGTAGTCCCGGGGATGTTTGTCCAGCCGGCGGGTGGGTAGAAAGTATATCCATGGCAGCGGGACCTGCAGGAGAGGAAGACAGAGCAGAAAGAGACATTTGCATGGGGACGGACATGGAATCTACACCGGCCATTTCTGTGGAGAAGAGGGATTGCATTGGATCCTGCAAGTGAGAGGTATCGTGTAAATGAGAGGGAAGGGGTGGAGAAAGTGCATCAGGATGTGACGGGGAAACGACAGTAGGGAAGGCCGGATCAGTAGGATGGAACTGCGGGAAATGCTGAGGATCAACTGGAGGCGAATGTGCCTGGACCTCCTGCGGCGAAGCCATGAGTTGCGGCGACTGGATGGCAGAAGATGTCAGGAAATTGGCCTGGCAACAAATGGGCGGAGATATATGAGCCAAGGGAGTGGCGAGCGGCAGAAAACTCTAGCCCGTAATGCTGAAGAGAATGGAGTATAGAATCATGTGAGCCGTGGGCCGTTCAGGAGTAGCACGGTCAAATCTACTGACCGGAAGGTATCTGGACGTCTGGGACGAGGAAATGGACCGTGATCGGTGAGATCAAAGAGGCCAAGGGCCTTTTGGCGACGAGGACGATAGCGAGCTCGACAGTATGGACGGCGAAGAGAATGGAACGCAAAGGTATTTTTTTTGAGCGAGAGAGAGATAAAAGGGAGGCGAGAGCGATTAGAGCTTATGAGGGAGAGGCCAAATGAATGGTCGAGGCTCTCTGCTCACACCTTCCGCAAGGCCTGCCCTCGCTGCTCTCCAAACACACGCAAACACTCTTCTCGACGTCTATCTCCTCCTCCTGAGTCCTCCTTCCTTTCTCCCTCTCATCCCCGCCTTCTTGCATTATAAACTCACCGGCCTCTTCGTATATATCTCCCCTCTCTTCCTCGCCGACCCCCCAGGCCCAGCGCGCTCGGCTGTCCAAGTCCGACTATCAGCCAGATTTTACCTTTTTACCTTCACGCGTCCCAATCCGGCAACCCGTCGTGAGTCACTGATCCCGACTCTTCATGTCCACAGCCCCGGCAAGCTGCAAAATATATCTCCACCGCTCATCATCTTTCGCGCCGCTGCAGCGTGTCCGCCTGGGCGCGGTCGTAGAAAGACAGCACTCACACAGGCTAACCCAACCAGATCGGGGTATCCAAAAATGCCGTCAGACACGACTTCCCAAGGTTCGTCAGGAAGCTTCTTGCCCAAGTTATCTCAGTGGCTTCCTTTCATCACCCGGCTGCTTTTCATAACCTCTTCCTTCACCTTCCCATCTCTAAGACGCTGACTCGGTGTATTTTTCCCCATTCCGTCAAGTGTATAGTGAGTCCTCCATCGACAGATTATTTGACCACCTCTCCCGGGCTCTTGTGTGGTGTGCCCGTGCATCTTTCTGTTTGTGGCGGCCATCAAGAGGGACCCATAATGATCAGCGTCAGAGGCTGCGGCGGTAGAGCGCAGACTCCCAGGCTGGAGACCGCGCTTCCGATTTGCATCTAGCAGCTAATATTAATTGTACCTACAGTACTGAGTACAGCAACTGGAATTATGTACTGAATCAACTTATCTTTTGGATGTCCGGAGGGCCCCGGATAATGCGCCCAAAGATTATCACCAAATCCGGGACATTGTTATGTACGGACAAATGGACCCTCCTGATTTTGTGAAAGCCAAGAGTCAAGTTGGTGACAACATTCCGTAAAAGGTCTCTCACCTCCTATCAGATGCAGTGATGGTGCCCAAATGAAGAAGTTTCGATGTATTTGTATGAATTTCTCTGACAGTAGGGGTAGTCAGAGTTGACGATTCTGTGAACGATTCTGGTGGCGATTCTGAGTCGATTTCGGTGAACTGAATCGTGTGAAAATCCTATCAATTTTGACCACCCCAATTCCTCGCAGGTGTTTCTCGCGATTTTGTGCTGATCCCGGCGAGGATTTTGCTGTGCTGTACTGTCGAGGAAATAGACAGACATAGCTTCTTTATTAAGGGGTGCAACAAGCTATCACCCTATGCTGTTAATATGAGTGAACAGTAAGGAAGGCGTGGAACCTCTGAATCAGAAAGTACCGAGAATTATGTGGAAAATTATCGAAAATAAGGTCACAGCCCATATATTATCACCAGAGCACGAATCTATTATGGATTCTATGGAGGATAAGTAGTTGTTTCTAATGATTACAAATTTTGTAGTAGTAGATACAAAGGAACAAGAATCGAGGTGCGAGAATCGGCGATTCTGAGGTAGAAGCGCCTCCAGAGGCGATTCGACGATTCGACGCGATTCACGTCCGATTCTGATTCTGAGTCGATTCTGGATGCAAAATCGTCGTCAGAATCGGTGCTCGGAGAAACTCTGAATCGCCCCAGAATCGCCAACTTTGACTCCCCCTAGTATATGATATACCGACAGACTTAGTGCAGAGACTTGAGAAAGGTGATGTAAAGCCAGAGACAGAGGAAGAGAAGGAATGTTTTCGAATATTAGATGACTTGGAATATATGGATGGCAAGGTGGATGGCTCTAAGACAAATAGAAAATGGATGCAGAATGAAATTTGGGCACTTACCTCATACCTTGGAGCACCATCCTGGTTTATAACAGTTTCACCTGCAGACATCAATCATCCAATTGGACTGTATTTTGCAGACACTAAGCAGACACACTTTCCCGAGTTTCACAACTATGATGACCACATTTGTCTGATTGGAAATAATCCAGTTGCAGAAGCACACTTTTTCAAAATGATGGTTGAGCTGTTTTTAATTGGTGTCGGACTCAAATGTTCTGGGCTATATGGTAAAACCTCTGGTTATTATGGTACTGTAGAGCAACAGGGTCGCCTAACACTTCATATGCATATGCTTGACTGGCTAAAGTCTGCACTTACATCACAGAAAATTTGTGATAAAATATTGGATCCAAACCCAGATTTTCAAAGGCATATAGTGGAGTACTTGGAGAGTGTTCATATTGGAGAATTTCTGAATGGAACTATGGCCAATGTTCAAGAACATATAGAAAAAGAGACGACTGCAAACTCTACGTGTGTTCCACCTACAGAAACACTGCCAGAAAAAGTAGCAACACCTTGTTCTGAGAATTGTGGTGTATGTACACTATGTATCACATCTTCCTCATGGTGGAGTAACTTCACACATGTAGTGAATGAACTTATTTATCGATCTAACAAACGTTCTTGCCATAAAGGATGCACAGGTAAATCTTTCACATTTCGTACATGCTGCGTATTGTACATACTTGTAATGGTTGCGAGAGAGGAGTTGAGGGGAACGTCAAGGAACAAAGATTCTTGGAATTCACCGCAGTGCGATCACGCATTGTTCACCTCCTGCACGGCCTGCAGCAGATTGGCCACCTCTCCGTACGTTGTGGATATCGGAGGTGAAGAGCTGATAATGTAGGGAGACCTGAATGGGGGGGCGTTTGACGTTAGCGCGTCTTGCATGCTTCGTAAGAAATTTTCGTCTGCATTGTCTGGTGGCACGGTTAGGGGCGTGAAAAAGTCGACGGGCGAAGACTGGGGTGACTCACTCATTGCACTGGAGTCATCCTCATCGCGTGCATGACGTTCAATGTTGAGCGCGTACTGTGTGTCCCGTGTGTTTCAATCGATGGTGGGGACTTGCGCATCACAGGGGGTGGCACTGGATACCTCGGAGGGTGCACCGTGGAGGTTAGGAAATGGGGTACCTTGAAATTTGTCGTGACACAATTGCACATCGTTCGCATCCTGCGTGGCCTGCACGTGTCGGGCTATGTTGACCAGATTGGTGGGCCTACATTCTACTGCTGAAAAAGTCGATAAGGAGAGAGGGGGTGATGAGGAAGAGGACACGTTCGACGATGCCATGTCTTGCATGTCCCGTGCCTGCATTCGAATTTCGATTGCATCGATCGATGAGGTGGATGCGGGTATAGGAATTGAGAGAACTTCGGACAGCGCATGCGTTCTGAAGGGGTTGTTCTCATCGTGGGGCTGCACGATGTCGTTCTCATGTGACTGCGGTCCTTCTAGCACATGTTTCAATATGCTCGCATCGGAAATTATTACTATCTCGGGGTTTTCGTAGGAGATAGATAATGGGACGTACCTCACGAGCACTTGAAAGTCACGCTCGCTCAGCACATTCCTGTCGAAGGCAATACTCATTTCTTCTTCTTTTTCTCCTGCGCCATGCTCCTCTTCACTGAGCCTGTTTCCTGGGGATTTGGTCCCTTGTTCGAAGTCATCCGTGTGAGGGGACTTTGGCACTGTACTCAATATGTGAATAGGATCAGCTGGCACGTCCAAATAGCCGCGCGTCGTGCTCAGCAGCATTCCCACGCTGTCGCCTGTCATTCAGAGGAATTGATTGGGGGCGATGTCATCAAAGCCGTCGCGTACATTGTGCTCTGAGCTGTCGTCGATAGTGATTCCATTTGTGATTACTAACCCGTCGGCGGTCTTCATGTTCTCGTCATCATCATCGTCCTCGCTCATTTGATCATCATCATCATTGTCATTGTCATCATCATAATCGTATGTTGTATTGAGACAGGACTGGGGCATGCGAGAATCTCTATGATTCTTCGCTCGAGTTCCTCAGCAGGTGGTAAGTTGGGATTCTGAACAGGCAAGGGTGCCGACCCTTCTGCAGTATATAATGCGAGAGTGTTGCTGGGTGTCGAGGGTGAATCTGAGGATTCTAGAGAAGGATATGCATGGGAAGGAATCTGAGGTCGTTCGAAATAGGAAGGGGGAGGAGATGTCGGTCCAGCCGACTGTGAGTCGATAGGAAAGAATTGTATGTGGGCGTAGCCTTCTCGATAAAATGGGTGAACACGATTACCGGGAACGGGCGGAAGGTTTCGAGCTTGACCTACGAGGGATGCGAGCGGGATGTACCAGTCTTCGTAATGGTTGCCTTCCCAGTACCCAAAATTGCTGGGGTACATTTGAGTCTGGGAAAGTCCTCCGAAGTAATGTTCTTCAAACTGGGATGATCGGACAGGTTGAGGGCATTTCGCGTCAAGATAGAATACTTCAATGTTATTGGCCTGTGCGAAGTGTGCTGGATTGAAGGTCCAGTCTGCCAAGCCATCCGGGACGGTGAGCATTTCTTGCTCTGGGTCGCGCATGCACTTCAGTGTACCCTTCTGACCTAGCTCTTAGCTTCAACATAATCTATATTGTGTAGTGGCTAAGAGCCTCTCAGGTGTCAGACAGACCATGGTACCAGTACATGTCCCAGGGTATTATATGGGATTACCCAGGGTAAAGGCAGGGCAAAGGCTGGTCCAATGGCACAATTATTATATGGGATGTCCTATAGTACTAGGGCATTGATATTTATATTCCAGTATTACTGGTTGTCCCATGGTGCCAGGGGTACATAGAGATGTCCCACTATTAGTAAAAGATGTATTTTCAGGCTATTGTATGGTAGTTTTTTTATACTTTATTCCACTATCATATTATCTAAGCCTTAATTATAAAAACAGTGACTATAGTGATATAAACAAGCACTTTATTTGCATATTATATAAGGTGGGATCTCCCATTTTAAGGACATCCTAAGATGTTATTTTAAGATTCACAGATATTTAGTCTCTTCTTTAGCCTGAAGTTTCTATTTAACTACTATAATTATCTAGAGATTTATACTAACAGTTGAATTACTAAGGTTTAAGAGTGACAGGTCCTTACAAGGGATATCCCATCACATGAAGGGACATCCCATAATACAAAGGTGTCATTCAGTGAATGCATTTCTGAGTGTAACTTGACTGAAGTCTTAGGTCAAATGCCTTTCTTTTTTCATTCAAATACAGTATATGATAGGAGACATGACAAGAATATATCTCCTTTGCTAGTATATTAGTAAACTGAATAGTTCTATTTCTTGAGACACTTGGTGAAAGTTGTAGTATAGCTATGATACATACTATATGCCAAAGATTATATCATGTTAGTCTGAACATTATGTCAGAAAATGTAAAATTGATTTTAAAACACGAGAATAAACATTGTTATTTGACCTGTCTTAGTTGTTAGATGAGCTAATGAAGTTGTTGTACATGCTACCAATAGTAATATAGTCTTTATAACATTACAAATGCATACACAATACTTGATATGGGATATCCTGCTTTCTATAAATATTTCACCATATATAAAGTGCAAATAAGGCACTTATTTACAGTATTCTAGTCATTGTTTTTATAATTAGAGCTTATACAATATGATTGTAGAACAAAGTATAAAAAAACTACCATACAATAGCCTGAAAATACATCTTTTACTAATAGTGGGACATCTCTATGTACCCCTGGCACCATGGGACAACCAGTAATACTGGAATATAAATATCAATGCCCTAGTACTATAGGACATCCCATATGATAATTGTGCCATTGGACCAGCCTTTGCCCTGCCTTTGCCCTGGGTAATCCCATATAATGCCCTGGGACATGTATTGGTACCATGGTCTGTCTGACACCTGAGAGGCTCTTAGCCACTACACAATATAGATTATGTTGAAGCTAAGAGCTAGGTCAGAAGGGTACCCTAAAGTGGCAAGTTGTTCCGCGGTAATGCACGTGGTGGTTGGGATGATTTGAACATTGGAATGGAGGTGGTCAGTGATGGACAAAATGCAATTGAAACCGTCATCTAAAGACAGAGGTCCGATGAGATCGAGAGTGATACTTTCACCACGAGCATCTGGAATTGGTAAAGGGTGCAGTGGTCCTGCAGGTTTCGATGTATGGAACTTGTTGCACTGACATTCAATGCAGGAGGGGATGTAGGACTGCTTTAGATCTCTACACCTGTTGGGCCAGTAATAAGTGTTGCATAGAGTGGCGTAACATTTGTCTGCACTGAAGTGACCTGCGCAGTCATGTGCAAGTCGGAATAGTTGTTCGTGAAGGTCATTGACACATGGAATGAGAAGTCGGTCACCGATATATCAAAGGCCATTGGTGTTGGTCACACTGAGAGTCGATGGTGCATTGGAAATGACCTTCTTGCAAAATTTATCAGCCTGGTATTCATAATGGATGAATTCAAGGACAGATGCATCGGTCATGATGGATAGTACAGTGTTTACTGTGGATGCTGCAGCCATGTTCTAAAGTGCATGTGGCGGTACTGGCTTGACTTGTATTTCATCGGGGAAGGTGCAAGGTGGCAGATATGATAGGGCATTTGTGACAGTGTTATCCTCACCTTTGATGTACACAATGTTCAAGTCGTATTGGGCCATGAATTCTTGCCATCAAAGTTGTTGACGCAAGAGGTCATGCTGTGCATCAAAGTTTTTGAGAGTGCGGTGGTCAGTGTAGACCTGCACCGATATGCTGATAAGGCCCACTCGCCACTTCTTTAAGGCACAGATGATAGCGAGGAGTTCCTTTTTGTGGATAGGGTAGTTCTTTTCGGCACTGTTAAGCTGCATGGAATCGAATGTGACAGGGTGTGCAGATTTCCAAGTAGGTCCCCAGCTGAGTGTTGCACCAGTTCTCCAATCAGATGCATTGCAGGTGACAAAAATCTGGTTGTCACCAGGGTTGTCATGATCTATAACAGTTAAACATTTCTGGCTGACAACTAGAGTTTTGATGGCCTAGAATGCGGCCTGGTGATGCTCAGTCCACTGAGGGAATGTACGATTGGACTCCTTCATGTTCAAGAGTGTGAGCACTGTGGTGTAGTTCACGAGATGTGGCAGGAAGGTGGATATGTAACGGATGATCCTCAAGAATGTGCGGACATCAGTCGCAGATTTTGGGATGGGCCATTATAGAATCTTGTCAACCTTCAATGACTGTGCCTCGATGCCATTGGCAGAAATCTGATGGCCCAAGAAATCAACCTGCAAGATGAAGAATTCACATTTCTTCAGGTTATAGTACAGGCTTGCAGCACACAATGCAGTGAGAATGAGGCGGACATGTTGGTATCTGACCATATCATGATGTCATCTAAGTAAATATGGCAGAACTTGCTGAGATACGGTCACAGAGCTGATGTCATACATCTCTGATGTATAGGCAGGGCATTGCAGAGGCTCATGGGTATTGCGAGCTGCTCTTATAGGCCAAGGGGAGTGGTCACAGTGGTAAGATCCACATCATCAGGATGTACACGGGTCTGAAAAAGAGAGTTTGTCATGTCCATCTTACTCCATATCTTCCCCTTGGTGCAGTTGGCAAAGATATCCTCAACCCGAGGTAAAGGATGAGAGTCCAGAATGGTGTTCATGTTGAGCATGCAGTAATTGTTAACCCAACATGGGAGGGCGGTAGGGTCGGCTTTGGGGACGAGAAAGGTGGGTGAAGCATGAGCAGAATTGGATGAGTGAATGCATCCTGCATCTGAGTGTTGCTGGATCAGAATGGACCAAGCCTTCTTGTATTTGTGAGGTGTGCTATAAGAGCATGTCCATAATTTCTGGTGTGCATCCTTGAGGACGATAGAGCAGTATACATTGGTCGGTAGAGCATCAATATGCGGAATGGGCACAAAAATGTCCACGAAATCATTAATGACATTCTTCCCTAGGTCAAGTAGACATTGAGATGCAGTGAGAGTCTCCAAGCATTCTTTTATGGCTGCAATGGTGCAATGTTCACTGCTGGTCGACTCATGCTCAGTGGTGCATGTGTTCCATTACATACAGACAGTCTTGAGTTCACCCAGAACCTGAGCACGGGCAGAGCAAATCTGCGCGAATGATTCTCATTGTTACAACGTTCCCCACTTGTGGCGCGTCTTTTCTTTTTCTTTTCCTTGTTCCCTTTACGTTACCAGACCACGTGATCCAACACGTGACTCATCGGAGCGCAACCTCCGATTCTTTACCCAGATGTCCAGAACCCCTAGTCTAGGGTTACACCGGATCCAACTCCGGACCTTCTTCTTATTGCGCATGCAAGACGTGCATGTACGCCTCATCTTTACCTCGTTCTGATACACGACTCGTTATCCCCATTAGTACTGATTATCTCTCACGACCTTACTCAGCTTTCTCATACATATTACTTCCTCGCTGTTACCTTGCCCCGATATCGTTTCACCTTATCTAGCCAATGAACGATCTCGCATTACTGCGTAGTACTGCGGATACCTTTTGTATAAGTAAACAACCTTGTCGAGCTGGATCCCCATCTCGACCTGGTTACCATTAAACCAGCTTTTCACTTGCCTGTGACTGAAATCGACCGTTAGTAGCAGACAGCTACTACGAGTCATAAGAACGAACTCTGATCGACCTTCAGTGCGAGGACATCGCCAGAAGTGTCACTTGAACGGACTTGTGTCTTAGACTAAGACCTTGTCTCGTAACAACTCGACTTGACGCTTGTGTTTCGCTGCCGCGTAACATTAGGTCGAGATCTTATTACTCTCTGTGACTTCCTAAAGTCTAACAACGAACTACCGACCGGACCGAACCTTGAAGACTGAACGATACACCCGATTCGATTGCTAAAGCACCGTTTGAGATTACTCTGTAATCGAGGTAGCTGAAGGGATAGACTGATCACTCATCTTCGGAGAGGGGTCTGTCCGAGAGACCAATAGGCCGAGGAGGCTGAGGTAATCACTCGAGCAATCAGCAAATAGGTGTACCAGTTTGAAGACAGAAGACACTCTACGGGCTTGTTAGCCGACGACGAACGAACCCACTTAGTTAAGGACGGTGTGCAGTCTACGTGTAGACGTAGGCCACACAGGGGAATTTATCCACGCTGGATTTGAACTTTATCAACCCGACTGCTCTTCCCAAGCAATACATCGATCTCCTCCCATCTCGGGCAGAGTGGGACGCACAGAGGAACGTACACGTTTTAAACGGACGACCTTTACTCATCAGACCAGATCAACACATTGATCACCCAAGTGGTGACTACGAAGCAGGCCTACCCCATAACGTTGGAGGGCTCATACTATCACACATCGCAGACAGCGGCATACCTATCTCTTATCCAGGAGAAAGACCAGACGCCCCTTGGAACCTTCCTGTCCAGGATCCCGTACCCCAACCAATTCTTGCACCAATCATATCCGATTACATACCACCGATGGCTACAGTTACCATGGATGAAGGACGTCACCATGTCAGCCAGAAGGAACTTGGTTTTAGAAAACCCGAGATCTTCAACGGTTCAGACCGTTCGAAGCTTAGGGAATTTATAAACCAATGCAAGAATTACATGGCCGGAAACAGCCATGTCTACCAGGAGGACAATCAGAAGATCGCATTCGTGCTATCGCACATGCAAGGAGGAACAGCAGGATCATGGGCACAGAGCTTCATAGAAACGGAACTCACCAATGATGACTTCCTTTCTTATGGGAGTTGGAGAGACTTCATTGCGAGTGTGAACAAAGCGTTTGGCGATGAAAATATTGAAGAAACCGCTCGTACCTTGCTGCGTAACATCAAGCAAGGAACTCGTACTGCGGACGACTACATTGCCGAATTCCGATCGCTTGAATCCAAGGCGAAATTAGAAGATGTCGGAAATATCGAGTATTTCAAGTGGGGACTTAACGACCCACTCCGACAAAGGATATACGGGATGGAAAGCATGCCCAAGACACTTGACAAGTGGTACGAATATGCCTCGCGGTTTGATAACCAATGGAGATCTGCTCAGATCTTCAAGCGAGGAGCCACTACGACGACGCGAGGAAAGGGCCGATCTGTCCATCGTCCCTACTACTCGGCTTCTGCAAAGGATCCAAACGCGATGGATGTTGATTGTGTCAATATCTCGCGCTTATCCCCGGACGAGCGACAAAAGAGAATGAAAGAAGGATTATGTTTCCTATGCGGAAAGAAGGGCCATATAGCCAACGACAGACAATTCCACCCCCAGTCTGGAAGTTTCACCCGTGCTAGAACGATACAGCCCGGGCTAGACACAGACACGATCACATGGATCAAGAAGATGCGAGAAGACCTCGCACAGAAGAAGGAGACATTGAAGGAAGAAACCAGAGAGGAACAGATCGCCTATGTGCGAAACGTCTTCAACGACATGACTGATGAAGAACGAACCCAATTGGGTTTTTGAGACGACGGCCACTAGTAATGCATGGACCGTCGCATCTTATCGTATCTCCCCTCGTTATTTGTAACACTAGCGGAAATTCAATCACTGTGAATATTTCGTTGGGAGAGAAGGAAGACGTTACAACAGAAGCCTTGATCGATTCCGGTGCAGCCGAAACGTTCATGAACATTCGTTTTGCGGAAGAAAATGATTTCATCAGATGGGAATTACCGAAACCGATTACAGTCATGAATGCAGATGGCACACCAAATCAAATGGGTACCATTACTCATTGTACCTGGAAGATGATGAAAATCGGAGGAAGGAAGACGCTCACTCGCTTCCTCTTGACCGGCATAGGCAAAGAAAACATACTTCTCGGCATGCCGTGGCTTAAACGCCTCAATCCGATGATCAACTGGGAAACCGGTGACTTTTGGTTTGGTAAAGACGCCAAATGGCCACCGAAACCCACCGTCGAAGATGCACCAGATGAAGAAGTTTCGATTTTCAAGGAAGATGGACCCCCAGAGTTAATCACCACCGAAACTTCCCCTACCTCGTTTGGACATTCAGAATCTATCAGAGAAATCATGGCCGATAACACTGAGCGTGGCGAGTTACCCGCAGTACGGAATGATACCGAACCAGATGACCCACCATCAGAACCCTCTATGGATCAGCTCGATGACGACGATCTAGTTATATCCTATATCGCAGGAGAGCCAGTCATTGGGATATTTGAACCCATCAGGAAGGAGTCACCTTTGACGAATGAAGAGACTGAAACCGCAGTCTTCACCATACGAAGAGGCCCCGCCATTGGAAGAATGACACACAGTACTCGATCCCCATTATTCTGTAACGCACAGAATACGGTCTTTTACAAACCATCCGGTAAATCACAAGAATTGGCACAACAGGCACACAAGAAAGCATCAGCTGTAGACAAACCCAAAACCGTCGAGGAGTTGGTCCCCAACTACCTCCACGATTTGAAGTCCGTCTTTGAAAAGAAAGCAGCTGAACACTTTCCAGAAACCAGGCCTTGGGACCACGCCATTGACTTGAAACCCGATTTTATTCCACGCGACTGTAAAGTCTATCCGTTATCGCTCAAAGAACAAGGAGCGATGGATGACTTCCTGGAAGAAAATCTGCGAAAAGGATACATCCGACCGTCGAAATCTCCCATGGCTTCACCATTTTTCTTCGTAGGAAAGAAAGACGGAGCACTACGTCCTTGTCAGGATTACCGATACCTGAATGAAGGGACGGTGAAGAACGCCTATCCTCTTCCGCTCATCTCTGACCTTATGGATCAATTCAAAGGCGCATCGATCTTTACGAAAATGGATTTACGCTCCGGATATAACAATGTCAGAATCAAAGATGGTGACCAATGGAAGGGCGCATTTAAGACAAATCGCGGACTTTTCGAACCTATGGTCATGTTCTTTGGACTCTGCAACTCCCCGGCGACTTTCCAAATGATGATGAATGCACTCTTCAAGGACATGATCGATGAGGGATGGATAGTCATTTACATGGATGATATCCTCATCTTCTCAAACGATTTGGAAGAACATTACGTTCGAACCCGACGCGTACTCCAACGACTCAAAGACAATGACTTATTCCTTAAACCGGAAAAGTGTTTCTTTGACGTTAAAGAAGTCGAATTCCTAGGCATGATCATTCGAGAAAACTACATTGGCATGGACCCTATCAAACTTAAAGGAATTGCAAAATGGCCTGAACCAAGCACGGTAAAAGGTGTTCGCTCTTTCCTAGGGTTTGGAAACTTCTATCGGAAGTTTATTGCTAACTTCTCGGATATTGCCAAACCATTGACGAATCTTACGCGCACTGTCGCTGGATCTCCACCTTTTGAATGGACAACAGAATGTCAGACAGCTTTCGACACATTGAAGCAACGATTCAGTACCGCCCCAGTACTGTTACTGCCTGACAAGGCAAAACCCTTTATTGTTGAATCCGACGCTTCCAAGTTTGCTACGGGTGCAGTTTTACGCCAAGCCGATATCAATGGAGACCTCCATCCTTGTGCCTACATTTCGCAGACACTCAATCCAGCTGAACGGAACTACGAAATCTACGACCGCGAACTCCTCGGAATCATTCGAGCCCTCACTGAATGGCGCCATTATCTTGAAGGCTCTCCCCATCCCGTCGAAGTTCGCAGTGATCACAAGAACCTCACGTACTTCCGTACAGCTCAGAAGTTAAACCGCCGACAAGCACGATGGAGTCTCAAATTATCACAATTTGATCTTCACCTCATCCATGTCCCTGGCACTCAGATGATCCAATCTGATGCACTCTCTCGTCGTAATGGACTCGATGACAGTGAAAGTGACAATGAAGATCGCATTCTTTTACCCAACGCACTATTCGTGCGATCCATTTCCCCGACACTATTCGACGAAATCAGGAATCACGCAGCAAAAGACCTCATTGTTCACGAAGCCCTCGAAGCGATTGCGCACAAAGGGCCATTCCCCATGAAATCATCGCTTTTCGACTGGGAAGTTCGCGATGGTGTCATCCTCTACAAGGGAAAGATTTACGTTCCACCATCCGAAACTCTTCGTCGTGACCTCGTTCGACTACATCACGACTCCCCTGCCATGGGTCACCCTGGAAAGTTCAATACTCTTGAACTGTTACGTCGTGAATTCTGGTGGCCCGGCATGTATACATTTGTCTACAATTATGTTGAAGGCTGTGCTGCCTGTCAACAAATGAAACCGAATACTCATCCAACTCGTATTCCTTTGGAACCAATTCCCGCCGACCCACATGCATTACCATTTTCCTGTTGCACCACCGATTTTATTACTGACCTCCCCGTTTCCAACGATTTTGATTCAATTATGGTCGTAGTAGACCATGACCTTACGAAGGGGGTGATTCTTACGCCCTGCCTCAAAACGATCACAGCCGAAGGAACGGCCAAGATTTTTCATGACAAAGTATACTCGCGATTTGGACTACCCGACCGAATCATCTCGGATAGAGGACCTCAATACGCATCCAAGGTCTTCCAAGAGTTAAATCGACTACTCCAGATCAGATCATCAATGAGCACAGCTTATCACCCTCAGACGGACGGAGAAACAGAGCGAGTCAACCAGGAGCTGGAAATCTATCTTCGACTCTATTGCGGAAACAACCCTGAAACATGGGCCGACCGCCTGCCAGACCTCGAGTTTTGTCATAACACAAGGGAACACTCGGCACGGAAGATGAGCCCATTCCACATCATGATGGGATACGAACCACGTGGACTCCCTTCCGTATTTCCGACCACGAACATTCCATCGGTTGAATCCAGGCTTGACATGTTGCAGAAGATAAGACTAGAAGCACTAGCCATGCACGAGTTAGCCCGACAACAGATGGCGGACCGAGTCAGACAAGGATCGCCGAAGTTTACACTAGGACAGAAGGTCTGGCTAGACTCGAGGAACCTGAAGGTCAATTACGCCTCGCGCAAGATAGCACCAAAGCGTGAGGGGCCATTCGAAATTGTCGAAGTCATCGGACCGGCCAACTATCGTCTCAAACTCCCGAAGACCTGGCGAGTTCATTCCGTATTCCACGCCGCCCTTCTATCTCCTTATCGCGAAAACGACATACATGGTCCGAATTACGTGAACCCACCACCTGATGTCGTTGATAACGAAGAAGAGTACGAAGTCGAAGCCATCCTGAATCACAAGACGTACCGAGGTCATCTGAGGTACTTAGTCAAGTGGAAGGGATATTCTTCAGCAGAAAACTCGTGGGAACCTACCCACAATTTACAGAATGCCAAGCGAATCCTCGATGCATATAAAAGGACCAGGGGAATCCAGTAGAGGAGAAGAAACCCGGAATGACTACCACGACAGTTTTCCTCATCATCTTCCTAATCGTCCTCCACTGCACAACCCTCACTTTTCTTTGGATCATCCACCGAATCCTTATCAGACGACTTGTCGAACACACACTCTTCACGCGAGACAGCCCGCACGCTAACGGCTGGGGTGATCAGAACGATGCCTGGAACTGATCAGGCAGCTCTTATCTCTGTGGGAATACTCTTTATCGTCCAATGGATTTTCATCTATTTGATTATTACCCGGATCCACGACATTCTATTTCACATCACAGATAACCACGACCCCCTTAACGACCGAAAGGTATAAAAGGAGGAGAAAACGACATATCATCAATGCCCACTTCCGCTATAGACGACCTTGTTCACAATATACTCGCTGAAGTCGCCTCCACAATTATGAGCATACCCGCATCACCTATGCTTGTCAATGGAGTACCCTCTCGAGCACAGACACCCTTTATCCGCACCTCATCGCCCTCACCTTCTATCGAACTCAGTCACGCATCGGACGAACAAGAATTTGCCACACGTCTGGTATCGGCTATCCGTGTTCCTGTCGACTTCACAGATATCCTCGTTGCCTTACGAAATCGCCCGCAAGATCGACAAGCGGTGGTTTCCATGCAACGAGCATTAGAAATGGTCGAGTGGATGCAGACGGCCAGACAAGAGCTCATCGCAGCAGAAGAAAGGACGAGTAGAGCCCGGACCAGAGTCGACCAAGTCTGGTCGTTGATGCGCAGTACGGTCACTCGTACAGCACAGGAGATTTGGAGGGAGCATGGGGACGAAGACATCGGACACATCCTCGGATACACCACTAATGGAATACCCGCATCCACTCCTCGCTCGTCGCCAGAACCAATTCCCGTTCGACCTCGCCCTCCTCGTTCGCACGTACCCAGTGGACGATCTCCGTTATCCCAACCATCTTTCTCGACTGCATCCACTTCTTCGCGTCGCAGTCATCCCTACAGGGATGGACGTATCCCCGAACAAGGATCACGAACCAGCCGGCGGACATGCTACAGATGTGGAGGAGATCATTATGTCCGCGACTGCCCCCGACGACGATGAAGATCACAATATTTCTTGTGGGACAAGAAACGTTAGACGGGAGCTGATGTTACAACGTTCCCCACTTGTGGCGCGTCTTTTCTTTTTCTTTTCCTTGTTCCCTTTACGTTACCAGACCACGTGATCCAACACGTGACTCATCGGAGCGCAACCTCCGATTCTTTACCCAGATGTCCAGAACCCCTAGTCTAGGGTTACACCGGATCCAACTCCGGACCTTCTTCTTATTGCGCATGCAAGACGTGCATGTACGCCTCATCTTTACCTCGTTCTGATACACGACTCGTTATCCCCATTAGTACTGATTATCTCTCACGACCTTACTCAGCTTTCTCATACATATTACTTCCTCGCTGTTACCTTGCCCCGATATCGTTTCACCTTATCTAGCCAATGAACGATCTCGCATTACTGCGTAGTACTGCGGATACCTTTTGTATAAGTAAACAACCTTGTCGAGCTGGATCCCCATCTCGACCTGGTTACCATTAAACCAGCTTTTCACTTGCCTGTGACTGAAATCGACCGTTAGTAGCAGACAGCTACTACGAGTCATAAGAACGAACTCTGATCGACCTTCAGTGCGAGGACATCGCCAGAAGTGTCACTTGAACGGACTTGTGTCTTAGACTAAGACCTTGTCTCGTAACAACTCGACTTGACGCTTGTGTTTCGCTGCCGCGTAACACTCATAGAGGCATGTGCAGAGGAGGAGAAGGTTCGGAGATGCAAGTGGGGTTGCAGAGGTCATACTGCATGTCTTTATTAATAGCAGTACAGGACTCGACATTGACTATAATACGATTATGCACTAGGACACTGGTGGTGCCCAGAACTGTATTACAATTGCCCAGGTGCCTGCTAAAGTCATTGTGCATAACCTGGTCACCTTGTAAAATTGTAATTTACTGTGCAACATTGTCAGTGTAGTTTACTGTGCAACATTGTCATTGTAATTTACTATGCAGCCTTGTTGTTGTAATTAAGGTGAGCCACATTGTAATACAATGACAAATTATACAAAATGCACTTGCACTAAGCATGAATTGAACTCCTGACCTGACCGACATTTGGCTGATTATATAAGCAAACTTCAAAGCACTTTACCAACTCAGCTATTTTGCCTTGCTTAAGTTATAACCTCAATTCTATATAAGGCTACTTCTTTCTTTACTAGATATTCTAATATTCTGTTATAGCTACTACATTCTGCTTGTTACTATTGCTCCTAATACTCATATATATGAGACTGCTTACCACCACTTTTTATAAGCCTTATTATGCATATAAATGTGAAAATTATACCTTTCTCACAGCTTTAATGTTAATTTCAGTCTTTAAAATAAACTGATAGATAACAAATACTGAAAAATGTGTTAGTAGAGAGATAAATCACTATTAGATGTATTAGTAACAAGCAGAATATAGTAGCTGTTACAGAATATTAGAATATATAGTAAAAAAAGAAGTAGCCTTATATAGAATTGGAGCTATAACTTTTGAAGTTTGCTTATGTAATTAGCCAAATGTCGGTCAGGTCAGAGGTTCAATTCCTGCTCAGTGCAAGTGCATTTTGTATAATTTGTCATTGTATTACAATGTGGCTCACCTTAATTACAACAACAAGGCTGCATAGTAAATTACAATTTTACAAGATGACCAGATTGTGCACAATGCCTTTAGCAGCACCTGGGCATATTGTATTACAATGGTGGGAACTACAGCTGTATTGCTATGTGCTCACCTTTTCAGGAGCAGGGGCTGCCTCAGCACCATTGGTGTTTGAGGCTGAATGAGCAGCCACGCGGCATTCGTACTCATCACGCACTAGCTCCTCAGCTGTCGTGATCCACTCGGGCTCCCATCCCACTTGTCAGAAATATGTGAGTTTGTGTGTGGGATGCAACACTGTACATTACATTATTTGTTAGTATGAATAGGATACATAAAGCTGACTTACCCATTGTGATCTGGTACACATTCGAGTGATCGGTCTTGTCGTAGTACTGGTTGAGTGTCTTCTTCACAAGGCCAATCGCAGCATGGATACAGGGCTTGTAGCAGCCCTCAAGGGACTTGTCAGTGAGGTTCTCGTCGATAATGTCCATGGCCGGTATGACCATGGGCAGGTTAGGAGTGTCGCGAGAGAAATACAGATAGCGTCATTGAAAATCTGGCAACGTGTGGCGTGAGTAAGTGACAGTGACTATTGATGTGTCACTCACCCGCAGAATGTCACACAGCTGGCCAGCGATCTCCAACTCCTCCTGGCTCATCTTATACCTGTGCATTCCCATTGACCGATCCTCCATCAACATATCAATTGCTCTCCGGTATTCCAATGCAAACTCAAGCATCCAGAATGTTGAGTTTTAGTGTGTGGCAATGTCCCTCAGCATCATTTTCTCAGCAAGCTGCAAGCTCTCAAGCACTCTCTACCAAGCTGGTAGGAGCTTGGTGGAGGAGCATACAATGGAGCTTGCAATTCTTTGCAGCTACTCCAGGCTGCATAAGTGGTAAGTCCTTTATTGATGACAGACAAATACTCACCTTCATGAGGATGAGCTTAACAGGCCAAATGCTTGTGTCGAGCACCTCGCGCTCCTCAGGAGTCAGTCCCAGGTGTTCATCTTTCCATCTATCAATGTTATCAGGAGCATCCTCTTCATGTCCATCTTCCTCACCCATGTCCAAGTCCTCTGCCAGCTTGATCAGTGCGCATTCTGCATCATCAAGTGCATCCTCGGCCTTCCCTTTCAGCACATCAAATTGACAGAGAAGAGTCTTCACCATGAGGTTCACGATGTGGTCGAAGCAGCATGCACGATTGGCCTGGCCCTGGAACGACTCAATAAGCTCTGCCAGCTCATTAATCATCAGGTTGTTCGATGTTGCATTGTTCACAGTGATGCCGAGCATCTGGCTCACCATCGGTGAGTCTCTTGCATGCTGCCATAGATTCTTTGTCACTGAAAACTCACCTTTATAGAAATATTGTACTCCTCGACCATATTCGTGAATGCAATGGCAAGGTTCACACCGCTGTGGGATTTCATGACTTCGACCACATCCAGTATCATTCACAGTGGTACGCCCTTGTGCTGCAAGTGCATGGTGAACACAACAATAGCCTTATTATTGGGTAATGTCCACATGTCCATAGCAAAATTCAACTCGCCATCGTAATCCTGCTGGTAAGTCAGTTTTTTGATCAACGAGTGATACATCACTCACCTGCAACATTTTTGCCACCCTTGCATGACAGTGTGCAAACACCTTATGCACGTCGCATGCCATAGTCCAGTGCAATGGGATTCAGTACTCTGGGCACCCTGTCTTCATCAAGCATTGGAACCCATGGTCCTCAATAATTGTGAATGACCGCAAGCTCTCTGCCACCCAGTGCACGATCTCTGCCCTGGGGCAAGTCTGTCAGCAACTCATATTATATTCAACAATATCACGCACCTTGATTCCGTGTGCGAATGCTGCCGATTCGAGTATGTGACCTTTCCTTTACCCTTGCACTTAAATGATGATGTGATAGAACCCAAACGTGCAAACTTCTCCACTGCAGGGTGTGCATCATTGGCATTTGGCATTTCGTCTGCAGTGGCCAATGCCTAGCAAGATTTGATATGTTTTCTCATATTACCTGTGGAGCCCTTATCACCTTTATTGAGCCACCGCACGATCTTTATTCTGCATCCGCGGTTCACACAGTGGAACATGTGTGCACACTTCCCTGACAGATCACTCTCAATGGAGACCTCAGGCTTAAAAAATGCATACACCACAGACTTCCAGTCCTGGCGCAGATGCTCTGTGATCTCGATAAGTGATGATATGAAACTGATCACACTTTTTCACTTACCTAGCTCTTCCTTCGGAGTCTCCGACTTCCTCTCAGCAGCCTTTGCCCTACTTGACTTCATAACACTCGACTTTGTGCTGTGCGCACGCAAGTTCACACCCTTTGGATTCTCAACAAGAACAACATCATCTGAGTCATCGCCTTCACCCATTGCTATATCATCTTCATCCAGAATATCTTCAACGTGTGCGTGATGATCACATGGCACATCTGATGGATCAGGCTCCTCTGACATGATGTGTGCCTTCTTCACCTTTAGGCCCTTCTTGGATGATGTTGCACAATGTTTTGGCATTGGTGTGATGAATACTGTAGTTTTGGGCCTCTGGGGCTTTTTATGTGATTTTCTTTCATAGCATGTAGTTCATGAAATAAAGTTTGGACTCCCATGAATTCCTATTCAGGACATATTGTGGCTGTATTGTAAGTGTCGGGTACCTCACAGGTATGTTAGGTTGATAGATCAGTACCCCTACCCATACCCGCAGATACTCTTACCCAATACCCTCACGAGTTTTGATAACTCCTGCTCTGCACTACTATTAGCAGGCAGTGAGTCATCAAGTGTGCCCTGCAGTGAGCGGCAGGGGTGGAGCAATGAAATTGATGGCTGGAGTGTGCATGCCATCTAGCTGATGGGCAGCATGAGCTGCTCCCACATTCATTGGGCACTCCCTCACATCGCTAGATGAATAGATGTGATATGTTCCCAGAGATCTTTCATATCAGGCTGTGTGTCCTATGAAGCCTCAGAATCGAATTTGACATGGGACATACAGCCCACTGGGCTGCCTGCCAAAAACTGCATGTCCTATAAAAACTAAGTTGTGATATTCTTCCTGGGACACACTGATTTCACCCGAGAACTGCTATGTACTCACCTAGATGAGTATCTTTAGGTAATTTGGCTGGGAGCAACACATCTACTCAAATTTTGGGCCTTCTGTAACCTTAAAAAATTTACAAAAATGCTCATTTGCACACTGTAGCACCCCTGTACATGTGTATTAAAATCCCCACTTAAAATCCCCACTTAAAAACATGTCTGGGACGCCTCTGCAGCGCGGACTCTGTCATGTCTATTCAACATCTCTGCAAGCACCTATCTCGGCAATGTCCAATTGTTTGGGTTACCATTTAAATCTCCGTGTCCCAGGATGTTCTAAAGGTTGCTTCTTTTGCCTGATCTGAGGATCCTGTGCAGACTGAGAGTATACACTAGGGTTGGTGATGGTCCCTAAAGTTTGTGAGGATTTCTATCGGAAATGCTCAATGTTTCCACTTGAGAAGTTAGCTTTCTCAGATTGGGTCTCCAGCCACCATGGGCGGCCCAGCAGACATTTGCATTTTCCCAACCCTAGCTAACCCTAGTGAGTGATCACAGTCACAGCTAGAATGCAACAATGTGCACATGATGCTTAGGTCATGTGGTCTTAAGCAACAGCAACAAAAAGCCACTTTCACAAATACTGTAGTGTTTCGACCAAACGGCCAGTCACATGTCACAGACACCCATCATTGTCAGTTATAAAAAATAATCTTTAGTGCTTATAAGTTACAATTAAGGCTGAAATCTGGGTTTAATAAGCAGGCCATGTACAAGGATAATCTACTGAAGGATTATTCCCTCAGTAGATTATCCTTTTGAAGTAGTCTAAGCTAATCTGAAGATAATTCAAAGGAATAATCCAGAGGATAATGCTAAAGATCATCCAAAGGATTATTCAAAGCCAAAATTGATTTAAGAACTTGCACCTAGCCAGGATTGAACTCTCAACCTCAGGAGAAAGTCACATGACTAAGAAACTTCAGACACTTTAACCACTACTCCATATGACCTTAACAATTTGCACTCATGCATAATATATATAGTAAATTTTGCTGAAAGGACTTAGACAAATTCTGCTCATCACAAAAGTGGTAACTGAGTTAGACATAAGAAAAAGGATGTTTCTAGTCACTTTAGAGTACCCTTCAGACCTAGCTCTTAGCTTCAACATAACTTGTAGTGTATTGTAGCTAAGAGCTTCTCAGATGACTGACTGACCATTGTACTAACACATGTCTCAGGGCATTATATGTGATTATCCAGAATATAGATAGGATATAGGCTGGTCCATCTTATAGTACTAGTGTATTTACTAGTTGTTCTATAATGTCAGGGGTACAGAAGATGTCCCACTATTTACTTCAGAGTATCAATGTTCTAGCTTACTAGGATATCCCCCACAAGATTCATCTCATATGCTCAGCTTACATCCTATCTATACTCTGAGCAATCTTTTAATGCTCTGCGATATGTATTGGTACTATAATCATACTGGCACTTAAGAGGCACTTAGCAATGACATGCTATAGAAGATTTTGTTGCTAAGAGCTAGAGATAAAAAGTACTCTAAAGTGAATAGTGGGACATCTTCTGTACCCCTGACATTATAGAACAACTAGTAAATACACTAGTACTATAAGATGGACCAGCCTATATCCTATCTATATTCTGGATAATCACATATAATGCCCTGAGACATGTGTTAGTACAATGGTCAGTCAGTCATCTGAGAAGCCCTTAGCTACAATACACTACAAGTTATGTTGAAGCTAAGAGCTAGGTCTGAAGGGTACTCTAAAGTGACTAGAAACATCCTTTTTCTTATGTCTAACTCAGTTACCACTTTTGTGATGAGCAGAATTTGTCTAAGTCCTTTCAGCAAAATTTACTATATATGTTATGCATGAGTGCAAATTGTTAAGGTCATATGGAGTAGTGGTTAAAGTGTCTGAAGTTTCTTAGTCATGTGACTTTCTCCTGAGGTTGAGAGTTCAATCCCAGTCAAAATGCCGTATTGCGAGGGCGAAGCAGAACGAACCAGGTCAACGCCGCGTTCTGCTTCGATCTCATACGAAAAGTGAACTATATGATATCCTGGACGAAGCGAGATGAAGCAGTTCACGTCAGATCGAGGTGCTTGTGACAGCCACAATGGAAATCGCATCAGGTCGTACATCTGTTGAATATGCATCCCATTTTTGTACCAGCTAGTGAAAATTCGATTGAATGTGATACAGTTCGTTCTACATTGATACCGCTCGCTCTGCTTCGACGTGGTCCATCCTGCACATACCGTCGCATACCAGCCCGCCCGCCCGCCCCTCGCCCCCTGCCCACTGCTCGTACCCACCCGCTGCTCGCCCCCCGCCCGCTGCTCGTACCCACCCGCTGCTCGCCCCCCACCAAGCATGGGATCTGGCACGGTAGAGTGAGAATAGATGGGTGAATTGTGATTGCAGGTCGACGGCAATGATCCTATAATATTCTATTACATCAAGTACAGTCAGAGACATCGCCCTCTACAGTGCTATATAGACCTACCTCCGGTATGCCCATCTCGTTTTCGATCTCGTCTTGCACATGCCTGCGCTTTCGTGTATGTGTGCAATTAGCGCTGTTCGTGCACATCTGATCAACATTCCGGGCTGCCTCGGAGAATATGCGTGAGCTGCTCAAATTCACCTTGAATTCGGCGAATGATTGAGAAGGCTTGAGATGCTCCTCCGCATGTTTGTAGTATGTGGTTTTGCCGACAGCTTTGCGCGTCCCTCCGCAGTATTCGTCACAGTCGCAGAACCACTGAGATTGGCCGGCCGACATATATACTGAGTGTCTTCGTGAACAAGAATGTATTGCAGAGCTACTCGAGTGGAAGGGAGACAGAGTGTGGACAGCGGCAAGAAGTTCTAGCACGCCAGATGCATCTATGCATCTGACACGCCAGAACTGCAAGTCGCGAGCTATGTGTGCTAAGTCCGAATGCATTGAGGAAACAATCGAGTCAAGATTTGCACATGAAAGTGCAATTACGGCGAAGTTGTCACACCGATCTTCGAGCGGCTGCGATTTGCTTCGTTCATTCATTACATAAGGCGAACTTGTGCGCTCCAGTTCATTTTGGCTTGACCTCGCAATATGGCGTTTTCACTGGGGTTCAATCCTTGCTAGGTGCAAGTTCTTAAATCAATTTTGGCTTTGAATAATCCTTTGGATGATCTTTAGCATTATCCTCTGGATTATTCCTTTGGATTATCTTCAGATTAGCTTAGACTACTTCAAAAGGATAATCTACTGAGGGGATAATCCTTCAGTAGATTATCCTTGTACATGGCCTGCTTATTAAACCCAGATTTCAGCCTTAATTGTAACTTATAAGCACTAAAGATTATCCCTTATAACTGACATCACTGAGACACCTTGGCTGGCCGGTTTTTGACCAGGTGTCATGGGTCACAGCAATGCTGGCTGGGTGTGACCAATGCCTACAAAAATCTTTTTTTGCGGCCTGCGGTGCAGGGGCTCCTGCCAGGCAATATATTGAGTTTTCCCATTCTACCTAATGTCTGATTGGCTCTTCAGCTGGACATGGTGAGTCACCAATTGTGGCCTCATCGGGTCGGCCTGGCCAGTTTGTCTGCTCTGTCCACTATCACACCAAAGCTGGCTGTCTGGCCAGATCGAAACTTTGCAGTTACAGATCACACCCCTGGCCGGGTTGGTCGAAACGCTACAGTATAGTAACTGAACCCCCCTATTACCGTCAACCAGGAGAAGTCGGTGAGTGTGAATGATGAAGATGTTGAGGGCGAGTTGATTGACTACAAGTAGACCATCATTAAATGATGGCCGGAGGGCGTGTGTAATGGTAATGGCGAGTGTCTAGTCTCCTAAAGGCAGTTGTAGCCACTCTGCTTCAACCTTCATGCCTCAGATATCCATGTCTGACATCTGCTATCTATAGGGGGGGTCTTACTAAAAGGTTCATTGTGGGTTGTGATTGCTGATCTGGCACATTATATGCTCCCACAATGTGTCTGTAAATCACATTGAGCACATCATGTTTCTGTCCCTTCAATGTCCCCCTTCACCTGTTCTGCCACCATATGTCAGTTCAAAGTGCATGAAGATGAGTTAACACTTTGTCTGGGCTCGCAGCTATGTCGTATGCTCTATGGTAGTTCAAGCAGCCTGAGATTTCCTGTGATTGGTCTTCTATGCAGAAATCCCTACACTTTTTGTATCACTAGCTCTAGCAGATATGATCTTGCCATTATCTGTGCATTACCGCATACCACTGTGCATGCCAGGTGGGAAACTGTAGTGAAGAATAATCATAGAAAGTCTTTAGCAGATTTGTTGAAATGAGTACATTATATGATATCACAAAGATTTGTGACTCAGTGTTATCAAACACTAGTAAAATTATAGCTCCATCTAAATTGTCCAACCACAGGCTCTTGACAAGC